ATCCGAATTTGAAGAATTACCAAAACCTGAAGTAGTTGGACAATTGTTTGACATCTCCCGAATATTTGACATCGACTACATTGAATCAATCTACTCACAACTTTCCTTCCGCAAGTCTGAACTTCAAATTAGATGTTACGATCCATTAGGATACGCGAACGAGAATAATCCGATTACAATCAATGGGATTGGCATTAGACGTTTAAACGGATTCTATCCATCATCGGCTCATCTTTACCATTCGATACAAGTATATCTTTTAGGAAGACCTGATCTTGTGAAAAAGGTAAAAAATTCATCGAATCCATACAAAGATTCATATATCAAGGATACTGGTGATTATGTTGAGCCTGAGAAATTCTTAGATTGGAAAGACATTGAAGTTGATGTCGCATTCAAAATTGAACGACTCAAGTTCATTCAAAACCCACAATTGGCTATTGAATTATTGGCAACAGGTAAGAAGCAGCTTCTATCACCGAGCCTTGAGCCCTGGGGCAGCAACTCAGACTCGGATGGAGTCAATGTGAGTGGCAAAATGCTGATGATAATTCGAGAAGATCTTCTTCGACGAATTTATCAGTAAATTTCATTTCGATTGTTCGTGTCGATTGATCAGAAACTAATCAAATGTATTAATATTTGATTAATGGAAGTAAAAAATTTGTTTTTGCAACTAAACATTCAACTGGCTCTCATTTATTGATGTTATTAGTGAGACTAGTGGAGATTCGAATCAATTGCTCATCTTTCTCGTTGGACAAAAGTTCACCGATTAAGAAAACATTAGTTTGTTAAAGTGAAAAGAAATTCATTTAATCAAAAAACTTAATAGAAAAATTGAAAGCATGAAAAAAGATTAAGAATGATGAGTAGCCATCTCTGGCCCACTGACACTTCTGGCCCAATGAGTACCTCTGGCACTTTGGTGGGTTAGAAATGGTCTTTGGGAGTCAAAATAAAGGAAAAAATGAAGAAAGATCTTTCTCCTCTCTCTCCTTCGAAAAGAAGAGAAGCCAGACAAACACCCCAAGGTCACTCTGTTAACTACTCTTAACCAGGCTCGTCCCCTCGCCTGCTCTCTCTCGCACTAACCATCTATAACCACTTTAGTGTCAAACCTTTGGATAAAAAGTCAATGCAACTTTAGAGAGAGAAAAAGCCAAGGAAAAGAGAGAAAGGAAAAGAAGAACAAAGGTCATTTCATTTTTTTCTCTCTCTCTCACGAAAGAGTGAATAAGCCAAGATAAACCAGAGAAATGCTCGAGGCTATTCCGTTAACTAGTCTTAACTAGACTCCCTCGCTCTCTCTCTCTCTCTCTCTCTCTTAACTAGTGCTAACCATTTCCGAGATAGTCTCTAGTATAAAAGGGTGAAAGCAGAGCAATTTTATTCAGTTATCAATTGTCAACTCAACTTGACGGTTGTTAAAGTTACAAAATTTTCTCAAGTTAAAATCTATTATAACATTTAGTTAATATTCAAGTTATTAAATTGCCTGAACAGTGAAAATCCCTCAACATGATTCACAACCAAGAGATTGTCAAATGGATGAAAATGGAAACCCAATTCTTGGCAGAACAAAATCAACCAGAACGATTTGTTGAATTAATTCAATCGATTAAACCTTTAGTTGGAAATAGATACGAGCTCATATCAACTTATAGTCCAATCTGGGGATATGACAAAGATCTGAATGGAAGCAATGTCAACGGGAAAATGTTTATGATAATTCGGTAAGATCTTCTTCGACGAATATAAATTTATACTTGAACGCCTGTATTGTCTGTTAACAAAAATTGACTGTTGATAAGATCACGATTAATGTTATATATCGTACAGATCAACTGCACATCATTCTCTATTGATAAAAGTTCACTGATTGAGAGAAATTAGCTCGTTAAATTGAAATCAAAAACAGAGTATTTAGTACCGTTTTTTCTCAATAGCTGGCGCTACAAATCATCATTTCTCTTTCAATTGAAAATTAATCATCAACAATTAAATCGATGAAATTTGTTTAAATCAACGGGAAAATGTTAAATAATAGTTACAACTGCAGTTAATATTCTGATTTCTGAAATTTTGATTTTGACCTTGAACGACCTTGACCTTGACCTTTGCTACTTAAAACTAAAAATCGACTTACATGATGAGGATGTGTTAGCTATTAATTTAATCTATTAATGGATTTTCAGGAAGTGTCAAATAAATGACCTTGTTTTTCACCTCAGTTGATAATAATATCCTCATGTAACTTATTACTAACAGGTAAGTCAAGTGTTTACTTCGAAAGGCCAAGATCAGGCAAAAAAGAAAAATAAAGCATACGAAGCAAGCAAAAACAAACAAGGTAGTATAATCTAAAGGATATAATAGAGAGTCACAAATTTCGTTTTCAATACAAGAAAACTAAACTGGTAACTATTAGTATATAATAGGAGAAAAATTAAAACACAAGAATCAAGCAAAAACAAACAAGGTAGTATAATCTAAAGTATAGTACAGAGAGAGAGAGAGAGAGAGAGAGAGAGAGAGAGAGAGAGAGAGAGAGAGAGAGAGAAATTTCAGTTTCAATGAAAACAAACTAAACTGGTAACTATAAGTATATAATAGGAGAAAACATAAAGCACAAGAATCAAGCAAATTCAACTGTTAACTGTAAGTTTATAATAGAGAGTCAGTAATTTCAATGAAAACAAACTAAATTGGTAACTATTAGTATATAATAGGAGAAAAATTAAAACACAAGAATCAAGCAAAAACAAACAAGGTAGTATAATCTAAAGTATAGTACAGAGAGAGAGAGAGAGAGAGAGAGAGAGAGAGAGAGAGAGAGAGAGAGAAATTTCAGTTTCAATGAAAACAAACTAAACTGGTAACTATTAGTATATAATAGGAGAAAACATAAAGCACAAGAATCAAGCAAATTCAACTGTTAACTGTAAGTATATAATAGAGAGTCAGTAATTTCAATGAAAACAAACTAAACTGGTAACTATTAGTATATAATAGGAGAAAAATTAAAACACAAGAATCAAGAAAATCAAACAAGTTAATAATCTAAAGTATAGTATAAAGAAAGAAAGAGACAGAGAGAAAAAAAGAAAGAAAGATACTATTAATCCACAATAGGGAAAAACAAAACATAAGAATCAACCAAGCAAACCAGCTCCTAACTCAGAGTATATTATAGAGAAAGTATAATACATCGAATTGCTATTATGGAATCTAACTTTGAGACTCACTCGTGGATGACACACGAAACTCGATTTTTGACAGAGCAAAATCAAGGAGAAAAACTTGACGCGTTAGTGCAATTGATTAAGCCTTTGATCGGAGATCGATCAAACCTGCAGGTTGGTGAGCAGTTCGACAGTACTCGTGTGCTCGATGAAGCCTACATTGAATCGATTTACGAAAATTTAACAATTGACTCTGGTCAGTTATTCAAATTTCATCGAAAAAGCTTATTAGGACACTTTCATGATCATAATATCACAATCAATTGTAGTAACGAGAAATTAACAGGAGATTATAAATCTGCTGCTCATCTTTATCATTCAATAAAGGCTCACTTACTAGGAAAAGATAATCTGATCAGTAAAATAAGAAAGTCATCAAGTCCATTTGAAGATTCAAAGGTTAGAAAAACTAAAAGAAATGAAAAAAAGTTTTTAGCATGGAAGGCAAAGTTTAAATTTGATGTTGCATTTAAAGTTAATCAACTAAAATTTATTCAAAATCCACAATTGGCTCGTGAATTACTGAAAACCAGTAAACAGAAACTTATCTCACCTCATTTGTCACCCTGGGGTATTGGCAAAGATTCGGATGGGAGCAATATTAATGGCAAAATGTTGATGATAATACGAGAGGATTTTCGTCGACGAATATAATTATATTCAGTGTTGAACAATAGAAATCAATGATTATTTAATTCAGAAAACTGAAGCTCTTGATTGATGAAATTTTTTTGATTATTCGACAGTATGTTTAAACTAATTTGTTTTAATAACATAAAGAGCTTCATTTCAAATAGAACTAGATCACAAAAATAATATCAACAAAACTTGAAATTCAACAGGTTACATTACAGTAAAATTAATGTCCAAGTTTTTATATCGAAAAACTAATGATTAAAATCATAGGTCCATTGAAGTAATCCAAGTTTCCTAGATGAACTTTGCAAATTTAATTTCCAATCAGACACTGATAGAGGTTTTAATTGTTGATCACTTGTTGCACTAGTTAATCCTTTTGGTGGCATTTTCTTCAATTTAATTGTGGATTCACTTTGTAGGGTTTAGATTATTTTCACACAATATTTTAATCTAGTGGTTTTAATCAGAGATCACTAAAGTAATCAATTTCAACTGTTATCACTTTCTTCACTAGTTAATCAATTTGGTGGAATTTTCTTCAATTTGATTGTTGATTTACTTGTTGGGTTTGGATTATTTTTACAAAATAGTTGAATCTGGTGAACAAGGTAAATGATGATGGAAAAACTGTAACGATCAACTTGGAAAATGATCTAAACTGTTCACCAGATTAAGTTGAATGATTAACTAATTAGAAAGAAAGAAAGAAAGAAAGAGACAGACAGACAGACAGACAAAGAGTAATAGCAAGAGAGAGCACTTGGATGTAACCATCGATAAGATTTTATCTCTCCTTATCCTAGGGAAAAGGATGAGATCTAGGTGGAAGCACCAGATTTTCGTAACTTTCTCTACACAAGGCTCTAAGGATTAAAGTCTATGTCGCTTTTAAAGTTAATCGTTTGAAATTGATCCAGAATCAAGACATAGCTCATGACTAATTAAATCTCGTAAGGATAAACCGTTAACATCACGTGTTACTAGCTAATCCTCTTCAGGTATCAAATTATCTGAACGTTTGTCCCCAAAATGTCTCGATTTTAGTGCCATTTTCGCACACGAGATGGTACTACAAAAGGCACTTTTTGGTACAAAAATTGGAAATGAATCATCAATGTTTTTGATTCATTAGTATAAGTTATTAATCATCTCGTTTTCTTTTGCTGATTGATTTTGAAAAGGTGATCATCCATTAAGGCTGTTGATTCATTTCTTGCGCGTAATTAACACAAACAAAACAGAAACGGTAAGTTTTTCTTAATCAGTAATATAAACATTCAATTAACAATCTTATCTTATCTGTTACAATTGATTGAATCCATAAAGAGCTGATGGAAGAATGGAAAAGATAAGATAGGTTGATACATACGCTTGATAAGTATCCATCTCTGGTCCACCGGCATTTCTGGCCCAATGAGCACCTCCGGCACTTTGGTGGGTTAAAAATACCCAATATTTTAGTGTGAAAAACAGAGGATGAAAAAAGAAAGAGAGAAGGGAAAGAAAAGATTTCTTCCTCTCTTCCTAACCAGTTATAACCATTTCTGGGACAAACTTGTGTATAAAAGGCTGAGAGAAAGTTAATTTTATTCATTTATAAACTGTCAACCCATTCAGACGAATAATTTAATGTATATTGATCAAAAGTTAATGTTTTCTAGTAATATTAATAATAGTTTACAAAAAGTGTTATAAAACAATCAATTTTAATTCACTCATCAATTGGATACAACTAACCTATCGCCTTTATCTTCTATTAGTGATGGACGATATCGGATTTCCAAATGATCAATCGACTCAACTGACACGATTACATGAGTGGCTAAAGCTTCGAATAAGTGAATTACACGACCAAGATGCTAATCAATTGTATGACCCTTCTCGAGTATTCGATCTTGAATATCTGGACGAAATCTACTCAACACTAAGTTTGGGCGTGGAAGAGTTTAATTTGGATGATGACAACCCAATATCTCACTGTTACTCTGAGAACAACCTTCAGTCCCCTCGAAGTTGTAAGATAACTATCGGTGGCGATAGCATCTTCGCTGGAGTATACAGATCTGCTACTAATCTTAATGCAGCAATAAAAGTTTACCTAGCAGGTCAACTCCATCTTATTGATGTTGTAAGAGCTTCAACTAGGCCGGTCAAAGATGCTTTGGTTCCATTCGAAGTAGATTTAGCTCCATGGGACAGGATTAAAGTCGATGTCGCTTTTAAAGTTAATCGTTTGAAGTTGATCCAGAATCAAGACATAGCTCATGACTTATTGCAGACTGGAAATAGAAAACTTGTTTACGAATCACCAACACGATGGGATATTATCAATAGTAAAATATTAATGATTATTAGGGAAAATCTTCGTCGACAAACAGTTTCAAATGTTTTATAATCTGTGAATTGTTTAAAGATGAAATTAACGTGATTTATGACAATTAAATTGGAATAAGATTTTCTATTTAAACTGAGACAAACTCTTTCCGTAATTTACCAATTTCACGAATGATCCAAACTTGATCCTCATGAAACCCGCTATTATCTTTTATAGTTAATATTGTTTCTAGTAATTTGATTGCGTTTGTTTGATTTTTCTATTAAACGATTCAAAGTGATTTTCTAGTCGCAATCAATTTCGGCGATTGATAGTTGCGATTGGAATGAACTTCATCAAACATAAGTAGAGTAAGCGACATTTTGCTCAACTCTTCATTTGTTTATCCATCATTTAATTATTTCTATTAAATTTTGATTAGATTGGAAAGTGCTCAATGTAATAAAATGTAACCACAGTACCCAAACACTTGAAATTAATCATTAAATTTTCGCTATCAAATCAATTTCTGAAAACACTTTATGGTTAAATCTACTTTGTGTTCATTTAATGATACTCTCTATATGAAGAAATGAGAAAACCACTCAGAACTATTTGTGTTTGGGATCTTTTCGATGTTTGTGAACCATCCGATAAACCAAGCGAATTGGAGCTACCATACGGTCAAAAACTAACCAACTAATCAAACTCCGATTGCAGGATCATTGATAATTAAATGTATCAATCATTGAGACTCGATTTAAATTACTAATAAAAGAAAAAAATATTTAGCAAAAAAATTTGTCATATATTTGTACTTGGTAGGTGTTGGAGGTTTTACCGTTACAAGAGTTTCTAAATTCAGCTGACGAACATCGGACTCATTCGAGCTGAAAGTAACTTGTGGAGATAAAGTTTCCGATTCAATTAAAATTTACTATCAAAGGCCAACACTTTTAGAGACATTTAATCTGGACGATTAATTAGTCAACCGTCGTAAATCTCTAAATTAAGCAAAAAAATTTCTGAAATTAATTGTCAAACTTATCATTTACTGATACTTTCGTGAAGAGTATTTTCTGAAGCTATGGTGATCCAACTAACCTTCGGGGAAAAAGTTTGCAAACTTTTGCTAAATTCTTAATTTAATAAAATTTCCATTAAATATTCACAATGAAACTGTTTCTACGAATGTTTGATCAAAAAGTTTCAAACTTTTCCCCACAGGTTAAGGTATTACAACAGTTTCGCAGTTTTATTCGTTTAAGATTAATCTCCGAATGTTCGAGTTCAAATCGAACTTCTTTGAAAATCGATTTTAGTTGAGATCGATGTTGGTGACAACGAAATTTTGTAACGGTTAATGATAAATGAAAGGGTAACCATTTTTTCAAGAAAGAAAAACTTTACTTAGATTAAGTTATGATTTTATCAATGAATAAAAATTACAGTAAAATATGAAATTATTGTTGAATAGATTGAAAAATAAAAAAGACAGAAAAATCGTTGACTAATTAATCGTCCAGATTAAATGTCTCTAAAAGTGTTGGCCTTTGATAGTAAATTTTAATTGAATCGGAAACTTTATCTCCACAAGTTACTTTCAGTTCGACTTCAAGAGAATCAGATTTAAGATAATTTGCTAGATTGATTAATGATGGTGATCGAAAGACAAGATGAGCTGAATTTAGAAATTCTTGTAATGGTAAAACCTCCAATTTGGTCCCATTAGTTTCCAAATTAATTATCGCATCTCGAGTAAAATTACGACCCAAAATGATAATCTCTTTACTCCATTCAATGGCGTTTTACGGGTTGATGTCATGTGATTTCAAGGATCCAACAGTTTGAACGCAAACAATTGGATCAGAGACTAATTTGATTAAGGTTCGGTTTCCGGATAATACAAGCAAACACTAAACGGCAAGAATGTGACTTGGTAAAGATGAGATTACATCTTTCTTGACTTCGAACATCCTTTCCTTTAGAATGCCAATACAATTGATTTCCAATTCCATCCCGTTATCAGGAGACAATTCAAATTCAAGTGCTTTAACACCATTAACTGCTCGACAATTACATGGAGTTGCTGTTCGTGAGGTTACCTTTGATACTTTATAAATAGGATGGTAAGACGATACAAGTGTTTGTCAGCTCGATATTTTCAATTTTCAGCTGATTTTTTTCTCGGCTTAAGGTTCGGTTTGATTGTCTCAGGCCCTCCGGGCCTTTCTTTGGTCATAGTGACCCTTATTAGCAAAGACCTAACCTAACCTAATCTAAACAAACACAATTAACTGAACAATTAAGTTCATTTTAATATGTAGCTTGAACCTTAAGCCGAAAAAAAAGCAGCTTTGAGTGAATATGTTTGGTCGACAAACACTCGTATCGTCTTACCAATTTATTCTGTTCTATTGATCGAAATGCTGTATGATCAACTTATACAATGAAAATTCAATGGGATGAATTGCCATCTCTCAATCAAACTCTCACTAATCTTCATCATAATCACACAAAAAGTTAGAGTTAGATTAAATCAGTAATTCATTGAATGTTTGACTGTGACTCTTTTTGAGTAGCAATGAAACATTCAATGAATACTATTAATATTCACAAATGAAAAGCAATATAGCACTTACAATCTAAATTCACGTGTAAATTGATCATGACCGTTATGTCCCATCGGCATGTTGATTGTAAACAATAAAATGAATTAGTTTACATTGTACTATCATATTAGTGGTGTATTTATTTATTTGTTGGGTCATAATTTCCACTTAAGTTAATTTATTTATTGTAAATTGTTGTAAAAAATTGTATCATCATTAAGTGATTGAAAATTGAATTAATTGAATATTCAACTAATCTCATCATGAAGCCCAACAAGATTTCCACATGGATGGAAATGGAAGTCCAATGCTTGGCAGACCAACCAGAGAAACTTAATGGATTGATTCCATTGATTAAGCCTGTAACTGGACCAAATCTTCCTGAGCTATCAATTGGTGATCAGCTGTATGATATTTCCCGAACATTTTATTTGAAATATCTCGAGTCAATCTACTCTGAACTAACGTTGGATAAGACAGAGCACGTGGTCCATACTTGGGATCCATTAGGCCGTGCTTACAATAACAATATAACGGTAAATGCGGTTGACAGAATCCATTTAACTGGAAATTATTGCTCAGCGGCTCATCTTTATCATACATTTCAAGTGCATCTACTGGGAAGACCTTATATGGCCTATTTGGTGAGGAATTCTCGTGATCCATTTTTGGCTTCATATATTAAAGATGAAATCGGTTCTGGTAAATTCGGGGCTTGGCAAAAGCTTAAATATGACGTAGTATTTAAAATAACTCGACTAAAATTCATTCAAAACCCAGAACTAGCTCGTGAGCTATTGGAAACCGGCAGAGAGAAACTCTTATCCTCCCATGGTCCACCCTGGGGCTATGACGAAGATCAGGATGGAAGCAATATAAGTGGTAAAATTTTAATGATAATACGAGAAGACCTTCGTCGACGAATTTAAATTTACATTAATTGTTGACCATCAGAAACAAATGATAATTTGCTACAGAAAACCAAATAATTCTCAATTTAATTGCTGTCCTTTGACCCAAATGCTTTGTGATCAACTAAAGAGGATAATCAAATCAAGACAAAATTTCATCTTTCTACTGAACAATTCATGTAACCAATAGCCATTACTTTTTTCATCAATTGTAATTGTTGTAGTTATTTGATTGTGTTGTTAATTAATAAATAAAGACTAACACTGAATTAAATTAATATTCAATAAACTATTGATTCAATTTGCTCAAATCTCGTTCTCCACCCCTTTATATGACTGATTGGCACAATAATTAGATGACAATTGAAACGTGGAAAAGTTATCTTGTTCTGTTAATTAATGGTAACTAATGATAACCATTGTGATATTAATAGTTGTATATAAGTCAATGAAAATTCTATTCATTCATCAATCGTCAGCTAAAATTAATGGAATGATTTAGTTAACGAAGTCAACCATTGATTTAGTTTATACTTTTACTTCAATTAAATCTTACAATTAATTTTATCATCAAGTGATTCGAAAATAAAATTTTGTTTTGTGCTTACTTCAATCACGATCAACTAATACACTTTTCGAAAGATGAATCAAGAACTTCAACTTCTAGAAGAATATAATCAACCAAATCAACTTCAGCCTTTGCTTGAATACTTAAGACACACTTATGGTGAACAAATGAACAACCAAGATGATGATCAAGATATCGATATTCCTGAAATAATTGACGAAAATGCCTTGGAATCGCTATGAAAACATTGCTTTCGACGATGAACAGGTGAGCTTGAATACATACCATCACTTGCATCACAGTTACATCGAAAGTGATGTAAATATGATCGTTATGGAATTTGACAATGAGCTATTTTCTGGAGGGTATCGTTCTGCCAACCATCTCTATCATGCAATAAAAGTGCATCATTTAGGACGAAGTGATTTGGTCCATGAAGTGCGCAATTCTGATGAGCCATATAAAATTTCGCATGTGGGGGCTAATAATGAATTATACAACGCATGGTGCCGGATTAGAGTCAATGTCGCGTATAAAGTCAACCGGTTGAAATACATCCAACATCATGGGTTTGCTCTTGAATTAATGAGAACTGGAAAAGCTTTACTTCATCCAGAGTTTACCAATTGGATTAAAAGCAAAAACACCAGTGGTAAAATCTTAATGCTAATAAGAGAAGATTTTCGTCAACGATTATCTAATTAATTATACGAAAACAATGGTCAGGAATTTTTAAACGCGAAAGTTAAAATATTTTATGAATTTTATATAATTGTTTGTGGTGTTGACGACTAATAAATAATCTAAATAATAAGTCATCATGGGTTTCATTTGTTAATTCTCAATACTTGTTGATTAATCTCCAAGTTTCGCTTTGCTGGATCGTTATAAGAAAGTTAATTTGGATTCAATTGCATAGAATTGGAACAATTTATTTCAGCTCCAGTCATAGAGATGATTAAAGTCAAACAAATAATAAGAACAATTTGAATACACTCCTTGATTGAATTAAATTTACAGAAATTTTCAATACAATGTAATTAACACAACTAATAAGTGGATTAAATGGGTCACAATGATTACTTGCTAATTGATGTCCAAGTTTCATCGATGAACTTTGCTAATTTAATATCTCGTATTGATAATCCATTAACATCATGTGAAGACAATAAGATGTTGATCTTATTGTAACAATTAAACCATTCGGGATGATGATCCATTTTCTCAGCTTTAAGAGCAACGATTGACATGAATCCAAAGGCTTCGATAAAATCTTTGAATATTAATTGTTTAATTATCGCATCTCGTCCTGAATCATCTAATTTCCAACCAGATTCCAATAGAGGTTTTAATTGTTGATCACGTTCTTCACTAGTTAATCCTTTTGGTGGCATTTTCTTCAATTTAATTGTTGGTTTACTTGTTGGGTTAATTTCAAACAGAATAATCTAGTGAACAAGGCAAATGGTGGTGGTGAAGACACTGTAACAATCAATATGAAAACTGATTTGATCTGTTGAATGCTTCGAGGAGGATGTAGAGAGAGAGAGAGAGACGATGGATTGATGATGATCTCCTTCAACTTGCTCACTCAATACCCAACGAGCAATATCTATTACTTATTGTCTGAAAGTGACACTTTGAATTGACTCTTTCATTGGTCTTCTTATCATTTTGTTGATCAAGTCTCTTAAATGATGAGATTAATTTAGATTAACAGGAAAGTGTGAGACGATAATTGTAATCGCAGTTAGTGATTATCTTTTCTCAACACTTAATTCTATCCAATTAAGATCAATTGTCACAAGTTATCAATTTCTTTCTTTTTTTAGATAACTTGAAGATAAGAAGTCAATTTTTCATCTCCTAAATCAATACAATTAAATTACGATTCTCCAAAATAAAAATCGAAATTGTATCAACTTAGAAAATGAGCATTGATAACAAATTCTGCAATTAGTATGAGAAAAAATAAAATTTAAGACTTCAATTTAATCACCATCAAAATGGAGAAAAAAGATCTAATTAATTGTAACAATTAAGGAATTGAAATTTTGCAGTCATCTTCGAGCTTTAGTACTATTTTCTCTCAAGAGATGACACTACAAACGACAATTTTTTCCATCACAATTGAGAATGAATCATCAACAATTAAAAGAAATTAAACTAAACAGGGTTTCTATACCTTAGTAATTAGTAAGATTATTTAAAGAGATTTTACTATCCTTTAAAGTGAATTTCAATCTTGTTTAAATTAATAGTCATTGAAAAAATCTTATATGATGGTTCTTATTTCAAATGCTGACGATGAGACAGTAATCAACTGTAATCAACTAGTGGAAAATGATTACAATGAACTTGCTAAATTTCATGAGTCTGATTTCAAGCCGATTGTGGGTTGTAAAAAATTATTTAACATTAGAACCGATAAATTTGATTACGATCTGTTGGAGAAAATTTATTCAAAGTTAACTATCCAAGCGAACTATCATTTAGTTAAATTCAATGATCATTTAGGACCAGGATATTCTAAGAAAGGAATGATTAAAATCTATCATCATAGCAGATTGTGTGAAGAATTTTCATCTTCTTCTCATGTTTATCATGTAATGAATGTGATTCATTTGGGAAGGTTCGATAAAGTTGAAGAAGTTCGAAACTCCGCCAACCCTTACCAAGCAGCTCGATTAAGTCCAATTGGTGGTGAACTTTGGGCTCGATGGAAGAAAATACATTTGGATATTGCATTTAAAACTAATTGGTTAAAATTCGATCAAAATCCCACTTGGCTCGGCTTTTACTGGCCACCGGTCAAAAGGAGCTTAAGTCAACCTCATCTAAGCCCTGGGGCTGCAAAGAAAAGTCCGGAGTGATTCAAGAAAATATTAACGGTAAAATGTTGATGATAATTCGAGAGGATCTTCGTCGTAGACGTTGCAGATTTTAATCACAATTATCCAATTTTAATCATGCGAAAATCATCAAAAGTTAATTTGTTATTCAGTGATTACTATTAATAATAATAAGTGGTAATTGTGGTAATCAGTTTCATCGTAAATGAATTTGTATTGATACAATTGGTATTATTTTGCTAATTAAAATACAAAGACAATCATTTTCTACTTTAGGGATTGTTAGTTAGTAAATTTAATCCTCATTAATGAAGATAATTAATCATTGGATTACTTTTACAATTAAATGTTTTAATTTAATTGCTTTTCTGTACTGTTTTTAATTAAAAGAAGCCAATCAATCTACTCTTTTAATGATTGAAATGTTAATTGTTATGCTTTGATTGTAATCGAGGGCAAAGAAATATAATGGATTCGATTATGTTTGATTATCTGATTTAATCACTAATTCACTGATACAATAAATTGCGTGATTAAAACTGTTTCCATATTATGATTGTGTTAATACATTAATCAAATTAGTTTATCAACATAAAGAGAGAGATGTTGGTAAAGACAAAGAAACAAGAATTACAGTTTAAATCAGTTCTAAATCCCGATGATAATCTAATCCAATATGGCGATAGTTTTGAAGATAAATCATCCTCATCATCTTTATCTTCTCATCTTCGAATCCTTGTTAAAGAATAAAAAATAAAAGGAAACATTGTTTATCCATTTAAGTGGAAAAAGAGATGAAATTATCTTTTCGAAATTGATATTAGATTAACTCGAAAAGGAGAAAAAGAGAAAAAGAGAAACCATAATTTCCTAACATTTAGCCGTGGAAACTTTTTAGTTGATCAATAAATCGCAATCAACTAATCATAACCATCGGTACTAACAAACCAGTCGAGGTAATATTACCTTGAGAGGGACACACATGGTAGTGAACATTATGTTCAGTTGATTCCGGAAGCACATCAATTACAATTAAGTAAATCAGAAAACAACATTTCCCTTTGTAGATGTTGATCTACATCTCTCTCTCTCTCTCTCTCTCTCTCTCTCTCTCTCTCTCTCTCTCTCTCTTTCATTCAATTGATGAGGATGATTCTTTATCTTCCTCTCTCATTCCTCTTTCACCTTTAACCATTGAACCATCACCATCATCATCTTTTACCGTTATCTTCATCATCTCCTCTTGATCATAACCAATATTCACCCTATGTACTTACCTCATGTCTATTTTGATGGACTGTTATTGTTACTTTAATAATATTAGTGAATAGCGGGAATAAAAAATCAATAATTTCGAGGATGCTCATTAAATGATGCGGATGATGAGGAAGATAAACTTAGAAGTTGATCATCATCCACTTCCTTTGTTTGTCAACTGATGCACTTTTATTTTTAAATTATCTTTTTTCTTGTTTACATTTAATCTTAGTTTTCTGGTTCCTTTTGTCAACAATCAACATATTTAACCATTCACATGGTTTATTAATATGATTAGTAAATTACAAATGTCTGTCATACTTAATTTGGTTTCCTCTTCATCACTATCATCATCATCATCATCATCATCTCAATCAAATTATTAATCATGGTTTCATCATCTTCCACAATCAACAAAAATTGTTATTAAATTTGTCTTTGCCCATCAACAATCAATTTAATTGAGTAACAGTGACAATTTAATTTAACCAACATGAAAACAAGATGAAAAAGTTTATTGTTAAAATGGTGAGTTAGTTAATTTTTAACAATTTATTTTGGCTAAAAAATATTCCCGTTGATTAGTGATAAATGATTTAGTTCATTGGGCTTGTCAACAAGGTAAAAAAAGTAGTTAATTAGTTAATTTTTTTACTCTAATATACATATAGTGTGTATTTGTGTACAACAATCAGTGTAACAATTATAATCAGTGGATTAAATTACAGTTTACAATTTAATATATAAATTGTATTTTGTATTGATCAAAGTTGATCAAATCAATTTGATTGATTGTTTGGTTGGTTGGGAAAAAAAAGTTAACTAAAGTCAAAGGAAGAGTGAAAATTAACTTTCAATTGTAACAATCAAACTAATTCCCGTACAAGGAAAACTATGATCAACATTAAATCATCACTTTACTCACCATCAACATAACTAATTGTAACAATTACTTGAATTTACAACAATCAGTGTCTCAGAAATTCAATTACTCAAAGTGTCGTAATTTAAAATACTAATTTTCCCTTTTCTCATAATATTAATTGTGATTTTCGTGTTGGTCAACAGTTAAAATAAAAACATCAACAACAATATAGTTAATTGATTATCATGGAGACAATTAATTTAGGCGATATCATTGATGAGAAATCAACAACAACAAAACCATCATCACAATCAATTGTTGGTAACAATAAACGAGAATCTAATGTAACAATTAAATCACCTTCATTAGCTGTTCTTATGAAAAATGTTTGCTACAATTATGGAACCTCAGTCAAACCCTTAATTGCTCTGAATAATGTTAAGGTTAATATTCCGGAAGGAATAATGTGAGTTAATTGTTCAAGAGAATAACAATTAGAATGACAATCTAATTGCCTCGATTTTCTGTCCATAGTTACGGTCTATTAGGTCCAAGTGGGTGCGGTAAGACGACACTTCTAAGGTGTCTCTTAGGCCGATTGAAACCCCAATCGGGCGATGTTCAGATCTTTGGATATAAACCCGGAACTCGAGAGAGTTTAGTTCCAGGCCCTGGAGTGGGTTATATGCCTCAGGTAATTGATTCGTTTTCTGTTCAAACAATCGATATTCATTTTCAATTTATTCTATTTGTATATTGATTAGGAATTAGCTTTGTACATGCAATTTACGATTAAGGAGACAATCAATTATTTTGGACAATTAACTGGTATTCCAAAGGAGGAGAGACATTCTCGAGTTGAATTTCTTTTATCGTTTTTAGATCTTACTGATGCTGATAGAATGGTTTCAGATTTAAGGTAAAAAAGAAGCAAAGTTTAAGAAATTAATTGTTCATTAACTAATTCTGTTATTTGATTGATTAATTTGTGGTCAGTGGTGGTCAAAGAAGACGAGTATCCCTTGCAGTTGCCTTGGTCCATAAGCCGCCATTGCTTATCCTCGACGAGCCGACAGTAGGAGTCGATCCATTGCTAAGAGAAAGGTAATTAACCATTAATTAACTGTTAATAGTTAATCATTTGGGGGAAATTTATATGATAAAGTGGGTGGACATTTGTAATTAGTTAATCAGTCGACAATTAGCTTAATCTCCATATCAAAAGAGACTTGGAACTTTTTTCCTTGTTGATTACGATTAAATTGTTAAACTACAGGAAATATTTAATAATTAATAGAGATAATTGTCTCTCGTAAAAATAACAATTAACTCATTTTTAATCCACTGGAAAGGTTTACTAATTTAATAATCCAGGTAAAGATACAAATTGGGATTATTTTGAAAGGAAACAAATTGATTTATCAAAAGGACTCTAAAGATTGACAGTTGACCAGCACAATTAACTATTAGTTTATGTCAAATTATGATGGATCAGTGTTAACAATTAAGATTAAATTATTAACTGTCAATTGTTTTTTTTCTCCATCCAATTGATTGTAACCATTTGTTAAATTGTTTACCCTCAGCATTTGGAGCCATTTAGTTCATTTGACACAATCAGAGGGAATGACAGCAATTATAACAACTCATTATATCGAGGAGGCAAGACAAGCAAATATCGTAAGTAATTAACTAATTGTTGTTGAAAATTAAAATTGTAGACATTGAAAAATTCAAACGGTATAATCTATTATTAGATTGTATTAATAGATTGAGAAAATTTGATCAGAATCACAATCGATTGAGTTGGTTAACACTTGAAATACATTCGAGTTGTTTACCTGTCAAACTAATCAAATTGTCTCTTAATTGTTTACCTCAGGTTGGATTAATGAGAGAGGGCAGTTTACTCGTTGAAGAAGATCCTGATATTCTGATGAGAACTCATCAGAAAGATACACTTGAGGGCATTTTCTTGAAGATTTGTCATGAACAACGAAGCTTAACTACTTCAAGTTCGACTAATTCATTTGTACGAGAAAATGGTGGTACAAATCCAGCGACAATTAACAATATCAGGAAAAGACAATCAGCTGATCAATCAGGTAACAATTTAACTAAAGAAGTTAAATGGAAAAGATCAAGACCCGAACCTTTAACCGATAAACCAGAGATGTTCAAAGATTCGTGTAGGAAGATTGGAGCTTTAACTGAGAAAATGGCGATTAGATTGAGACGAAATATTCCGTGAGTTAATTATTACCAATTAGAATTTAAATTGTTCTGATCTAAATTAATAGTTTAATTCTCTATATTTAGAATGCTTACTTTTCAATTAGTTCTTCCAACGATACAAATCATGTTATTCTGTATTTGTATTGGTCAAGAGCCCAAGAATCTTGACCTTGCTGTTTACAACAAAGATTTCAACGGAGGAAATTATAGTCAAAAATTTCTGGAATTGATTGATCCTAATTACGTTAAAATTGTGAGTAATTAAAACTTTTCACTTGTATGTTATTCATTTACTCTGATTGTTAATTGTTTCAATATTTTTCTCTCTCGTTTCCAATTCAGAATTACTTTGATTCCAAAGAAGCAGCAATGGATCGGGTCAAAGAGGGTTGGGCTCATGGGGCATTGATTTTCAATCCTAATTACAGTTTACAATTAGATAATAGGTTCGATATGTTCGAGATGATGACCGATGCCAAGGGAAAGATAATTAATGATAGTACAATTTACTTTCATTCGGATGGAACAGGTAGAGAAATTTGAAAGAAAATTTAATTACCTTTTGTGGTAATAACAAAAAATTGAATTAATTTCTTTTCAATTCCAATTCGATTTCCAGAATTTCCAATTCAGATAACATTAATCACCCAATTGGTAACATCGGCTCAGAAATGGATAATCAATCTGGTTAATGAAAGTTTTCCTTTCATGGCCTCGGCGATTGCAGAGCCGCTATTTAAACCCGTTGATCCGCCAATTTATGGAGAGTTGAAACCTTCATATCGTAACTTTATGGCCCCAGGGTTAATTCTTGGTATATCTTATATCCTTGCAGTTGGATTAACGGCTCTTTGTTTCGTCATGGATCGTAAAGAGGGTCTTCTTGAACGGACTTTTGTCGCCGGAGTTCAGGCATATCAGATACTCTTTGCTCATATAATAATCCAATGTACAATCATCTTAATTCAAACGATATTACTTTTATTCACCATTTTTGTCATCTTCGGGATTGACCTTAACGGAAGCATCATATCAGTCACAATATTGACCTTACTTCAAGGAATCGCGGGAATGTCTTTCGGTAAACTTTGTTTTTCCAACATTTTTGTTGATAAATCTTGATAACAATCTTGGTTAATTGTGTTCATTTGTCTTCCAATAGGTTTCCTGATCTCGGCTCTTTGTTATGAGGAGCAATCGGCCATGTTAATTTCTGTTGGCTCATTTTATCCCAATCTAATTCTTTGCGGTATTTTATGGCCTTTGGAAGCGATGCCCGACTTCATGAGGGACATGAGCTATTTAATGCCACAAACTTTAGCAATTAAGAGCATGAGATACATAATCACTCGAGGCTGGGAGTTCACTCGCTTCGAGGTGTACATTGGCTTCTTTGCCACTGGTTGTTGGATTCTCATATTCAATATACTTGCTGTCGTAATATTTGCTGTGAAAAAATAAACATCCAAAACAATTAGTTAATCCAATTAACTCTCATTCCTAAAAATAATTGAATAGACAAAAAATGAAATGTTCAAAATTAATATTATTGTAAATTCATTACAATCACTGACTTTGGTATACAAATCACATTAATCATTTTACAATAAGTTAATTACTGATATTAAATTGTTTTCTTTCCCCCATATCAATTACCTTTAATATCATTAATTGTGATTATCAACTAAATCTATTTATCAACCTTTTCATCAATATATTTTGTCATCTTTATATTAATATAAACAATTTTTAATGACAAAAAAAGATACATTGATTATCTTAACAATTAAAATGAATTAAATTGAACAATTTAAACTTTTATATTGTATATTCTTTGGGGATGTTAATTGTGTTTACAATTAATTGATTTCCATTTTTATCTTCTTAAAATACAATCAAATTACTTTTGAGAAGATCAATTTAATTTACTTCTATCGTTCTAATAATATACTTAATCAGTTCATTTTTGCAATAAGCTAATTATCATTACTGTTGGTAACAATTAAAGTATCTTATTAATTGTCTGTTAATTGTGATCTAATTGATACGATTGGTTTACTAAAGATGGTTAACCTTTTATATTAATAATTTAAATTGTTATTTAACCTTTTGTTGTTATCAACAGATTAGAGATTAATTCAATTGCTTCTTATGATTAAGATCATTATTTTAACCATTCAGTTGGTAGACTTAATCGTAACTTAATTATTGTGATTGTTGTTTTCACAATTAGTAAATCATATTTGACGGCCATTTTGTTACAATCACTTGGTTAATCAAGAAGATTTTGTGTTCCTCTTTTTTAAATTAACAATATAACAACATTTAAATTGTCAACTAATCACAATTTGATCTAAATTGATTATTATTATAATGATCTCCTTTTTATCATTCATATTGTGATTTTAGTTGAAGTTAAATTAATGAATTGAAATCATTCGTTGATTAATTAACTTACCGTAATTAATGATTAACTTGATTTCTTTCAAAGTGTGTGGCCTCTTACAATTAACGTTAACCATCAATTCAGGTAATTTGGTTGAATTTCCAACAGTTTCTATCAACAATTGCTCGATGATAAGTTGATTGGAAAACTAAATCGAAAATAAGAAATCATAATGTTCAATCAATTCCAAATTAATCGGATTCCAATTAATTTAACATCAATTAAATCATCGATATTCTTGTTCCTGTGTATCCAATCAATGTTATCGTTCACGGAGGCCAAAGGTTCAAAGGATAATGAAGATGGAAGTAATATAATTGTTCTTGGTGCTGACGGGCAATTAGCTACTTCTCGTTATGTCCCTCGTAAATCAGGTAAAGGTTCAAGTACGATTATAATTGTTGGACAACCTGGAATGAATCAACAAAATAATAACAATCATCAGAATAATGATAATAATGTTAATAGTCAAGGACCAAATGTACAATCAGCAGCCTGGTCAATGCCAAATTCAAATCAACAATCATTTTCTTCACCTTCAGCATCTTCATCAAATATTAATCAACATTTAGTGCCAATTGGATCACAAAGTTTTAATCACCAATCGATAACAGATAATCAACATCAACATCAACATCAACATCAACATCAACAACAACAATCAACGTTAATGAATAACTGGCCACATGAATTAAATCTAAACAAAGGTCAAAATTGTGGCCATGGTGGTAATTGTGGGGGTGGTGTACAAACAATCACAACTTTACCTCAATTGATTCCAATTATGGTTCCTTATATTAAACGTAAGTCTTAATTGGTGTTTCGTCTAGTTGATTCAATAATTACGATATCGGTTTTCATTGTTTCGTTATTATAGCAACTAAAAGGTCCAAAATTCGTAAGTTATCCTTAATTAATAATCAGAATAATCGAGCAGCGGAGAGTCGACTTAATTTTGCGAAAACAACTTTACAACAACACCAGCAGCAGCAACAGCAGCAACTACAACAACAGCAACATCAACATCATCATCAACCACAACATCAACCACAACATCAACAACAACAACAACAACAGCAGCAGCAGCAACAATCAACATCAACAGTTAATCCACTGGAACCACAAATAATAATCAGGAAAACTAAAAATTCACCACCAATTTTAATTGAAGAAGTTAAAGGAAATGATGAGGGTCATATCGATTACCATGTAACGTCACAGCCCAATTCGGTTACTCCACAGATAACACAATTTCCGTCAAATTATAACTTGGTAAACAATCAACAGGCCAATAATCATCATGGATCAGAAATGGGATCAATTTACCCATCAACAGTTAATTCTGTTAATCCTCAAATGGTTATTGGAGATGAAGATAATCATCGATCGTCAATGAAAATTCATTCTAATGGTGGGACAACCAATGGAGGTGGTTCGAGTGGACTTGCTGGTTTTCCAACAGTTAATCAGATTAATCCAATAAGTCAAATGAGTCCAATGAGCTCAATTAATAACATCAACTCAATGAATTCAATGGGATCAATTAACCAGTTAAATCAATTGAAACAAATGAATAAAATGAACCAATTAAATGGGATACAGAAAATAATTGTCAACTCAAATGCACCAACCATGAGTCCAGGTTATGTAAGTACATCAACAATGAATCAAAATCCAGGCATCACAATTAGTGAACATGCAGCTTCACCTTTTACATACAATGCACCATTAATGACATCAACATCGACAATAAATGAACATAATGATTTCACATTGAAAGGAACCAAAGATAATCCTGAAAATCAGGAAATCTACGATGAAAAAGTTTTCAATCAATTCTATGGATTTGATCAGATTCCATCAATCGATTTAGGTAATTTACCAGGTGAAGAGCATCTTCCAAATCTATTATTTTCCAATAATCATAATAATAACAATGACAATGATGATGAAGGAAATCGTCGTATTGATCCAACTGAAGGTCTTTTAAATCAAGATAATTTAGATGAGCTTTCATCTTATGGCCCAAAGCGAAGTGGTTTAAACTCATTAATCCAACAATCAAGGCTTATCAACCAACAAATGGTTCCAACGATAAACAGTCAACCATCACCCCAACAACAACAACAACAACAACAACAATGGAATGACGAGTTCATACCAAAATGGGATGAAAGTGTAAAAGTAGAAAAGGTAAAAAAAGAATCTAATCACAATTAAACTAATTAATTATTACAAATCCTTTTTTCTTTCAACTTTTTCAGTGGTCACCAGATGACCGATCAAAAAACACTAATCCATTTAACTGGTGGTGGCCATGGATGTCAAATCTACCACAGTAAAGAAACAAAGAAAAAAGGAAAATCAATAAATCATCTTAAACAAATTAAACAAAAAGATTATATTAAATTATCTTATAAACAATTAAAGAAAAAAAAAATAATCAATTTTGAATAAAAATTTTGTTCTGTTGCCATAGCAACCGAATCAAAACAACAAACGATTGTAGTACTTTTCGGCTACTCTAGATGGCGACAGGTGAAATTTTCGCCAATTTTAAATTTTTGTGAAGAAAAAAATAAATACAAAAAGAAATAGAAAACCAAATGATTAAGTTTATTAGTGCAACTTAATTACTCATCAAATCCCAGTTTTGTTTTCTCTCTTTTTTTCATCCAATTTGCTGTTATTATCCAGGAGAAGTTTTCTAACTACATTAGTGTTAAAGATTAATGATTAACCCAAGACAAGAGAGAGAAAGAGAGAGAGAGAGAGAAAAGGAGAAAGTGATATTTTATCCAATCTCTCAGAGTACAACAAATACAATTAGCTACCAAAAGCTAAACCCAAAAGCTTGTTAATAGTAAAGCTACTCTATAGGCCTTCCATTTTTTGTTTCTTCTTTGATGATTAACTATTAATCTGTTTTACTTTCTTTTATATATTAATCCTTTATTTTCCCTCCTTCTTTATCTTATCTTAAACTTCAGTACCATTAAAATATGGCCACTTCTCAAGAAGATATTTATTCGGACTCTAGTGACTCCAATCAGATGAAAATTGTTGAACCTTCTAATGAGGTTGACCCATCACCACAACCACAACCACAACCACCACCACCACTCCCACCTACAAATATTACTACTGCTGCTTCTTTGACATCTACTGATCTTCCTTCTCATTCATCTTCACCACAAACACCATCTTCACCATCATCTTCTCAAATTTTAAATGTATCCACACCTGAAGATTCAACAATTAATAGCTTAACAACAACTACCACCGATCATCAACCACAACAACAACAAGAGTTAACTGTTCCAGAATCAATTCTCGTTATTCAATCTGAGGAAACAAGTGTTACCAATATTGGAATTAACAACAGCTCAATAATCCCTGAATCTATAACCAAAATCGACGATCAACCTACTAAACCTATGACTGACAATTCTGTTGTTGTTGCAAAAGAAATTGAAATGAAAGTTGATACCGAGAATGGTTTAATCTCTAATCACGATAATTCAACTGAAAGTGAAATGATAGCTCCTATTGTCCAACCTAAAAGTCAGGGTAAAAAGCGTTCTATTGATGAAGTGACGCGTGATCCTCATGAGAAAACCTCTGAAAGTGAACATAAAAGACTAGTCACAAATCAATCTTCTAAAAATGAAAAGAAAAATCATCACCAAAAAGATGATTATTGTTGGTTATGTCATAAAGAGAAAAGCAATATTAGTTGTAAATCATGTCCACGAACTTATCACCTGAAATGTTTACCAACCGAAAATTCTGGTCTAAATGATTCCTCTGAGTCAAATAAAAATGGTGCTAACAATACAAATTGGATTTGTATTGAATGCTCTGCAATCATGAAAACAGATGCAACCTCGAAAAGTCCAGTTTTAAGTCAATTGAGTCCCCATGAGCTTTCCGAGTTACTCATGTTTGCTGTACAAACTATTAAGGCGGTAAGTTGATTTTCTAACATTTTATTCTAAGGTATCTAATTGTTTTCTTTCTGTTTATTTTTCTTATGTTTCTTTCTTTTTCTTTTTCTTTATTCAACTAGAGTGCCGATAGATCATTTCATCAACCCGTCGCACAAGACGCTTTTCCAGATTATCGACATTTTGTCGTCCATCCAATGGATTTTAGTACAATCGAGAGAAATATTCGCTCTAAATCTTATGGTTCTACCGATGCCTTGATGGCTGACATCAAATATATCGTCCATAATTGTTATATTTACAATTCACCTAATCACCCGTTAACCAAGAATGCCAATTATTTTATGAAAGTTGCAAGAAATGAGATGCAAGAGATTGAAATATGTCCGAATTGTTTCCGTAATTTTTACACACTTAAGGATAAAGAATGGTTTGCAGAACCATGTGCACGGCCTCACATACTTGTCTATGCCAAGATGCGAGGTAATTATTAGCTTCGTTAACCGATTGTCACTTATTATTAGTTAACTAATTGTTTTGCTTACTCTACTTTTCAATTATTTAACTAATCCCAGGTTATCCGCCTTGGCCTGCAAAAGTTGTTCGTTATGACAAAGACAAGAACGAAGTTGATGTTAGATTTTTTGGAGCTCATGATAGGTAAGTTATTCGAAGATGAATTCTTTCAGATTCAGATTTTTCTATAATGTTAATTTCGATGATTTCTTTACTAATTATTGGTCTAATCTTTTTATTTTTCTCTTTTTCTTCTCTCAGATCCTGGGTTCCCGTTGACTCATGTAATCTTATAACTAAACCAAACACGGCTTCTAACAAGAGCTCAAAGGGATCAGGAAAAGGTCAAAAGAATAGTAAATACGATTCTGCCCTTGCCGAGCTTGCTTTCCATGTTAAAAGATTAAATGAATTATTCCCACTTAAATTTCATTATGCCAAACCAAAACAACCAATTGATGTAACTAAACTTTTCATCTGTGACGGTGTTGAAAGTGAAGAAATCACTGAAATGGATGATGACAGAGATTCTGATCTAAATGAGGATAAGCTTATCATCGATGAAACTGGTGATGATCAAGAATCAACGGTAAATGAAAGCATCGAGCAAAAAGTTATTAAACCTGAAAAAATGGACATATCAAGTGATTCACTTTTAGCACAACCAACGGAAACCGAGAAAACAATTAAATCGGAAACAGGGATACCCAAACTGACAATACCAAAGTCTATTAAGATTCCACTTCGTTCACCTCAAGTTCAACAACAAGCCACACCACCGCCATCATCAACACCATCACACACAATCAATACATCACCCAAAAAAGAGGAAACACCAAAATCATCCAAGAAAAAGGGAGCAAATAAAACGAAAAAGGAAAAAGAAAAGGAGAAAGAAAAAGAAAAAGAAAAAATCAAAGTAGAAAACGAAAAGATTACAACTCCAACATCGAATAAAAAATCTGACACCAAGAAGAAAACAATAGTCAAACCAATTATCGAGGAAGAGGCACACAAAAAACTTTTGGACGAACTTGAAACTCTTAAAAAGAAATGCGATCACGAGAAAATGATGCACCGAGAGCAACTTAAAGAAATTGAACATAATCACAATTTAAAAATAAGGTAAGAATCAAATTCGCCAACAATTTACTTTATTAATTGTTTTATCATTTTGTCTTTGCTAATGGTTTTTTTTTCGTATTTTCTTTAATTTCATTTGTTTTTACAGAGAGATGAGAGACTCTTGGCAATCAGAGAACGAGAAAATAGTTAAATCATTAACTGCGACATTGGATGAAAAGTATCGAAAAGAAATTGAAGAAACAAAAAAGAAACTCTGGTGTTCAGAATGTCTAAAAGAGGCCATGTACTTCTGCTGTTGGAATACATCTTATTGTAGTCTTGATTGTCAAAAAGCTCAGTGGCCTAAACACGCTGCTAAATGTCAACAACAATCACATTGGCAACAAACAAATTCCCAATCATCAGTAAATCCACCACAACAACAACAAACACAACAGACACAGCAAACACAACAACAATTACAACCGCAACTACAGTCACACAATAACAATACAACATCTTATAGCTCAACTGTTAACCAACAAGCTTGATTATAAGATGTCATCTTTTAAACAATCAAACAGCATTTATCAAAACTTAATTGTCATCTTAATTCATTGCATGGTTTATAATTATTGGAAAAACAAAGAAAAAATTTAAAGGAACATTATTCAAGCAACAATTAATCATTATCACTGGTCCCTCTTTTTAGTGTCATCAACACTCAATCACCATCACAACAACAACAACAACCACAACTTTCAAGCCTGACTTTCAATTTTTGCCTTAATTTTGTTTGGAAATCATTTTTTTCACCTTAATCCCTTTTTTTGAACCAATGACCATTTGTTAATCACCTTTCCCTCCCCCTAATTAATCCTAATCCACAAACAGACAAAAAAAAACAAAATTACAATCAATATATATTACATATTGTTATTTATATGGTTAATTGTTTTAACTTTTGTGGATCAATTGATTAATACAATTACAAAAAATGAAAAAAAGCAAAACTAAACAATTATCAACAATGGTGATCACAATTATATTAACATATATAAATATATAAATATATTAGAATGATTAAAAAGTAATTGATGAAAATTATGTAAAGAAATCTTATCTCTTTTAAATGACTGATTAAAACAAATCATTCACAATTGATAGACAAACGTTGATTAATCAAATGAGAATCAAAACAATTAGAAGTTAATTTAGTTTTCAATGGCCTTTGGCCCAAATGTTTTAAGTCAATCGGCCGTTCTCACTTGATGTTCACATTTCCAACCAACTGTTGTCATATTGTTCATCATTAGAAATTAATTAATCATGTGTAAAGAAAAAGAGATTTACAATTTCATTGAGAAAACCTCACGTTATAATCGTATTGAATTGGACTGATAAGCATGAAGAGGTCGGTTAATTGTATCAAACTAATTGACAGTTAATATTTTCAAAACTCTGATTGTTTATAAATATTGATGTTCTCACACAAATTAAGCCTCATAATGATTTAAATTTAAGCTTTTTTCTTGTTTACGCTCTTGTTACTATCGTAGTATGAGTTGGATTTTGATCTTAAGGCTTTCCAACACTTTCATTCATAACTTTAAATCCTATCAGGTAAAGGATTTGGTTTCGCGAGAATCGTTTCTATGATAAAATTGACCAAGGAAGGAATGACAAATCTTAACACAGAGCATTTCACCCAAAAGTCGGGTGATACTCAATTGTCATATTCTAATATCAAGGTCAAGTCTGGTAAATACCCGAAGACAACAAGTCAAGATAAACTTTTCGTAAACTTTATCAAATTCCCTGCATACATTATCAATTAAATTATCGAGTACAAGCAAACTCGGAATATTATATTTACTTTATTATTATCAATGTTTTTTTGCTATTCTTGGACATTTGCACTTCATTTAGCCCTCGGGCGACTGAACAATATGCTATTAAGGCTTCAATGGGTAAGATTTAAGTCTAAATCATGAATAGTTTTGAAACAATAGTTTTACTGCTTTGGATATTTTCGGTTCGTGGTAAAAAGTACGAACAATTAAATAATTTATATGAACACAATTTAGTTCTGATTTTGATCACTGCTAACGAGCGAGTTTTAAGTTCATCGTTATAATTTAGAGAGTTACGATTGTAAAAACTAAATCAATTGATTGATTTGTAAATCATTAAGCTAAACAGTAGATTAAATTGTTGGCTCAAGTTTCACACACGTACAGAATCACAATTAAGAATCACCAGTTAATTAAAGCTCTCATTGGATGAAAATTTCAATATCAATATATTAGAATAATTAATCGATGATGATTAAATGATATCTCTTTTTAATTGTATGAGATTAAAACAATTAATTGACGAGTGGAAAAGTTTGCTTGATTAACAATCAGAGGGAATCACAAAATTACTAAATTAATCAACTCGTTGTTTCCTTGATCATCTTGATTGTAAAACCGGAATTAACAGTAATTTGATTTGTATTATGTTAACTATTCAAGGTTAAATTGTTTGTTTATGTTTCTGTTTATCATCATTATCATGGTGAAAGTGATTTATGATTAAATTTGATTGAATTTTTCAGGTCAACAGGAAATTCAATGAATTAAATTGTTTGTATTAATCACCATTGATAAAGAGGCTTGATTGTTATATTTGGATTTGTAATTAAGTTAATTGTCCTAATCTGATGATAAAAACACTTTTCCTTGATCAACAAAATCAACTGTTCATATTGGTGATGATTAATTAATTTGATTCTTCCACAATTACCAAACATAATCATAATTTCAAGTTGATTACAATTAAGTATCTAGATCAATGAGAATTGTATCATTTTATCATTTATTTACAATAAAGAGAGAGAGAGGAAGATAAATCAATCAACAATCAATTGATTATCTGTCTATGTATCTGTCTATTAGTTAAGAATATATGAAAAAAAATCTCTAATCAACTGATTAACAATTAAAATCTAATCCAGTTTTTCAATGAACAATAAAATCAAATCATCTGAAAATGAATAGATTTTAGTTTCTATTTTATCCAAATGATTATGAATCTTTAATTGTGTTTATTAATAAACTGTTTGGATAATTAACAAGGTAATTAACTGTTCGCATGTGATCATCAACCACAATTAAAGAGTAAACGTTAATTGTCGTAAAGATTTAATTGACGTAAGGTTATCGTTGGATCACAATTAATATTCACAGGTTACATTAGTTTTCTAAGATCAGAGTTAATTATATTCTCGCAATTACAATCAATTTCTTTAATCATCATTAAAAACCTTGAACCTTTTCTAAGGCATAGATGGCGTAAGAGAGAGAGAGAGAAAGAAAGAAAGAGAGAGAGAGAAAGAAAGAAAGAGAGAGAGAGAGAGAGAGAGAGAGAGAGAGAGAGAGAGAGGTAACTCAAGTTGTTTGTGTTCATTTGATTCTCGCAACAACATCAGTTTATTTCTGTTTCAATTTCAATTTTCTGCAATTTACTAATCACAATTTTCTTTATTAAACAACCGGTAAGATTTTTAATTCTTTTTTCCAGATATTCCTAATCTTCTAGAATATTCTATTCTAATTGTTTATTTGTTCTTTTAATCCAATTAATTAGTAAATTTGATTGTTTTCTATTCTGTTGCAGTTGTTATCTTTTCTCTCTTTTACTTTGTTGTTTTCTTTTCTTCTTTGTGTTCCTATGCTTGGTGAATGGGCCTTTGTGTTGCCTCAACTTCTGGTTCTTTCTCTTCTTCTTTCTTTTCTTTCTTTTTCTCTTTCTCTCTTTTGGGTGAATCCATTTTTTTCTAATTGTGATTCTTTAATTGTTTTCCAATACTGTTTTTCTATTTTAGTGTATATTTACAATAGTTGCTTATTTGTCTACTCTTGCTAATTTTGTGTTAATCCTTAAAATTTGATCAACTGATTGTGTCACAGGTTTTAGCTTTTCTATTTCTATTTGTGTTTGTGTTTTTCTTGCTTTTACCTTTGCTTATTTTAATTTTATTTTTCCTTCTCTTTTCAATAGCTCCCATGGATGTTAAATTATCTTCAACTTCTTCACCATCACTTCCCAAGCAATTTGATTTCTGTGATGATTTAAGTGAACACGGGTATGGATCTTTGGAAGACCTTGACTGCCCCACCTCAATTGGCTCACCGATGGTTCAAGGTTGTGATGGTTCATCTTCATCATTGCCAAAAACAATTACCACCACAACTCTTACCTCTTCCTCGTCATCATCTCCACCCTTGTCATCTTCAAGTTCAATTGATTCGATTGCCAGTTTGAACAGTTCTAACTCACCCAAGTCAACTGAACCTTCTCAACCCGAATCAATTTCCAATGGTAAACATTGCAACTCATCCCATGAAAACAATAAAAAAACCGGTGATCAAGATAGTGATAAAAATTTGATTAATTCTCCTGTGGATAATTCGATAAACACTAATAGTTTAAAGGAATCTAATCATGGTTATCAAGAAATTTCATCTGGAGAATTAAAGAATGACGAAAAGGTACGATTGATCTGTAATGTCGTTTTTCCGTTTGTTCTTTAATCATTTATTTTCTCTTTTATCCTTATTCATCATTTCTCTTTCCATTTAGAATAATGATGGTAAAGTTCATTCGCCTTCACCTCAAATGGCTCAATCTGGTAATCGATTCAGATTTGTTCCCAAAAATCGTCAAACAAATGATACAAAATCCAAAGGATCAGGAACATGTCAAGCTATTAATCGCAATGGTAATTATCGTGGACCAAGGAAACATTCACGCAGTGAAAGCGATTGTGTGAATAGGGAACACGAGAATAGAAAACGTTCCCAAATGAGGAATAAGAATAACGATAACATCATTTTCGTTATAAAAAGAGTGGACCGTTCACTTCGTCGAACGGTTTCCGAATCATCAGGTGGTGAGGTTTGTATCAGAATCGAAAAAAATGAAAAGACAAAAGAGAAGGAAATCAATCAATTATATTCCAATCAGTTGATTTAAATTCTCTTTTGAAAATATTTCTAGTCTTTATACTTTATACTATGAACTTACTCTTCTATCTATTGTTTCCTTACTCTGTTTGTTAGACTTTACCGGTTCGAGGCATCCTTAAATATCCTCGAGACTGGAATCGTCGAACCTTATCTGAATCAAATTGTGATAATTCTGATCAATCAAATCTCATGGACTCTCATGAAAATGGCCAAACTCAATCTCTTGAATGTATCTCACCGTTGGAAGCTTCATGCGAAGCATCAACAGAGTCTGCTTGCTCATCAGCTGGTGAAAGTCCTATTCATGATGAAGAGAAGCCTAAAAAAAGTGTCCACTTTAATTGTTTCGTTTCCAAAGCCACATTTAATATTAACTCGATTATTTTAAATAACAATTCACACGCTGGAAGTCATAAGAAAAAAAATCGAAGGCAAAACAATAATCAGTCTTCAAACTATCATAACAACGACCACTCCAACACCTCAATCACAACCACCACCACCACCAACAACAACAACAAAATATTAATAAAAACAAGAAAAACCATAAAAATCACAAAGACGGTAATCCCAACAATCAGCAAAATCAGACCTCTCGATGTAAATCACAACAACCTCATCAACAAAAAAACCACTCCACTGAATCAAGCAATAATCAAACACAAATTGATACCACCAAATCATCAAATGATCAACAATCAACCAATTTTGATACAAAAACTGTCATCACTTCTAATGGTGACAAAGTGGATCAAAATGAAAACATTGACCCAACGGAAGCCAAGATGAGATCTCGCCAAGATTCCGGTTATGATAGTGAAACCAATGAGAGGAAAGGATTTCTTAATGAATCGGAAACAACTACTACTTGTGTTAAATCACCAAATCGTCAGTTTACAGTCAAAAAGGTTGATCTCAATTAGTGATACACATCAAACAATCAAATATGATCTTCGACTAATCATTTTTTTCCTTCTCCCTCTCTCCTCATCATTTCTATAATCAAATATAGATTTTTCATCTCTTTTTTCAATTTCCTCTTCCTGTCTCTCACCCTGAAAGATAATTAATGTTTAATTCAAAAAAAAATTAAGGGATCAATTTTGTCTCTAGAAAATCACCTTACTATCATCATGACAAGACCATCAACTCTTAATCAAAATCGATCAATTATTAGAAAAATAATTAAGGTAGCAAGAGCTATCGTTGTCAATGATTTGCCTTAATTGAAAATTTGATGCAACAATTAACGCTCAATTATGATTTTAGCAACTAAAGCCCTTCCATTACTTGATAATTTTAGAGATTTAATTATTGCCTTAACTATAGCAATGGATCAACAAATAATAATAAGGTAAATGATTTGAGAGTTAACTCTAATCATGATGATAATAAGATGAATTTAATTGCAATTGTTTACAACTAAATTACAATTGCCCTTGTTAAATTGTTTGAAACAATTAGCATGTAATAGATTTCCAGTAACATCAACAACTTTAATATTATTTACATGAGCCCAACTACGACCCTAATCGTCCTACTCTCAATCGATTAATTAATTAATTATGACCAGCATTTCTCTTACCTCTCTATCATAGTTAATTAATTACTTAATTACCTCTTGTCCTTCGTTAGGTTAATCATGGAAGAAGAAAACCAAACTAAAAAGAAGCAACAAAAAAAATCAACTATCGTTAGAGAAAAAGAAAATGATCACATTGAATAATCAAATCGATGGTAATTTAAATTGTGATTAGTTAATTTGTTTTCTTCTCTTCCCTTTAATCATGTTATTATTGTCAATTCTTTTTTTCTATTCTGTTATTCTCTCTCTCTTGTTATTCCCAATAATCTAATCAGCAAACCGAATCTTATTTAATTTCTTCCTCATTCGCATGTTAATTGTAATTCTAATTGTTCTTGTCTCTTCAATCCACTGAATCAAATTTAATTGCGAACACTTTTTTCTTTCTCTCCAAACAAAAAAGAGATTCAAAATCTTCTCAAAGGAAATTTCTTCTTCCATTCATTAACAATGAATCACAATTAATCGTCAACAATTTAATACACTGTTTCTTGATACTCTCTAAACTATAATAATTGTTAAATTGTAGCTTTGATTTTTTTTTCGCCCGCTCGTTGAATATACAATTTAAAAAACGAACCAAAAAACAATAACATTATTGATAAACACCAACACTAATTGGGTCTTGTGTTAATTGTAAAATAGATACAAACAAAATTACTCTAATAAATTTTTCCATGGAAATTGTTAATTGTTGTTGATTGTTATTAACTTTCTCACATTTGAATGTAACTAAAGAGATGAAAATTTAATCTTAACAAGATTTATTCTTGTCAAGGGAAAAGGTTTGTGATTGAATTAATTGTTAATCGTTACAATTGATTAGTATTTTATTTTGTCTTTATGATTGTTTTATGTTACAAGGATAAGGAAATTACAATTAAAAACAATCAAATGATCGGATGGTGGATTTGGTGATTATTATATTTAGATTGTTGTTGTTAAGTTAATAATGTACTCAGGTAACCTTATGATCATGAGATTCAATGTTAATTACAATTAGTTGATTCTAATAGTCAGTCAAGGACAATAGTAATTGGCATCGTGTCAGTTTGCTCTCTCATCGTTAGTTAATCATTTTAAATTGTTTGCTTTTTTTTAACGTAAACAAATTAAGGATCATTGACAGTTTTTGGCAGGATTAATTGTTGCTGTTGTTGATTGTTAACTTGAGTAATTAAATTGTGATGAAAACTTGAAACCTTTGGGTGAAAAAAGTATAAAAATATCATTTTAAATTTTGATCAATTTCAATGTAGTTGTAACTAAATAGTAAATTGTTGTTGGCTGATTGTTGATATTATGGTGATGATGATGATTAATTGATTGTCTTTAACAGCTACAAATTGATCGAGGGGGTAAAATGTTTGTCTCACTACAAGATGAATCGTAATCAGCTGATGTACAGCAAAGATTACAGGGTGAACCGATTTCCTTTTCCTTGGAACTTGAATTAACCCAAATTGATTTACCATTGGGTTTAAATTGTAGACAATAATAGTAACCACTGACTGAACAATCAACTCGGTCGATTGAACCATAACTTGCTTGAGTAAAGTGACGATAAGCAAAATACTTTTTGGGTAAAAAGAGTTGATTAGTTGATTGATCTAACCAAATCAACGATTCACCGGACGGAGTATCGGTAAACGCATACCAGTAATAAAAACGCTGGACACAAGTTGTCCCAACGAAATTAACTATACTTATGGACATATCAATCGCTTCGTCCATTTGTTTGGACTCAGATGATGCTCGAGTTGATGAGATTTCGGTTATCCAAACGGGTGATTGTTTATCTTCACTGTAAACATTTAGATCATAATAAACGGTACCAAAGTTATGGAGCGGATTTAAACTCAATTCGTAACCATGGGAACTGATTATTGAACAAGCGGAACGACAATCAACATGACCGAATCGATAATCACGATACAATTGCGACACAGGATACCAGGCGTTTTCTGGGCACATTTGCATCAATGGATCGTTGTAGGTTCGCATGAGGCGACAGAGTTGATTTGGTGACATTGGACATTCGTCCCACGTAGCGATCAGATTTTCCGGTTCATTAGTAATCGATATTTGATCAATTTTCAGGCCAAATCGTTTTTGGACCATTGAGGTGACATTTTTAAGATAATAGTAGTACGATTGCTCGTACCTAGATTTAAGGCCTCGAAGTACATTTTTCATGTAATAAGGTGGAGACCAAATTGCGACAATTAACGAAATGTCATCTTGATTTAACAATCGGGAAAATGTTGAATGTAAGTTAATCCATGAGCAGGATTGTGAATCGAGACAATCAATTGAATAAGAATCATCAGTTTTACTAAATTGTGGCATAAATTCAGTTCGATAATTTCGTAATTTAAGATCATCATGTAAGTGATTTAATATTGTTGATTGTGTCTCTTTGTCAGTTAAATTAAATGCCCCCAAGGCTCCGAGATAAACACCAAATCCTTGCCATGGATATTTACACGCTCCTGTTGACAATTTAATCTGTAAATTAAGGGTAATAATTAAGTAAATTATTAGTTGATTAGTAGACATAATTGTTGATAACAATTAACAATAAGGTTTAACAGTTTCTTTTAAAGTGATTGATTGATTCAGGTCTCTTTCCAATTAACTTTACTCTGATCATCTAGTTGATTTATTTTAATTGTTGACATCATTTTATTAATTTGTCAGGAATATTGTTTCAAAATGCTTATCGCTAGATTGTTGATTTAATTGTTTAGTGAAATTTATCTCAAGATGATAAATAAACTAATCATTTAGGTGATAATTTGAAATAATCTAAATCAATGTAATGATTTCATCGGAAATTCTGTTATTATTAATATTTAAGTAATTAATTTCTTTTTCCTTTCTCTGATAACCATTAATTAATCACTACCCTAAAGTTATCAATTAGATTAATATTGTTATTTACTAATTCTTAATAATTAAAATACAAAACAATTAGTTGATATGATTGTCTATTCAATGGTGAATTATAATCATAATCACAATCAATATTATTTAATCTGGTGATTTACATGATGATCATTGTCAATTCTAATCGTATTCTGTATAATATTTTGTAACAATTAATTAATTGTTGATTATCAGGGGGTTTCCAATGATGAATTGATCTCATCTCGTTATTATTTGTTTATGAGATTAAAAAACAAAACAAGATAATTAGTAAATTGTAAATTCCAAATAAATTGTCATGTTATTTGAATGAGATCAATGAAAGACAATTAAACAACTTAATTACTTGTACTTGCCAAATGGATTTAAACAACAATCGCTTTTAAATGTTGTTAACCTTAATCATATTAAATTGACTTAATTAGCCAAATTTTTGGAAATAATCTACAAGTGTAATTAAGAAATGCTAACAATAATAGAAAGAATCACAATAATTACTATGCTACCCTCTTGATTTAAAGTTAATTGTTGTAACTGATTTAACTCCTGACAACCAGATGAATGAATTAAAATGAAAAACTTTTCATAAAGGAAAAAATCTCGTTATATTTGAAACAATTTAATGAATTAATTTCGAGTGATTAATCTAAAGATCAGTAATTTGAGACTAATTAAATAATTGATTACTTCAGTTACTAAGGTTATAATCTATGAACTATTTAAATGGATTATAATTGCTTTGATTACCACCTTGATTTTTAATTGTGAACAATCAATAAGTTGGTAAGGTGTTGATCGTGATGATTTACTCTTAATTAATTGACAGATAATTATTATGATGTAAATGATTTTGACAAAGTCACTCAATCAATTTGATTGCAAAACAATTAAAATCGTCAATTAAGCTTAATTGTCACCTGGAAAGATAACTAATATTAATTGTGGTATTGAAAGGTATATAAGAATCAAATAAAATTAATAATTCTAATCACTTTTTGATCAATTTTTTAACAAGTTGTAACTTAGTATCAGTTAATCAAATCTTCATCAAAATGAACAAGACCCTTTACTTGATCGGTTTAATTGTCATCTTGGCAACAATCAGTGTCAACTATTTAGCCAATGCAGGTAAGATAATCGACTAACGTTTTAATCAATCAAGTCACGATGAAAAGAAATCAGTTAATTGTTTCCGATTCTCGAATATTTAGATTGTTGGTTCTTTGGCTGTTCTGATGTCGACATGTGCGCTAAACGAGGTCTCATCGCCAGCGACAAGACCGCTTGTGATGGTGGATTCGAGTACTTCTGCTGTGACCCAGAGGTAAGTTAATTGTTCACAATTAAATGCAAATCAAGCTAATCAATTGTTTGAAACTTTATTTCTTTACTTAAAGCCTACTGTTGTCGGCGCTTAAATCGGACGTGATGGTTAATTAAATCCTAGATTATTGGTTGGTTATCAATGGAATAGGATTGTTACCAAACTATTACTTGAATTTATTAATTGTTACTAATCATAGATTGTCTTTATTTGTAAGTCTATGACTCAATCTATTTATTTAGATGTGAAAATTGATCAAAAATAAAGGTTAATTAAGTGATTGCATTGAGAAAAATTTTAATTGCTGTTTATTCAATTGTTCATTACTTTTTATTATGTAACATTCATTGAAAAGAATAAAGTTTTCTCTGAATTAGTAAATCAATCGGTTGAAATCTAATTAAGAGTGAATTATGTATCTCAGGTAAAGTTGATCTAATTTCAAACTTCGAGTTCTCATCGTCGTAGTGACCTTTATGGAAGCGATTTCAAAGCGACTAACGGCCAATCAGCAGAGTTTCTGATCGTACTTGAATCGAAATTTTCTCTCTGATCGAATTGACTAGACTGATTTAAATGTTCCAAAACTCTAACTTTCTTATAGTAATAATTAAAAGAAAATTAAGAATTAAGAAAATCTATTGATCGTTTAAACTACAAATAAGTGTACATTTCGAGACAGTTAATGATCGCCGATTATGATTAATAAAATTTCTTCATTATGATGAATCTCGAAGCAAAAGTGCTCGAACTTACAGATTTTCTGATAAAATGTCTCATGAACATCATGAAATTCAATTCTAATCTCATGTTAACTGATCAATCAAAAGATCAATTCATTTGTTTGGTCAATATTCATTTTTCTTCATAAACGAAAATTTTTCCTTTTCTTCTCAATCAGCTGATCCATCAGATGTTTACAATCTTCTCAATGAAAGAAAACCAAAAGCAAAAATTTTCTTCAAAACAATTAATCGTCTTTTTGTAAATTTCTTCTTACTAATTGTTTCAATTTAAAATTAATTTATTCTTCAAGCAATCAGCCTAAACCTACGTGAACCAAATTAAAATGAATGATTTGTCTTGTTCATAAAAAAATCTTCATCTTGGTTGTTTACATTTCTCTTTTTGTTTATTTACTATTTCTGATCAATCAATTGATTTAATTAAATGTATTTTTGATGAGAATTACATTGACCCATCTGAAATTAATCATCTTCGGATCATTGGTGTTGACTTTGATTCTAATTCTATTCCAATCAGGTAAGATAATTAACGATTCAATTAATTTCCATTGGAGGTGTTAATCTATATTTCTTTTTGTATCTTCTTGTTTACAGTTTGTGTCTCTAAATCATATTCACCTAAATGTCCAGAGAAAGAAGGAAATTCAAGTTTAATCAATTCGCTGTCACCATCATCTGTTGCCAGGAACAATCAGTTAATGATGATACCTTATCGAGAGAAACAACCAACAATTTATCTAATCACTCCAACCCATTCAAGACCAGAGCAAAAAGCTGAATTAACCAGAATGGGAAACACTTTGTTACTCGTTAATTCAATTCATTGGATTTTAATCGAAGACGCTGATTCACCAAGTGAATTGATTACCAATTTTATTGCTCGACTACTTCAATTATCAGTTAATCGGACCAATTTATCGATCACCCATCTTGTTAAAAAAACTCCCCCCGAATACAAGACCAAATTAACTGATCCAAATTGGTTGAAGCCTCGAGGGGTTTTACAAAGAAATGAGGGATTAAAATGGTTACGAGACAATCGCCAATCCATAGATCACAAAGGTGTCGTTTATTTTGCCGATGATGATAATACTTATGATGTCCGATTATTTGACGAGATGAGGGACACCAAACGGGTCAGTTGTTGGCCTGTCGGCCTTGTGGGTGGACTTATGGTTGAAAGGCCATTGGTCAACGATGATAATAAAGTTATCGGCTGGAATGCTGTTTATAAACCAGAGCGATTATACCCTTTGGACATGGCCGGTTTCGCGATCAATATTACATTGATCTTGAGGAATACGAAAGTCGTTTTCACCCTTAAAGTGCCCAGAGGGTTTCAGGAGAGTTACTTGTTGAAACAATTGATCTCCGATATCAGTGAGTTGGAACCGAAAGCCGATAAATGTACTCAGGTGTTGGTTTGGCACACGAGGACTGAGAGACCCAATTTGAAGCAAGAAATCAAATTAAAAAGACCATCAAACGAAAATATTGAAGTTTAATTGATTAGATGATTAATTTTATTTTCCTATTAGATTGTAATACCAATTGTAATTTTAGTTTGAATCATATTTTGCTACCAATCATCATTATCGTTATTATGATTCAATTATGATTTAATGGCTTGTTTACCTTTCTACAATTTGGGTTAACTATTGATGATTTATTAACTAATCATAATTAACTATCAATCATCAACTGACCGAAACTCAATTAATGAGCTTGTCTTCCGCATCCATTGAGGAGATAAATACTGGTGATGATTAGATTTTCTGCTAGAAAATTAACCTAAAGTGATTAACCGATAAGTAAATTGTATTGCTTTTATTGTTCCCTTCCAATCAACATGATGTATCATTCACTAATCACGATAACAATTAATGTCTCCATCTTATTGTGTTTGTTAATTGTGCTTCAAGTGACTAATACTCTTGCTTCAAACAATCAAATTCAACGTGAAGAGGCTTATGTTTTAATTGCTGTTCCTGACCAACAATTTAATGATGATTCCGTTCTAAGGATGGTTCGTGGATCAAGGGAAATCTTATATCCTCAACCATTTGATTGGTACTAATTAAGAATCGTTTTCAAAATGATGACCAATTAGGAGATGAAAGAAATCAAATCAGAAAAATTTCAAAAATTGAGCGAAAACGAAAACCGGTTAACTATTAATTGTTTATAAAAAAGAAAACGATTCATTATAATTAAGAATAATTAATTATAAAGAAAATGAAAAACAACCTAAATAATCAATAGAAATCAAAATGAAAATTTCTATCAGAAAATTAACTCTCAACACTTGACACAATCAAATCATTTTCCAGTTGAAAATTAAAATTTAAAACAAAACAATTAGTACTTTTTGTCTTAATTTCGATTTAATAATTAAAGGCAACGAACGGCTACGATAATTGAACAGGTTCGAAAGAAAAGTTGAATCAAATTCGAAAAATGAGAAAAGTTGAAAGGGCAAAAAGAGTGTGCTGTCACCAGGATTCGAACCTGGGTTGTCGCGGCCACAACGCGAAGTACTAACCACTATACTATGACAGCTGCTTATGAATTTATGTCCTTGACTTGGGGTTTCATGATTAAGGGGGTGGGTTCGGGTGATTTGGTCAATTCGAGTTTCGTATTTGAGAGCGTTTTAATTAATTCAATGGATTGATTGTTTTCTTGTTTTAAACTAATGTGTAATTTTTATGTTTTTTAAATTTAAATGTGATTACATAGATGCTGCTATTTTAGTGTCTGGTTTTTGGTGTTGATTTTGTTGTTTTGAATTGTGATCGAAAATGTTTTCATTGAAATCACTTAATTTCCAGTCTTTTAATGGTGGATTGGTTTGGTTTAATTTAGAGGTGTAATCTAAATTGTGGGCTGGTGGTCCGAATTTGAATAACACCTGAGATGGGGTGAGATTAAAGAAACGTCTCAATGTATCGTAAGCGGCCATTTCTTTGGCTATCTCAATGGACTCTCCTGGACCTAATGATGAGAAATTAATGAGAAGAGATTGATTGTTAATCGTTTGTTGCTTTTTTTTATACTAAAGTTACAATGATTAGATGATTATCTTACCATAACCTAAGAGGTTTTTGTTCACGTATAATCCGACAGTGTAACATGAGAAAATTGTATTTCTTCCCGTTTCTCTAAGTAATCGTGCCTCGAATTGAGGTAGCCCGTCGTTTTGTAAGATTTGTTGAACTTTAATTTCTGGACTGATTGGATTCCAAATTTCTAGTAGATCCTTGTCATTAAGATAAGGTAAGATTATATCTATGATGAATTTCTGGCACTGTTGTGATCCACTGGTCTCTTCGAGAAGACCCAATAATGATTTAACAGCAGTTGATAACATGACATCGGTTGGGTTGACAAGCTTTAAAGAAAATTTCAAAATCAATGGTCAAGCTTTATGAAAGATTTTGATTAATAAGTCAACTTACTGGACTCATGATTAATTCAGTGCATCCAATGTAACCACTAATGTGACTTAGATTCTTATCAGAACACAAATTTTCTAAAATTGATCTACAGAGAATAAAACAGAAGACCAATAAGAATTTTAGAATTTTTCACCAATAATAAAACAATTAGGATAACTTACAAAATTCCTTCTTCTGGAACTCTTGGTAAGAAAAATCTTAAATATGATGCAATAAATTGTTTCATTATTCTCTCTCCTTTTTCGGCTAATTTACGATTTGATTCGAATTCAACACCAACACCTTCAAGTCCCAATTCTTTATTCTTTCTGGACTCTTCATCTACATAAGACTGATCAATAAATACTCCTTTTAATTTGTCCAAAGGCAACTTTTCCCCAAGCCTTGCGTTGAAAGCGAAAATTTCACAATCATAATTCCTAAAATGGAGAAACAATGAAAGCATAAATTAATGAACAAACCAAACATTTTAATCAATGATTATTAGAAAATAAAATTAATCTTACCAATCGATCCATTCTCGTCGGTGTCTTTGTTTATGAGGAATTAAATCAAAATCTCTATCCCGATCTTTCATCTCAACAAGAGTATTTTTCAACCAGGTTTTTATTTCTCGGCGTTCAACAAATGTATTCACCGAAGATACTCTCGGTTTGAGTAGAGATAAACTTCTAAGAACCCTCGAGGACAACATTTTAAGACAATTTTATAACAAATTAAATTAAATTTACAATCAAATCACTGATTTTCGGGGATTTAATTAAACAAAAACTAAAAATTCTAAAAACAAGAAAACCAAACATGTGATCACCGAAAGGGACCGTTGACTAATTTACAAAAGAAAATTTCGTTTGGAAAAATTTTCACATTTCTGATCAACGATCTCTGATCACAATTAAACCTAATCAATCAAGTGACTAATTGTCCGAATGAAACAAATAGTAATACAGGTTATTACTCTTTGGAATGAGATTATGATACATTTTTTAGAATAAAAAGTCCGCATGTTTGCACCGAATCATTCATTTCATTCATTCCAATTGGAAAATTGAAAGAGATGGAAAAATGATCTCGATTTCACGATTAGATAATCAAACGAATAAAATGTTTAGGTTAATTGTTTGCAAGTTTAATCATTAATTAGTTGTGAACATGAGGATTTTTAAATTTAGAATTTACAATAAGAAGAATCAAACTGGATGAATAATATCATGCCAACAAAGTTAATTAGTGCAAGTGCAGAATAAGCACTGGAAATTGTATTATAATAATAATAAATCAAAATTTTAAAAAATTAAATTGCTAGAGTATAATTAAAGAGACGAAAAAAAAAATTAATCCAAAATTCAAAAAAAAAATCCATAAGTTATTTTCTTCTTTTTTCTTTGAGAAAATCTCTTGTCCAGATAACGCATTCTCGATGAGTTCTAGTTAATATTTCGAGTTCCATTTGTAGTTTTTTATTTTTTTCGATAAGTTCACTTTCTTCAGCTTCTAATTCGGCAACTTGTTGCTTCGTTTTTTCACGATATCGACGAGCTGCTTCTTTATTTTGATCCTTTTTCTTTGCGTCACAATTGCTAAATAACTTTCGTTTCCTTCCACGAGTTGAAGGCTTTTTACTACTACTGCTTTCTGAGCTTTCTATTGGAACTGATAAAGGTGATGGCGTTGCTTCTGGTGTTGGTACTGATGCTGGTACTGATACTGGTGGTGGTGATGGTGTTGGTGTTGGTGTTGGTGTTGGTGTTGGTGTTGGTGTTGGTGTTGGTGTTGGAGTAGATATCGGTGAAAGTGGGATTAAACATGAAAAGTCAATATCAGAGGTTCCCGTAAATTCATCCAGATACTGCATGTATTCATGATTCTTGATAATAGGAATCACATTTTCGACATTTAAAATATTATCTTCGCGCATGTCGTCGGTATCTAACTGGCCTGGGGCCATATCCAAAGGATCAAGTATAGATGAACTGAAAGTAGGAGATGAACTTCCATCAGAAGGAGAGTGTGGTGGTATAGATTTAGGGCTATAAGCAAGAGAAGAACTGATGAAATTAAGTAAATCATCTTCTCCAGTTTCTTTGATTTCAATTCCGAAAGGTCCATAGGTTTCACCTGGTGAAAAGAAAATGCCAAAGACAATGATGGAAATATTAATAAAAATCCAAATAATCACAAATTCAGTCAGAATATTGTATAATAAATTACATTTGCATGTTAAAGATGCAATCGAAAAAAAGTTAAAAACTAATTCAGGTCAAGATAAAAAAATACCAACAACTTGTTTTCCCCAAACAAGACGGCATTGCCGAAAGGTTAAAAGGCTGATGAAATGCATTATGCAAATGTAACTATAACGACAGAACTTAAGAGTGAAACGAAAATGAATAACTAATACTTACGATCACAAACTTCCGAGATAAGATGTTGACTGTAAACCTGAGTATCCGAGACATTTGAAGATTGTGATGAAGGAAAAACCGGTGGTAATTTATCCTCACTCATGAAATCCTCAAATGAGGGTTGAGAATCAAATTTTGTCATCCTGGTATAGACGGTATTAGATTTAAATCAGGATAATTATTGTATAATTCAATGAAACAAGGATTATTTGTATTTAAAGAAGTTGAATTTAAGATGATGATGTTTGAGCTAAGATTTGCGAGGTCAGTGGTTAAAATGAAAACATTGTTGAATGCCAGTTTAGACTGGTTATTAATGGTTAAGGCGGTAGTTGCCATTGGTGATTTTTAGTTAGAGGAGGTTAAGACTGGTTAACAGAGTTTATAGGACATCATTGTCACTGCCACAAAGAAAATAAAACGATTTAAACAAGAAAGAAGAGAGAAGAAGATGAAGAAAGAAGATGGAGAAAAAAAAACTAGAAGACGGCGGCGAAAACGTTTAAACGAATAAACAAATGACTAAGGGTCAGAGTAGAAGAATGAAAATTTGTTCGAACAATTTTAATCAACGACAATTAATTTAATGAAACGAATTTAGTAATAACTATTAGTCGACTTATATCATCAAGAGGTAAGGTTAAAATGGCGACTTGATAAGCTTTTCAATTGGAAAATCAGAAGAAAATGTAGGTGGCGCTTCATCAAATTCTAAATAAAAGATAATTAAGTGACTAATGTTTTCGTTGATTCTCTTGTTAATTACAATTAATCTGTTTCATTTTCCGATCAAATTTTATTTCTATTTTAATCTCTGTTACCCAGGTAATCTTTTAACATCTAGTTAACCTTTGTACTCTTTCATTTACCCATTCGTTTAATAGATGATGCAATTCGGTGTCTGGATTACTTACTATTTTCTCTTTCTCTCTCTCTTTCTTTTTTTCACTCTCTTTCTTGTTCTCTCTCTTTTTCTAATTCTAAATTCCAGTCTCCTTAATGTACCTGAATGGTACCTTCTAGACTCTTTTCTCTCTCTCTCTTAATTGTTACTATTGTAAAGTGAAATTATAATTGAAGGATAGAGAGAAAAAGAGAGAAAGAGAGAGAGAGAGAAACAAGTGATTAGAAGTTACTTTGATTTAAGAAGGTCAATGGAGGTCGTTGACAAAATGGTTAATTTAATTTTCAGAGAGATGATCAGGTTTGTTTTTATTATTATTCCATTAAAACGTTTACAGTAATAACGTTGTAATGTTTTTCTATGACTTCTCATTAATTGTGCTCTTTAGATTTTTAGATCATTAGAATAATTTATTTCTTTTGGTTGATTTTCCTGAGAAATATGTGAGATAGTAAATGTTTAGTTTTAATAAGATTTTTATTCTTTATTTTCATCTCTTTTTACATAATATAAATTGTTCATCTATTATTTTTGATATATTTGTTTAGTTGATTATATTATATAGGAAAAGTTGATCAGATTTAGACTAAGCTTGATTGACTTTTTCTTCAGTGTGAATGTGTGACCCAATTTTTATAAATGATAAAAAGTAAATTTGTTGAAATTAAAATTTTTAACATAAATGTAAACATTTTGTTGATTGTGAATATGATGGCGATGATTGTGATGATGATGATGATCTTGGAATGATGGTTAATTAAACAGTGATTGACATCGTTGCAGGCATTGATAAACCTCTTCCAATTTGAAGTGGATGAGTTGGCAGAATTTGAATCGGCAAATCCCAGACCATAGTTTGAACTTTCATTTCGGCGGGACCTTGTTCCATTATTCCATAATTGTCGATTATTTTATTAGTATCAATATCTTCTGGTTTGGTGCTCACAAATTCAACATGTAATTTCCAGGTCAAAGTCACTATAGAGAGAAGAAGAGAGAGAGAGAGAAAAAAAAATAAGAGGAAGAAAAAGAAAAAGATAAAAATTTCTCCGACCAAAGTGACCATTAAATCTTGGTGAAGGTGAAGTGTTTCTGATGCGACTAATTGTTAACTCACTTAGATTTGTCTCGAATGCTGGTGTTACCGTTAAAGGAATTGGAAGAATCATTTGCGAATTGTTCATGTGAAGACAAAATTCATGATATTTACTGTGACTCGAAATGTGCGTTGATTTACCAGAGCGAAGACGAAATTCTTCCTTCAAGGTTTCCTCACTTTGTAGAGTAACAGAGAACTGAAGAGAGTAAACGAGAGAGAGAGAAAAAAAAATTTATAGAAAAATGTTATAAGTTGTAAATAGAAAATAAATGCAATGACAGTTACCTGAACACAAGGAACAGTTGAATCGGTAAAATCGAAAAGACCAACAATATCTTCACCCAATTTAAATGTATTCTTAAGAAGGCAAAACCTTGCGATTCGACCTGTTTGATTAGTGATCATATAACTACTGGGTGACCTTTTACCAGTTAAACAGTCCAATTTATGTAACATAAGATCTAAGGTACTTTCTTTACAATCATAGTCACCATAGTTGTTACTGGAAGAGGAAGATTTGGTTAGATGGTCTTCTTGATGATCAGTTTCATCATCTTTAACTGGATGGTGATTATTATGGTGACCATTGGGCATTTTAAAAACATCGGAAACAATTGAGATAACACGAAGAGGCATTCGTAGTAATTGGATAACACTGTTTACACGTTGGGTACCAATGGACAACTTGTACATATACTTGACCCATGAACCATAGTAAGAGGGTGGACAGTCGGTGGGTATCGTTTCTTCATACAGGAAGGTTTTAATCTCGTTTGGATGGAGGGTTAAATCACATAATAATATTTTTGGTTTAGTTGAGAAAACAAGTCTTCCCTTTTCACCTTTACAAGGATGAAATGATGTCTCCTTTGAAGATAAAGCTGCTTCTTCCTCTGAGATTTCATTTCCTTTTGAATTTGTGGCCACTTTAGTTTCATCTAAAGCTGAATGACAATAAATTTGAACACCAGACCAGGCTAAACGTTCAACCTCATCACCAACATTCTTGTAACTTATACGACATTTGAGTTGTTCATTGTTGAAATAAACAGAACCTCGGAATAATTTGGCATTTATCTCGATCATAATTTTAACTAAGAAAATCAAACAACCAAAAAGATATTGACTGATTTAGTATTTCCGGTCAACCGAATAGAAACAAAATCAATCTAAATGATGACGATGGATAAACAATAAACAACAATCAACAAAACAACAAAACAACAAACCGGATGAGAGAAAAACAAAATCTTTTCAAATGAGAATCAAACTTAACCAGAAATCCATAGTTTACAGGCGAGAAACAAACAAACCCTGCAACAGAATATAAAACAACAATTAGCAAATAATTAACCAGGTAAAAGGGGAAATAAAAAATTAACAACAATTTAATTAATTAGAAAATAATTTCAATAAAACTCACCTAATTTTCTGGTTGAAACCTAAACAGGATTCGAATATCTGATATTCTCTTCAAGGATCCGATACCTCAGATTCTTAAACGTCACTGACTCAGAATCTGAATTTCAATAACAACAAGAATGAGAGAGAGTCAACAACAATCAACTGATTTTTAGAATTGAATCGTTCTTAATTTTTATTTGTTTTTCTTTCTCTGTCTTTCCTTGATTGTTATTCTATTTGATTAGAGTTTGTTACAATTAATTGTGTTTACATTGTTTCTAATTACTTATTCCAATGGCTGCTAATTCAGCCTCTGTTATTCCCAATCTTTTTGTTACTGGTTCAACTCAGGAGCGGAAGGTAAGTCCAATTCTCACTATTATCATCATCATCACCATCATCATCATCAATAGTTTGTCAATAATCGGTTAACCTTTTAATTTAATTATCTTTCGTACCAACAATTCCACCTAAAACAACATTAGATAAAACCGATGTATTAACAGGGTCTTTTTTTATTCTCTTTAGAATAAATCTAGAAATTGGAATATTCTACATTAACTATTTCTTTCTTTCTTTTTATTTGTTCTCTTTCTACCTTTATTTTCTACTCTATGTTCTCTATTCCATTTCAACCTGACTTAGAATCGTTTCATTGACTATTTTCTCATTCTTTCATTTCTTTCTGTCTATTTCTTTTTTTCTGTTGTCAGTTTTTCTGTTACCTTACTCCCTTTTTCCCTTAAAACCTTTCTATCTCTCTCTCTCTCTCTTTCTTTCTCAACTCTATCTTTCTATCAACCTCTTTCTAATTTATACTTTCTTTATCTCTTTCTATCTTTTCAGGAACTGGTGCGTAAAGGTATACCTGAGCAATATCGTGGTCTTGCTTGGCAATATTTGTGCAATGCAACTTCACCCGCTATTAGAGAAAAATATTTCGAATATCTTAAACAGGATTCACCTTGTGAGAAAATAATTCGACGTGATATTGCTCGTACTTATCCCGAGCATGAATTTTTCAAAGAACAAGATGGACCCGGTCAAGAAGGTCTATTCAATGTGATGAAAGCTTATTCAATACACGATAGTGAGGTCGGTTATTGTCAAGGTAGCGCTTTTCTGGTTGGTGTTTTATTACTTCATATGTCACCTGAAATTGCTTTCGCTGTTCTGGTTAAATTAATGGAAGAATATCGACTCAGAGAAATATATAAACCCACCATGGCCGAATTAGGATTATGTATATATCAACTTGAATGTATGGTTCAGGTAATTGGTTGTATTTGATTAATCTTTTTCCTACATCATCATCATTATCAATAGTTTAACCCAATAATCTGTCTCAATATGTTCAGAACCTTATTTATGACTTATCATCATAACCAATCACATTCAATAATGGTTATGATTGTTAATTCATTTTTAGTAATATCAATATTTGGAATAATTTGATTTCCAAATTACTTTATTATCACCTTTACGCCCCTTAAATCTTATGATTTTATCTTGAGGTTAGTCTTTTCATTGATTTGCTTTGATTGTTGATCAACACAATTGTTCACAATTTGTGACAAATTTTTTCTTTTGCTGTTGTTACCTACACTACCCTGGGTTACATGAAACTGTTTACATTCCAGTTTGTCATTAATAACCATCATCCTCATCTCATTACCATCCTAATAACAATAAATACTAACAATTAGATGAAATAATTCAAACATGAACAGAAACAAAAACCTTGAAATCAACGTACAAACGTAATTATATTGATCTAATTGTTGAGAATACAATTTTTTTTTCACTTAACCATCAATGGGTTATATTTATGTGAAGGAAAATTAAATTATGATGATCAACTACTATTATCAATTGTAGGATTTAAATCATCATCATCATAATGTCCTCGTCACATCAAGTTCATTGAGGAAACATTTTGTTTGATGAAAATACAAAATCTCTTTCTAAACAAAGGTCTTTAAATTTAAAAGGATAATCAAATTTAATTCTTATGCTAATTAATCCTAATTACAAGCGAATCTGAATTAACAATTTACAATGTAGACCATTTTAATCATTTTGTAACAATTATAAACTGTTAACATTATAAATCTAGAAAAAAACGTTAATCAAAGTGATTAATTGTTTATCCTTTTACTTTGTACTTTAAATAGACAAAATTTCAAACCAATTCAAGTGTTTTAACTTCTAGATTGTAATTATAATTAATTCATATTTCTATTCCATTTACTATCAATATTTATTAATAAATATGAGATGAAGGAATTGAAGTGATTACAGTTTGAGAGACAAAAATAAATCAACAGATTAACGTTGTCAAATTTGATGATATAAATAACAACAATATTACACCAATGGTCATTTTAAGTGTCCAGCTAAATGGTCATTTTTATTGACAAATGAGATTCTCACTCTTTTCATTTGAAACAATTTAATCCATTAACCATTACAGATAATCAATCATCTTTATCCCATTTTTCCCCATTGAGAATCATTGAAGATTCTGAAAGCCTTGAGTTTGAACTAATATTATTATCGATCCACTCATGTTATTATTAAGTCAATCAACAAAATTAACCATCAAAGAATAAACTGTTAACTTTAATTGTTAACAATTAGAATGTGTTCATTTTGATAATCATTTCACACGGAAGTTTAATTGTATTTCGTTACGTTACAATTTCTCTCTCTCCTCAATACACAAATCATTCTAATTCATTTTTTTCTTTCTCTCCTTTTTTGCTATTCTTTTTTTTTCTCTACCAGGAACTTTTACCTGAACTGAATCGACATTTCCAACAGCAAAATTATAATACAACCATGTACGCCTCCTCTTGGTTCCTAACCCTGTTCACAGCATTTCTACCTTTGCATATCGCTGAGAGAGTGATTGACTTATTTCTGTCCGAGGGAATGGAGATGATCTTTCGTCTATCAATCGCTTTGTTAATGATTTGTAAAGAGGAATTACTTAAGCTTGACATGGAGGGTCTTCTAGAGTATTTTAGGAAAGAAATGCCAGCTCGATGTGAGATTGATCCAGATTATCTGGTTACATTAGCAATTCAGATTAAATATGATCAGAAAAAGATGAAAAAGTGAGTTGTATCCGTGTAGAAAATTTATTCATTGTAATTAGTTTAGATTAATCATTCTAATTGTGATGACCATTGATTGGTAACTTTTTTCATCAATCTTGTCTAATTTTCTCTCAACAATAGACTAACCAAGGAATACAATGCATTAAAAACCAAAGAGCAAGAAGAACAGGTTGAACTTAGAGTAAGTATTTTGATAATTGATTAATTATCGATTTTTGTTTGTTTGTTAACAATCTAATCAAATATTATTCAATCTATATTTCCATTGTTTTTAGAAACTACGAACTGAGAATCGTTTACTTCGTCAGCGGATTGAAAACTTAGAACAGGAAAGTGGTGAGCTGGCTGATAAATTGATCCAGGGTCAAGTTTGCCGTGCACAGGAAGCGGAAGATAATTTTATTATTAAACGTGAATTATCAACCTTGAAACAGAAGCGTATTGATCTAGAGAAAGAGATTGAAAGATTGGAATTAACAATCAAAGAATTGAAAGAAATCAATGCTCTGAAAAATTCCCTTGAATCTAAAGAGGCTGCTCAGGTTATCGATTCCTTACAAGAGGAATTGGTCGCAGTTAAACTGAGAGATGCTGAAAACAATGATGAGATGAAAAATCTTCGAGAAAGAATCAATCAACTGGAAGAGGTTAATCAGCGTCTTCGTGAGGTACCACCGGATCATGCGGTGGCCCAGTTACAAGAAGAATTGATTGCGGTTAAACTTCGTGAAGCTGAGGCCAATCTATCGATGAAACAATTGAGACAGAAAATTAGTGATCTCCAGCTAATGTGGAATGAACATTTGTCCACCTCCCATGCAAACTCTGACTCCTCCCAACCCAATAGTTTGGAAACAGCATCCAATTCAACTCCTTCAGCCTTATCGGTAACCTCTAGCCCGTTAAAGATGCTTGGTAATTCACTCAAGCGAAGCTCCGACTTTTCAAATGAGATTAGCAAGTTAAAACAAGAATTGATGAGCGCTAAATTAAGGGAGGCCGAAGCGGTTGCCGAATTGAAAGAGTTGCGGCAAAAAGTTATGGAATTGGAGACACAGAACCAGGTCAGTTTAAATCAGATTCGAAGGCAGGCTGATGAGATGAACAAGGTTCGACTCGAACAGGAATGTGTCACCGATAAGGAGCGAAAATTGTTCAATGAGATACAAGCAGAGCGACATAAATACACTGAACTTGATGCTAAATATAAAGAACAGCAAATGATGAATCGTATCAAAGATCTGGAATTAACTCAAACTATCGCTGAGCTCAAACAAAAACTTTATTCATATGAAGTAAAGGTAAGTTGATTTAAAAGTTAATCTCACCTAAAAACTAATGATTGAAATTAGTTGATTACATTTTAAGAAAATGGTGTAATTTGTATATCATTAGTGTGGAACAGACAGAAAAAATTAAGAAACAACAATCGAATCGTTAATAATCTCTTTCTTTTCTTTCTCTTCCTCATTTTTTCACTTCTTACCTTCTACTTTATCTACAATTAACCTGATGGTGACGACGATGATTATATGATATATTTAGAAGGAAGAATTAGTTACTGTTAAAAAATTAATGGAAAGTGGAAGTGAACCTCAAGATACCGATGAACTTCATGATCGAATGGCTGAATTACAGACAGAGATGTTTCGACTTGAAATTCAAAAGAGAAAACTTAATAATCTTCACCATGCAAACGAAACCGCCGCTGAGTATCTACACCAATGTAAACCGTATCAAGGTGAAAACAACAAGGCTGATCTGACAATCACTTGATTACTCTGATTAGAATAACTATATTTATCTTTAGCAGCAATAATACATAATATAATTCATCACAATTCTTTTAATATTAACACAAAGAGTCAAAAAAAAAGGTTACCAACCAACAACTATTAACGGGACTTCAAGAAGGCAATTTAACATCTCCAGATGATTTAGTTGATTGTTGAAATTGTTCAACAATAACTAAGTAATTTCAAAGAACCCCCAAGAAAACAAGCAATTAAGCAAAATTATTTCTCCACATCGTCATAATCACACAATTGAAATTTTTTCCACCAACAAGCAAAGGAAACAAAGTTTTTTTTTCACCAAAAATCAAAACAAACTAATTGGATCAAACTTGGCCTCCAATCTCAATCAATTATTATCATAGTCGAAATCAGTTCAATCAAATCAAAAAGAAATTAACTCAAGGTAGACACACACACACACCAATCATCATCCAATTTAGGAAATTTAAACTCACCTGCGGATCTATTATCATATTCACCGAGATCATCAAGTTCATTATCATCATCCCGCCATCAACGTCATCATCCATTCAGCAAAATCTTTTTGCTTTTTCTTTACTCAAACTGCAAAAATCGCTCACTCACAAATTAGCTTATTCTCTTGCATCTTCTCTTACTTTTAACCTTTCAATTCTTTCAATTCTTTCTTTTTTTCTATTTATCTTTTTCTATTGTTTCAATTTTACTTTCTTTTTCTTACCTTTTATCTTAAACTTCCTTTTCTCAAAATCTCTCTACTCAATTTTGTTGTTTCTCTTTCCTTTTCCTCTCTCCCTTTATTTCTCTAAGGTTTTCATCTTCTTTTTTTCGTCACTACTTTTTTTTCTAAAACAACAACAACAAGCAAAAACAACTAATTCATAGCACTAAAGAAAGAGAAAACAAAGAAAAGAAAACGAGAAGAAAACAACAAAAAAAAATGATTTTCCAATCAGCATCTTCTTTGCCCTCCGGGTTTCTTACCTTTTTCTTATACTTTATTCTTAGTTGACTTCGGATAACACATAATAAAGATACAACACTTTTTTCCTTACATTTTTGACAAACATTTATTCTAATTACTGCTAATGATCAGTTAATTAACAGTAGAAAACAAGACAATCCTCAGGTGAGAGAAAATCGAAAAATAGAAGAAAAAAAAAGAAAAAGAATCCACAAGGAGTCGCCACAAGCGATTCTTTTGGAGGGATCAGTTGATTTCGGTTGAGGAAAGAGAGAGAAAGAGAGAGAGACAGAAGATGGAACGAGTTAAATTTGTTCAGGTTTAACAAACTTTAATCGTGAATAAATTGTTACCGTCGATTCTAAAAATATCAAATGTTTATTGATGAAAATTGTGGTTTCACCAGTAATTTCCACTTCCATCGTCATCAACAACACCAACAATCACCAACAATCAATAAAACTAACCAACAATATTTACCTTTGTTTATCTGGTTTGTTCCTATTGTTTTTGTTCATCTAATTTTTTTTTTCTATTCTTTTTGTAGAATCAAATTCTCTTCTCTTTTATATTAGTGTTTTTAATTTAATTTTGTGAATATGTTTTGTGAACAATCGGTTCGTATGATGAACCAAATGGAATACATGGCTGATTGTATTGAGATTATTTTAAAAAGAAGTGACTGTCCACACCTAACTAGCCATATTCGGACATTGAAAGATGGAGGAAGAGAAATTGCTTGTTGGGCCCCTGAATATGATTATGGATCAATTCATGCTAATGGTTACTGGTCTCTTCTTTCAATAGGCCTTAAATTATGTACATTGGTTGTTGACCGTTATAAGGATGATCCAAATCCAATTATTGACAGTGATTTGAAAAATTTACTCGATTTTGCCAACATCGCCATTGAAGTGGTCAGATTACTTCGTAAAGATTCAATCGACAGTAAGTGAACGAGAAAAATATTATCATATTTTAACCATGGATTAACTTTTTTCTTTCACCATTGCTAATAGTTTTTCTCTGTCTTTTTCACTAATTATAATATTATAATAGCTGCTTTAGCTCGAGGATCCTCTGAACCAAGTCTACAAGCTTCCTCTTTAAAATATTTTGTTGATCTATTTGGACTCTTATTGAGTATTGAGAAGGAAAAAATTGCTCCAGCTTTTGGACAATTTTGTGGTTTCTGGTTGAGTCGACAATCACAATATGCGACAACCGTTTTTGTCACTGGACTGTCCTTGTTATCTGCTCGCCTTACTGATGGTTTAAAATGTATTGTTAGTTGTAATCAACGAGGCTTGGTGTTTGCAGAGTTGATTAAAAAAGCTGATGTCTCTTTTGTCACCAAATTGAGAAATATATTGGAAAGTTCATTGTATAAAACTTATCTTCCAATTATTTTCTACGGACGATCGCCCAAAACTCGGATAGATATTTATTTTAAACGACAAACCACCTGGATAATTAGTCCAATTAATAAGAAAATTTTAAGATTCACTGAAAATCAAGTCGGTGGTGGACCCACTGGTTGGTCAAAGGATCAAGTTCGTTGTCGACTTTTCCAAAGTCTTTCACCATCGGATAAAAGTTATCAAGGCAAGCTTTTAATCTACTGTCATGGTGGCGGATTCACCATGGGATCACCCGAATCTCAAGAAGTAAGTATAAATTGTAATCAATTTAATTAATTGTTAGCCGAAACCTCACCTTGATTTTCTCAACCATAAATAACTATTATTATTAATTCACTCATTCATACAACTATTAATTTATATTTTTCTTTTCCCTATAACTGACCTAATATTAAATTTAATTTATTTAATCATTCAAATCAATTCACAATCAGCAAGAATCATGAAATGGTTAAAATAAATCAAATTAATTCTAATTTTAAGCTGATTAAATTTAACCATCATTGTCAATTTGTTTGACAAATAGAGATAAATTTATTTAATCATGTGTTAAAAAATCCCTAATTACTATTTACAATTGATTAGTTCTAAATTTGATTTGACATTAAATGTAAACTCTAATTATCCGATTTAAGCCTCTTAATTTTTCTTCTCCCTGATTTTACTAATCCAATTATCTTGTCATTGTTTTTATTTTTTTTTCCTGCTTTACACTAATAGATTTTCATCCGCGATTGGGCTAACAAACTAGATGGAATCCCAATTCTCAGCGTTAACTATACTCTCGCTCCGGAAGCTAAGTTTCCAGTGGCCTTACAAGAAATTCTTGACGTTTATCTTTCGGTGACTACTGAGGACGATGGTCCATCGCCTTTGGAACAGTTCCTGGGCTACCGTCCAAACCAGATCACTTTGGTGGGCGATTCAGCCGGAGGTAACCTAAGTGCCAGTCTTTGTATGGTTCTAAATGATATCCGTTCAAAGGATCCAACTTTCCCGATACAAATGCCCAATTCATTGATCTGTTTCTATGCTCCGTTTAACATTACCCTTTTACTGTCGCCTTCAATTACATTGGCCTCCTGTGATTCCCTCCTATCAGCGGGCTTAATGTTATCCTGTTTCGAGGCTTATCTGCCAATAACAGATGACACAAACTCTCATGATAATGTTAATTCAGCTGTTGATGATAACTCACTCATCAAATTACCTAATCTGGTTGAATTGATTAAAAATTTGCTTAAATATGTTAAAGGTTCGTCTCTTATGATAAAATTAACTTTACGATTGAATTTTTTCCTGAGTGTCATGTTCTTGATTGATAAGGTTGATTGTTTATCTTATTATTATTTTTGAAACTTTTACTTTCCTCATTCCTATTTAGATTTGAAATTGTTTCGTACTGGTCAATGTGATCCTTGGTATCGAGCGGAAAAGGACAAATTACAGGAAACTGTTGAACGATTGTACAAGATAACCTCAAATCCATACATTTCACCACTTTATTACCAAGACTTTGAATCATTGGCTTCAATTAATTTACACTTAATTGCTCTTCATTTTGATCCTTTTCTTGATGATAATGTTACTATGGCCAAAAGATGGAAGGGTAAAGTTACATTGGACGTTCTTGATGGACTTCAACACGGTTTCCTCAATTATATGCCATTTATTGACGAAGGTCGGAAGGCCAATGAATTAGCAGTGAGACGAATCAAAGAAACCTTCAATATCGATGATTAACTTTACAATTAACTTAAATTGCTCAATCAGTTTTAACCTTTTTAATTTTCTTTGCAATATTGACGTTTATTTTTTTATCAACAAGTTTTTAGCTCCGTTTTTAATCATACTTAACTCATCAATTACTCCAATCCAACACAATTAAGCGTTAATTGTTGGAAATGCAAACCAAGACAATCGGATCACTGTGATCATGCAATTATTTTAATTATTGTTAAATTATTTCGTTCATTCCTTACCTTTTTAATTGTAACTCTTTTTTTACAATTTTTAAAATCTTATCATTTAGTTAGTTTAATTATCTTAGTTAATCAATTTTTCATGTCTTTCAAACTTTTACCTCTTTGCAATTAACATCCTTTGATTAACTAGATAATATTGTGCAATTAAACTAACTTTTATTGATACAATTGATAGAAATTAATGACTGTTGATAAAAAGCTCAATAAGCTTTCCTCAGGATTAATTAAAAATGTTAATTCTCATTACCTTAAATTGCAATAATAACAATAAGACATTCAAACTAATTGATGATTAAAACAATTATCATGTTAATAGAATTTAAATTGTTAACATTATTTACCAATCAAACTCTTAAATAACTAAATTTTAGGCTATTATTATTTTTTACCATTTAACTAATGATCAAAATTATACTTTTATTGTCCTCAAATTGTGAGTGGAAAAATTAACTAATAATCTCATAGCCTTGGATATCTAATCAACAATCAGGTTTGTAATCAAATTTAAAATGAAAAGAAAGTACAAAAACCATGGTAACTGTTAAATTGTTTCCTTGAAACAATTTTAATTGATTTGAATTTTTAATTTAGCTCAAAATTATTGATTAAATTGCGATGGAATAGAAGCAAAAACAGAAATGATTAGAATTAAATATCCAACAGATGATCTTTGTTTACATAATCAAATTGGATGGAAAATACTGACAAGGTAAGTTTGTTTTTCTATTGACTTTTCCTCTAATTCCTCTGGTCTCTTTAGTCAATTGCTTCGCTTTAATTACCAAACCTTGTTAATCATTTACCTTCCCCCTCATTCTGCTTCTCAGAAATTAAGATAATTATGAATCAACAAGTAATCAGTTGATAAGAAATGATCAAGTAAACGCCCTGTAGAATCCGAATCATTTGTTTACATTTGATTTTCATTTATTATTTTCTTTCTAATTGTGATTTGCTCTTCTCTCCTTTCAGTGTTAATCTAATTGTTGGCTAATTAGTGTCTTCTATTGGTTGTTAATTGTATTGTTAATTATCAAAGAGCAATGGATAAGCTTTTCTCCAATACTCCTGCTTGTGAATCTGAACATGTGCTTAAGGTAATTGGCGAATTACCTGATTGGTTAAATGGTAATTTGTTCCGTCTTGGCCCAGGTCTTTTCGACCTGGACGAGGATTTTTGTGTGAACCATTGGTTCGACGGGGCAGCCATACTTTTCCGTTACTCGTTTAAGGCCAACAATCAAGTGTCCGCCCGATCGGTTTACCTGAAAACCGACGCTTACCAAAAGATGATCACAGTTCGTCGACCAGTTTATACAGAATTCGGAACTCAAGCTTATCCGGATACATCAAAATCCATATTCTCAAGATTTATTAATCGTGTTGCACCATCAGAATTAACTGATAATGTTCATGGAAACATTTACTCAATTGGAAATGATTTGTATTGTGCCTCTGAAACCTGTAACATTTGGCGGATTAATCCTGAAACTCTTGAAGCCGAAAATAAAGTTGACCTTTCCAAAGTACTTTCAGTTCACTTGGCCTCTTCTCACCCACACACTGAACCCGATGGGACCGTAATTAACTTAGGATCATCTTTCCTTACCGGATTAAAGTATCATCTGTTCAAAATTTATCCTAATTGTAAAAATCCCGAGGAAATAAACAACAACTCCAACACTCCGAATGCCCTCACAACCAAACCAACAACCAGCTACAACCGTAAACGTAAAGATGATAAGGCCAAATGTAACTTTCCACCGACCAAACAAATCGCCACTTTATCCTCATCTTGGACCACAATGTTTTCATATAATCACAGTTTCTCAGTCACCAAGAATTATATTATCGTAATTGAACAACCGATGTTGATTAATATGCTCAAATTGGTCGCAGTGGTGATTAAACAAAATCCACTGCGAGAAGCATTTGAATGGGTCGGTGATCAAGAAAAGGTTAGCAAAGCAACTCAATCTTTTCCCACCGCGATTAAATTTCCCGTTCAAATCCTTAATTGTTAATTCGTTAAGATTACAGTTGATTTAGTTAATCACAATACACTCAACATCTAATGTCCTTTGTCTGTCTCTTACCTGTTGATTACCTTTATCTTTATCTAGTCAATTGATTAACTCATTAAGATTGAGTCTAATCAAGTTAATCACTCTAGAGTACAATTGTCTTGTATCTCTCCTAAATTGATAACAATTAACAAGAATATAAATGTTATTTGATTATTATTAGAAATCTTTTTGGTTGATCTTTGTGATTTTCCAATGAAAATTTGCTTACATCAACATCCTCATTAATTAATTAACCTAATTGAGGTAATCAACAATAAAACCAGACAATCAATTGTAATCTATAATCATAATAACAATTAACATCTCAAGTAGCACAAAACAAAAAAATACAAAGCTCATCACTTATCCTCTAAATTTGTTAATTGTTTCCCTACCTAAGTAATTTTCCTCCAGACTAATTAATTGATTTGATCTTTCATTGTCTCTAAACTTGTTAAAACTAATTGATTGTTTCCATTTTCCTCAGAATCGATTTCATGTTATCGAAAAGGAAAGTGGCCGCATTTTACCTTATTCCTTTACGCTCCCTTTCTTTTCCTCCACGATTAACGCTTACGAAGAGGATAATCATATTGTCATCGATTTAGTTGGTTACGATAATGAGCGTGTTTTGGACACTTTTTACTTGGAGAGACTCCGTCGAGCCCAAACAGTGGAATCAATTTGTACACCGACGATTCGTCGATACGTTTTACCGATCGTTGATACCGAGAAAATACTTAAAGACAAGAATCGAAAACGACTTCACGATAATCTAACTACTCTTCCTTATACTAAATCACGATCGGAAAAGATTGACGAAAATGGAATCAGTGTAACTGCTGATATTCTATTGAATCCAGGTAAGAAATTAACGAACTAATTGTGTTAATCAATTTAACTGTTATTCCAATTTGATTTGTTTTCACTTTTCAGGCTTTGAGATTCCTTCAATCAACAGAAATTATGATGCTCGTGATTATGAATTCGTTTATGGTAGCGGATTGTTTGAGAGAAACGAATTCTCAAACTCGGTAAGAATAAATTTTCTAATTTAATTACCCACAAACTACGATTATCAACGGAAGTAAATTGCGTGAGTTGGTGTTAATTGTCACGGTTAATGGTTAATTAGCTAATGTCATTTAATACCCAACCTGTGATACTTTCACATGAAGTAAATTACAAGCAACATTTAGTTTGGTTCTTGTTATTGGTTTAACTAAATTTTTGTTTCCCTTCACAATTAATATTCATTTTAACCATTGATTATTATGTTATTTTCTTAATTGTTATAGTTGGTTAAATTTAGTGTCAAATCTCAATTACGATGGACTTGGGTTGGTACTCCAACACAATTTGCAGGCGAGGCCATTTTTGTACCACGACCTGGCTCATCAGTTGAAGACGATGGTAATTTAACCTAACCTTTAATTGTTCCAACTTTTTAATTGTTATTTGTTTGTTTTTTTTCAGGTTTAATTATGTCCACGGTTTCAGAATTATCTACTGATAAAGATAATTTCCTTCTCGTTCTTAACGCAATCAATTTTAAAGAAGTGGCCAGAATTGTTATGGACAAAGTTTCGTTATGTCCAACTGTTCATGGACTTTGGGTTCCCAATCAGCAATCAATTGTTACAATTAAATCAAATGAATCAAATGATTCCTGTGAATCAAGTGGCCAGTCCAATGAATTAACTTCATCATCAAGTGGCGGTATTCAACCAATGCCGTCACAATAAATTAACACGCACACAATCAAATCAAATCAAAGTATTTCCAATTCACTTTGATGCATTTGGATTAATTTAGTTATTTAATTGTAACTTTTTTCCTCCAATTTTCCAATCAATTGACAATTTCAAGTTAATTGTTTTTTATTATAATTTATATAATTTTGTTTAATTATTTTTATTGGTCATTCATTGTTGATTGAAATCAACAGAGAAAGTAAAACATTTCTTATACCAATTAATTAATTGTTCCAATATATTAATATGATTATGATACAAAAAAAATCTTAAAATTAAATTTTTTTTTCTCTCTCTTTACCTCATCAGGCATACAATCAATACTTGACAATTGTAATCACCAAATAATTGATGAGATGATTAGAGAGCAATTAATTAGTGTGAATATCAAGTTAATTTTCACCGAAATTTCATAACAAAACGAATCAAAAAAGTTAATTATTGATCATTTTTATTCAAATGTTCATTCATAATTATAAAACATAAAACCGATAATTTCACAAACAAAATAACAAAGCAAAAGCAAAACCGAAGAGATTTAACAATTAATCAAAGAAAATCCACTTAAAACTAAACGATTTAAATTAAATCCTCTTCATACAAAAGCAAAGGTAAAAAAGAAAGAATAAAACAATTTAAACTAATCAATAATCGAATTAAAACTTTCCATTTATTAATCTTTCCAATAGAAAAAAGTTTTTCTATTCCAACACAGAGGCCGCTGTGGATTCTCCGTTTCCATGGAAACTCTTGTCATTTTTTTCATCTTTTTGAAAATTTTTCTCATTTTTAGTCTAAAAATTTTAGATGAAAGTGTTTACCAAATTGACGAAATCAATTTTGTTTAATTTCTTTTCTCTTTTTGTTTGAATTTTTATTTGTTCTATTTTTTGTTTTTTTTGTTCGATTGGACATCATGGAGAAACTGGATAAGGTGTTTTCTTTTAACAACACTCACGAACTTATCATGTCCATTAAATCTGCTTTGGACATTCCAAGTTTCCAACAGATCTTTTTACTGGTCGGTGTTTTTTTCTACTTGGTGACCAGTTTGGTGATCTCTTTTTTTCTCAACAATCTTTCATCTCCTTTGGTTTCGACGACATTAAAAAATATATTTGCTCATAGTGGACCTGCCGTTCAAATAGTTAATAATTTGATCTCTCGGGTCAATAGTCTTTTCTATTGGACTGGTTTATCTTCCGGCTGTTTGGAAGCTCTTGTTTGTGGTGCTGGTAGATCAATGGGAACAGATTTTCCAAAGATTAGTGATAATATCAGGACAACGGTCAATACAATTTTATCTTCCACCATGGGAAATCAAACTGATAGGTATACTCGCCTTCTTTTGGATGCAATGGTTGGTCAAGGAGAATGTCAAGAACGAGCTATATTTGATTGTCCAGCGATTTCAAGTTCAGGTCAGCCAACTTTAACTACTGATCATGGAACTAAAGTGGCCGGTGTTTTGACGCAGACGATTTATTTTAAAACCATCTCTGGAATTGCTTTCATTGCTTCGGCCTCTTTGGTTGGAATTTTAACTCTATTCATTGGCGGAGTTTTACTGGTCATCTTAAAGCGACAACCAAGACGATACCGTCACCATATTCAATCTAATCCTCTATTTGAACAACATATTGCCGCTGAAAAATTATTCTCGATGGTCAGAAATTTAAACGGGTTGGTTACATACAAATCGTTTTAAATTGATGATGACACTTTTATACGTATATTTGTGATTATTTTTTATTTTTGTACATTTAATAAAATTGACGATTAGTGAAAATTATTAAGATCTTCGTGATCTAGGAGCTTTTGTAGTTGTGGTTTGTGTTGTTGATTGATTGAGTTGAGTAATTTTCCTCCAGACTAATTAATTGATTTGATCTTTCATTGTCTCTAAACTTGTTAAAACTAATTGATTGTTTCCATTTTCCTCAGAATCGATTTCATGTTATCGAAAAGGAAAGTGGCCGCATTTTACCTTATTCCTTTTACGCTCCCGCTTTCTTTTTCCTCCACACGATTAACGCTTACGAAGAGGATAATCATATTGTCATCGATTTAGTTGGTTACGATAATGAGCGAGTTTTGGACACTTTTTACTTGGAGAGACTCCGTCGAGCCCAAACAGTGGAATCAATTTGTACACCGACGATTCGTCGATACGTTTTACCGATCGTTGATATCGAGAAAATACTTAAAGACAAGAATCGAAAACGACTTCACGATAATCTAACTACTCTTCCTTATACTAAATCACGATCGGAAAAGATTGACGAAAATGGAATCAGTGTAACTGCTGATATTCTATTGAATCCAGGTAAGAAATTAACGAACTAATTGTGTTGATCGATTTAACTTTTATTCCAATTTGATTTGTTTTCACTTTTCAGGCTTTGAGATTCCTTCAATCAACAGAAATTATGATGCTCGTGATTATGAATTCGTTTATGGTAGCGGATTGTTTGAGAGAAACGAATTCTCAAACTCGGTAAGAATAAATTTTCTAATTTAATTACCCACAAACTACGATTATCAACGGAAGTAAATTGCGTGAGTTGGTGTTAATTGTCACGGTTAATGGTTAATTAGCTAATGTCATTTAATACCCAACCTGTGATACTTTCACATGATGTAAATTATAAGCAACATTTAGTTTGGTTCTTGTTATTGGTTTAACTAAATTTTTGTTTCCCTTCACAATTAATATTCATTTTAACGATTGATTATTATGTTATTTTCTTAATTGTTATAGTTGGTTTAACTAAATTTTTGGTTTGTGCGTTCGGACAATTTAGATTAAGTCTTTTATTTCAACAATACTCACGAACTTACATGTATCATGTCCATCGAATCTGCTTTGGATATTTCAACAGATCTTTTTAATTGTGACTTTTTTCCGAATTTTCCAATCAATTGACAATTTCAAGTTAATTGTTTTTGATATAATTTTGTTCAATTATTTTTTATTGGTCATTCAATATGATTGAAATTAACAGAGAAAGTAAAACATTTCTTATACCAATTAATTGTTCCAATATGATTATGATACAAAAAAAATCTTATAATTAAATTTGTCTCTCTCTCTCTCTCCCTTTACCTCATCCAGGTATACGATCAATACTTGACAATTGTAATCATCAAATAATTGCGATTAATTATTATCATGATCATGGAATCAATTGTTTTGTAAAAATAGTTTGGTTTGTATATTGTGACAATTAGTTAATTGTATTCAAAAAGAAACAGAGAACACAAACTTTTTCTCTTTAAATATGAATGAAAAAAAGTTAATTGTTCACAATCATCACGTTAATTGTTAATATTTTAAGTTCCCGAGCGATTTGAATGATTATCATTGTTTATCAGATTAATTGTCATGTAAATATGAGCTATCTGATGAGATGATTAGAGAGCAATTAATTAGTGTGAATATCAAGTTAATTTTCACCAAAATTTCATAACAAAACAAAACGAAAAAGTTAATCATTGATCAGTTGACAATCCACAAATCCATTGATTAATCAGCCTTCTAACTGATGATCATTTGGAAAACAAACACACATACACGAAGATTAACAATCAGTAATCAAGGAAGAAGAAGAAAAAACGAGAACAATGATCAAAGTTAATTGTAAAATTGGAATCACATTAATGTACAGTAGCCACAATATCCATTGGCATCCGATGGAAGGCAATTGCATCGACGACGTCGTTGGGACAGAACTCGACCTTCGTCAACCTTTTTCTTTAATTTTTCTAAAAATAATGAAACGAAAATTGAATCAAATCAAATCTCTAATTGTCAACAATCAACTCAATTCACTTTACCTGCAACATCTTTCTTTCCAATTGCAATTAAACCATCTATAAGCTCTTTAATTGGGTTCTTGGTGGGTGGAAGTCCATGTAACCAAATCAACATCATTCGATAACAATGTTCCTTGTAACTCGTTTTTCCGGTATATTGATGTTCAATTGCTTTAATATGTTCATCAGTAAAATCCCAAATTCGTGCCAATCGTTTCCAATCCTGAATTTCCAAATGATTCCGTGACAATGACCATAAAATGTCCTTAATTTGTTTCAAATAAGATTCAGATAATTCACTGTTGGGAGCATCGCGTGTGTATGTTGATTGGGTTTCATTTGATTCAATTGAAGTGTTACGTTCAATTGATGATTTACGAGATGAACTACAACCACCTATTGATGAACCACCGGCGGCAGAACCACAGCCACCATAACGTGAACCACGAAGTCTTTCAGCCTTAATTAGCATATCAACTATTGCAATAAAAGAACCACGAGCAGCAATATAAAGAGCTGTTCGTCCGGACTGTAAAAAGAAATAAAAAGAGAAAAGATAATTCTAATTCTAACAATTTTTCAAATTCTATTATATGTAACAATTAAAGTTAATTGTTGTTCGGTTTACCTTTTCAACTAGTGTAAAATCAGCTCCGTTTTCAATTAGTATCTCGGCGATCTCAGTGAAACCCAATTCGGCGGATAAATGAAGACCAGTTTGATGTCTCTGTTTTTAAATATACAAAGGAAAATTAGTATTTGCAAAGAGAAACAATTAACTGTAACAATTAACATCCATTGATTATTAATCATCATCATGATCGTTGAAATCATTGACAAAAATGAAAGACAAACCTACAAATTATTATTAATCAAGGTTACATATTTTAGAACCGGAAACAGATTAACTTCCAGGGTGTGGTGGATCATCATCATCATCTTAATCATCATTAACTAAACACACCTTTGTAATATGTGAGTGTACAATTAAAAAAAATAACCAAATTTACTTAATTACATACCACTAATCAGATTTACGCCATTGATTTAGTTATAACATTGAATCGGATTAATGAAACCCTGTGATTTTAATTGGTATATTTTTCAAATCAATTTGTCTCCTTCAACAATTTATATAAATACGCAATCAAATTAATTTGATAAGTGACCATTTCGAGTGATCAATTAATTGTCAAATCAATAAACCTGATCTTTAATTGTTGCGATGAAAATAAAACCAAAAAACTAAATTAAAAAGACAATCTCAACATTCAAATTGATCTCTTTTCTTTTGGATATTGAAATTGTTTCATGACAAAATTAACTAATTGTTTGATTGAAAAAATCACAATTACAAAGCTATTAACCTTTGGAAATGAATTTTTTAATCAAATTTAATTCTCAACAATTAGAAACAATTTAAATAAAGTTATGTCTTATGGGCGAGTTAATTTTTTTGTTTTTTTTTGTTCTTGATTGTTTAGTAATAAAAAAGCCAATGGACTTAAACAACGTTCAACAATTAACTATGAACAATCAACGCTCCTTAATTTAGATTATTTAAAAAGTTGATTAAATCAAATTGTTTATCTGATTGTTAATTGTATCAACGGGTAAGGCTAATGGTTTATTATTATATTTACAAAGGGAAACGATTAACATTCAAAAATGATAATAATCCTAATGGTCTTTGGGTTGATTATTATCATCAAGTTAATCATAATCAAACATTATTATCATTATGATTATGATATTTATGAATTGATTGTTGTTGACCCGACCCATTGTGGCCACACAATTAATGGCCTTTGATTTAAACCTTATTAGTTATTTCATTGAGCCATCGAAACCATTGAGAGTCATTAAGGAATTAATTATTTACTAATTTGATTTGCATTTGATTGTGATCATAATGATAAAGTAGAAATCGTAATAATCATAATATAGTAAATTGTTATTACGGGTTTGGCACTTAAATTGTAATCAAATGATTTATATAATATTAGATTAATGATCAACAATCATCTTAAATTATATATTAATATATATAAATGATATGAATTAAATTAACAATTAGATTTCAGCTACAAATCATTAACAATTTACAATTAGTTGTTTTTTTTATCAATCTTGTTGTAACAAATTGTGGTTACAATAATCATTTAATTGCATGATAATTTTTTTTATATCATTAACTTTACTTCATGTTAATTGTAATCATTTAGGGAATCAGAGTGATTAATTAGATCAACAATTAGTAGCAATTGTAATGATTAAGATTTCCTATTGATTGTGATTGTATTTTTGTGTATTCACAATATTGATCATTGGTTAATTGTTATGGGAATTTGTTAATGTTAATTTCATATGTTGTTGTTGTATTAACAATTAAGAGTTGATTCAATGAAGGTTTCATGATTAAATCAAGAATCATGATCATTAATCAAAATTGTAATATTATATTGATTCAATTTTGATCCATCATTAAATTATGAATCAATGAGTAACTTTAATTGATTGAAGGAAATTGTTTCAAGCTTCTGGATAATCAAGTTAATTGTGAATGTGAGGATTAAGAAAGAGAGACTTAACTATTAAATTAATTTTGTTTCTTTCCTATTAATTACTGATTGTTATTGATAACTAATCATGATGATAATAATTAATATGATACACAGATTATCACAATTCACTAAGAAAATAATCAAGACAATTTATGATTAGTATTAAATTGTGATGATCCTTTTTAGTTGCTGGTCGATAATGTTGATGATGATTAAGCTAATCAAGAAAATAATAATTTACAATCAACCCACTAACATTCCTGATCTATCATAAATTACAAGATTAAGTTAATTACAATCAAATAATTCAACTGGAAAAATAAAATTAAATGTTAAAAAAGTTTTAGGTGAAAACGATTGGAAAAGTAAATCCATAAAATTAACAATTAAACTAATCATCAACTATCCGATTAGTTGATTTTACTTTTAATCAATCAATGAATTAAGTTAAAATCATGATGATTCAAACTAATCAGAGTAATTAATGATAATCATAAATGAATGGAGGCAAATTTTTTCACCATTAACAATTAAAACGTTCAAAAGTTAATCATTAATATCATTGTCTTGATTTAAGGTAAGGTTTGGGTGTTAAATTAACAATTAATTTTACTCTGTTGATCATTAACAAATTGTTCAGGGTAAAACAATCAAGGTAGCAATTAAAATAAACTAAATTTCCTCTGGATTTTTGAATATTATAATTATTAATTTAAATCATCAAGTCAACGTTTGATCATCAATCTAATTGTAACTTTTCATTATGATTTAGATTTTTCATCTCTAATCATTAGTTGTAAATAGTTGATTAACTTGATTATTTTTACAATTAACTTATATCAGAGACAAGTCAATGTGTTTATATTAATTCACAATTAACCATTAACCATGATGACGATTAACAAATTAACTTTTCTAAGCCAAGGGCTTGGTCCTAATCTATTGTAACTCCTATGATATTTTCATGCTAATTTTAAATTCAAACAAAAGTTTAATCAAAACTAATCATCAGAGTTAATTGTCTTGATTAATACAAATGATCCATTAAAAATATTCATCCAACAATTTAAATTCATTAACAGTCTCAGTCTTTGATTATCATTAAATGTTAATTATTGGAAATCTATTCTCATTCAAATGATGTTTCATCTAATATTTCAATGATTGTAATCATTAAAATTATCATCACAAATAATTAATATTATCCCAGTTTTAATTGTCCATCATGATGATAATCAATGTTAACCTTCAATTATCAATCATTTATTATTTAAAGTGATAAAGATCACAATTGGGTTGAAATTGCTACAAAAAAATGCTGTTGATTTGTAGTTGATTGATGATCATGATTATAATCATCATAATAATAGAGTTGATTAGTTGATCCATTCATCTAATCCCATTCATTGAAATGATTGTTAGGATTGAGGGAGGAAAAAGATACAATTAACAAGTTTGATGATTGTAATCGAGTTGATTGTTAGCTGGATAATAATTAATTTCTTCTGCTTCTTGTATGTGTATATTGTAGCTATTTGTTAACTAACAATTTAATTGAGTAAACCAAATCAATTTAGTGTTACCTTTTCGTGACAAAATTAACTACTCATTAGGATAAGCTCAAATTTCTAGCTGAAAGTAAACTATTATCATTATTATTATTACCATTTACTTACCTTGTGAGTGAATATCCATCAAAAAATGAAATAAAAATTAATCGTTACAATTAAGTTGACAACGAAATATATTTAACCTTAGTCATCACTAGAGCTCTGGTCATGTTATTATTAAAGGATCAACTTATAATCCTGTCTTAATAACTACTATTTAACATTGAAGTTGCTTTTTTCTCCATCATCATCCTCATCATCCTCACCCTCTTCTTATTTATCATCACGCAATCTAACATCTAAGAGATTCACTAGACTGTAAAAAGATGATGAAAAAGAAAAGAAGATGAAGATGAAAAAGGAAAACTTTTTACTTTTTTTTCTATTAAAAAAAATAAGCTAAGACTTATACGATTAATAGATGATGATGATGATCAAAATCCTAATTTGTCAAAGACAAATAATATCATAAGATGTTAAAGGTAAATTATGTTAACATGATTATAATAATAGAAGAGCAATTTAATTATAACTCATCAGTGATGCTCATCCGGTTCCCATCTCCGGTTGTGTGTTAAAACAAACCCACCCACAACTCACCCTCAACACCCTTACAACCGCTCTCACTCCCTACGTTTTTACCTCCTCATCTCAATGAATCTCTCTCTCTCTCTCTTCATGATAATCATATACTTGAAATAATAACATGATATACTTAAGACATAAAGGGATAATGGTTAAGTAAATAATCCTAATTATTAATCTTAAATTTTTGCCTGTGATAATCAGCTTGTCATGGAGTAAATAATATTAGACTGAGAAACGTGATATGTTAACGAGATGTTTGTCTTCAACATGATTATCATACAATGTTAATCATTTCTAACAAAATGTTGTTAACTAATTGTTTCTGTCTCCATCAGTGTTTCCTAGCTAATATTAATACATTTTTAATAATATTTTCTGATTGTTTATTGCTCCTTTTTTTTCATCTATTAAATCATCATTAAAATATCATTAAAAACGTTGTAACACAAAAGTTGATACATAATCTGATGATGTATAATCTACTGGTTGTTTTATGTAGATTAAGATGATAATGATGATAGGTAGCTATTTGGATGATGATGTGATGGTGATACTTACATTGTTGATTGCATTGATGAAAGCTCCTTTTGAAACGAGCAAGGAAACAGCTTCAGGATGATTACCTGCAACCGCAAGGTGAAGTGATGTGTTACCTTTACGATCTCGACTATTAAGTGATGCTCCATAATCAAGTAATAATCTAATTGATTGACAATTACCTAAACCACTGGCCAAATGTAATGCAGTTCGTCCTCTCTGTTTCCATTAACAAATATATCATAATTACCATTAAACATTTATCAATATTATTAACCATTGTATTGAGGTATTACAGTGTAACATTTTAATATTAATACAGTAATGTATTAATTTGATATAATAGAAAATGTATAAATCAATTTGTTGATTGAAACATTTAATATCAGTTGACTTACAGCATCAATTGCAAATGTATCACAGTTATGTTTGAGTAATGTTTCAATTGTTTCCTGATGACCACTTTCAACAGCTAAATGAAGGTTGGTCAGTCCATCTTGGGCTCTTTCATCACGTAACTTCATCTCGACAAGTAAACGGTCAATTACTTTATGATGTCCAGAAGTCGCTGCCCAATGCATGCAACTACGATTATCCTAGATAATAATTAAAGTCAATCCAATCAAATCTTATTGATTTCAATGAAATTTTATTTACTCACTTTATCTTTAGCGTTTATATCAATTCCAGCAACAATTAAGAGATGGACGATTTCAAGATTATCATTGATTACGGCATAATGAAGGACATTTTGACCATTCTGAAAATGATATAATGTTAATTGTTATTTATTATAATTGGTTGACAAAAAATTTATTGATTATTTTACTTTTGATTATCATTTTTATATGTTAACTATAGTTGATCTTTGATTCAATTGAACGTGATTTGATTCCTAATGAAAATTGTAATACAAATAATACAAAGGTAAATACGAGATGAAAACATTTTCCTCATCTCTATAACTATTAATATTATCATTGATATTTAATTTTTTTCTGCCAATTTAATTATATTAATAGTTGATATTTTATCATAAATAAAATCATCAATCATTGACCTTAATTTTATTGGAATTGTGATTGCACAATAATCATCTCAGTAAATTACTGAGAATCAGAATGTAATATTAAATCAATGGAAATTATTACAATCATGATGATAGAATTAGTTTAATTAGTTGAGTTAGAAAATAATCAATTACTTTTTAACTGATTATTTATCTAAACAAAACGTCAATTTAATCATTATCTTCACCATCACTCAATTTCACTAATTACTTGATACATCATGAGCTTTGTTAATTCACTCATGTGTACTCATTTTAGATTTTCAATAGACTCGGATAATTAACTCTCTATCCGTTGATTGTTGTTGAAAAGTTTTGATGGAGAAAAAAATTGTTATCAACCAAAATCGATATCAACTCTTTTTTAGTAGGTTAGTTCAATGTCAAGGCTTTTTTTACTCTCATTCCTAAATTCACTCCCTGTTATCATCAATCTTCATGATGATGAAAAGTCTCATACTATGATTATAATCATACGCATGTCAAAAATATGAATTAAATTTACTCTTTCATTCATTATATTGTAGATTTGTTTTCTTGGAAGGTCAATAGCTAATTTCATGATAATAACGATAAAGTTTATGAGTAAATCAGTGTTTTTATTAACATTTAATGGACTTTTATTGACCATTATTAGTTTTGGATATAATTTATCCATAATCTCATTTCACCATTGACATGATAATCTATGTAGTTTTTCATTACCATTGACTTAAGGAAAAAGAAAAGGAAGAGGAAATATTAATACAATTCATTTTTTCTTCTTTCTTTCTTAACTTTTTATCTTTTCAGATCAATTGGATATTAAATTAACTTATACAGATCAATTATTGATAATTCTCATGAAAATGATATTCATAAAATGAATTGACAATACACTCACCTTGTCTACAGCATTGATGTTTATTTGATCCATAAATCCGAGTAAATATTGAACGACTTCTAATTGGTCATTATAAACAGCACAATGTAAAACCGTTTGCCCTTTCTGGTTAGATTGGAAAAAAATTAAGGAATAATTTAATAATTAACTGGATTAATTTTATATTTATCACCTTATTGGATAGATTAAATGAAGCTCCATTCTCGGCCAGTAATTTCATCGATTCAAGTTGTCCATACCATGAAGAAACTAACATTGGACTCATTCCAAACTGAATAAGAATTTATCAAAATTTGAAAACAATCAGAAAGAGAAAGTTAATCACTTCCGTAATAATTTTTTTCCAAGAAATTTACCTTATCAACAGCTTCGATATCACATTTGGCTTTAATAAGAAGATCTAAAATATCAATATGACCATGCATTGCGGCCCAATGGCATGGGGTTCGGTCCATCTGAGAAAAAAAATCGTATGAATGAATTGACAGTTCAACAATTTAAAGTCTCTATCACTAACTTGAGTTTTACTATCGACATCGATTTTGGCAGTAATTAACCTATTCGCCAGTTCCAGATCATTTCTAACAGCAGCATCGTGAAGTAGCTGCTCTTTACGATTACCTTGATGGAAGAGAAATAGAGAGAGAGAGAGAGAGAGAGAGAGAGAGAGAGAAAATTATCATTACTTATTCAACTGAGAAAAGTTAATCGGATAGAATTGGATTATTGCTTAATGATCAAGTTAATTCCAAGTTAAATTTATATAAAATTGTTTGTCAACTTACCTTTAGCATGATTGTTCAATTGCAAGGAAATTAAATCAGGATCTTGAGCTCGACTTGAAGCAAGTGAAGATCGTTTTGATCTATCAACTAAACTTGCCCGATCCTCCATTTAATTTTATTCTTAAACAACAATCAACCAAAATCAGCTCAATGGGAATGGAATTATCATCATGGAAACACAGATACATAAACACAACAATAAATGGAGAGAAAAAGAGGCAAGAATAATCAGAAGAAAATCAAGCCAGAAATGAGGTCTCACCGCCAAGAGAAAATCAAAATAAAAACAATAACCAGGTAACATGAAGATAGAGATGATTGTAAACAAAAAGAGAAAATCCTCTGGAAGACAATGAAGATTAACAGAAAATCAAAGAATCAGTGAATAGGAATGATGGAAATCAGAACCAGGGCAATAAAAGAAACACCGATGAGGAACAAAACAATGAAACGAAGTGAAAGATTTTCTAAAAAAAAACAATAAGGTAAACAAATAAACAAGAAGAATTTTGGATTATAAGAAATTTAGTGAGAATCGAATAAAATTAACTAATCAAATCAAATCTCTAATGGAACTGATTCTTTACACTAATGATGATCAACTAAAAAATGATAATAAAAACACAACAAACAAAAAGAAATAAAGAAATGAAAATTTTGATCAACTGAGAGAAGAAACAAAATAAGAGGAACAACTGACACAGAGAAAGAAGAAAAAAAGAAATCAAAATATTCGATAAAAAGAAAATAATAGACCAAAAAGAAAGAGAAAAAGAAAGGGATAAATAAAATTCTATTCGAAATCGATCACTTTGGGATAATTCTACTCACTAGATGGAGTTAGATGAACGAATAAAGGGTTAACTCTTTCTTTTTCTCTTTCTTTTTTGTTTGTTTACATTTTTCTCTTGTTATTGTTAACCAATTCTCAGTTTTATCGATTATTATCAACCTGTTGAAATCGAATATTCAATTTCAATGTTTCTTCTATTTAGAGGAAAATTCTCCATGAAAAGTTACCCGATCTCTGGAACTTGACGTGATTAAGATTAATTGGTTATTCTAATTTTAATTATTTTCTATTCTCATCTTTCAAATGTGTTGGGTGAATATTCAATGGTAAAGGTAATCAAATTGGAATATTTTCCATTCAATTAATTAATATTTTCTAAATTTAAATTGTTTTCTTTTCTCTATCTTAATATTTATCTTGTTCCCTTTTTGCTGTTTGATTGGTAATTTTGTTTCTCTCTTCTTGTTTCTTTTCAGTTTATTTGTTATATGAAAGGTTGAACAAAATGTTGATATTTCAAAGGTCAGTATTTGTAAGGTTAATTGTGATGACAATTTATCTCTTGTAATCTTAATCTTATATTCAATTGAATCTCATGTGTCTTCAAATGATAATAAAGAAAAGGGTAAATCAATAATCAAGCCAATCCCTTTTATATTTATTATAAATCTTTAAGATAAGATTCAATTAATTGAAGATAATTGATCCACTTGTTTTAACTTTTATTCTTATTCTTATTAACGTATTTAATTAACTAACTTACCTGTTAGTTAATTTAAGTGTTATTAAGTTATTCTAACTATACTGATTAAGATTTTTACCTTTTAATTCCCACAGATATTTATTTATATATTTAAAGGCTGATAAACCAAAGGAGAAAACAGTGATGACAAGAAGATGATAGAGATTTAAAATTCTTCTCCCTCTCCAAATCTTTATGATTTATCAGCAAAAAGAGTCTTGGATTAATTAAATGGCTGGAAGATCATTAAATTGTTCAAAATCAACTCTAGTTATTAGGTTAATTAGTTGAAAAATTAACTATTTCAACGAGAAGGGAAAAAAGGTAAAATGATCAACATAAAAACAAATTGTTATCTAATGTACCTTTTTTTTTATTATCACAATTATCAACATGATCAGTTAACCAATTTGTTTTGTTTTTTTATGATTCCGTTGACCTGAATGCTTGAAACTTGACCTTAACCACTTCCACTACGTTTAAATCAAAATGAATGACGTTGATTATCATTGACAATTTGACTTTAAGGATTGTATAAGAAATCAAAGTTACATCTTTGTTTGAAGAGTAAAATTTAATTGTAATGGCAACAATTAAATGAGCAATCAAAGGTTAGTGAAACTTGTGATGGTGATGATTATCGTTATTATGGTGATGGTGATAAAAAGATGATGATGAATGAGTAATCCTGAAAAACTAATCAAAATTCAGATTTATTTTCATTTCTTATTTGATTAAATCAAAAATGGATAACAAGTAAAAGGAGTTTCCTAGCGGCTTAAGAATCCATTTTTTTTTTACCTTAAAAGGATCATCTTCCTTTTCCTTTTCCTCATCACCATCTTTATCTTCATCTTTTCATCATCATCATTATGCTTAAGATGATATGTTCACGCAAGTTTTAATTGTAAAGGGAATCAAATTAATTTCCTCAGGGCAAATTTAACGCCCCATCAATGGCTTCCAATTTTAACATAAGTCTTTCTCTCATCTTCATCTTCATCTTATTAATATTTATCTCATTCATACAATGGATTAACTTTATTAGATTATCATTATTGCTAAATGTCACACAACAATTAAGCAAATCTAAAGATAGAAAGTAAATTAGTAAGACTGTTAATTGGCAGTTTCGTTGATTAATTAAGCTCTATCGAGTTAAAACTTCATAGAGATTAAATTATCTTTCCATTTTATCATTTTCAATCACAATTAAATCAATGATTTAATTTGACTCTTTCATTTTTTTTCACAATCAATTAAGTCTTGTGTCGGTTGTTTTCCTAATCACTAATTGTTTGCTAGTCGCTTAGATAATCAACCTTTTGTGATTAGTAAATTAAGAGCTTAGCTCATGAAATAAGGTGATTTAACTTTTTTTTTCAATTGATAATTATAATTTATTACACATTAATTACATGGTTTTTTTTAATTACTTTTCTATAAAACTCTTCGTAACATTATATTTTTATTATTTTCTGCTCTTTCGTAGTTACTACTTCCTCCATCAAATTCAGATGAACTGAAAGAATCCGAAGTTGCTGCATCTTCATCATCGTGATTAAGATGATTGTGATTTTGATTGGCACCGGTCATTGGATTATATTGATGATGTCGATTTGATGTTACACAAGGTTTCACCAGTTTGGATTTGGATGCTGGTGGTGGTCGAGGTGGACACAAGGGTATCACTGAAGATGAGCCATTGGTTGAGGTCAAATCGTTTAAAGTTAATATTCTTGGTGCTGTGAGTTCACTAACGGAAGGTGAAAGACGAGCCAATGGTGCGTGTTTATGGTGTTGACCGGAGATCCCATTGGAATGTGAGTTACGTCCGTTCATTAGACCAGCAGATCTGAAGCCTTTATAACGATAGACAAGGTCAATATCTGAAGGTGCTATTGATGAGGCATTTTCAAGATCATATTGTTCACCGGTTAACATTATGTCAGAATAATCTTCCGTTATATCACTAAAAGGTGTCATAAAAGATGGAGGTGGTACTGGGGTGCACGTTGAGGTATTGGTGGAGCGGACGGAACTGAGACTGGTGATTCTATCACATCGGGAGGCCGTTGTTTGGATAATGGCGGCGGCGGTGGTGGTGCTGTAGGCTGATTATGATGAGGTGGATGATGAAGAAATGATGTCTGTGAGTGAGAACCATTAAGAGAGTGGGCATGATGAGATTTACTAATTGGTATCTGTCTTAAGCCCATTAATTTACGCTGACCAATAGTCCCACCGATACATGAAGGCATTGGTCGTTTCCGCTGCTGACGGAATATCACAAAACTGGCCAATAAAACCAATAAAATAATTACAAAAAATATAACAAACAAAATGGTTCCAACGGATAATGCATCGGGACTAATTGAATTAGTATCTAAATTGTGAAAGATAAAATAATGTGAGAAAATAATTATTATTATTATTAAGATAATTTGGTGAAAAATTTATTATTCAAATGAATTCAAGGTGAAAAACTTACCTGAACAAATACTCGCATCACCGTTACAAATGTAATTAGATTGATTAAAATGAGATAATCTATTGGCTCCAATAATGTTAATTACAACTTTAGCCTCATCATAATCATTTCGATCTCTAATTGGTCCAGAATTTTTGGCAATCACTGTGAAAACCAATTCTTTACCATTTGATGGGAAAGAATTGTTAAAATCAATCGTTTCCGATAATCGTAATGTCCCATTACGATCTAGTTCAATTCCAAAACGACGATGATTAATGAAATAGAAATGAATTGTTTCATTATAATCTTCATCCGTTGCTTTATCGGCCAAAGTACCAATTACACTTCCAGCGGTCATTGATTTGGTCAAATCAAAGGTGAATCGTTGTGATTTAAATTTAGGTAGAAATTCATTAACATTACCAATCCTAATTTCAACAGTAATCGTTGTGAAAATTTTACGATCATTTCGAGCGACAACTTTAATTAAGTAGGTTCGTTTGGTTTCATAATCAAATGAGATCAAAGATGTGAGGTGACCGTTTTTGAGACCAAGGGAAAAATAGCTCGAATCAAGTTCAGGCAAAATTTCATAGGTCAACTGTGAGAAACGAGGTGAATCAAAATCGGTGGCAGCGACGATCCCGATCATTGAGCCGATCGGATTATTTTCAAGTGTCTCCATAATTAAACGTCCATCGTCCCTTAGGCCAACAAACAAAGGCGGATTATCGTTAACATCGGTAACGTGAATGTTAATCATGATTGAAGTGTTTCGAGAACCAAAATAGGCTGAATCAGTTGCGGTCACTTTAAGCCGATAACTGGTAATCAATTCGTAATCAAGTAAAGCGTTCAGATAAACAATTCCCGTTGACGGGTCAATTGTGAACGGTTTAAGAATCGATTTTGTTGAAACCGTTTGATTGAGTAAAGTTTTAAGTGACAATCCAATTAAAAGATATTCACTTGGCTCTAATGAAGGTTTAATCACTTGACGATAATAATCACTGGCTCTCTCATTGATTGTCCACTCAATTATCTCAAATGAATAGGTAATTTGTGAGTTAATTGCATCTTCATCCTCATCAATAGCTTTAAATTGGGTCAACACATCATTAGTTGATTCATTTTCAGGTACAACGAGTTGAATTTGACCAGAGGTGAAACGAGGTGGTGACCGATTGGGTGAGCAAATTTTAATAATCAAAGTGATTAAATTAGATTGTTGTAAAACTGTTGATTGAGTTGATGGTTCAAACTTGTATGTCCACTCTTCTTGTCTTTTGATTATTCCTTGACCAATAAAAATCACATCACCGGTTGGTGTTAAAGTAATTATCTTATTACTACTTAATGATGATGATTCTTTAATCATGTAATCAACTAAATCAAGGTGATATAATAAAGTGCCATTGGTTAAATCATATGGAATTGCAATTTTATGGATTGGTGATGAAGATGATTTTTTAAATCCGATTGATAATCCATCTGAAGATGTTGTTGTTGATGAAGATGAAGATGATGATGATGATGATGATGATGATGGTTGAAGATTAATTAAAACGTTGGTTTCACTTGATTGTGGGATTATACCACGATCAGAAGCAATTACAGTTAAACTGTATTGATTAAGAAATGATAATTGACTATTAAATTTCAACAATTTACTTTTATGAGATCGTTTTTCTCCACCGTTATTAGTTAATTGTTGTTGATGTTTCACTTTAATTTCACCGGTAATTGGATCAATTGTAAAATAATCTGAATTGTGTTTAAATGAGTAACTAATTATTGAATTAAATCCTTTATCTAAATCATGAGCATGAACTTGACCAATTGTATCAATTTGTTGCTGATTGGTGATTGATGTTGATGAATCGGATTTATTTTCATCTGGGATAATGTAATTAAATTCATAAAGTGATTTATCAAATTTTGGTGGATTATCATTCTCATCAATTATGTTAATTGTTAAGGTTGTTTGAGCTTTCCAACTGCCATCATTAACTGATACACTCAATAAATACTCATCCTTGACCTCACGATCTAACTGACCAGTGACAAAAACTTCACCTGTGGTTGGTTTTATATCAAAAGCTTCAGAGTGACCGAGAATTGAATAAGTGGCCTGAGCGTATGAACCTTCATCACGATCAGATGAGGTGACTTGAATAACGATTGACCCAAGGGGAGCATTTTCAGTAATATTCACACTGAACAAACGAGTAAATCGAGGGGGATTATCATTTTTGTCTAAAACTTTGATGGTCACTTTAGTCCGTCCAATAAGATTGTCTTCATCTCGAACACCCAAGATCAGGTCAAAGGTTGGAGTTGATTCCCGATCAATTTTACGAGTTGTCCAAAGGGTTCCATACTTTTCATCCACTCGAAAAGGAATCGGATCATTTCCAATCTTAATCGGTGATTCAATAAAATAACGTAATTTACCCTCGAGGGTTTCACCATCTTCATCAGAAACAAGATCACGATCGGTAGCCCCTAATGAGGCCACAAGAACGGGCTCCTCAATTTCCTCAACAATGGTTGCATTATATTGATCAAAATCAAATGTTGGTGCATTATCATTTTCATTGGTCACTTCAATGGTCACTTTGGTTATCTCATGAGTGTCATCAAGAATCGCCTCAATGTAAAGTTCATATGATGTTGACTCTTCATAATCTAATGGTTTAGCGATTCGCAGATACTTTCGGTCAAAACGGAAATGACCGGAAGCATCTCCACCAATTATTTTCACTTGAACCGATTCAATCAAAGACGAGGGGACATCGGCAAGTAGCCCAAAGGAGTGGACAATGTTACCCACCTTGACACTTTCACTAACCGATATTTTATAAACCAATTCAATTAGACGTTTTTGTTTACGGCTCGGTACAGTTGGATCAATTTTAAGGTCAACAATTAACTGATTCTCTAGACGGTTACGTTGAGCCATATCTTCAGCGATAATTTTCAACGAATAACTTGAATTAGATTCAATTGGTCGAGTTGACCGGACAATACCCGTCTTCCTATCAATAGTAAATAAATCATCTTCTCCTCTTTCTGATGATGAGAGTTCACTAATTGTTTCAATGGTAAATTGTACACGAGAATTGGCACTTCCAGGTAGATCACAATCGGTAACATAAAGTCCGAAAAGGAAAAGGTCATCAGGTAGAAGAGACAATCTTGAAGGATGGAAAACAAGATCAACTTGATTGTTAGTTGTTGATGAATCAATTGATTGCCCGTTAATTGAATTAAACACTGGTTTACAATCATTAACATCACCAATTGTAATGGTCACTTTAGTTGTGTCTGTCCACTTTGAATCATTTACTTGGATTGTTAAATGATAAGATGAACGAGATTCCCGATTAAAAGTTGTATCAGATTTAAGTGACAATTCACCGGTTACAGAATTAATCACAAACAATTGAGAATCCGAATCAATCATTTTATAAATTAGTAAATGGCTTGAATCTAAATCGGAAGCCTTGATTGTTGCGAAAGGTTTGCCCGCAGGGTGAATTGTATCCTCGATCAATTCAAATGAGTAACTTGGTGAATTAAATGTTGGCTTATTATCATTAACGTCAATTATGTTAATTAAAACAATTCCTTCACCAGTTAATCGTGGAAGTCGTTTATCAATTGCGATGATCCTTAATTCAATTAATCCATTTGTATTATTGGCACTATTTGGATTGTTGTTGTTGTTGTGATTAACACTCTTGATCATCAATGATTCACGGTCAATTGGCTTAATTGCTGAGAGTTGAGCTGAGGTTGAATTCAATTCAAAGTAACCTTCATGATTATTTTTCAACAGATAATTAAGTTCAGCTCGATTGGTTGAAGATGATTTATCGTTAATTGTTTCACCAAGTGCTTGGAAAGTACCGATGATACCGATCTCATTTTCATACCAATTAATTGTATAAGGTGAGTTGATAAAGGTTGGTGGTTGATCGTGAATGTTGATTAAATTGATAATCAATCGAGCGGTATCAGAATTACCTGCTTCATCAATGGCCTGGACACGAAGATCATAAGTTGAGATTGTTTCGTAATCAAGTGTTGCCGATACAATTACGGAATCTTGGTTTATACCGAAGTGTCCGTAAACATCACCGGAGGCAATTCGATAGGTGATCTTGTCGGGTGAGTCTAAATCGTAGGCTCGAAGTGTAATAACCGTTGATTGGAGGGAAACATTTTCCGGAATAGAAACATGTAATTCTGATAATTCAAATGAAGGTGAATTATCATTAACATCGGACACTTGAAGGGTCATTCGAACGGAACTAGAACGACCTCCATAATCACGAGCACGAACAATTAATGAATAAGTGTCCACTGTTTCTCTATCAAGAGGTCCTGTTAAACGAAGTTGACCATTAATTTGACCGATGGCAAAAGGAAAATCGCCCTCAGTAGTTGGATCGCCATTTTCTAGATCGTAGCGAACATAATTGTTTGGTACTTCGTCAGCATCATCGGCCTTAAATGCGTAAACTAGTGAATCGGGCCCAAGATTTTCAGGGATCTGAAGTATTGTCGGTGTGCGAGGGTCAAATATCGGTTCATTGTCGTTAACATCTTTCACCTTAATTGAAACTGTAGCTGTTGACCTATGGTAACCATCATCGGCGATAACAGTTAAATCATAATGAGTAATTAACTCTCGATCTAATAATGAAATTAGCTCAATACACCCAGAGGTTGAATCAATTTTAAATGGGCCAGAAATAAGTTTAGCTAATTCATTAGTTGGACCCGATGATGACCACACTAGAGCAGAGGACGATGGCGATGATGATGATGATGATGAGGAAGACGATGAATTGGCAAACCCATAATAGGATGAAGTATCTTTAAAGTAATAATTAATTGATGATGTTAAAGATGATGAACCATTTAAATTACCAATTGCATCAATACCATTAACAGAATCAAATGTATCCGCATCAGTTGCCGATAAACAAACAACTGAATGACCTAAGGTCACATTTTCAAGTAGTTCAACTTTGTAAATCGTCGGATCAAATATTGGCCAATTATCATCTAGATTAATCAAATTAAAATAAACATTAATCTGTTCACTTCGATATAAACCATCAAAAGCTTCACAGGTAATGATGAAATGATTAGGATCCGATTCGTAATCAAGGTGACGCATTAACGTGAATACCCCAGTCTTTTCATTGAGATTGAAAATATACTCTTCCGGATCCGGTTCACCAAAGGATCCATCGGAAACAATGGTATAAGTCAATGAATGAGGAGCAAGATCTAAATCAAAAGCTTCGATTGAACCAATCTATTGAAATGCGAATAGAAAACAATTAGTAAATCATTGATTTCGAAAAGAGATCAACAATCAATCAGTAATTACATCGTTAATTAACCTTCATCAAGTAATCACAATAATTGTGACTAATTTTACTCTAATAAAGTTAATTGTATTAAGTTAATCATTTAGGAAATAATAATATAATTATAAGAGAGAGAGAGAGAGAGAGAGGGGCATAATTATCATTTCACCATTTAAATCAAAGTAAATTAAATTGTGTTAACATTTGATTACGATGATAATGGTTATATAATTTACTATGAAATTAAACATAAAAGTTAAATGATAAAATTTTCCCTTCACAATTAACAGACAAAGTTAAAAGTTAATTTAAAACTTTCGGAAACAATTTAAATTGTTTTCCTTTTCTCATCTCATTTGTAAAATTGTCATGTCAACAATCAACTAATAATACATAATCGTAATCGTAATCATCATCATCATAACATGTAGAAAAAAAAACAAAAAAAAAACTTTTAAACGGCAACAATTAACTGACCCAACCCAACGATGTCCATAGACAATTAAACCCAACCAACAATAACTACAAATGATAAACACTCAACATTAATTACTATCAATATTATTTGTTCATCCTCTTCAAGTTCATAAACTTTATTCATCATATTCAGTTAATAATGAACAAAAATTAAATGATAATACAATATTAATCATATGAGATTAGCCGTTCCCAAAGTCCTAACCCAGGTAAGTAAAAAAACACCATAACTAAATTAACCTTGATGGTTACAATTGGATTCCAATTAACCTATCTTTCACTTTGGATGATTATTATCATCCATGTCTGTTGATTATTTAAACTTACAATTAAACGGCCAAGGAAAACTATTATATTTATATTTGATTTTATATCGATACCATAGCCTGAACCCAGTTCCCAATTCAATACTGGATATTATTATATTATTATCTAATATATATATTTTTCTTGTTGTACTTTCAGTATCTTGAGCCCTCCCACTTAAAAATAAGATGAAAAAATGATGATGATTAAAGCCTCACCCATATGATGAAGATGATGAGGATGAGGATGATGATGATGATGGTGAAGATGGAAAAGAGCAAAAAGTTACCATCCTCATCATCTTACTTTTCTTGAAAATGCATAAAGGCGAAACCAAACCCTTAAGGCTAAGAGTTAACAATCATCCACTTCATCTCTCTCTCCATCCTCATCCTCGTCTTCATCTCTCTCTCTCTCTCTTTCTCTTTCTCTATTACCTTTCCCGTGACATTGGAAGAAAAATTTTTTTTGTTATTCTTTCTTTTCTTCATCTCGTTCCAACCCTAACACCAAATATATTGTACCAAACTAATATTATTTTTCTGGTAAAGGTTAAGTCCTAAGGCCTTTATATTAATATCATCATTTTTACTTTGTGAATATCTTACCAATCACTCTTACACTTTCATCATCATCTCTCTCTCTCTCTTTTATCAATTGAAAAAAAAGGATAAAGTCATCATCTTAATCTCCTTGAGAGACAAATTGAAACCAAATGTCAATTTCTGTAAATGATAATATGAAACGATAAATAGGCTATGCATGACTGTTTGACCATCGCTAATGTCCACTAGTTTTCTGATTACAATGTTATTCAAAGAATTGACCATTGTGATCTTTTTTTTCTGGAAAAATGTAACATTTCAATTACTTGACCACAAACATAGACAATTTTTCAATAACTTTTTTTTGTTGTTGAAAATGTGAGAAAACCAACAAACTTGAATTGGAAAAATTGTCAAGGTAAATTAATCAAGATTTAGAGAGAGAGAGAGAGAGAGAGAGAGAGAGAGAGTCAAAGTTGATTGTGATCTTAAATTATCTGAATTTTGTGTAGTTGAGAATTAATTTTAATCATTAACCATCAACGTTCAGGTACATTAGTACAATTTTTTTCTTACTTCTTGTTACCTTGATTTTCATCAACAACAAATTATGAAACAACATTTTCTTCAACATCAATTGCTTTTTATCAACTAACAATTTAACTAATATAATGTACTCACGAACACACAGTTAACAACTAATGAAGATAACAACAATCACATTAACTACGATTAATTAACTTAGTAGCAATCTAAAGATAAAAGTTAATATTAACAACGGTAAGACACAGAGTAATAATAATCAATTAGAAAAATGAAAATGAAAAAAAATAATTCAATCACCAATCAAATCAAGTTATCAATAATTAACTGGTTGAAAAAAAAATAAGATCACCTTGATTACAATAAGAGCAGCAATTAACTAACTATTCATGATAATATATTAGCTTAGGAAAGGTTTAAATTGTTTGGTGATATTGATGATGATAAGTGAATCAAGGTGAGGTTAATTTGAATAAAAGGTTAATTAAAATTAAAAGTTAACACCAATGAAAACATGGTAGTTAATAGTTCCTATTGAATCAACAATTTCTTGTTACTTTAATAATACATTTTAAATAATAATAAACAAAAGTCTCGTTTTAATGCCTGAGGGCAAAATCTTTGTGAAAAAAATGCTTTCTCATCATCAACATTTAACCTCAATCTTTAACCTTCATTATTATCATCATAACCATCATCTTGATCATCATCATATTTTTTCAGCTTCTTTAGCTACACATACCCGATATGTGGGCTTAAACCATCATCCTCATCATCCTCGTCATCAATATCTTCCTCCCCTTAAAGGTCAGGTCGAGGTTAAAGTGTAATAACTTCAAGAGATTGCAACATTTCAAGGATTCCAATTGTGCTACGGTTAAATCAAACTGACCGATGGTCAAATGTTACTATTTCTCACATTATCATTGCTCAATTTCAACCGATTAACAGTCTTTGTTTCCGGTTAATCAACAATCTAAGTTGATTATCGGGATGATTAAAAAAATCAGAGATTCAAAGATAATCTTAACGTATCATATTTCAAGATTCACACACAGTTAACGTTAATTTTCAAGCTTCTTGTGTCTAATCAACATCAGATCGGTGATCATTATCTTCATCATCATCTTGATCATGAAGATTGATTGGAACTCATTCATTGTTTATTGCTAATTTTATCTTTTTTCTTCATTAGATGATAATGAAGATGAAAAATGAAGGGGAAAAAGTGCACAAGGGAAACGAAAAAAAAATGTCTTCAGGTAAACACGAAATCTGTCAATCAAATAGCCTAAGGGGTCAATCGTTTAAAGCTCAGTTTCAATCAATATACTTAGGGAATTAACTGAATACACAAGAAACATTATCGCACAATATTAGGTAACTCATTATTCTAATCCCAAAGGTGATAATCTCTTTCCAATCAGTAATTTAATAATAATTAAATTGTGAACTAACAGTCAACGTGATTTGTGATTGATTTGATTTGAAAAGGAAACATTTTGCCAATGGACACTTGGATCATCCCTTTAATTGTCATCATATTATCATCATGATCATTGTGAAAACAACTTGAAACTGATGATAATCATAACAATAAATTAATGAAATAAACAAGATAAATGCTTATAATACATAAACAGTTAATCTTTTAATCGCTTTACTATTGTATCTTTTTTGATTGCGTTGAGATTAAAAAATAAGCAAATCTCATGTAAGATTTACAATTATTGTTGACCTTGTGTAAAGGTTATGATAATTTGTAGACTAAACCATAAAAGGTTTTAAAAATGTTAAGAGATGAGGATGAAGAGATTTATCTTGTTACTTCATCTCAATCATCATCTTATCTTCAATGATGAAGATGATGATGGGTGTTACTGTTGTATACAAATTAATAATGATGGTATTATTTGTATTTTACTGAATAAATTGAGTTTACAATGTTTACTTGTCATAAAGTAAATGGGACAACATCGAGTCTTCATCATCATCAACGGCGTATCTCACACCGAGGGAGGTTAATGTCGGACTAGATGCGAAAGTGAGAGAGAAAGAGGAAGAGAGATGGAGATGGAGAGGGAGCAAGAGAGAAAAATGTATATTTGATATTTTTGCAGAATAAAAAAACTATCGTTGACTGAAAGGTTTTGAAATTGGTGTTGGCGTTTGGTTAGAGTGTGAATAATGTGAATTGCAAAGTGTATTGACAAAGATGAATTTGGGATGAAGATGAAGATGATAGAAGCAGAGATTTAACTTTGCTTCATCTTGTGAAAGGAAATTGAGCTAAGAAAACATGAGAGAGAGAGAGAAAGAAAGATGATGCTGATGATAGGGTGTAACGATCATCATCAATCAGATTGGTCAATGTGTATGCTTAACTAAACAGTGGAAGAAAAAAAAAGTTAGTCAAATACTTCAAGTCTCTTGGACTTCATTGGGTAAATGGCAGTGAATTTATCATTAGCCAGAAGCAGTTGCAACTCTCACAATAGGGAGGAGGTGGGAAGAGGGAGAGAGACACTACAAAACAGACTATCATCCCATAGGGATGTCCACTCAGTGTGAATTGCAAATGCAAATTGCAAATCATTATCAATAATGTATTGCAATGTGTTTGCGGAGGTAGAAGCGGGTAAAAAAAACACCACCAGGTATGAAAAAAAATTATAATACAAATACAACAACAAAGAAACAATATAAAGTTGATCATATAATAATAAAACAATAGGGATTGAGAATTGATAATCATGGTAACCAAGGGGATGAGAAAATGGTAATGAAAATGAATGCGAGAAAAAATTGATTATTGATTGCATTTGATGATGACGATGATCAATTTTGATGATCATGTCCACATCAAGTTGAATCTTGTTAAAATTGTATCAACAAGTTGATAAAGTCAACTTGTTGCTTAACTGGTCAGACTAGTTATTATTACCTTAGCTGTATATTTATATATTTTTTGTTAACCTCTGTCTTTTTTTCATCATCTTATCATCTTCCTCCTTCTCTTCAAATCATCTAATCATCATCTTCACCTCCCAAAACTCCTCCTCTCACTTTACTTATTTCTCTCTCTCTCTCTCCATGAATTGAAAGAAAGTAAAAAAAAACACTGAGAAAGAAATGAGACTTTGAATTTAATTTGTATCTCATCCAAGACATTGCTCGCCTCATCCCAAGTCACAGCATCTTTCCTCTTTTATCATCCTCATCATCCTTTTTTTCGTGTGATTCTTGAGTGAAAAAAAAGAGTTTATAAGCTTGTTATACTCTGGAAATTCAATTGAACAGCTCACGCTCAGGAATCAACATAGAAATAAAGTAAGAACTAAATCATCATCATCATCAGAAAAAAACTGCATCAATTTTACTTGACCTCCTACAGGTAAAAGGAGAGAGACATTGAAAAGTATTTCAATTTTAAAACTTTTTTTTTCTTCTCTTACTTTTACTCATCATCATGATCATCATCATGTTCATTTTAACTTAATGCCCTTTTTTTTATTAAACTGATCATTTTCTGAAACTTTGGCACCCAAGGAGGTGCTTTTTTCAATCAATTCAAGAGCTAAATCAGTAAACACTATGACAGACAATCAGTTAATCGTGTGTTCCTGATCATTTGTCCAATGTGATAAAGAATCAGAACTTATTAAGCTTTGATATCAATCTTAATTTTCTCTCTCATCTGATTCAATCATTCCTACACTCACTTCATCCTCCTAATCAGAATCATCGTCATGATTAAACTTGGGTAACTTATGAAATTGATTCATTTCAAGTTTATCAGTTTGATTATTACATTTATTTTCATACCTTTTTAGTTAATCTTAGTTTGTGTTGTTATTGTGCAACTAATAAAGGTGTATTATTAATATAATCATTAACAATTTCATTTGTAACTAGTTGATTGCGTGTGGTTAATCAAAATGCTGCCAGGAAATTAAAAAACATTTTCACGCTTTTTACTGGATCCAAATGATTAAATCAATTTGCTTGATTGTTACGATTATCATAGTGTGTGAGTGTGTGTATTAAATTATGTCTCTGATATTTATTAACCATTAACCATTAACAATCAACAATTTATTGTTATTCATTAAGATTATCTGGTTAATTGTAATACATTTTTACCCAATCAAAGGATTAAACTAATCAAAACTTTCGATTACCTTAATTTCAACAATCAACGTCATTAGAAATGTCAATATTGATGAATTAAATTTTCTTAAAAGTTATCTTAAGATAATCGTCTTAATTGTTTGACGATGGTGATGATGATAATCTGATAATGTTTTGTTTTTTTTATCATTTAATTGTTTGTAACTTAATAAATAATGTTGATTAGATTGATTGTTACTCTGCTAATCCGTTAATTGTTGGTCATCTATTATCGGTTGTTAGGGAAAAGATGAGATCAATTGTTGTTACCATTGAGTAAATGTAATTAATGACAATCAAAATGATATATCGTTTATCATCATCATCATCATTATTTTAAGACAAAAAGAAATGATAAACATTTTCTCATCTTCTTCATCATCATTATCATCATCCTCTCTCTTTCTCTAATTTAACAAGTGAAGAGGAAAAAAGTTTAAAGATGATATATTATTGGTCTTAGGAACGTCAAAGGTGATCAGGTAAGATGATGATGAAGATGAAGAAAAGGAAACCAACTCCACCCCACTACCAACTAGTATAAAAAAAAGTTCTTTTCATCATTATCTTCCTATCGTTACCTCCTACCACCTCCTCTTCTTCATCATCATCATTCTCTTCCTACTAATCTATCATTTGTGATTCTGTTTTGTTTCCATTGAAAACAACAGGCCAAATGATAATCCGGATTAGTTTTAAAACGATAAGAGTCAAATCTAAGTAATTTTTTGTTTCTCTCTCTCTTCTCGTTCATCTCAGCTTCATAATCATCATTATCATCATCAAAAAATGAAAGAGAGACTTTACTTTTTCAAAGTCATTCGCTCTCTCTCTCATTTTTTCAACCCACCACCCTTGAGCCCGGAGGCATCTTAGACCTCTAGGAGCAGCTAAAGTAAAAAAATACTTTGAATATGAGTATTACTACAAATACTATTGCTCAAGATGATGATGATTCTGACTATTTGCATTACTATTATTATGAGTGAGAGAGTGAGTAAGGTTTACCTAATATCTTCTTTATTATCATCATCATCTTAAGGTCATCTTCAAGTCGAGTCAACGATGTAAACACACCATTAAGTTTGACAGGTTTTAAAGGGACACACACACAAGAAAGTAGCTACTGGATTCCTAAAGGAAAACAAAATCTTCAAGAGCTAATCATCATAATCTTGATTTAGAGAAAGAAAAAAAAAACTCCACATCAGATTAACCCAAGGAATTTAAAGATGATAATGATGATGAGAGATGATGTAGTCTCTTCTTTCTTTGCGTGTTAAATGAACACTTGAAATTTTCTGCTTTTATGAAATATTCAGTTTCTCTCTCTCTCTCATCCTCATGATAACCCAACTGATAGTAAAGTGAAAATATCAGTACATTTTGACATTTTAGCTAAACTTCAGGTCAACGTGATTCTCATTTTCCATTAACTTATCCAATGTGATTGATGTTTGATTGTTCATTTCATGGTGATAATAATATGATAATAGTAGTGGTCAACTTACAACTGTCCCTCGGTCCATATTTTCGGGTATATCAAAGTAATATTGTTTAGATTTAAAGTGTGGGGCATTATCATTAACATCGGTAACGGTTATTTGAATCTTTTTGGTGGTTAAATGAAATGAATCCGAGGCTCCAACAATTAACGTATAACTGTCAATGGTTTCACGATCCAAGGGTTTCTGTTGTTATTTTTAATAAGATAAATTATAAAAATATGATAAATAATAAAAGATGATTAGTGATTAAGGAAAACAATTAAGTGAAGAAAAGAAATCAAATTATCTATGAGTGGGTTAATTGACACACACACAAAACTTAATGATTTAGATGATTAAAAGTAACAACAACACATAATCTTTAATTCAATGGGAAGATGATGTGGATTGATGATAAAACGAGAAAAAAAAGAAGAAGGGAAAAGGCGTGAGGTTTAGTAATCATTAAAGATGAATGAATATTTTCACTGGAATTGAACGAAATTGTAAATTCCTATTCTGTTACCTGAGAGGTTCATGTGATTCCTCAGGCATTTAAAGTGAATCTTTTGTTTCATTTACTTTTCAAGTCATGATGATGATGCGTTTGTTTTTTTTTTGCTCTTCATCTTTTTGTTTCTCATCTAAATTGAATCAACTATTTAATTGTTACAAGTTCTATGATTAGAATGATAATAAATTAACATTGATAATCATCTGGATTATGGATAAACTTTTATCCTTCTAACACCTTTCTTTTTTTTACCTTACAAGTTTAATTGTCAACAATAAACGGAAAACAAATATTATTAAGATTAAGTTTAAAAGTTACAATGAAATTTGAGTTGTAAAAGATGAGGATTTAAGGGAGTGGGGATGATGATGATGACAAACAGAGAAAAAGAAAGGTTGTCGAGGTAGGTTATCATCGGAAGACAAGGATGATGCAGAAGAAAAGGTAAAAAAGAGCAAAAGGAAACACAAATTGATGAAGATGGGAAAGGTTATCGCAAAGACATCTAGAACTCGTTACAGAGAGAGAGAGAGAGAGAGAGAGAGAGAGAGAAGATGGAAAAGTGAAAGGAAGAAAAATAAAAATGATGAGAGGAGAGTGAAAGAAAAAGATGAAGATAAAGGTAGAAAGAAAGGAAGAATGAAAGAGAGAGAGAGATGAGGAAAGAACAAACTGAATACAGTGTGTCCACACAGAGTTATAACCTCACCCAAAAGTTTTACTTCAAAGTGTATACAGTAAACATCGGCCCCTCAGGGTGGGATTAAAATATTTCCCTAGGAACATGGAAATGTATCTCTCATAGAAACCAGAGATTGAATGTAAATCTCATGTAAACCTTTTGAAATATAACCTTCGGAGAAATTATGATTTAGGACACACTGTACATAGGAATATGTATATGAAAGGTGAGTTGGAGATGAAATATAAAGTTAAGATGTCTTAAGATAAGGAGAGATGCTTGAGAGAAAAGATGATTTAAGATGAGGAAAAAGAAGAAGATGAAGATGAAGATGATGAAGATGATGATGAAAAAGAAGAAAAGAGGAAACAAGTCTTTAAATGATAATGATGATTGGTCTCTAATTAGTCTTATGTGATTGTTGTTGTGTGCATGTCACTAATTAATGGCTATTATTATGGACCATTACATACCTGTAATATTATTTTGCCTGAATATGAATCAACATGAAAGGTTGGCTCGTAACAACGGGAACAATTAATTAATTTGTATTCTATCTTTGAAGTTAAATCAGGATCTTGTGTAATCGTTGATAGATCAAACAATTCACTTGATGGCGGAGTTGCCTCACTAATCAATAATGATAAGCCTGAAGATGATTTAACCAAAATGGTCAGTGTTAATGATGAGCTAAGCTGATGACCGGGAGGACCACGATCTTTAACAATGATTGCCAATCGGTAGGATGAACACTTCTCATAATCAAGTTCACGGGTTGAAATAAGAGTATGTTGACTTCCGGTTGATGAATCAATTATTTGAAAAAGTCCACCGTATTTGTACAATAGATTACAATCAACTGTACCATTAGAACCAAGATCACGATCAATTGTTATTAAGGGTAAATTAAGTTTACTTGATTCAACGATTTCATAGATATAAGATGAACTTTGATTATCGTAATAAACTGAATCCTTGGGTAGGATTAAACTTGGAATCTCATCGTTAATGTCCAAAATATTGATCTTAAGCATTGAATGAGCCCAATTTGGATTAGGTCCACCATCACGAGTGGTCACTTTAAGCTCAAAAACGGGTGTTTCCTCACGATTGATTATCTTATCAGTGGTTACCAGTCCGGTGAGAGTGTCAATGTGAAAGAAATGAGCATTAGGTCCACTTAACGAGTAGTACAATTTAGCGTTAATCCCTTCATCTAAATCAACGGCGTTTATTGATGTAACAAATGACCCAATCGGCAACGATTCTACAATATTAATCTCATAGGTGTCACGTTTGAAAACTGGTTCATGGTCATTTACATCATTAACAAGAATCACTAGATTAGCGGTTGATGATCGTGCTGGTAATCCATAATCACGAGCAATTAAGGTTATATTGTAGGAAGACATTTTCTCCCGATCAAGTGATTTATTAACACGAATTATGTGAGAAGTGCCAATCGATTCAAGTCTAAAGTGACCCATCTCGTTACCTGAAGCAATTATCAATGAGGTTTCACCGTTTGCACCATGATCAGAGTCTGAAACTGAGATCGCAGTTACAACAGATCCACTGACAGCGTTTTCATCAACCGTTGCCACTTCTGATCGAGATAGATGACGAAATTTAATCACAGGATCATGATCATTGGTGTCCAAAAGGTTAACTGTTATATAAGCTCGGCCATTTTGTCTTGGTGTACCGTGATCGTGGGCGAAAACGGTGAAAACACAAACTTTATATCCAGTTGAAGATGTAATCGGATTGTAAAGTGCCGATGAAGTTGTCGTTGATGTTGAAGATGGAGATGAAGATGATAATGATGTTATCGGTGTTGTACCACAATCAATTGGACCTTCTTGAGCGGTATAAATGACTCCAGTTACCGGATCAATGGTGAAATATTTTTCCACCAACAGGTAATAACTAATTGTTGTATTTCCATTGCCCTCCTCATCGGCATCAGTTGCTCGTACCTGTAAAATGGGCACACCTTTGCCAACAGTCTCATTAAGACTGACCGTATAATCAGAATGGTCAAAAATTGGTGGATTATCATTAACATCAAGGATGGTTACATGAAGAGTCAGGTAAGCAGTTAATCCTCCGCCATCAACCGCTGATATATTGACAATATAATTAGATTGTGTTTCCCGGTCAAGTAAATCGGACACTTCAAGATGAAGAAACGATGAAGTTACATTGTAAATCAATTTAAAGGGTAGATCATTAAACGATGATGATGATGACCCATTCATTGATGAATAATCATTTGCTTGATGTAATAATGTCGATGTTGTTGTTAAATCTGTTAACGATGTTGTCGATCTCCTTGTTGAGAGGAAACTTTTAATTGTTGATCTTTTTGTGGTTGTTGTTATTGTCGTTGGTACAATTTGATAAGTTAAATTACCTTCATCAGGATCAATTGCTGTTTCTAATATTAATTTAGAACCGATTGGCGCTGATTCACTGAATGAGATATTCCTATTGATATATGGAGGCCAATAAGGTGGATTATCATTGACATCGGTCACTTTAATCCGTACCTTAATTGGATAACTTGGTGAATTGGTTAATAACAACAATTGATAAAAATCACGAGTCTCCCTATCGGTGGAAACTGTTGTGGTCAATATTGATCCGGTTGATGAATCAAATCGAAACTCAGGAATATCGATATTAAAACGGTAAATGAGACCTGGTTTGATCGGCACTTGACCGACCACTTTACCTGGTAACGTGTTCTCGGCAATTTCAAAATTAAAGGTATCACTTGGTGATGATGACAATGGCAAAGATGAGGATGAGGATGACAATGTTACAGATGAGATTAAGGTTGTTGCTAATGATGCTGATGGAAGACAACTAAATAATAAACTTATCACAATTAATTTGGACATTATATCTAATAAGGTAATTAACAATAAATTAATCGTTCTTCTTGCTCTTGGATAATTAATACAAGAGACAAGATTAATATTGATTGGCAATAATGATGATGATGATGATCCATTTGTGATTAAAGTTGACGATTTGTTATTGTTACAAAAGACTGAGAATGGTTTAATTGAAGTTAACATGTTAATTAACTTCCGTTGGCTTTAATTGTTGTTGAGTAAATTTGTTTGCTTGTCAGGGTAAAAAAAAAGATACAATGTTGATTATTGTTATAATTAGTTAATTGTTTGCCATCATTATCCTTTTCGGGTAAACCAAACACTGATGATTTTGGCCAAATTATCCAATTAATTGTTGTCCTCATAATTATCACAATGGTCACGATTAATTAATTACTTAAGATGATAAAATGAATGAAAATTATGTTGACAATATTGGGAATATTTTGATTTTTCTTTGTGTGGGAAAAGTAAACAAGAAACAAACAAAAAAAAGTTAAAGGTTAATAAATTTTATATGCACACAATTAATTAAACAATATACTAACTACAATTATAATTAACATGTAACAACTAATTGTTAAGGTTGTTAACCAGAATTTCAAATATAACAACAAAAATATAAGGAAAACAAAAAGTTAACATTGACCAGAAAGTTTCTCATAAAATGTAATCAAACATCTGATGAACTGATTAACACTATTTTGTTGATTATTTCAATCAACTGACAATTAAAACTAATATTTTAATTCAAGTGTAGTTAAGAGTAATTAAGATAATTAATTGATAGATGAGTTGGAATGATTTAAATGTTGGTCAAGTGAAATGTTTGTAAAGTTTTTTCTTTGTTTTCTTACCTGAGAATCATAATTTTCACTGGAAAACGATTTGGTTTAAATTCTGATTGTTTGGGATTCACAAAATGAGCACAGATATTAATCCAATGGAATCAAAAGTTGATTAGAATTGCGAACAATTTAAAACAGAAAACAAACAAAAAAAATAATAGAAAAACTTATTAATAAACAAAAAAGTAGAAAACAAAAAGTTGTTGTTGTGTGGTAAAGGTAAAGTTTACCTGTGCTTCTTGGGACTCTGGCGTTTAACTACTGACTTGAGTTCTAAGGCCAATTTGCAAAGCCGACTCTCGGTTGTTTCTCTCTCTCACTTACTCACTCTCTTCATTTATCTTCTTTCTCTCTCTCTTGTACCATTTTTTCCCTCTCTTTTTTCCCTTCTCTTTCTTCCCTAAGGAGCCAAAGGAGCCTAACTGAAGGAATGTGAAACATTCTTGGTAGAAAGTTGCTCCATGTTGGGTTTGACTTGTTGTTGTTCCTGAGACCGGTTGCTCAGCCCCTGAGCAGCTTCATCGCCATCGAGGGAGAGCGAAAGATGATGATGGAGATTGAGAAAAGATGAACATGCCAATGGGGAGTGAGAGAGCAAAACTGATAGAAGAGAACAAACTTTTTCTCCAACAGAAAGGAAAAGCTTTGGATATATTTTTCTCTTCTCTCTTTTCCAATTTCTCTCCATCTTCTTCTTCATCTTCTTCATCTGTATTTCTCTCATCATCTGGGAACCGGTTCTCTGGAAGAAAAAAAAACAAATTCTATTTAACTTGTTACCACCACAATAATCGAATTCAATAATCATTCCTAACTGTCAACCTATAAATATGTAACCACTAATCATTACAATAATTAACCAGCAACTTATTACAAAGATCAACTTCTCTCTCCCTCTTGTTTTGTTTTCCTTTCGCTGTAATCGTTAGGCCTAAACTTCATCATCCTCAGAGTTTTAATTATTACCTTTGTAATTGGTTCCATTATTTTGTAAATGTTAAATTGCTGTGGATAATTTTCACTTACCTTAACTTGCCAATGGAATCAGATATTGCAGATATTCAAGGTATTGTATTGACCAATTTAGCCTCGAGCGGAGAGATGAATCCTTTAAATCACATTTACAATTAGCTTTTTTTTCATTAGAATTGTTTACCAGTGAGTTTACTGTGTATTGTTCAACTATCAATATAATATGAAACTAAATTAAGTAAATTGATTGGATGGATGGACGTCGATTGTCAAGATTAGAGAGAAACAGAGATAATTAACTAATTTCATATTATATCAACTTTGGAGAGAGAGAGAGAGTTTAATAAGATGAATGGAGATGATTATGTTTACTTGATTTCGGGAATCATGATGGAGAAAACATTTTGTTTCACAATTAACATTAATAATCCAATTAGTGTGATAATTAATTCAAATCGTGTTGGTCAGAAGCCTTAAATTAAACATTCCGAGTACCTGGTTTACGTAATAATAAGTGAATGGAAATGAAACACCAACGAAATATAAACAGTAACTTTTGTTTGGTAAACAAAGAGGTTGAAAGGACTTTAGGTTAATTGGTGAATGAAACGGAAATACTAATATTTGCATATACTCACTGTGAATAAATAAAATTTAGAATATCAATTTAACGAGAAAGGGAAATTAAATTTAGTATCTTGAGCCATTGGATTAATGGGAGGATGCGGAAGATCAAGTTGAACATGTTGATGGGTGAAATTATTAACTGGATTGGGGGTTTGATTTAGTTAATCACTTTGAGCAGTTGCTGTTGGTTGAATTGAATGATTTTCGTGACTAATACAATGTAATTACCTGAGTCTCAAGTCTGATCCTCGATAAAGGTGATCTTCACCTTTTCGTGAGATTTTCGTATCAAAATCTTTGAAAACTTTAATCAGAAACTGTCAAGTCTATGTTATGATGACCATTATTTTCATGTTGGTCATCGCTTCTGGAATATGAGAAAGATGATTTAAATTAAGATGATTTAGTTGATTCTCTGGATGATGGACAAGATGAAGGAGGAAAAGAGAATGGTCAAGACATTGATTGGAATGGATGAAGAAGAGAAACTTCAATGAAAACATTGAAGGTGAAATGGACGAGAGGGCAAAGGTGAAACCATTGGTGAGCAAAATGATGGCTCTAAATTAATTTTTACCTTTTCTTTATTTGTATAATTAGATTTGTATCCAATTGATTGATGAGCTCCCATGATTTAAGATATTGAGGGCTGTTCATCACTTTAATATCAAGGAAGAATCATAGTCTTGGATCAATCTGATGTTTGTTAACTAATTAACGGTATTCATGAAAATAAATTTCCAATTTTAATCATCCACATGATCACAATTTAATCTTTTTGCGAAAACCAATAGATGGCGATACTTGTCGATTTCTTTTGGCGCTTCTTTTTGGGATAATTTGTTTTTCTACAAAATTTTAACAATCAATTAGATTTAATTATTATAATTGTTTAATTAGATTTTATCTTCTTTCCTACAAATTATAATACATGGAAGATTACTCTTTATTCTCAGAAGAAAATTCGTTCGAAATTACATTTGGCTCGAGCCGATTCTGTCAACAATTAGAATAAAAATTCTAATGATAATGTTCGTAATTAGATTTAATTTGTTGATTATTTAATTGATTTTCTTGATTAAAAATGGAGAGAAAACCAAAATTATGGATCAACACAACAGGGAACTGATTACCTGATGGAAGACACTCTGTAGAAAACTATTGGAATTGATTGTTGCCTGATTGTTGAAACGATCAATGAACTTTTAATTATTAATTTTATTCAGTTAATTGATAAGTGATACATTTTTTGAATGTTCAATTACATTTGATTGTTAATATAAATACTACTTGATATTTATAAATTGTATTGGTTAGTTAACAAGTTAAAATGTAACTAATTGAGTGATTAACTTTAATCAATTGGATAATTGTGTGTTCTCAATATTGATTAACAATTAGTTTTACAACAATTGTCTTGGAAAAAGTAACAGACACGATAGACTAATATTAATCATGTAACAATTAAATGTATTAAATTTAAATATCAAATTAACGAATCGTTTCCAACAATTTGGTTCAGTTATTGTGTTGACCAATTTCACAATCACAGGAAAAAAAAAACAAGCCAACTGAAATTAACTTTAATTGTTAATTGTTAATTAGTAATCATAATAACTTTTTGCTTCTGTAAACAAGAGCAAATAATTAATAATAAAAAAAGAGTTACAATTAATTGTAATTACAGATTTAGATTTAAATTGAGAATCATTAATCTTTCATCATTTTTTGGCTCATTATTGTTACAACAATTAAATATTATTATTGATGGTAACTGATAATTATGTTTGATAATGATTATTGATTCAACCTGATGATTTACTGTTAATGAAACAAGGTTTGATTAACAGTTAATTGTTGATTATCAAACAATGTTATCAAAAAAAAAAATATATAAATATCACTCTGATTGATAAATAACTGTTTGGATTGTTGAAAATCATGGTTCAACAAATTGTTGATTAACTACAACAATTTACAAGATGATCATGTTGATAATAATAGTAAATGATAATCAAATACGATAATCAAAAATGGTGGTGACAATCAGCTAAAAATACAGTTACAAGTGATAATTAATAAATTAGTCAACCATTTAGCTTTCATCATCTTGTTAAAGGATTAATTAATCATCAGTCGTAGTAGTAGTAATCATGATTAGTGACAGTAACAATTTAGATTGATAAAAATTCAATGTTACCCAAACAATTGGTACTAATATTTACATCACCACGAACTGGACATTAAGGCCAACGGATAGTTGACCGTTAAATTATGAACGGGATGAGGTCTTGTAGGTCTGTGTGACCTTAGAACTGGAATTGAGGGTCAACAAGGGAATATTTTGTTGACCCTATTGACCGATCACTTGATCATTGGTTATTTGTATCTTACGCTTGAAGATTAAGACAATTGATGATGAAACTTTTCTGATGAAAGTTTTATGATGAATAGAAATTTAAATTGCACAATTAATTGTTATGAATAAAGAAAGTGTATTAGTAAACCATTAATTATGACTAATAAAAAAGCAACATAAACAAAAAGGCCAACAACCGGGTTAATTATGAATATACAAAAAAAAACATCAAATTACAATCAGTTAATCACAATTATACTTACAATTGGTTCGTTTATTAACCCAAACATATTAAGGAAGTTTTCGCATCGTTTAATTTGCTCACCTGAAAGGTATGAGTCCATGATCATGTTCATCATCTTAATCATGTTCATCATCATGATTAATAATCAACATGTTTCTTTATGTCGATACAGTCCAACGAATCTAAGGTGAGAGTGAGAAATAAACAAAATGGGATGATAAATATAAGATTGTTATTAAAATGATGATAATAATCATAACTGTAAATGATCAAATTAATAATGAGCTGGATATGAGATGATAATCGTTGAGAAAGAAAGAAAAAGAGAGACAACTTACCCTTTACAGTCGAATCGAGATAAATTCGAATCCCGCCCTCAGGCCACTATTCCCACTTTAGTATTTACATACATTCATGTACGAATGTCATCATTCCGTGACGATTAGAAGTCGCCCCTAATCGATTGATGTCGAAAGAAAGAGAAAGCGTTTTTTTCTCTCTTCTTTCTCTCTCTCTCTCTCTCTCTCTCTCTCTTTCTTTCTACCGCTTGAGAGTGCGAATTTTGATGTTTCGCTGATTTTATCTTACACTTGGACGAGATTCGATTTTTAAATCTTGACTTAACATCAGATCGGGATTGATACGAGGGTTCGAAGGCGGTGACAATGTTTGCCCTTTTTTTCTCAATGTGATTGTACCATGAAACGAAAAGGCCGACAGGTTCGAGGTGGAGTTTCCGACACGCACATTTCATCTTCTATTCATGATATTAAGATGACGAAGCGGGGGTGGGATGAGGGTGGTTGTGTCTATTTCGCTTTGACAGCTCAAAACATTAGCATCAAATTTTCATATAAAAAGTGAATTCGACACGAAAATAAGTCAATTCAGTTGTAGATTGATTTGTGAACACTTAAAAGTGAACAATTAACTAATCGCTTCTCTTTTCTCACCCAAAGTAATCAATTTTTAAATTGTAAGTGAATCTTTTTCTTTCTCCTCTTTGGTTGATCATCATTGAGGCCACTTTTGTTTACCAACGATTTCCCGTCTTGATCTGTTCAACTCTTTGGTTTCGCTTTGGTTTTAACAAATTTCATATTCTCTTTTCTATCCATTTGTTGATTTAAAATGATCTTTAGCTTGTTCTCTGTGATTTCGTACCAATTGGATCTATTATCAGTGTTCTCGAATTGTTTACCGATGTTTATCTTTCTTTTCTTTTTTCTTCATCCGCCTTTCTTATTCCTTTTTTCTCTCTATTGACCAGTGTCCATTTTTCTCTTTCGCGGTTAAAGTGAATTCCACTTGACTTTACTTTCCATTGGTGAAGAAAAATTAATTCTGAAAACTAGTTTTTCTCTTTCTCTTAATGAGATAAATATCTTTACACATCCATAGTCCATTCATGTTCATCTAATTCTTGACCTTCCATCTATGGGTTTGGCCCCTTTGTCCAATCATATTTACCATTAACAATTTAGCACAAGTCTAACCAATAATTCAAAGTTAGAATTAGTAATTTATCAGGTTCCAGTTTCCTTCTTGTTTCTAGAATGAGAGAAGAAGAAAAAAAGTGAAAAGAAACAAGAAGATGAACAGAAAAAGATACACATACAATTTAAATTGCTTCTTCTCTACCTGTGAGTGTAGAAAAGTAATGAATGTGATTTCACCTGAGGCCAAACATAAGAAATTCACTAATCCAATGGTGTAGCTAAAATTTGTTCAACTTGTTGTCACCATAAAAATAGAAACTGAAGAGAAAAAACCAAAGCGAATAGAAACTGTCAAGATAATTTCGTTTTCTTTTATTCCTTTTGACTGAAATCGTTTTTTTTTCTAAAATAATCTTGTTTCCCCATCGATAGACAACTTAATAACCATGCGAGTGATTATGGGTCTTCTCGGCGTTTTGGCCTTTCTTGCACTGACCTCAGCTCAGGATAACCATTCGGTAAGTAACTGGGATAAGATGGACTCGAAAACAGGAATTGGAATTGAAGATTTAGATGAAAATTTCTGTGAATCTATTGATCATTATGTCGGTTTATCTGATTAGTTTTTTGGTTTTCTTTTTCTGGATTTCTAGAAACAAAAGTCAACCAAACACCCTGGACCTAAAATGGTTCCCGTTCCCGTACCAATTCCTGTCCCTGTTCACCACCACCACCATCACCCTGTTGTCATGCCTGCTGGAAGTAACAATTACCAAGAATGGACTGGAGCCTCAGGTCAACTTTTCCCTGAAGCTCAAATGATCCAAGAATCTCAAGACAATGGTTTCTTTGATCCAAGAGGATTAAGAGATTATCCAGAATTACATCAACCAGTTAACTATCCAAGGTACGCTTACCAACAACAACAAGGCTACGAAGGTGGTCGACCTCGTAAATCTTACTATTCGGCAACCGCTGGTGGTCATTCCTCTGAGCGATCGGGAGGTGAACCTCATTATGGTCCAAATGGCTCCGGTGGAGATCCAAGAGGACACAGACGACGACTTCGACCTTCTCGACCTGAAATGGAATCTCAAGTTCCCGGTCCAATGAAATCAGCTGAGTCCTACCAAGAGAACAACGAATGGTAAAAGTTTCGAACACCAATAAATTAATTAATCAAATCAAAACAAAAAAGAAAAATAAGAAAAAAGAACAAAAAAAAAATGGTAAACCGAAATCACCATAAGGAGTAAACATCAATTCCCAGTAATTACCTGTCAAGGGAAAATCAATCATCTTAATCAACCAAATCATCATCATCATAAACATCGTCATTTTTTCAATCATAATCACCCAACAATTAAGATTAACAATCAAAACCGTATCAATGTTAACCCAATAGAAAGAGTTGCAATCAAATGGTCAATTTTTTCCCGCTAACTTTTGGATTAATCACAATTAATTAACTTCTCTCGTTAATTACCATCTTCATCTTAATCATCATCTTCATATTCACCAAACAATCAACCCAATTTTTCAATATTAATTTTTTTTCTATTCCATTTAATTTTAATTGGTCTTTAATTAACTTTCATCTTTTTTCTCAATCTTAATTGTCTTTTGTTTTTGTTATTTTCTAAAAATAATTTGGTTAATTGTTAATTCAAACTCTTTTTGCTATTCTATTGGGTAATTTGTATCTTTCATTTCTAATTGTTTCACTAATCAACTTCATTCTCCCAATTTAATTAATCTGATTTTCTATTACTCTTTTATCATCATGTTAGGCCTTTTAATCACCATTAATGGTTAATCTGTTAATCGTTAGCAATTAATCCGACAATTTGTAAATATCTGTGCCAAAGATCATATAATTAACCCGAACCTTAATCAGAATTAAATCTACTCAGTAATTAGTGTATTTCTTTTTTAATTGTGTTTTCCCTGTTTAGTTGATTTCTTTTTACTAATTATTATTGTGCAATTAAATTCAATAAAAGATTGATTTTCTCCTTGAAGATGTTAATATTTTAATCCAAACAATTACAATGATCTAACAGATTTAGTAATAAATCAGATTACATGTGATTTAATTACCATGGACAAAGTTAATATCAATAGATTAAAAAATTGTAACATGAAACAGAACAATTAAAATGATTATGATAATTAAAACAGGGATTATATTGAATTGATAACAAAAATATCAGTGATTATTTGTCATGAATTGGATTTGTATGTTGACCTTGGCAAATTAATTGAATCGATTGTGATGATTAGATGAGGACAATATGTACTCACAATTAATTGTGATTGCATTATGCTGTTAGAATATCTAACTAGATTGATAGAGATCAGAATTTAATTAGTATGTAAAGTATCTGTAATTTGCCAAGATTATTTATCGTCTTTGTTTTGATTTTGATCATCTAAGTAATTAGTGATTAGCACAGGTAAGAAATGTAGAGAAAGTAGTTTTCAATTGAATTAAGTGAAAGAAATACAAATCATCTTGATAAGATTTGAAAATTTCATCCATGGTGATTAAGATTAGTAAGCCTTTTGATGAAGATTGAGATTGATGTTAATCAGTCTCTCTCTCTCTCTCAAGACCTGAGAATCAGCTTGAAAGTTGTCTAATTATTATCAGTTGATCCATCAAACGAATTAGTTAATCCAAGGTAATTTGCTGTCATCTTTTCCGAGATATCCCAAAGCTTTTTAGCAAGAGAAAGATCCATAGCAAGATTGGTTGTCCTCTTTTCTTGACAATTGTCAAAATATTTTCCACTAATATTTTCCAATGTCGGTTCCAAGGCACAATAAATGGTAGTTTGAGCTCCTTCCTCTTCCGTTCTCAACAAGAAACGTTTGAGTGGACCAAGCCAACGATAGAAATACTTGTTAAAAGCTGAATTGTTCAATAAATCAGTCTCAATGGTACCAGGATGAAGACAATTAACCGTAACACCAGAATCTTTAAGTTCACCAGCAAGATAATTAGTGAATAAAATATTTTCCAATTTGGTAACACAATAACAAGTATAGGGAGAATATTTTTTCTCAAAATTAACATCATCCAAATCAATTGATCGGTTTAATCGATGAGCCTCAGAGGAAACATTAACAATCCTAGAGGGTGTGGTAGCCTTCAATTTGGGTACAAGTAAACGGGTTAACAAAAATGGTCCCAAATGATTGGATTGAAAGTGTAACTCATTACCGTCTTGAGTTAATTTCCGTTCACCATCACCATAGATTCCAGCATTGTTAATGAGAACATCAATTTTATCCTCTTTCTCCTTAATTGTATCGGCAAACGATTTAATTGATTGAAATGAAGACAAATCAAGAGGTAAAACGGCCACTGATTGATTACCAGTTTCACTTTTAATCTCTTCGGCCACTTTAGTCCCAGATTCTAAATTGCGACAAGCCAAGATGAGCTTTGCTCCTCTTCGGGCTAAATCAATCGCTGTGGTCCGACCGATTCCTCGATTAGCACCGGTGATGATTATCGTCTTTCCATCGGCACGAACATCACCAGATAATCTATTCACTTTAACCATAATCACAAACAGAACAATTAAAGAAAAAGGTAATAAGAAATAAATAAGAAACAAAGTAAATAATGGAAACATTAATATCCAAATGAAAAAGAATAGAACAAAAAAAATTCTCTTTTCTCTTTCTCACTTTTTTCTCACTCAGGGTAACATATGATTCTCACTCATATGTAATTCTGTTTGTTTACAATAATTTAATTTCTATTTTTGTTTCTTTCTCCGCTAATTGTTCACTAATTATATTCATAGAATTTAGTTAATTGTTTTAATTGTGTTGAGAGAAAGTTAAACTGTTTGTTGTTACTTGTGAATGGAAAGGAAATTGATTTTTTCTTGATCTTTGTGACTAAAGAAAAGTTAATGTTTACATTTGAGAATCAAGGAGGAAAATAAAAGGTTTGGAAAAGGAGTAACAATCAATTGATGAACAATTTGTTGATTGTGACGATTATTATTTTCGATTGTTGGTGGTTTCACTTAATTGTGAACAATTTGTGAAAATAAATTGGTCAAGAGGATAATCAGGTAAGTTGATTTTGTTTCATTCATTTTCTGGTGTTGGTGAAAATTCAAGTGGGTGATTTGGATTGAGTAACAATTTCCGAGTCTTTTTTAATTGTGCCCACTTTACCTTAATTAATTTGGAGATATGATTAAGTCTGAGAGATGCTCTTTAGCCTCAATTTGTTTCCGTGTTTGTTTTAAATCAAGGTTAACAAGGTGATTAAAAGGTAAATCAATCAATTGATTGGTAGAAAAGGTTTTCTTTGTCTTGGAAAATTGGATTTTCAATTTGGTTTTGTTGATGAGAAAATGAATTGTAACAATTATCATCTATTGGAACAATTTGATTTTTTTCTCCTTGATTATGGTCATCATTTTGATGATGATGATGCTGGTGATTAAGAAGACACATGGAAACCCTCATTTCGCAAATTTGATTGTTACCCTTGTTGTTGATTGTTTCATCAACATCTCTCCTTGAAGGTTATCGTGGTTGGTGAACACTAAAAAATTTAAGATGAAATGAAAGGGAAAAAAGTCACAATTAGTTAAATTGTCCAAGGACAATTTACCTTAATACTGATAGAATTGTTATTTTACTTTATCATCTTACCTGAGAAAATTGTTTGACGTTGTTAATTTGTTGATTTTCCTTACATTCTAATTGCTGTTAAAACTTTTCTTCCGAATCATAAATCAATCAAAAGAGGTAAACAATTTACATGATTTAATTTACATCAATTAATCAACTGATTCGCTGAGACAGTTAAGAATTACCCCTGACAATTAATGACTACAAAATTTCAATCCAATTATAACTGATAAATTGTGAGATTTTCAATTGTGATTAAGAAAAAGCGATTTACAGACAAACGAGATATTTAATTTTTCAATTTCTTTTCACAATTGACTTGTAATTATTTTCAGCAATTTATTGATTGTTCAGGAGTTAACAAAGTCTTCTAACTAGAATTGGTCATTTCGAGCGGCATTCGACCTTCGTTTTCCCTCCAAAAATAGAATTCAAATTAAAGGGTTTCCATTGGTTCTCACCAACGGAAGCGGCTATTAACTTGCAACGGAAAATCAAGTCGCTTGTTAATCTTTTCCCGCTCAACAATTAACTCGCTAATTTACATTTAAATCATTTCGAGATTAACTAATTTGTTGATTAGTTTCTAATAACCAACAATCTGAACAATTAATTTATAGTTTCATGTCAAGTATAAACTTAATTGTTATACTTAAATTAGTTAACTAATGTTTTGTTGATGATTAAATGTTGGTTCCTCTTCCTTGATTACTTAATTGTAATCAAATATAATTTACCAATTCTGGTCTAATCATTAACTTGACACTTAATTTTTGTTGATTATCAACTGGAACATTTTATTTAACAGTCTAATTGTTTTCTTCTTGGGACAATTAAATTTAATGATTACTTTTTCTTTACTTTCTGATTGTGATTATCATAAAATTGTTAATTGAAAATTTACAGAGGATAAAGAAACAATTAACTTTAGATTGTGATTAGACAATAATTGTTTGTTACTTTGGTTATAATCTTAAATTTTGTCAAGTAATTAACTGATTACCAGAAACTAAATTAAATCTAACTGAATCAATTTAGTATGTTCCAAATAAATATTAATACACTAATTGTAAATGACTTTGGTAAAAGTTGATTATTGTTGAATCTTAATTGTTAATTGTGATCAATTTTCAATTTACAACAATTTACTAATCACTAATCATCTGGATGGAAAATTTATTTCATTTATCTAATCAACAGTTAATTGTTATCTCACTCTCATTATAAACTCACTGAGAATCAACCAGAGACTTTGAATGAAGAAACTGAATGACTGGTGAATCTTATTCAATAACAATGATTAAAACGTTAATTTAGTTTTTAATTAAAGATTCAATTCAATTATTTTTTTTGAAATTCTTATTGGTCAATATACAGAAAGGTAACTTAGATTTAATTGTTAAAATGGAAAAGAAATTGGGAGAATATTTTTTTAATTGTTTATTTCTAAATGGAAAGTGAATTGACTAATTGTGAATTTAAATCCAACCACTTAAATCAATTCGTGATTCTGATTTCCTCCTTTTCTCAGGCTCTTTAGCCGGTTGTCGGCTATCAGCTAATCGTCGTTTCTGCTTTTGTTTATCACGTTTGTCTTTAATTGTTGATAAATTATCAACATCAGAATCGTCACTTGATTGATAACCTCTGTTAATTTGTCCAGTTAATGGTATCGGTGAAATTGATTGTTTATTAAATGAGCCTGATCGGGATTCGGGCTTAGATGAAAATATTAATTGAGATGAAACATTTGACGCCTGAGATTGTGATGGTAGTGGAGGAGGAGGAGGTGGTGGTGGTGGGGTAGGGGTTGAGGAGGTGGTATTGATGGGATAATCATGACTCGTTGATTGTTTTCAATCGTAATCGGTGTTGGTGAATCAATTGCCACCAAAATCTCAGTCGGAGGTGAATATGTGACCTGAGGTGATGGCGAATGAGATGATTTAACTGTTGATGTTGATTGTTGTGGTTGAGGTTGAGATTTTGGCTCTGATTTTGGTTGTGATTGTGGTGGTGGTGGTGCTTCAATCAGAGGTGGATTCATTGGAGCTGCTGATTGTTGATATGATGAAATTCTAATCATTAAATCATCTGAACGATCTTTTGAATTTTGACTGATTAAAGTTGATTGTTCAGTTATCTCTGTAGCGAATGAGAAAATGAAAAAGAATCAAAGAATAAAAAGTCAAAGCAAATTAAAGAGATTTAATTGTTTACCTTTCTTATCGGTCGATGGAGGTGTTAATGAAACCAGAACTTTTTTCTCCTCCCCAATCTCATCAATTGTAGTAAATCCACCAACTTAAAAATTCAGGAGAAAAAAAGAAATTACAATCAATTGGAAAAATGAAGGAAAAAAGAATCAATTGATTTACCTTTATCTCGCATTTTCCCCAATATTAAAGAGTGAGAATCGTCAATCTCCTCGAACGATTCTTCGGTTGTCACTGACTCTTTCTCCCTGAGAACATCTTCCCTCAGATCTTTTAAACTTGAAGCCCGTCGGGGAGTAAAACCGATCTGGTTACCTTTATCCCGAAGAATTGCAGAAATTGCAGTTGTCCATCGATCTCGAGCCATTTGCCGTCGTTTAAAACTCGCACGATTCGCGAAAATGTTCAACAGCCCCGTGGAACCGTCCGAGTATTCACCCTCTTTCAAAGGTCCACCACTTCCTCCAGCACTTCCACCGCCACTTCCACCTCCAGATGCACTATTAATCAGGCCGATATTGAAACCTTTCAGTAGTCGTCTTTCCCGAATACGCTCTCGTTTACCGAAACCTTTTCAATTCCATGTTCAGATGTCAATGATTTGTGGGTAGAATCAGGAAATCAAGAAGATAATGATTATGATTATGACGAAAAAGAAAGAGAAAAATAAGACAAAAGGAATAATATTATCTGAAAGAAACAAATTAGGTCGAAGATTAAATTCAATCGATTTAATCCCATCTAAACCATCACCAAATATTTCAACTTTTTTAATCTATTCGAAAACCAAGATTAATCTTAATTGTTGGCAAATCGGTTCGATTGATTAACACTTAAAGTTGATACAAGTAGTTTTCAATCGAGAAAATAACTGAGTCTAACTTATGAAAATCAGAATCAAAATAATCGATATTTTTTGTTTTCGCAATTTGTAAACATTGAGAGTTAATTGTGATTAAAGTTAATCTTCTTTACTTACAGTCGTCATGACTTAAGGTCGAATCATATTTCATTCCATTTTTCTTCAACATGTCGATCAATTCGTAACGGAAGCTTCCAATGTCTTGTTTAATTTCGTTGACATCATCTTCGGTTACCAGGCCAGTCTCTTCGGCTTTTCTTTGTTCCCGTGTTACATATCGACGGACAAGACATCGCATCACATTTGCATATGATTCTTTAAATGCTGATCCTGATCCGGACGACGGGAATCGTTTTAAACCTGGTCCACTTTTAGACCAAAGTTTACCTAATGGAGGAAGAAGGTTAAACGGAGCGGGAACTGAAAGTGTCTCATCAAAATAACTGATCCACAATTTGGACCGAGCAAATTTCCACTCGGTATCCGAACGCTCCGAAATTGCATTATAAGAATTGGACATCATAGCAATTAGTAAATTAAGTAGGACAACAACGTTAATCACTGAGTAACAGCCGAACATGAGGAGACCCCAGAAACGGGTGAACTCCTTGATTCCCGCAAGTTCAAAGTTGTGCAGGTCGATTAGACCAAATGAAGCCCAGAAAAGCGTCTGCGAGGTTTCAAAGAGGTTGGCGAATCGACGCCAGACCTCACAGGCATGGTCAATCTCGAGCGGGTGAAGATTATTGGCCGAACCAAACTTACACCTTTCCCATTCCTTTTTAGCATAATACCAAAGAAGTTGATTAAGTCCCGTTCCAAAAGCGAAAAGTACCAGAACAAAGATGAAGAAAAATTTTAAAATATCGAAAACCATTCGACCGAGTGAAATTTGTAGTGGCCCCAAATGCGGATGAACGGAAAAGATATGTACCAATTTAAGGAAGGAACAAATTGAGGCCGCTCCAAACATACCCTCAGATAGTAACATGGGATCATATGGATCCCAATCCTCGCGAGATTTATTCTCAAAGGGAAGTTCGGGTGAAGTCGAGGAAAGTTCATATTGGACCTGAAGGTAGGACAAAACTCGCAATCCCAACCAGTTGATGTAGATTATATTGGAAAGAGCGTCAACTATGTTCCAAAGGTCAGAAATGTAGGCGAATAGGCCGGAAGAATAAAGTTCACCCGTTTCTTGCCAAATGAAACTAATAACGTACATGATGATAGCCCATTCGGTCAGATTGGGTGGACGCCCCGTTCACGAACATACGATTCGGCCAACCAAGAGAAGATAATATTTTCCTCATCGAAATAAGAAACAATTAAAAATTCAACACGTTGGGAAGCGAGAACAAGTAACACTGAAAATTTAAGAAACGAAAACATGATTAACACTTTGGATGCTAATTGTTGTTGACTCGTTAATTAGATGGTTAATTGAACTTACGTAGGAAAAAAAGGTAAGAAGCCGAATGACTGATGAATTTGATGAATGACCTTTTTGAGATTCGAGCTAGTTTACTGTTGGGTAGATAGAGTGAGGCCAATGCATAGAGCGGGAATTTCATTGCGATACTAATTACAGTTAAAGCTTGTTTAATTGGTCCTCTTCGTCGGTACCCTGGCATACCCTCGAACCAAACTGATCCCAGTAATTGTTGGACATTTGGATGAGAAACGAAACTTTTCTGCTTATAATCAATGGCCAATTTTAGACGCTCCAATTTCATTTCCTCTTCCGCTGATTCGCTGGTTGAAAGGTCAGTACTGTAATTCATGATGACCCTTAATTCGTGTGTATTACGAACATGATCCAAAAGTGCGACAGCGAAATTTTGAACATTACTTCGAAGTTCCTTATAATCGGTAGCAAATTCCTTCTCAATTTTTGATAATCGACGTAATTCCCAACTTAATTGGAAAGCGGTTAAAATGGGATCACGACTTGAGAGTGAAATCAGCGAGGGTGAACATAGTGCACGATAAGCGTTTATCCTTGACCTTGAATGACGCAAACAATCAGCGTTAATTGAGGTAATACACTCGTAACAGGAACACTTGACATCATGAGGAAGCGGAAGTTCAGCCCCACGATCAAGTAAAATCTTCAATATCTCATAATTGTCCTTGTGAGCGGCCAAAATTAACGGTGTTATATCTCGGGTATAAGCACTTGTTTCATGATCAACCTTTTCCCAACTCTAATAAACCAACAATCAATCAATAATCATCACAATCAAAACCAAAAAAATAACATTTAATTTACAATCCATTCAACCAATTGATCCTCAAGTATCAATAACAGTGAAAGATTGATTAAAAATACCAAGTCCATTTAACAACCTGATTGAAAACATCACTTATATAAAATTAACGATTGTCAACCAATTAATTGATTGTCATTTATCACACACAATAACAATCTAATCAATTAAGTCAACAAAACAATTTTCGTGTTACTTTTCAATTAGACCTCAAAGTGTTAAAAATAAACTGATTGAATTGAATGAAAGATTTACAAGTAAAGTTTTGTTTTTCGTTAATTGTACCAATGGATCTTGATTGTTTCTCGTCTTAATTAGTTAATTACTCACATAGGGTGTCCCTGGACTGTGAATTTTCTCCTCGTGCTGTAAGAGTATCTCAACGGCCTCAACATATTCCTCGCTGATTGCATGAAGCAAAGCGTCTCCTGGATTAATGTTGTACTTTAATAGAACCTCGAGCAGTTCGAGATTCTCATTTTCGATCGCTAATATAAGTGCACTTCGACCCAACGGATCGGTACAATTAATGTCCAACTTGGATGGTGTTGTAATCGACGGAGGAGTTACACTGATTCCCTTAGTGTTTTGAGCATCGATCTTGCAATGTTCTTGTAATAGTCTTGAGAGAAAATTTTGGTTAAGTGAAAAGTTGATCAACAATTTGATTAGACAATTAAGTTAATTGTTAATTACTTACTTTTTAACCGAAACCACATCACCTCTTTCAGCACAGAGTAGAAACTTTTTATCGAAAACAGTTAAGCCTCGATCTCGACCTCGCAATAAACCGTGATTTAGACCTGGACTTGTGGGACTGGACATTGGACAGTTTGATTGATCACTAATTGTTTAACACTAATTAACAAGATTTAGACATTGTTTAAACTACAAACAGAGAAACTTTGACATTGTAAAAGTTTAACATAATTACGATTTAAATTGTTGATTGGACTGTTTTGGTCTCTATAATACCCAAATTAATTAAAAGGTTTAATTTGATACTTCGTTTAATTTGTTAAATTGTCTCTTTTCATGAAACAATTGAACTATTGGTTAACTTGATTACATTGGAAATGGATAGCGATTGATTTTGAGTCGTCTCACCAATCGAAACCTTTGTCGATATTAAATTAAGCCTATTAATGGAAACCTTATAAGATCATTAACTGATCATTTTGATTCATCTCTTTTTTTTGATTAATGTTCATAAGTAGGTGATGATCAAGATGATTAAGATGATGATGAATCCACAATTGTTGATCTATCCAATAAATCAATTGATGAGTTAGCCAATTGTTTCCTTTGATTATTGTTTTCACATCAGATTTACATTTAATGTATTTACAGGTAAAGTTTTGCTTTCTCTCAATTAGCAATTGATGGGAATTATTTTATCAAAATAATTAAATTGTCGTTTGCTTGATTGTTGTTGTTTTTACATTCTTGGTATCAATGGCATTGGAAGGACAAAATTAAATCGTTCATAACTGACTTCGCCTGTGATTATTATACGTTCTGGTGATGAATTGTTATTAGGATGATTGATCATTTTAAAAGATTCGGGATTTTGACCATCCATTGTGATCTCAATGATAACACTGGTTTCCAAATGATGAGGTGATAATTGTTGTAAATTGTTTGATGATAATTTAAGATTATTGGGAATTGATAGGAGACGAAGTGTTTTCATTTTCGAGATTAATTCACTTAATCCAATTGTATCGATTTTACTGTTGGTTATTTCAACGAATTCCAATGATTTAAGTCGGATTAAATGTCGCAAGGAGATTGAACTTGTTTCTCTTAAATTGCAGCCAATTAAACGAAGTGAAACAATTAAAGGACAGTTAATTGTTATTATGGAGATGGAAGTGTCATCGATAAAGGGACATTTGATTGCAAGACAAATTAATGATGAAGTTCCTTGGGTCATAAGTGAAAGATCTTGATTGAAGTTTGAAGATCGAGTTCCAGTACAGGAGAAAGTTAATTGTTGTAGAGATGTTAACTCATTTAAATCACGAATTTCAACAATGTTTGACCAGAATTCAAAGATTTTCAGGGTTGATGCCAATGAGCTGCAGATCAATTTTAATTGTTTATTGGTAACAAAAGATATTCGGAGCACCGTTAACGATGAACTCATGTTAATTGTTGCGGTTTGAGCTAAACTGGTGATGAAATTGGTTCCCAAATAGGATCCAATCAATGAGAGTGATGAAAGTTGATTAACCAAACAGGGTGAAAAGGTTAAATTAATTTCAAGATCTTCTGAACCTTGAAAAATTAACGATGTAATTGATTGATTGTTGATCAGAAATTTTTCCAATTTTTTTGGATCCACAAAAAAACAATGATGAATTTCAAAGTGTACCAATGATGATGAACCCTTAAAATGAATTATCTCATCAAGTCGAGTACAATTAAGAATATTTAAATGTTCCAATTTAGTTAAACAGTTTCCCAATAATCTCCATTGATCAGCAGTTAACCAGAAACCAAGACAATCTAACATAAGTACACGAAGAGATGGTAACAAAGTGATTAGTGAATTAATCATTTGATCACTATGAACTCGCCATTGGGACCAACTATTGATTGATTTAATTGTTAAACGATCATTTGGATTAACTTGATGATGGTTAATATTACAATTGGCACGACCGATTGGTAATTGGCTTCGACGACGATGTGACTCTGGACTTGGGCCGAAAATGGCTAAAGATGATTTAGATGAAGAGATTATGGAAGAAATCATTTCAAACCAAGAAGAACAAACCAAACGAGAGTTAATTAGTGAACGATAATCAAGTAAATCACAAATGACTCTCCAACAATCACAATTCAAATGAACTCCTGTGTTTACCATGGTGCTGGGAATAGTTGAAGATAAACAGGAAAGTGAAGGTGATGACTTTGATATGTTGTTACTTGGAATCATGATGAGGAAGTAAGCAAAGAGAATACATCTAATTAATTGTAATTCAATTAGAAAAGAAAAAAAGGAAAATTGGAAGAGTCAATAACACATATGAGAAAAATATTCTTACAAGAATATTGTGAAAAGCAAAGATGAAGATAAAAATGGCGGATGCGAGAGAGAAAGAGGGAGGATGAGGAAAAAGATACAGAAAATGGTGATGAGGATGACGAACGTAATTCCAAAGAGTGAATCCTAATTGATGCTAAAATTAAATTTTCTTCAATAAGAGAAAAAGAAAGATAAAAGGTTAAACCAGTGTTACTTTCGCTAATCAATTGACATCATACTTACTCATTGTAGAAGCGAAATCCTCTCATCAATGTCACAAACACCAAAAGGATTAAAAATGTCGAGATTTTCAATTGTGATTAAGAATAAGCAATTTACAGACAAGCAAGATATTTAATTTTTCAATTTCTTCTCACAATTGACTTGTAATTATTTGCAGCAATTTATTGATTGTTCAGGAGTTAACAAAGTCTTCTAACTAGAATTGGTCATTTCGAGCGGCATTCGACCTTCGTTTTCCCTCCAAAAATAGAATTCAAATTAAAGGGTTTCCATTGGTTCTCACCAACGGAAGCGGCAATTAACTTGCAACGGAAAATCAAGTCGCTTGTTAATCTTTTCCCGCTCAACAATTAACTCGCTAATTTACGTTTAAATCATTTCGAGATTAACTAATTTGTTGATTGTTGATTAGTTTCTAATAACCAACAATGTGAACAATTAATTTATAGTTTCATGTCAAGTATACAAACTGTAAACTTAATTGTTGTACTTAAATTAGTTAACTAATGTTTTGTTGATGATTAAATGTTGGTTCCTCTTCCTTGATTACTTAATTGTAATCAAATATAATTTACCAATTCTGGTCTAATCATTAACTTGACACTTAATTTTTGTTGATTATCAACTGGAACATTTTATTTAACAGTCTAATTGTTTTCTTGTTGGGACAATTAAATTTAATGATTACTTTTTCTTTCCTCTCTGATTGTGATTATCATAAAATTGTTAATTGAAAATTTACAGAGGATAAAGAAACAATTAACTTTAGATTCTGATTAGACAAATTAAATCCAACTGAATCAATTTACTAAATTGATTTAGTATGTTCCAGACAAATACACTAATTGTAATTAACTTTGGTAAAAGTTGATTATTGTTAGATCTTAATTGTTGATTTTGATCAATTTACAACAATTTACTAATCACTAATCATCTGGATGGAAAATTTGTTTCATTTATCTAATCAACAGTTAATTGTTATCTCACTCTCATAGTAAACTCACTGAGAATCAACCAGAGACTTTAACTAATTGGGTTTTCTAGTGTTAATTGTTGTTTATTTTTTGCTTCTTGTTCCAGTTAATTGTGATTTGGAAAATCAATCACAATGAATAAACTTTTACTGTTGATTGTTTTGTGCAATTTAATTAAATTGATTGAAAATGTTTCAACAATTTATCAACAACCAGAGCAAACTCATTTATCTTTGGGTGGTGAGTATTAATTACTAACCAATGAGTAGGATTAATTGTGATTATTGTCAATCTGTTAATTATCTTAATTATGAATTAGCTTATCCATCGGAAATGATTGTCACTTGGACAACTTTTGATCCAATTTACAAACCAACAGTTTCTTATGGAGTAACCAAATTGAATCAATCAGCAATTGGATATTCAACTAAATTTACCGATGGAGGTTCAGAGAAACGGATTATGTATATTCACAGAGCAACAATGAACAATTTAAGACCTGATTGTAAATATGGTTAGTTTATTAATCATTTCAATCAATCATAATGAATATACAACTGTCTGTGTTTACTTATAAGTTTGAACTCGATACCAACAATCATTGAGTGATTTTCATCAATTGATTGTTGATTTGAAGTATTTCATTATCCTCATTGAGACTTGTCAAGTTTTATTAATAGTTAATTGTTGATAATTTTAGCTTATCGACTTGGTAGTGAATCGGGTTGGAGCTCAATCTTTTGGTTCAAGACAATTAAGGACGGAACTGATTGGAGTCCAGTGATCGCCGTTTTGGCGATTTAGGTAATGACAATGGTAAATCAATTCCTCGATTACAAGAAGACTCTCAAGATGGCTTATATGATGCAATTCTTCATGTTGGTTAGTAGATTAATAATCAACGACAATTAAATATTTCATCTGATTAACTGCTCCACTTTTACATTGAATTACATTTACTTAGGTGATTTCGCTTACGATTTGGACTCGGTATGAAGATTCAACTTGATTATTTGGCCTTTTCTTTGTTTATTGTCGTTCTTTTCTCACTGATCTGGCTAATTGTTTCTCTCTCCATTTTTGATTAGGACAATGCTCGAGTTGGTGACCAATTTATGAGACAAGTAGAGGCTTTTGCTGCTTATTCACCTTACATGGTAACTGTGGGAAACCACGAACAGGCTTAGTAAGTTGCGAGTTAATTGCTGATGATCATTTTCATAATTGTCGATTGTGTTTCTTTTCTCCCTCGATTAGTAATTTCTCAAATTATGTTAATCGTTTCACCATGATTGATTCACGAACTGGTCAGATTAATAATCACTTTTACAGTTACAATATTGGTCCAGCTCATATAATCAGTTTCTCGACGGAATTTTATTTCTTCTTTGAATATGGTTACGGTCAATTGTATTCACAATTCAAATGGTTAGAAGAAGATTTAATTGAAGCAACTAAACCAGAGAATAGAGCATTTAGACCTTGGATAATTACTCTTGGACATCGACCAATGTACTGCAATGCTATCACGAAAGATGATTGTACCTTTCGAGAATCAAGGGTAATCCTTTGTTATTTAGTTTCGACCATTTAAGTTGCAATAATTGTTCTTTCTGTTGATTATTTCAGGTCGAAAGGGAATACCAATTGTCTATCAACTTGGATTAGAAGATTTGTTTTATAAGTATGGCGTTGATTTGGAGATTTGGGCTCACGAACATTTCTACGAAAGGTTGTGGCCCATTTACGATCAAAAGGTTTACAACGGAAGTTATTCCGAGCCTTATACTAACCCAGGATCGCCAGTTCACATAACCACTGGATCAGCGGTAAAACATTTAACGATTAAGATCAAATTTAATTCTCATTTCTTGATTAACGTTTTCTTTTTGTTCCAGGGCTGCCCTGAAGGGTTAAATCTTCCTGTTTCAAAGCCAACTAATTGGAGTGCTCTGAGAATTGAAGATTATGGTTTCTCTCGAATGACAATTCTCAACAATACTCACTTGAAATTTGAACAATTATCTGTCGATAAGGTAATTATTTGATCTTAATTAATTGTTACACATTCTAATGTCTGCTTTGTTTTCCTTCAGGCTCACAAAGTCGTTGATAGTATAACCATAATTAAAGATAAACATGGCCCATACCCTGATAGAAAGGAAGAAAGCAAACAATGAACTTAATTAAACTTCATTTGAAACAAATTAACGAATTGGTTAATCACATTAAATCACTTTGAGGTGTAAATGAACAAATGTCAAAGCAACATTTAAGTTGAAACCAATTGAACTACTATGCAATTGGACAGAATTTTTGTAAACCATCTGTTTCAATAACAGTAACTTACCTAATCCATTATATTAAATCATTTGCGAACTTCGGTTACAAAAAAAACAAGGTCGTTTTTCCGTTATTGTTATTCAAAAAACGCTTCAAATCAGTTGATCCAAAATCTTCTCCTTTCCCTTTTCATTGTGATCATAAATATTTCCATCCATTGACTCCATAACTGACCTTCTCTCAGATTAAAAGGTAATTCCACACAATCGAACAAAGATTTAATTAGAAAATAAAATTCCATTGTCACCATTTAATTACAGTCAAGTACCTAAAACTGTCCAAATTTTTTTTAGAGCGGGCAATTCGAAAGGGTTAAAATCTAAAAATTATTTCGATTAAAAAAAATATTTAACTAATTTTAATTTCTAAGATAATGGGAAATTAAATAGAAAATATTGATTTTAATTGTTTTAGACCGATTTAATGAGATTTAATTGAGAAACAAAATAATTATTCTAATTAAAACAATTGGGACTAGTTCCAATTTGAAAGATGGAGCCACGGTCTATGGACAATTTTACGTGGACAGTTTTAGGTACTTGACTGTAAAAGAATTGAATAATTAACAATCATAAACAAGAATTAAACTCAATCGGAAAAGAGAAAAATTCTGCACAAGTAGCGACATCTAGTGTAGAATTAGAATGTAGGCCTGATGTTGTTTTCTTTTCTTTCATCTTGACAAATGCGTAACTAGAAATCATTTGTTTTCATGTTATTAACAATCTGTTTTCATTGATTGAACTATTTTTTGTTTCTCTAATTGATTAATTCAGTTATAATCGACTAGTTAACTATCTTCCTCTCAATTGGAATCAAATTTATTTAGATTTGTCATCTTTGTCTCTAACCAACAAAAGGAATCAAATTTTTTTCTATTGGTAATATGTGGTTGCCTCAAGGAGCAACCGTTGGAGCTGTGGTTCCTTTTTTAGTTGCTCTCTTGGTAAGTAATTACAATTAATTAATTAACCATCTTTTTGTTTTGTTTTGTTTTTTCATCTCTATTGAGTTTAGTCTGTTAACTGTGATCATTTTCCTTCTTTTATCCCTGAGGCCTTTGACTTTGAAAGCTCTTTACCTGGATAAACTAATGTGTATGTTGGTTAGCTTTTTTTTGGGTGTTTGTCTTTTCCTCTTATTTTCGTTATTTCATTTTTGAATCTTCAATTTGCATTCTTTGTGTGTTAATTACTTTATTTAAATATTAATTTAATCATTGTTAGTTTCGAAAATACATTAGACTTATTATGTTAGTTTATCAGTTAGACTTGAAATTTTTCTCATCCAATTTTCTTTGTTCCATTTTGTTAAGCTCTTTGTACTAAGAGATTTAGTGATAAATGTTTACTTCTTTTTGGCAACATGAGTTTCTTTCCGATTTTGTTGATTCTTTTCGTTCAGTACTTGAAAAGATCCGTTAATTATTGACCTTTAATCACTTTCAGAGCTTTAGCCAATAGTCTCGGTGCAACTCCACATTCAATTAGTCTTGTACAGATAAACAAAACATCCGAATCAAGATCAGTAGCAAGAATTGATGACATTTCTTTAACTGAAGTAAGAGTTACATCCGAAGAATAATTTAAATTATCTGGAGATCGATCCATAATTATGTTCAGACAAATATCCAAATCACAATTACAATTAACGTAATTAACCAAACAAAAATCAGGCTTGTAGATCTAATCAGGAATGTATATAGAAGTCAAATGTATTTAATATGTTCAATCATCAAACGACAAACACCTTACATCATAATCTATCAACCAATTTATCAAATAGTCAACATGAGAATAAGGAACATCAATTTAGACAATTACTCGTATCAAATTCACAGAATTAAAATAATTGATCACCAATTAGACTAATAATCTGATGATAACAGAAAAAAGCTTCGACCATAACAATAAAACCAAAGAAAAACATTGAAAATGTTCACCTGAGTAAAAAGTGCCATCTATTGAGTGGAATTTTTTTATTCTAATAATAATGAATACAATTTTTATTGAGAAAATTAATTTCTTCCTTTCTAATTACAGATTATCATACTATTCTCATGGTTTTACCTGTCCCGATATCGAAATCGCTATGAATCCGAAAGGTCATCATTTGTTACCTCAGTTATTTCCTTGACCATTGTCATGATAACATCGGCTTTACTTCCCGTTGACATATTTCTTGTCTCATATATGAAATCTTCAAATGGAATGTTCCAAGTGAGTTAATTGTTTAATCTATTGGTGAGATTGAACTTCCATGATTCCTGTTAATCACCTTCCACATAACCGTTATAATTGTGGTGTTTTTGTTTACATTACAATTTGCTTTTTATGAGTAACAAACAATCTTACATTTGATTATTTGTTGCATTTCATTGAGACAATTTATTATCGACTAGATTTTTCTCATTACTTTTACTTAATTGTAAATCTCACACTCATTAACTATTAATTATTAGTCATCAGACAATTGCGATAACAATTTATCACCACCAAGATATTAACTGTAAATTATTTAAAATCATTTATTGTTTTTAGTCATTAGCTAAATTAATTATGATACTCAGAGAAATTTTCAGATTAATTCTTACCTCTATAAATGAACTCAATGTATTAATTGATAATATTAATTTTCATGAATCATTCAAACTAAAAATCAATCACATTCAGTCAAAAATGATGAATTTATTTTTAGCGGTCACAATAATTACAAATTAGTCATTTCTATTAATCAATTAATCAATTGAGCTAATCAATAATATATTAATTCAATCTACTCTCTCATATCTTTGATCTATCATTAAATATTATTAGATCAGAACAATCTTGTATTAATATCTATTGTATTTTTATTTTTATCCAACTGATGATTAACTTTATTTTCATTTTAATTCTAGCCTTGGGCATCCGAACTGTCAGTTCGAGAAAGCATCGAAAATTCCGTTCTCTATTGTTACTATGTGGCCTATGGATTTGTCTTCTTCTGTGTTTTCATAATGATTCCCTTTATGTACTTTTATTACGAGGAAAAAGATGACGATGAACAGGATTCGAATGACCGTATCTGTACAGCGGTTAAATTCACATCAGTATTTGTATTTATTGCATCAGCTCTTCTACTTGTCGGGTAGGTTTTCATTTGATTGTTCTGTGTTTCGACTTTTAATTTTCTATTTTCCAATTTCGTTCGTTTTCTTTGTCCACAGAGCTTTCGTTCCCCTTAAACCAGCCACCAACAGCACCGAATGGGAAAAGATAAAAGATATGTTTGAAAATCTTGGAACTGATAGAGGAGAAGATGCTATTTCCATGGTATTAAGTATCCTCTGTGTCCTCGGAATGTTGAATCTGGTATTTTATACCGCTTTCGGTATGTCTTCTTGGCCTATTGGACTTATCCGGGGAACTTCAAGTGCTCGAATACAATCAGAAGAGGTTCAAAGTAGAAATATCGTAATTCAGACCCGTATTAATGCTCTTAGAGATAAAGAGCGAATCACCAGTAGATTAACACCTAAAGAGAAGCGTATTCTTAATCAGCTGGAGGAAGAAGAAAGAACCATTCGAATGGAGGAACAATTAGTTGATCAACATCGAAACTCTTGGTCTTACAAATGTCGAACTATCCTTAGACCAATAGAGATAATAGTCGGTGTTTTCGCTGCGTGTCTTGGATTAGTTTTATGGGTTTCGCTACTTATCACAAAGTAAGTTTCTCATTAATCAAGTTTCTGTTTTCCGATTCATTGATTAACATTTGTTTTTTTTTTGTTCATTCACAGTATCGATAGAGACATTCACTCGGAGATGAAAACAGGATACGCTTTACAGAACTTTTCCTTACCTAATCCGATCGATTTGTTACTGGTTCAACTTCAAAAAGTTTTCCCACTTGATTACATTCTCATTTTAATCATTACCTGGCTTCTTGTTCTTTGTACAATGTCCGGTATTCGTAATTTGGGTATTCGAATATTTTGCTTTAAGGTAATTATAATCGCAGTTTGTTTTGTTCAATTAATTTAAATACTTTTCTCAATTTCATTTTCAGATGTTCAAATTACGAAAACAAAAAACTCCACCCCAAGGATTATTATTAACCTGTGCGATATTAATGTTGAGTGTACTCACCTTTAATGTCTTCCTGTACACCGTCTCACCTCAATACACAACCTATGGTAGTCAGCACTACATTAAACCGGTGGTTAATGCAACTGATGAATTGGACATTCAGGTTAAAGCCGAAGTTCATTCATGTCCTGATCCACTTTATCCTCGAAACTGTACAATGACCAGAAATAGTGTTCTTCTTGTTAGATTTTTCTACAAAGCTTGGTACTTTGGTGCTTTCTACCATTGGGCATCTTGGGGATATCTATTGGTGAGCATAAATGAATTAACGTGTTAATTATTGTTGAGAGTTTTTGATTTTAACATTTTTATTATTTTAAATTTCTATTTAGATTTCTGGTCTCGCTTTGCTTTATGCTTTGATCAGAAAAAGTCGAACTGTAACCGAGGGAATGGTTGATCGAGATGATTTCGAAGAAAGTGAAGATCGTCCAATGGTTCGCTGATTAAACAACAATTAACACAACTTGATCCTAATTATTAATACAAGTTATAATCCTGTTTTCTTTTGTATTATATTTTTTGGTGATTTAGCCAACTAATAATATTAACATTGACTCTAGTTTTTTGAAAACTCAAGACAAGGAAAAAAAAGAAACAAACCAAATGGAAACTAATTATTCCAGGATTAATCAAGGAATAATTAACAACAAAAAAAAGCGATCGAACCAATGTTAATCCAAAGTTTCCTTAATCCAGTTATTTAACATATAACGAAAAACAATATACCAAAATCAATTCCATTTTAATTTAAATCGGAAATGAGTAAATTATGTTGATATATTTGATTGTAATATTTTTACTCTGAATGAATCAGAAAGACTTGATCATTTCTCTATCTCTCTCTCTCTCTCTCCTTTCTCTCTCTCTCGATGTCAATATTTCAAAATAAACCTTATACATATTAAATTACTAATAATGATCAACATCAAAGTAATTAATCCATTACAAAAAGGATTAAGGATGAGATAACTTCAAAATTAATTTCTTTAATCAGTAGATGGACAATTTTCCAATGCATCTATGCAGCAAAACAAATTAGAGAGCATTAATTAGTTTCTTATTCTTAGGTCATTCTACTGATTCGATACAACAATTAATACCAAAGATACAGATCTTTTTTAAGAGCATTTTTATCATCTTTTATCTTCCATTGATTTGATTAAAATTGTCATGCTGTTTATCCGATTTCTTGGAGAAATCACCGAGCTCATCAAAATTTACTCTCAAAGATCAAACAGAAACATTTTCATACCAATTGATTAACTCTTCCAACATGGTGCCTACTCAAGTAAATTATTTCTCTATTTTATGGAATATTATGTTATCATCATTCAACTTGACCACTGAATCCAAGTTCTTGGACGATATAAGAATCAGTAAGATTATATTATCTATTTATGTTATTCTGATTGTTAATTGTTCGTCCATTTCTTTTCTTTTGACCACAAGATTGGAAGCGAGAATGTTTCAGCGTAGGATTTAAAGAAAAAGGGGATTGTGATAAACTAGAATTCCCTAGGTGGATGGACCGTAGTTCATTGTATGAAGATAGAGCGACATGTCGCAGGTTTCATCGACTCGGGTGTTATTTTGGGAGGAAAATGCGGCCTTGTTATGAATATGAAGTTACTTGTAAAATATATGATTCCTATAGAAAGTTTGTTAAACAAGTGGATGCGAATTCAATCAGTTCCAATATTCACATGAAATTATGTGATGAAGGTTATCGAGCGGGAGCCTCGGGAATTTGTGAAGACATCAATGAATGTATTGATCGAAATGATACTTGCCCTGGTTCTAATTGTTTCAATTTGCCAGGTGAATTCAAGTGCTGTCCAAACGGAGCGGAGCTTGACCACCAAAAAGAGTGTATCTTCATTGATCAATGTGAAATAAATCCGTGTCCCCAAAGGCCAAACATCGACGATAATCAGATTTGGTGTGTTAATTACTACACTGGTCGTGATTGTATCAGTAAATTAGTTGAAGGATATCAGTTTATGAGAATGAGTGATACGTAAGTAAATTAAATTAATGGCGTAATTAATAACAATTAACCTTCTCTCTATCTTTTTCTCTGATTATCAGGAATAAAATTCAGCAATTAATTGATTGGAATAATAAATCACTTCCTCGATATTTGGAATCATCAAAAATAGATATCACTTTGAAAGGTGAATCTGAATTGTTTCAAAATGAACAATTAATCAAATTGCAACTACATGAAAGATTCAATTGTGATTGGAAATTGAATCTAGATCAAGTTTGGTCTGCAGTCGAAGATGATCAAATTGTTGAATCACAATTCGTTAAAATATCTCAACAATTTAATTGTTTCGTCTACATCAATGGACTAATTAAACCTCAAAGTTTAGCAGTTTCACTTACATGTAACATAAATGATCAACCATATTATCGGAAGACAATTTATATTACATTTAAACCACAATCAAACAAACTAAATTGAATCATATCAAGATTTGTTAACAATTGTCTTAATTGTGATGGAAATTATATCAAATGATTAAACCTTTTCCCACTAATTCACAACCAATGAGATTAATGGATAAATGGATTGGCAAGAATTAGAAAGATATAAAATAAAATAGTAACAATTTCCAATCAATTTAGTGTGAAGATGAGAAAGTAATCAATTAATCATTTGATTATCGTGATAACTATTAATAGAAATGTAATAAAATTGGTTAATTTAGTTATTCTCTGATTCTGTTTCTGTGTTCACCGGAAAGTGAACAAGATTAACTTGATTCCTTTTATATTGTCTCTGTTTAAGTAATAAAAAGGTTCGATCTAGTTAATTATTAATGTTATCTCTGAATAGAACAAAAAACAAAATCAAATTCGAAAGAAAGAAAGAAAGAAAAGAAAGAGAAAACATTTACTTCGATCAATTTGTTTTCTTTTTGTTACCAAGTTACTTGTTCTTTTCCTTCTTGACAACATTCATCCGATTTCCCTCTTATTTTCACTTTATATTCTTCCATTTCTAATTCTACCTTTTAATTGATTGATTTTTCTATTTCATTGTGATCAAAATCTACAATTAAATCCATAAAATGGTTAACAATTTAATTCTTACCTGAAGAGAAATGAACTTACCTTTCAACCGATTTCTTGTTTTCCTTTTTTCCTCCATCTCAATGTGCATATACACTTCTTATTGTGGCTTCATGGCGATTAATTAATTAATCTTCATGTAATTTTAATCGTGTGATTGTATTGTTGGAATCAATTTACAATGTTGGTAAATTATTCTTCCAATCTTGATAAATCGTTGACTCGAAGCAACAACAAATTGCTGTTGATTTGGTTTCTTCAATTGATCATCTTGTTACTCTCAACATGTAAATGTAAACAATCAACAATTGCTTTGATTAATGTTGACGATTGTTTAATTGATGAATACTTTGATATAATATCACTTAATTGTAAAAAGTGTAACAGTGATTCCGACCAATTAACAGGCCTACTACCGTCAAGTTCAGCGTCATCTTTACCCAATAATAATAATAATAAGACCAAGATAAACAATTCCAATGGTAAAATTAAATCATCTTCTGGTTTTGATTGTACCTGTAAACAAGGTTTCTATAAGGTTTACCTGGAAAAGGGTTTCTCTTGTAACCTTTGCCCTTCAGGGTCGGTGACATCGATTGATGGTCTTCATTGTTCAATTTGCTCATCACTTTATCCATTCCAATCCATAAGTAAACAATGTAATCCATGTCCAGTTAACAGTATTATCGATGACAGGCCATTAGACAATTCAAATGAAATGGAACCAAAAATGGAGCGATATTGTAAATTGTGTCCAGATAATTTTAGATCATCAGGTAATTGGTCAACCCAATGTTCACCTTGTCATCTATCAATGAAAAATTGTTCTTGTCCAAAGGATCACTTTACCCTCTATGGTGGTTTATGTTTACCCAACGGTAATCTGATCACTGAGAAGGTTGATCTTTATCAGGTCACTTATGATAATGGAGAACAGGTTAACTCGGCTTTTTTCATGGAGAACCTTCAATCATCCGTTTATCAGTGTCAATATCAGGGTAACAGGTCAGCGTGTCAACTATTGGCTAACCTTTGTACTCTACTTAATTATCATCTAATTGAGACCAATAGTTTTGGCGGGTTTACCGGAATCTCTTCAAGCAAAAGTAAAACCAATGCTTGTACCGAGTTTATTAAATTGTCCAAATTACCGTTGGTTCCGTTATTGATTTATGGTGACAATGGAATCAATGAACTGCGAAAGGCAAATGTGATTAGTAAAATGTTTAAAATTGATTCTAAATTGGAGTTAATTGCAGCTCGATATGATATCTATGGGTCGCTTGTTGATTATTCACCATTGAAACCTGGTGAACTTCAATTATGTCAAACTGAACCTGATTCATTGGATTCGGGCTTTAATTTTGGAACCAATTATTATCAAAGATGTGAAAAAGATGTTAAATCCTTGTGGGATTCGAGATCATCTTCATCCGTCATCTTTTATGATCTTTATCTGCTAGATGATGATCAAGATCCTGATGCTGTTTATCCGATTCCGGTGATGGTCACTAATTTAATCGAAAATGGTGAGCCAGTTAATCGAGGGGATGATGACCAGAAGCGACGTCTCGTTCGTCGATTTTATCTGATAGAATCATTTGTTGGTGTCGAATTGAAAAAAGACGGAATTTCTGATGTTCCAAGCGAATCTTCATCTGGTAAAAGTTCATCTGAAGGAATTAAAATTCTGATTCTATTGATTCGAGTTCAGATTATCTGAGATACGCTCAAAGTATAACGATTAACATTGTGATCAGTAAAACTGATGGAAGTGGTTCCATTTATCCGCCATGGATTAAGATCACTTATGGATTAATCACAAGGGAAGATTATGTTGCCGGTGGTCGAGTTTCTGTTGAATTTAGGATCAACTATTCAACTGATCAGAATAAAAATTCTCGAGATTTATCAATTTCCTTAGGTGTTTTCTGTGGCCTTGCGGTGCTTTTCGCCCTTTTCCGAGCCTGGGCTTGGGCCAAAAGACAAGGTAAACAAGCGGTTGACCCCATCACCATTTCGGAGTTTCTGATAATCAGTGTTGGCTTTTTGGCTGATGCCTTTTTCCTCGTTTGTATTGGATTTTCTATCCATTCATTTATCATCTACAAGCAGCAATCTGTAGTCCATGACCTTTTACCTTCTTCCGGATTAGAGGCGACGATTCGGGTCTATTTGTACATTTCTTTCGCTCTCAAATCTGTCACCATACTTCATGATCTCATTATCCTTTCTCATACGAATATTTTTCTCATTGATTGGGAGCGACCAAGAGTAATCACTGTTACCAAACGAGCGCGAATCGAACCTTCAGAAAGGAAGTCCACTATTGATCATCTTGGCGGTGATAATGTGAACTCCACGGGGAATACAACGGCGACGAAAACACCGACTGGAAATAATATCAGTAATGATAGTGGGGTTGATGGTTCTGTAGGTCGAAAGCCAAGTTCCGGTGCCGTTACAAACTCTCTTGGATTAACTGGAAAACTGTCTCAAGATAAATTATCGTTTGCCCACTGTCCAGCAGTCTCTATTTGGAGAACCTATTTTGTCGCCAACGAATGGATTAAATTGTGTACCTATCGCCGAATCAAAACAAGTCTCCATCTTTTTCTGGTTCTTTTGTTTCTCCACAGTTTAGGATTGGAAAATTTGACCACCGCTGATACTCAGAATAATCTTAAACTTGACCCTGGTCAACGTTTTGTTCCCGAAAGTCAAACATGTCGACTTGCAATTGGAAGTTTAGTTTTCTTTCTCTTGGGTCTTTGCCAATTAATTTGGCATCGAATTTTTTTCGAGCGAATGTACAAAAATCGCCTCGATGAATTTGTCGACCTTTGCTCAGTTTCCAATGTTTCCCTTTTTTGCCTTCTCTATCAACGATTTGGTTTCTATATTCATGGTCGATCGCCCAATGGCCGCGCCGATGTAAACATGAAAGAAATGCACGAACTTTTAAAACGAGAAGAGGATGACCTTTGCTCGAAACGAGGTTTACTTCCCAATACTGACCATCAAACCTTTGAAATGTTACTTCCTTCATCCATTGCTGACCAATGTAATCGTATTCGCGCTCTATTGACCACCTATTCTCAGGGGGCCGAGAGGATGCAAGGTGTTGGTGGACATTTGTTCAAAGTTGACCTTGAGAAAGTCGTGCCCACTTATGTTATGCTGACCAAATTTCTCGCGGGCTACATTGAACACGCCTTTAAGGACGCTGATTATACGGTCAAAGATAAATCGAACATTGAATCTGTTCTTGATTTCGAACTTGCTGAACCTGGTGATCGAGGCTTCCTTTATAACGATAATGGTCATTCTTTTGATCAACTCATCTTTTATGGGAACGAATTTAAATTGTTCACCTTTGAGCTTATGCTATTTATTTTCGTCGATCTAATTAGCCACAGTTATTTAGCTTCGATCGTTTTCACCTTTCTAATTATCGAGTTGATTAAAAGTTATTTCATTGTCGCTTATAAACGGAACATTGTGAAAAAAGCTTTAATCGATGAACGGTTTCTAATGTGAAACAATTTATCGAAAATGATCATTTTTAATTGCGAAATTTATTCATCCACAATCAGCTAATTGTAATTGGAAAATTATTTTTCAACCATTTTTTTCTTGGATCAAATTATTAAGACACAGGCAACAATCAACTCAAGAATTTAAATTAACTACAATCTATTTATCTCATCTTGTATTTCTCAAATTGTAAACAATTAACTAATTTTCATAATCAGCTCATCTTGATTAACTTAATTTTTCTTGTTTTTGATTAAATTTTCCATTCTAAATTGAATCGTACATTTGAAAGGAATATTTTTAATTTTATTTAATTTTTTTCACAAATTTTGTGAATCTACAATTGCAAATAATAAATTAACTTAATTGATAATCTTTTTTTCTAGTTTAAATTAATTTCTAACAATTTAAACAGAAACTTTTAAATTAATGTTTCTTATGTTCATCAGGATGATGTTTCTCAGAGTGATGATGATGTTTCTTGTGCCCGTGGTGCTTATGCTCATGGTGTTTGTGTCCATGGTCATGATGACCTCCAGCATGGTGCTAAAAGAAAAAAAAATTAATTAAAAAAAGTGATTAGTTAATTATTAATAGAATTGTGATTCCTTGAAATTCGAAAAAACCGCGCGAAATTTAACTAGTTTCATTTTGGAAGATTTTCTCTCATCAGATGTCGCTAGTTAGCTAACGAATTGTTGAAGTTAAGATTTAATTGTTCAATTGAATTTAATTGATTGGTTGATTAATTATTGATTCTTTTGTTCCCTTCCGTTAATTGACTTTTAATTATTTGCAAGAACATCGAATCTGGTTAAAGTCTCTTCAGTAGGTGAGTAATTTTTACTTTTTTGATTCTTTTTTCTTTTGCTTTTGTTAATTGTTTGGTTTGTGTTCAATTTGATTGTAATTGATTTTTTTTTCGTTTTTACCTCAACTAAATTTCTCAATTTAATTGTTATTGCTTCTTTTTATTTCTCTCTTTATGTGTGTGTATTCTCCCTTTGGATCATTGGCTTTCTTTTGGATGAATTTAGAGCTTTAGGTTTTTCTTTTCTCAATTACTTTAATCACCGAATTTGAAATCTATTCAAAATGGAGGCTAAACCTTCAAAGCCTAGAGACTATTGGTCAATGTATTCAAGCTTATTTCGAGGATCAGACATTGAAGACTTTCGTGATGGAAAAGCTCGAGATCAAATGCTAAGGACAAATGCTTCAGTTTTCGCAATCACTTATAGAGATGACATTGATACCCTAAGAAAGACAATTGTTGCTGATGCTTGTGATATATGCGAATCAGTAACTGTTTTAAATCAATTTGTTTTCACTGAGCGTCAAAGGTTAAAGGCAATCATTTACATCTTAAATGCTCTTTGTGAACGTTACAAAGTGGATTTGGAAACAAGCCTTAAACCTGGTTATGCATTTGTCGAAAGACTCAATCGAATTGAAAAAGCAGTGACTGACAATCAGGAAATGGTTAAAAAATGTAGTGAAAAACAACAGGAACAATTACAAATGATAATTGATCATATAAATGGAATCAGTGATGACCCCGAAGATTTAACTGTTGCCAAATCAGACAATCAGGATTAATTTCCATTCGGAAGATCATGACAATCATCTAATTATAACCATAAAGAGCCTCATATACAACGAATACTACCTAATTCACCTTAATTATCGTCAAGTCTTTCGTCTGATTAATTATTTATATTTTTCTTTTTCAAACAGATTATCATTTTTTTACTCTCAACTTATATCATCTAAATTGTAAATATCTTTCACCCAGAAACTCAATGTTACTCAATAGAGCTTTAGACATTGAATGACCTCTCCAATTATGGAAACAATTAACTTACATGATCATGATGATGGCGATGATGGTACTTATCGTGCTCGTGTTTAGCTCCATGGTCTTCGTCATGTTTGACCGCATGTTCTTCTTCGTGCCACTTCTTCTTCTCTCCATGATGATCTCTTTCTTTCCAATCACCTGAAGAAAAACGAAACAATTAATCAACACAAGTGATGGAAAAACAATCAACAATTTAAGGCCAATCAATTTACCTCCATGATGATGCCAATCTTTCTTAGCGCCGAATCCATTGTCCCAGTGCCAAGATCTTTCGTGTCCACCCTCTTTCTTATGGTCCCAATCCTCTTTCTCTCGATGACCGTGATCTCGATGATGACCTTCATGTTCGTCTTCTTGTTCCCTGTAGAAGATTGATTGTTCATCGAATCATAATTAATTTTAATTCCATAAAATTTTCCTCACTCTTTCTCTCACCTATGATGTCCATGTTTCTCCTTGTAATGGTGATCATGATGATCTCTGTCATATTTATGGTGTTTCTTTAAGAGAAATCATATTAAACTGATTAGTTGATTATTCTCATTTTAATTAACTTTATATTCTTACCTTGTGGCCATGTTTATCACCTGATTCCTCGTCATGATGACCTTTATCATGATGTGAATGATGACCCTTTTTCCAGTGTTCACCATGTTCATGCCAATGGTCCTAATCAATTTTAACAATAAAATTTTAATTGTCAAAATTTAAAACTTTTCCTAAATGTTTCATCAGATTTTCAAGGAAATGATTGAATAGTTAATCACAATTACCTCTTTATGGTGAGGCTTATGATCCTTGTGGTCATCCTTATGGTCATCCTTGTGGTCATCATGATGAGCAACATGATGTTTATGCCAATGATCAGCAGCAGCTAACGAACAATTAAGATAAACAATTAATGGAAACACTGGAGAAAAATTTTCGGTCTCATTGTCTTACCTTCCAAATCTTTCTCTGTTTGAATAACTGAATTTAAGCCACTTGGTTTTAATTGTTCGTGTTTAATCACTAGAGAATCACTCGACTTTTTGTCAACTGGTTTACAATTAACATAATTAACTTGAAATAAACTAAGAGCAACAACAATTAAAGTAAACAACTTAATCCATGGGAAACTCATGACTGATTGTTTGATGAAAGATTTACGGTTTTCTCACTAATAAGTTTTAATCACAGTCTTAAATATACAATTTAACTTATTTTATTACAATTTAATAATCATCCATGATTAGTAGTTGATTAAAAACTCACAATCAACCTTAACCAACCAACAGAACTTTAATTAATGAAAACAAATCAGTTTGCTATCGGTTAATTTATATGGCAAATATTTGGCTTTCATCCCAATCGGAGTTTTTTGGTGACACCAACATTTAATTGTGAATTAACTAATTGTCATTCAATTGGGTTTCTTAATTGTTTTCATCTTTTGTGTTAATTGTTTATTGTTGTTTAGATTGAAAATAATCAGAGGTTAAGCATTTTAATTGAAAAGGTGTTGATGGTTGATTAATGATTAGCACTTTGATCATTGTTGTTTTTTAAATTGTTCAATTAGATTGAGATCAAAATCATCGAACCTCATTAATTGTTAATGATTAAAATTCAAGAAAAAAAAAGACTCCAACAATCAAATCATCTTAATTTACTCCCGTTTTCCTTTTCATCATTAAAGGTTAATTATAATTAACCTTCAAATTGACCTTTCAACTTGAATCTTACTTTTGATTATCAGTTCAAATCGTTTCAATTGTAACTTTTTTCTCCAACAATTTAAATTGTTACCATTTAATTTTAAAAGATTAACAAGCTCATTAGAATTAAAAAAAGTTTCAATTTATTGATTAGAATTCAAATTTGGACGCGGATGTTGATTGATTGAATTAACAATTTAAATTTAAGTTAATAAGCGAACAGCATAAGAAAAGTGATCGATTAATTATCTTTGTTTAATTATTACAATCAGTTTAAAAAACAGAAAATTTTTCATCTCTGTTGATAATTAATTAACTTTGATAAATCAAGAGCAATTCCTTTAAGCTTTCATGGAGTAACTTGTATGCTTCCAATAGATTAATTGTAATAATTAAATGCTCCTTTTTTTCTGATCAATTGAAAAAAGGGAACACGAATTTCAGTTATAATATTCATGTTAATTAACAAGAATTGGTAACAATTTAAATTGTTTACAATTCTGTTTTTTCTTGGGTTGATGGTTCTTTTTGTTTCGATTTTGTTTAAATTTGGGAAATAAAAAATCTCTTAATTAATTAAATGCACAGAAGTCGAGGTGTTGATGCTTCGTAATGAGAATTAGTTGGAAGCGTAAATAATAATCATTTATGTTTCTCTTTTTGCTTGGGCGTATTATTGGTGATGATTGTTTTTCTTTTTGTCTCACAGTTTCAGGGTTCGTGTAAATTGTTTGCGATGAAAATTTGTAATTAGGAATTTGCAGCTAAACAGCAAGACTTTAAATTGTAAAATTTTTGTTCTATTAAGGGGGTTAAGGGTTTTGAGTGAATTATTAGAATTAAAGAGTTAACATTGTAAAGATGGGAATGGAAGGCAAGAAATCGAGTTTGTGAGTGAACGAGAAGAGATAGAATTTTAAAAAGAAAAAGGAGACAAGTCTTGATGAATATGAACGGAGAATTGAACTGGAGAAATTTTTGACAAGGAAAGATGAGCGATCATACAAAATGATCAAAGGTGTTTGTTGTTCTCAGCGATGAAGCAAATGATAAAATATGAGAAAATTGAGTGAATAGGATGAAACAATTACTCTTTCTCTTTTTGTTTCTCTTTGACAAATGAACATCTCTTTCAGTTTTGATGCTTTGGGTTATTCTGATTAAAGGTCAGTCTTTTGACGCTTTGATGATGGCTCTGCGGATGAACCCTCTTGACTTTCAGGGGCGGATTGTTTTTTTGAATCTGACTGGCTCGGACATGGTTTCTCCTCATTAGGTTTAGGAATTTCTTCATCATCAGAGTCTGACAACTCTTTTTGACTATCAGTTGGTTTTACATTGGTAAATTTTACAATTATGCAAGTCATGTTATCGCAACCCGTGCCATCTCCTTCCGTATCCGGTGATAAACAATGGTCAAAGAGCTGGATGTGATAAAAAAAGAATTAAAAATTAGTATCAATTCATCACAAAGAGGAAAATCTATGTAGATATACCTTTTCACAAATTGAGCTTAAACTTAAATTGTCATCTAGACGCTCTCTGACGAAGTCAACCACTTCTTGGCTGGACATTGAGTTCCTGGTGAAATGGAACAGAAAAAAAAAGATTAATTATAATCGAAAATTAGATATGATCATTTTAATCGTCTTACCAAATACCATCACATGCAAGGACCATAAATTCATCTCTTTCAGGCTTGATGATAGCAGTGCGAATATCTGGGAATGCAGTAATCATTTGTTCTTTCAAACTAAGTTCAGAATTATTTTTGTAGGCATGATCACCAATGGCGCGAGATAAATTAAGTCCTCCATTAACACGACCATCTGAATTAACGATACCTCCAGCGGCTTCGATACGTTTCTTCTCAATTGTATCTTCTGGCTTGTGATCTAGTGACATGTCAAGGGCTTTACCCCTTCTAGAAACGACACATCTAGAGTCACCAGCATTGGCGACGTATAATCGGTTACCTTTTAGAAGAGCGAAAACAGCAGTACAGCCACTGTCTTTACCGGGAATTTCGAAATCCGTTGTTGAAGCTTCGAAACTATCACCGTCTTCGTCATCGTCGTCATCATCGTCTTCATCATCATCCTCTTCGTCATCATCTTCGTCATCGTCATCATCATCATCGATGTCATTTTCTTCACCATATTCCATATCAGATGAATCATAATCAGAATCTTCTTCGCCATCACCACCCGTTTTCACGCCTGCACGAGCATTTCCAGTAGCAGATTCGAAAATTTTGTTCACTTGTTTCATTAAAAGGGCTTTGTAATCTAATCTTCCTGGTCTTCCTGATCTTGTTGTACTATCTGACTTGACATTTTCTGGGGTCACAATCTTTTTCTTTTTTCCTTTGCCTTTGGAACTTGAAGATGGTTCATCAACACTGGTTGATGCTGCAGTGCTAACGGTATTGTCACATGCAGCCGATGATGGAGCTGGAGATGAAGAAGAAGAGGTTAACTGTTCAGATGATTTAATGATAGCTGGTGCCGCTTCTGATGAGGTTGATACACAGGCTTCTTTTTCACCTGATGTACCAGTCTCTCCATTTGCTAGTTTATTTGATTCAACCTCACCGGTTGATGGTTCACCTGAAGCTACTTCATTTGATTCACTCACTAAATTAGAGCTACACTTACTCGACTCAGATTTAGTAGATGAGACCTTGCAAATGTCATTTTTATCTTCAATCACTTCATTGACAGATGATGAAACGGAATCTCCTACGTCTGATTGTTGTTTCTTGTGGAAAGATGGTTTTGCTTCTGGATCGACGGATGAACCACGTTCACTGAGTTTACCATTGGGTAAAGGATGAGAAGAGGAACTTGACCCACTAGTAGAACTACTTGAACTACAAGGTTCAAATCTATTCACGGCTTCTGACTCGTTTGTAGTTGATGATGAACTGCATAAACTACTAGTATCTTTAGTATCTTCGTTAGCAGTAGATGTTGATGGTCCTTGTTTAGCGCGTAAAAAGGGTGAAATGGGTTTATTTTTCTTAGATGCACTTATCTCTAATCTTACATGAGGGGGAATATGATCACGCTTTACTACTTCATTGGGGTCATTTTCTCGACCACTGTAACGAGCTATTAAAGCTTCCAAGGGTAATTTTGCTTCTTCTGCAAGTAAAGATGCTTCGTGTTCGTCTTCTTCATCTTCATCACTTTTAATATAGTCATCACCGGCAAGAGATTTAAGCTCCTCGACAATATCCGGTGTAATTAAAAGACTGTCAAACTCGATAAAGGCCTCTTCTAATGCTTTGTGTAAATTGCCTTCTTTGTAGTGCTTTATGTTTTTGAGAAAATTGGGAAGATGACGAGCACAGTATTTAGCCACTTCACCTCCACCATGTCCATCAAAAACAGCAAAGACTGATGATTTCTCATCAAAATCAAGTAAACCTATATGAGCATCCTAAAAGAGAAGAAGATAAAACAATAAAATGAGTAAGAATCAAAAGGATGGAGGGAAATCAAAAGTAAAAAGACATCAATTGCTCAAACTAATTTTTTGTTGTTTTCTGTGGTTATTTTGTAACGCAGGAAAGATTAAGGATTATATAAATTGATGTAGCCGTTTTAAAAGTGTAAAATTCAATATTGTTGAGATGATTTTTTTATTTTAAAACTATTAATTTCAAAACCAGACAAGAAAGTAAATTATAGAGGAAAGACAACAATTAAAACCGGCGTTTACTAGACTTGTGATTCATTGCTGAGATTATCAAAGGTAACAATTTAGCTAACAATCAAGATGTCAGAAAATTCTGTTAGACTGGACTAGTTAATTATTTGAGTTTTATTATCATTGAAATGGTTCAATAGTAGCCTGAAAATTTGCATCATCCAGAGATTAAAACTCAACCAATCCAATCATTACGGAGAAAGCAAAAATTATATAATCAAAACCTATGGCATTGTTGGCGCGTTAATTTCGATAGTTACTACTTATAAATGTGAATGGTTAATTACTTGATAAGTTATAAGGATAACAAGCATATACAAAGAGGTCAAAATGATCTATCATAATGAAGCAACTTAGAAAAGGTGAGGAGAAAGAACGGAGAAACAATCAGGGAAAACATGGCTCATAGATTGGATGATCTGAGAGAGAAGAAAATGATTTGATTTCTTTTAATATAAAACGACAATTATTTTCTAGAAAACACATGTAACGGCATAAACTAGAGAAAGAAAGAGAGCAAGCATAAGATGCATTGAAAGGGCGGGGGTTAGGTTACTGACAAAAAAATAGTCATTCAAATTGATTTAGAATTGGGCAGTAATTAGGATTAAAGATATTTGGTGGTAAAGGTAAAATAAAGGTAAAGTAGGTAAAAATGGCGATTATACCTCTTGTGATGTCCTCCATCCTTGCATAGACGAGGCACCATATTTAACAAACTCGTTCTCATCATCTTCTGATATCTTTTCAGTCTTTGGCTCTGAAAGGTAGGCTCCCATTTCTGATAGATTACAAATTGATTGACATCAAACACCAGCAATGGTAATAAAATAAGAATGAATTTTAAGAAGAACAGAAAATAGAGAAAGAAAGAAGAATATGATATTTATATCAAGAGAAAACGAGAAGAATAAGAAAGAGAGAAAAAGGAAAAGAGAGAGAGAGAGAGAGAGAGAGCAAGGAACAGAATAAAATGAAAGAAGGTGAGAAGGCAAAGAGAAAAAGGAATAAAAATGAAAGAGAAAAAGAGAGAGAGTTAGAAAGGCAGATGAAGAAAAAGAAGCAGCAATGGAGACGATGAATAAAAAGGCGAGAAAAAAAAACAAGAGATGAGAATATAAAGTGATTTTATCTTTATAACAATTAAATGTTCACAATTAGAATGACTGATAACTTGATAGACTAGAATCACAAGTCAATATTCTAGTAAATGAGTAAATTGTTGATAACAATTAACCTAGAAAATGATAATCACATAGAAAAAAAAACAAATTCAAATTCTACAAAATTTTAATGTGTTAGTACAAGAAGAGATTGCGGTCACTTTTCTCTTTCTTTCTTTCCTCAGTCTCTTTCTTTTTCTCTTTCTAAGTTAACCTTCTACTCCATCTGGTGAATAAGAGAATCAGTTAGTCGGTTTACCAGCGAAATTTGAATTTGACAGAAAAAGAGGAAAAGAGAGAGAAAAATTTTCTTCTGGTTTTCAATTTTTGGGAAAAAATTACAACAAGTAAACCAAAACCTTAGAAGATAATTAATTAGATTGACTTTAAATTGACAATTAATTAGTTGATTTTTTTGTAAAATTCTTTTACATTTCTATGTTAATTTAATTTCTCTATCGAATGGATGAGAAATTAAAGTTAATTGTTGAGGTTAAAAGTGAGAAATTTGATTTACGTTGGAAGGTACAAACAAAATGGTTGCTCTTCTCTTCTTGTTGACTTTTTTTCAATGGGATAATTTTCATGTACATTTAGTAGATTGGAATTGAGAATAAGCAAAATGTTTACTCTAAAAGTTTTCTATTTCAGAATAGAATTAATTGTTCAATTAAAGAGAATAGAATTGAGAAAAATTAAATTGTAATTGCTAATAAAATGAGAAAAGAAATAATTTATCTTGAGAAAATTGGGTTTGGGAGAAAATTTTGGTTGGAAGTTTTTTTCTATTTTCTATCCTATGCTTTTTGAGAAAATTATTCTCTTTGAGAGGGTAACACTTTTTACTCTTAAATTATCATTTTTCGCACTTTTTTCGACAATTAACCATCGAAATAGATTAATACATGTTAGAGGACAATAAGAATACTAATTAATTGACCATTGAAATGGCCTAAACTCTTAATGAAAATGATTACCAATTTAAGTATAGTTGTGGAGAGTAAGGGAAGGAGAGATTTACCAGGCAAATGATGGATGGAAGTGCATCACAATTAAGGTGAAAATTATACTTTAAACATAAATTTACCTTTTTACTTTTATTATATCCATATAGTCACCTCTATGGGCTCCATGTAGATACCTGAGTAATTAAATTAACCTATGGTTAATTAAAAAATGATTAGTTTAACAAAAAGTATCAAGTGGAAATTGAGGTAACACCATAGTTTTACCATGATATCTTTTAAAACGAACACTTTTACCCCAGAGATGATTTATTTTCACAATCTAGAGACCTTAGAGAATCAATTTAAGACACAATTAAAGGTTAACAATTTAATTAAATACAATTAATTAATCAGTTTGTGTCACCAGGAAAGCACAAACTTAGCTTGGCAACTTGGATGGAGAATAAGTTGAAATTGTTGTGAGTCCTCGTAGAGTTTGCTTTTTCTCTCCGTCTCCCTATATAAATAGTCTGAAGGAAGACTTTCTTTCCATCTTACTTTAACTCTGCAACCAAACTCATTCTTTTTCTCTAATTTTTTTTGCTTCTAATTTACAATTTTAATTGTGTGATTCACATCTAAATTTGCATTCTTTTTAATTCCTGACTGATTAACACACTTAATTATAACAATCAAGGTAAATTTTTATTCTATTCTTTATAATTTTCTCACTTTTTCAATTTTATCTTCTTGTACTTAGTTTGTTCTTCTTTTTCTATCTTTTTACTTACTGTATTTTTCTTTGGTCTTTCTCTTTTTCTTTTTTGATGTGTCTTGTTATACAACTTTTTTTGGTAACATCGTTAACTTTTTAGTTGATGATTTGCTTTGAATTGTTTTTGATTATTAATTGTTAATTTTCTTTGTTTTTTCTCTTGTTTTTTTATTTTTTTAATATTGTTCTGGTGATTATTGGATTTATTCAGATGTCTGAAACTACTGCTGCCGCTGCTGCTACTGTTACACCTAAAGCTAAAAAAGCCACCAAAGCTGCTGCTGGTGGTGCTGCTAAAAAACCTAAAGCTGCTCCAAATCATCCTCCTGTCTCTGAAATGGTTAATGCTGCCATTGCTGCTCTTAAGGAGAGAAATGGTTCATCAGCTCAAGCTATCAAAAAGTACATTGCTGCCAATTACAAAGCTGATGTCGAGAAATTAGCTTCTTTCATCAAGAAATACTTGAAACAATCTGTTACCTCTGGAGGTTTAGTACAAACTAAGGGTAAGGGTGCATCTGGTTCATTCAAATTGAGTAAGACCGCTAGTGCCGCTGGAAAACCCAAGGTAGCCAAAAAGAAGCCCGCTGAAAAGAAACCAGCAGAAAAGAAACCCGCTGAAAAGAAGCCCGCTGCCAAAGCAAAGGACAGCAAAAAAGACAAAAAAGTTAAACCCGCCGGTGAAAAGAAGGTTGTTAAGAAAGCAAAGGAAACTAAACCCGCCGAGAAAGTTAAGAAATCACCCACCAAGAAGGCAAAGGTTGAGAAGAAGCCCAAAGCTTCCAAAGCTGCCAAACCTAAGACTCCAAAGAAGAAGCCAACAGCAACAACAAAAAAGACCACCGCTAAAAAAGCAGCTCCAAAAAATTAATTTTATTTTTTCTCTTACATTTTTTTTGACTTCCCTATTTATGTAAATTTAACTGAAACTCTCATTTATATCATATATCTCATCTTCATCATCTTACAAAACAAAACTATTATGAAAAACACTCCTTTTATTAGTGTATCTCTAATCTCTCATGAAATCATCTATTTCGTTCAAACATAAAAACAACCATCAACAAAAAATAACATAAAAATAAACAATTACTACAATAAAAAGATTATTTTGTTGAAAAAGAAAAGATAAAACGATTCTCAGCAATTTATTCCCATAGAAATTCAAAAGAAAATTTTTTTCTCCATTTTGACAGTTTGTTCACATCGAATTACCCGCCAATTTTCCCTCTTTTTTCTCTTTCATCTCATCACATGGACCAAGTGAAGAGAAAACATTTTCATCTTGTTACTCTTACTGTTCATTTCAATTAGAATTTCTTTTAATAATTAATCTAATCTAATCTAATTAATTGTTTTCTAACAATGAGCGGGACGAAGAGACGAAGTTGGGATGATGACCGTAAGTAGAATTTCATTTTATTCTTTTTCGGTGACTAATTTTGTTTGTCTCCTTTGCCTTTGGTATTTTTTTCTCTTTCATTAATTTTAGCGGAAAGACCAAGGAAAAGATACCGTAATGAAAGACCTCAGGAGGAAGATGAAATTGAAGACAATTTGGAACATCTAATTGTTAAACTTGGTGATCGAGTAAGTTTACGTTGAGTGATTTCTGGTGATTTCCGGTCTCCATTTTGGTTTCTACATTGAGGCTCTTTTATTGATCTATGTTGGTTGTTTCTTCTTTTTTCTTTTACTATTTCTAGAGTACCACTGCTTTGGAAAAGAATTTAGAGGAATTGGTTGACATTCTTGATCATGATGTTTCTAAAGCTTCTAAAAGTAACATAATTAAGATTATTAGTGATTGGTAGGTTTTAGAAATTAATTTGGTTGTTCTATTGTGTCTGACTCTTTTTTTTGGTTTCTCTTTCATAGCGTTGCCAATCTACCTGAGAAAATTTCCATCTATTCAACGCTTGTTGGTCTTTTGAATAACAAAAACTATCATGTTGGAGGAGATGTAAGTGCTCATCGATTTGTAATTTGTCAATTAATTAGGCTGATTCATTTGGTATTCATTATTTTATTAGATTATCGAGATGCTAGTGAAAAGCTTCAAGGAAAGTGTTAAAGCTTGTGAATGGGAGAAGAGTTCATCTTATGTCCGATTTTTCGGTGATCTGGTCAATTGTCATGTTATCTCTCATGGTTCTTTGATGGCTCTTTACGAGACTCTAGTTGATGTTACTATGGAAGATAATATTCCACAGGTTCGATCAGATTTCTTTGTGTATTCAGTTTTATCATCTTTACCTTGGGTTGGTTATGAGCTTTGTGACAAAAAGGAACAAGATTTGGAGCAATTGTTGAACACCATTGATAATTATCTAAGTAAAAGATCAAAAGTTCATCATACCGCTTTACGTGTTTGGTATTCGGATACACCACACCCTCAAGAAGAATATTTAGATTGTCTTTGGGCCCAAATTACTAAATTAAGAAATGATAAATGGGAAGAAAATCAAATTCATCGACCATATCTTGCTTTTAACAAGATTCTTTGTGAAGCATTACAACACAATTTACCTTCTATTTCAATACCACCTCATGATCAATCCTACACTTATCCATATCCCAAAGTCGTTTTCCGATTATTTGATTACACTGATTGTCCTGATGGTCCAGTTCTACCCGGAGCTCATGCAATCGAAAGATTCTTAGTAGAACAGAATATTCGTTGGATTCTATCAAGACATCATAAAGATCTTAAGGCTTGGTATGTATTCTATTAGACCTCTGGTAACTCCCTTTTCTATTTTGAATGATTTATTTTCTAATTGTTATCCAATCCATTCTCGTTTTCCCCTTAATTAGCTCATTTGCTTTAATTGGTCTTCAAGGAAGTCATAAAATCCCGTTGGAATATGTTCTTGTAGAAATTATTTTAGCTGAAATCTTTGCCCTTCCCTCCTCGAGATTTTTAGAAATATTTTATGGATCATTACTCTTAAAGCTTTGTAAAATGCAACCAGGATCCTTACCCCAAGTTGTAAGTTTAATTGTCACAATCTAAACAAATTCAATCATCTTAGTATCGAAAGAAATTTGAAATTTATCATTATATTTACTTCGTTCTGATTGATTTTTATCATGTTCCTTTAGCTTGCCCAAGCTGTTGAGATGATCTTTGATCGATTGGATACTATGAATGTTGCTTGTGTTGATCGATTTGCTTCCTGGTTTGCTTATCATCTTAGTAATTTTCAATACGCTTGGAATTGGGATGACTGGTCAGCGTGTTTAACCCTTGACCCTCTTCACCCTAAACCCAAATTTGTCCGAGAGTGTTTACTCCGTTGTATGCGCCTCTCTTACCATCAACGTATTGCTGAAATTGTTCCAGACGGTTTTAAAATGCTTTTACCTGATCTTCCCGATCCAATGAACAAATACAATGTTACAGATGAAACAATTAAGATTCCAGGATCAAGTTTAGCTAATCAACTAACCGAAATGTTGAAAAGTAAAACACCTCCTGATGAGATATTGAAAACATTAGAGGATCTTAATAATAGTACTGATGCTGGTGATGGTAAGTTTTACTGTTGTTTATCCTATATTTGTCTACTCAATTTTCAAACCTGTAAACTAATTGTAATTAATTTTCTCATCTAATCTAGTTGAATTCACTCCACATTCCTTGAAAATTGATGTTTTTCTTACCGTTCTGCTTAATGCTGCATCCAAATCATTTTCTCACCTTTTCTCTGCTCTTCTCAAGTGAGTTTTTTCCCTAAATCAATCAATATTATCCAAAATAAATCAAATTAATATTTATATTTTTCTTCGTTTTTCAGGTACAATCAAATCCTTTTATCATTGAATAATTCAGATGATGCTCAGAGATGTATTCTAGCAACTATTTACGAGGTTTGGAGACGTCACCCTCAGGTAATTAATAAATTACTCTTGGTTTACTTTCTTCTCTTGAATTTAAATTTTCATCTTTCTCATTTTTTCAGCTTTTAGTTGTATTAACTGACAAATTATTAAAGGCTAATATCATTGATTTCCCTGCTGTTGCTAATTGGATTTTCTCAAAAGAATTGGCGAGTGATTTTACCAGGTACAATTCTCATTATTCTCGTTGAGAATTTGGCTTTTTTAATAATTAATAATAATTCATTTATTAATTTATTCTCTTTCTCCCCCCTCTCTCTCTCATTTACTATTAGATCTTACATATGGGAAATTTTACATTCGACGATTCGTCGGCAAATCAAATTCGTTGAAGGTTTACAAAAGAAACTCAATGAAATGAAAGAAAAAGCTGAAAAGGTTAATTTCTTCATTTTTCATCATCTTTTCTCTAATATTTCCTTGCTAATTTTTTAATGGTTTGTCCATTTAGATCCAAAGTGAAGACAAAGACGAGGCTAAAGAAGTCAAAGAAGAAAACGAAGAAGCTGAAATTTCCAATGAAGAAGTGATCGAGAGCTTGGAAGAAAAAGTCGAAGCGGCTCTTTCAGACCAAAAGAATTTATTTCTCATCGTATTTCAACATTTCATCATGATTCTATCAGAACATATACAATCTTGTGAAGCTAAAGGTCGAAGCTTCAAAAATCATTGGTTCCGTTGGTGTATTGGTAGATTACAACAAGTATTTTTTGAGGTAATAATACTATCAAATTAATTCTAACCATAATCATAACTATTAATACATTTTATATTCATTTAATTTATTTTTTTCTTCTTCATTTCCATAGCATCATCAATATGTTTGCAAATATAATCCTGTACTTGAATCTCTGCTATTCACAGCTGATGTTGATGCTCACATTTTAATTATATTTAGACAATTCTGTTCCTTGCAAGCTTAAATTAAAATCGATATGATGTAAATCAAATCACAATTAAGAAAGACCCAAACCAATGGTATACAAAGCACACAAACCCTTACAGAAGACAAGACTGGAATTACAACTGATCATCATCATCTCTCCTTCTTATCAACACACTGAACAACTGATTATAAATAATGGAAAACAATGTGTATTGACAATTATAATTCACCCATCAACTATATTACCATTTTGTACTAAATAATTAACTACAAAAGTACAGAGGTCAAACAAAATTAGAGTTAAAAAATTCTACCATTTAAAAGATTTAATTTTTCTTTGTTTACTTAAAATCCTAATTTCTTTTGATAGTAATTAATCTTGCGACACTATTTGTTTTTGATGGTCAAGACAACCAACAATCAACAATTTGCACCTAAACTGGATAAAATATAATTTTCACCATCAACTTTATGATTAATCAATAATTTCATTCTCTATCCAAAATTTATCCATTTTCTTGGTTGTTATTCAGTAAGAAAGAAACTAGGTCACCATTTTTACTCATTTCTAATTCAAAAGGAACCATTTGTATCTCCACTGTTTAGATGAACAACTGAATCTCAATTCATCTTCCACCCAAATTACACCAATTCAATGATTAACAATCAACATTGGAAACATAGACTTTCCTTATTATTAGAAAACTACTTATTTAGACAATCGATTGTATCTGATTTGGTGCATCTAAACAACGAAGTTCCTTATGACCTGAGATTCTAATGATGAGCTACTTTCGGTTGAACTGATTGGTCGTTTTATTTTGTGGGGAATTTAATATCAGGCACTGATTCTCGAAAATTTATAATTCGTTGTTTGATTTATCATAATTTTCATCCAAAATGAGCACATAAATTACATGATATCCAATTGCAGTTCTGATCAGTTTGTCTCGATTCGAGCTACAAGATGAAGTCTTCAGATGAAAATTCTCGTTCTGACCAAGTGACCGATTATTTTTATTATGAAATAAAACCAATTCTATTTCGAGATTGAATCAAATTTCATCTTCCATTCAGCAATTTAAATATTCACAACAAGAATCAACTTGTGATCAGTTCGGAGAAAATGATCTTTGACCTTCAGCATTCGTGTCAATCTAAAGGTTAAAATTGTATTTCCATGGCAAAGAGATAGTAAAACAGATTATTCGTAAATGATTTAGCAACATTCAAAGAAGAATCAACTGAATCAATAATATAACAATAAGAAAATAAACAATTTAAATCTCTCTGTTAATTAAATCGCAATGTAAACAGATAGGCATTCAAAAGATATTAGAAACAATCAACTGTCAGAGTAAATCAACACTTTAAATCCTATAAAACTAAACTGAAATTAGTCCTAACTAATTAAGAGATGCAAGAAAATAAAATTTAATTGTAATAATTAAAAATAAATCAAAAGTAAACCAACAAATATTGACCCTTACATGAGATTATAACCTTAACCTTAATTCAAATGAACAAAAGTAAATGAAAGTTAATCTGTGATACTATTGATACATTTAACCAAAACAAAACCTAAAGAATCCTACAAATTAATTAGATAATCATTGAACAAGTGGCGAAAAGCAGGAATGGTCACCGTCCACAATTAAAATAAATTAAAACAATTAAGATGAAAACGATGAAATATAAATAAAAAGTGGAAAAAAAAGAAAATGTTTACGTTTGAATTGATCGGTGTTCATTTTGTTTCCATCATCATGGATTATTAGGTTAATAGTAAAAGCAAGTGAATCAACCGATACAATTGTGAGCAATTAACAAGACGTTGGACTGTTAATTGTTGGATAAATTGTGAAAACAATCAAGGAAATAAATTTAATTGTGAACAAATTAAAGAAAAGAAGTTCAAGTTTACCTTAACCAGGTTTTCTCTCCTTTCAAAGTGGAAACAAAATGAACACAACACAAGAAGATGAACCATTCACTTCACTGTGACTCTTACATTCACTTTTTGTCTTCTCTCTCTTTCTCTCTGGTTTTTTGTTTCTCTTCATTTTCTTTGGTATTATTGTTGTTTCTTGCACTTGATTCATTCTTGTAATTAACAATTGATCAGTTAATTGAAATTCATTTCCATCTAATTGTCTCGTAACCACAATCAACCGATTTAAATGCCTGCTCGTCGAAAACATTTCAACAACCGTTTCAATCCAACGCCAAGAGCTCGGAGTCAAAGAAAGGTAAGTCTATTTATCTTTGTTAATTAAACTCTGTTCTATTCTGATGTTTGATTGACCTAGAGAATAGAAAAACGCCTTTTAATTGTTACTAATTACTGACCAGTGACTAATAATCTTGTTTATTTATGTTTCATTTTCTTTTCCGATTTTCTTTCCTCTCATCTTTCAATCTCCACATTCTGGTCAATGTGTCTCTCTGTCTCTCTCCCTCTCTGTGTTTATTTTGGTTACACGCTAATAGAAAATTAAAAGTCGCTTGGACCTGATTTCCTTGACCCTTCTGACCTGGGCTATGGTTACTTGAAAGATAGTTATGCACCGAAATGTTATTTGTGTGAATTTCAGTTGTCATCAGACCTTCCCGATGAACATCTTACCTGTAGCAAATGTAATCTAAAGGGTTAGTTGAAATTTTGCTTTTTTCGCCATTTAAAAGTCTCAACACCAATACAATCAATTACCATCAACATTAACACCTTAAAAATGGATCATATTGTTGATTAGTTAATTTCCTTTACCTTTACACACATAATTATCTATTCTAAATGAAACAATAACAAATTGTTCCCTATTTGTGTTATAATAATAATAATAGTTCACCGGCGATGTGGAATTCCTGATGATACCGAAAACCTTAATATTCCCGAGGAAGATTGGCTTTGCGACAAATGTACAGCCGTGTGTTCATTGTGTAAATTAAATAACGAAACCGTAAGTTGAATCATCTAATTGTTGTATTTAGAAAATTACAATTGCTTGTCCATAATTTCGGTCAATTTTGTTCATCTTCCTCTCTCTCTCTCTCTATCTTCCCATCAGGAGCCTACAATAAACTGTACCATTTGTGATACTCCGTTTCATATAATCTGTATTCAACTGTATAGTGATCAACCTAAACCTAAAAGACAAGGTAAGATGGAGGAATTGATCTAATTAAACTATAAACTCTAATTAGTGACTATCGTAACTTGCCAAACATCAATAGTAACCTTATATACGTACACAAATCACAATACACCAAGAAAGTAAACTAATGTTTCTTGTGATTGTGTAAATATGAGGATAATTTTGTAACACCTTAAATTTGGTTAATTTTTCTTAATATTATTTTTTTTTCTTCTCTCTCATTTCTTGTATTATCTCCTCAGGTTCATGGGTTTGTAAGAACTGTGTTGATGTAGCCAGTGAGAAATATATTGACAACACTGAACCAGTCAAGGAAAATACTAGTAGCAATATAAGTAATTCTCAAGTTGATCGAATCAGTATAACAAATGGTAAAAGCCTCACACTGTTGGCACCCAATTTACATGATACTGATAAAATTAGGCAACCATCATCAGAGGAATCATTGATTGACAATTTACCAGCAATTGGAATACTAGATGATTCAGAATCAACTTTAATCAATGAAATTGAACCAAGTAAAGCGGAGATAGCTGATTATCACGCTTATGTATCAAATAGACTCGCTAAAATGGTTAAGTAAGTATTGTTTTAGAAACGAGCAAATTTATTTAATTTGTTCACTAATCAAACTCTTGAAAATAGCTTATTTTGTTTTCGCTTGCGTCTTTCTATTGATCTCTAATAACCTAATTTTGTTTAATTGTTTCATTTCATCAGAGGCCTTGATATGGATCCAGATCCTCAAAACTGGACAACCGATGATGTTGAATCTTATGTTAAAGAAATTGGTTTCCCTGATCAAGCTCATCTATTTAAGGAACAATTAATTGATGGTCGATCACTACTTCTATTAAGACGTGTTGATGTTGTCAAAGGTTTATCAATGAAATTAGGACCAGCTCTAAAAATCTATGCTCATATTAATCAATTACAAGAGATTGACATAGTTCCAGCTTTTAATTCACTAAAATCAAGTCAATCATCGGATAATTTAAATAACCAAATTTAAAATGCATCTATTTTTTGTTTCTCTTTCTCTTTCTCTTTCTTTTCTCTTTCTTTTTCTCTTTCTTTTCTCTTTCTTTTTCTCTCTCCTGTTCTTGCTCAAATATCAAGCCATTCATCGATATCATCATTAACTACAATTAGCACCAATTACACACAATCAAATATCATTTGCAAATGCATAAAAACCCACCCCACCTTCAACTTTGCCACCTCAATGTTTAAACAGCAAATCCCTTCAACTACAATAGACCTGAAGAGTTAATTTTGTATCATTATTTAATTATATGCAAAATAGCATATTTTTGATGGTATTTAGATTATCTAATTTATATAATTTTAATGAGAATCGGCTAATTAATCAATTAGACTTGGACAAACTAACCAAAACAAAAATCTCCCTTTGCAAAGGATAAACATTGAAACTGAATCAATCAATATGAAACCAACTGTTGAACCAATGAACATCTCTCATTGTTCAATAATAACAATTAAGAGACACTTAATCAATTCAATTAATAACAATGATGATCAAGATGATGATAAATAAAAATTGAGATAACAAATTAATACTAATTTTTCATCGCCATCTCTTTAATTGTTACATTTGATTACCAATATTCGTGTGTGTTTGTTAATCAATCTTGATTCTTTTGATTGTTCACTTTAATCATTTACATTTTCTAATCACAACAATTAAATTGATCGTCACCAATACCAAGTAATTATAGAAATTGATTACTAATCATCTCTTTTTCTTAAAACTCTTCTTCAAATATTTAACTTTAGGCTTAACTCTGATTGTTTAATACATTTTCTTAATTGCTGTTACTGCTCTTGATTATCTATTAATTAGTTGTAATCTAGACCTTCAGATTAATTGATTATTGAGGATTAAAGATAACAATCAAATTGTTGGGTGTCAATTGTTATCAAAAGATTTTTCCTCAAACATTTTCCTAAACTCGAAAAATTTTCTGATCAGTTTGATTTGATTGCATTTGGTGATTAGCAGTTAAATTGTTCGTAAATAATTTGACTCATCAATTATAATTAAGAGACTCTTTTAGTTAAATTTCAAGTGTCTTTTAATGTAATTAAACATTAGTGTTACAAATTAATTTCTAATTTGTGTTAATGTTTCTGTACAAAAATATTAACAAGGAAAAAAGGATTTCAATTAGTTAATTTTTTCGCAATTTTAACAGTTAATTATCCATATTTTCATCTTCATCTTCACTATTTAAATTAATAATTTTATTCTCTTGTTCATCTTCATCTTCATTTTCTGAAAGTTCACCTTCCTCGTCTGTTGATTGTTCATCAATTTGATCCATTTGATTGTCACTTGTTTCAGATTCAATTCCAAATGTTTTCACAAATTCGAGTCGATATTTGTTAAAATCTGATAAATTCTGTAAATCATCAGACCATCGGGTAATCACTCGATGTAAAAATCTAAAAGTAGCTGATATTGATGAAGAAGCCGAATAATTAGATTTCAAAGTTAATCCATGTTGATGAAGAATCGATTGGCACCATAACATGTAAAATTCAATGTGTCCAGTGTTTTCCAATGACGATGCTAATGATGAGAGACACAATTCGATATATTTAATTGGTAAACTTTTGATCGTTAAATCAATTGAGTTAATTGGCGTCGATTCAACGACTCTCTTGAATAAAGATGATTCTTGTAATTTCAACGATTGCATGAGAGCATCAGCGTATTGTTGATTGTCCAATGATTCCTTGACCGTAATTGGACTGACACCTTCATCTAATTCGTAAGGATCAAAATAATCAACGGTGTCCAGTGAATAGATTAAAATACCTTCGGTTGTCGCAGCGGCAAACGATCTCATTGTCGGTGAAAATTGTAAAGCGTAAGCAGCAACAATCGGATTGATTGATCTTTCACCGAGGTCACCTCTTTTTACCCCCGGAAGTTGAACTGGGGCAAAGTCGCCCTCCTCTCGAGCCTTGATTAGCATCTCATTGAAACCAAACTCGGCTCGTTTACGTTTACTGATATAATCAGCGATACCTTCCAATGATTTATTAATTGTGAGGGTAAATTTTTTGATCAACAATTTTTCGGGTACATGATAAACACATAGATGCTTTGATCGTCCACCGGCAAGGATATATTGTCCATCCGTTGAATAGGTTAAAGTGGAAAAGTGTTTATCATCATCTGCACTTTCCTCAGCATTTGTTTTACCCGTTCCCAGGTCACATTTACCTTCAATTGGAGCGCCCAACATTTCACCTGATTCAGTTGCAAAGAAATAAATGTTTCCGTTAATTGTTGACACTGCAATTTGATCACCATCTAAACGTAAAGATAAACCGATAGCCTCATATCCTAATTGTAACACTTCACGGGTACAATTTGCACCTTCAAATAGATTCCAGGTTCGTACAGTTTTATCCCAACTACATGAGACGAGAATATTATTTGAGGGGGAGAATTTGATTGCCGAAACTGGAGCTTGATGTCCAGTTAAACATTCGAGAAGTCGACCTGTTTTAAGGGACCAAAGAAAAATTTCGAAAAAATTTTGAGCACCAGCAGCAATAAAATCGCCAGAAATATAATCAACCGCTAAACTGATAAATTGAGCGGGTTTAGAGATCTCAGGAGCTGCAAATGTACGAAAATTACGATAACGATTAAGGTCAAACGCTCGAACTGTCCCATCTAACGAAGCTGAGATGAGAACCTTTCCATTGGCATTGGGTTGGAATTCAACAGCAGTTATTGGTGCTTTATGTTCATCGCTAAAGGTAACGAAATTAAATCCACCCAATGTATCCCAAACACGAACCTTGGCATCAGTACCACCGGTGGCAAGGTAAGCACCGTCCGGAGAGTAAGCTAAACACTCAGTTATGTGGGTGAAACCGGCACCAGTACCACTTTGTTTGAGAATAAAAGTTTCCGTTCTCCATTCCCAGACAAACAATTGTGATTGGGTCAATTTTTCCTCTGCTAATTCATAAGAGGTCATTGGTTTAACTCCCGAACCAAAAGCGATCCAATCAGTGTCAGGACTAATCGAGATTCCATCGATAGCACCAAGATTAGACAATTCAAGGCAATAGATTAAACTGAAATCAGGCATATCATGAAGCAGAACAGAACCATTGGTGAATCCGGTAACTAGTAGATGAACTTTGGGACTATAAGCGGTCGACGAAACGTAAACATGATTGGACTCGGTCTTCAAGGAATCTGTAAGAAAATATCTCTCGGTTCGAGAAAATTGTAGCTTTTCCTCTTTTGGAGTTTCGTCTTTCAATTCATCTACACTGTATGAACATTCCCAAACGTAACATTGACCATTTTTACTAATAGTGATCAAAGATAGATCCTGATCATTGAACGAACCAAAATAACCTCCGATTGGACAATCAGAGTGACCACTAAGGTTGATTAAATGAGGTACATTAGGATGACATTTGGCAACAGTACAAATCTTGACAGTCAAGTCTTTACTCCCAACGGCCAATAATTTTGAGTCTTGACTCCAAGTGACAAACGTCGCCTTATCATAATGAGCCCTTATAACCTTGTAAATCTTAAATGGTGACAATTCCCGACCCGTTCCAGTAAAAGCTACAAGGGAAACAAAAACCCAATAAAAAACATTAGAAAATGTGAACAACAGAAACAACATTGAAGAGACGGTTAAACTCACCAATTCCTGGGGTTAAATAGACCAAAGCTTTATTGTCAACAAGAATGGCATAATATCGACCATCAGGACTGAACTTTAACCCACCGAGCGAGGAACAACTTTTAGAAAAATCTTTTCTATGAAGGACATAACCAGTAATTGGAGAAACCATGTAAAGATGACATTTCTCTGTGGTTATAATTAGTAGTCTTCCATTGGGCGAAATAGCAATATGGTTAATATTATGTTCGGCTTGGAATGATAAAGCTCGAGATCGACCGTTTTTCAGGTCATATAGCACAATCTTATTACCACATGGACTGTAAAGACTTGAACCTTTCGGGTCGAAATAAAGATCACCTCTATTGTAAACACTTCCAAAGAGATTGGCAAATTTGTAGAAAAATCTCATTTTTCACTTGGGTAAAAGAGAGAATCAAAAATCAATGTAATTCTAAGGAAAAGGACAAAAGAAACTCAATTAACCATAAACTCTAACTACTAATAGTTAACAATTTAAAAGAAAAAGAATAAAATTAAAATTGTTAAACGTTAATTGCGAATGATAAATGAAGACAAAAACAATCACAATCCATTTGGAAACAACAACAAACCCAAGGCATGGGGAACACGTGGTTCGTTGGAGACCAGAAAATCCTAAGTAACATTTTTTTCTGGTCAATTTAAATTCTTTCAGATTTAATTGTTTGTTGGGATTTTAATAGATTTATGTAGAAATTTTTTAATAGAAATTAATTTAGAAAAGTTATTGAGATGATTAACGAGAAAGAGAGAGAGAGAGAAACGAATGTAATAAAGTTAATAGATGCTCTTGATTGATTGGATGTCGTTAGTTTTTTGTTTGTTTTTGGTTGACAATTTGGTTCGGTCATTTGTTTTTAGAATTTGATTTTTTTGTTTAATTACCAAATAGATCAACTTCTGCAGGAACTTGTATCCAATCTCCAAGATTTTGTTCTGTGAATGCTTGAATTGCCATGAGACGAGCGTGAACATAATCGTTTGCAGAGGTTTTTGCATCTCGATAAATTGTCGGGATTAAAAGGCCTAAAGGTGAGGTTGGAAGTTTTGGTGAATTTCGTCCTAAAATTGTTCGAAATGATTGGAAAAATGATTTCTTCGATAATCGAGAGACTAATTCTTCATTTTGAAACACTTTACCAGTATCAGCTGAGATTATCTCAGGCCAGGGATCACCTTTAATCCAATTAATTGCATAATTAGGTGAACGAGTTACCTGACGAGTGAATTCATCAGATTTAGATTGAGATTTGGCAACTTTTGATAGATTAACTTTATACATGAAAGATAATTTTTTCAATGATTCTGAATCATAATTAAGATTCAATCGACCATGAATCGCTCTAACCAAATGAGAATAGTTAAATAATGAACCGAGAACAACACTATTGAGATAAATTGGTTCGATGAAGTGAGAAAGAAGAGATCCTTGAATTCCGGCCACATTCCAGATCGCGATTTTATCCGAACATGACATGAATTGTAATCTCTGTTCACCGAGTAAAACTCCGTCCCAAGTCAAAGTGTTTGTCCCTCGTTTAACGGGAATTGTACCTTCTCCAGCCTCGATTTTGGCCCTAAGTAAACCTCGAGACAAGCGATTCCCATGCGGATCTCCATCCTAAAGGAATTGAACAACAGAACATATTAGAATTATTTAGAAATCGATAAGAAAAACTTAATCATCTTCATCATACATTTTCCTCTTTGGGACTGAAAACTCTTGCATCTCCACATGGAGCTGTTGATATGAATAAATTAACTCTAATTCCAGGCTTTAGACAGAAACCATAACCATCATCTCGTTGTTTCAAAATAAATTCTGGTCGATCTAATAGATTGGAAATTTAATTAATTAGCAAAATTTTACCAATCACCTGTTGATTCTGATACAAACCTTGGTAATTGTTGTCAATTATACCAAGTAATTGTCTATACAAATATAAGATGAAACATCGTCTCGATAAAACTTCAGCGTGTGAATCATGAACCGTTGCTCCGGTCATACTGAGGCGATCGCCTTTGATACACTTGGTTCCGGTGGTCAAGCAAATGATATCTAACCAGTTAGGGTCATAATCACTGGTCAATACGATGGATGAGAGGACATTCCATTTCTTAAAATCGCCTAATTGTTCAAAGACAAGTTTTGCTGCATTGAGAACTTCAAATCCAATCATATCAGCTGTTTTCTGGTCCAAAATCAGAGTATCATTTGGTTCAACAACAATGGTCTTAGTTGGTTCAGCGATTATTTCAGAACAATTAATTCCGAATAAGTCTTTAAGTGCTTCCTTGGCAGCGACATATTTAGCTAATTTCTTGGTTTTACCGACACCATTAAATGAATGAGTACCAACTTTAAGCTCTACTTTGAAAGAGGTTCCAAATTTTCCTGGAATTTCATCAGTAAATTGCCATTTGGAATCAGGTCGCAATTCGTTAATCAATGCCAATGGATTTCGATTTGGTGTCTCTTGAGTCATCACACGAATCATAATTTTCGGCTTTTTTGACTTCCTAATTGGTTCATCTTCGGGTTTCTCTTCAACCGATTCATCTTCATTATTGATCAGTTCACTGAATTTAACAAAACCACTTTGCTGTTCAAAATTATCACTACAAAAATCATCTGAAAACATGTCAAAGTAACAATTAGAAGTAAATTTAAAAAGGAGAGACTTAATCACAATCGATTTTAGAACATAAAAAAAAGAGCTCAACAGAATCAAGTCTTATTATGATCAATCCAATTCTTATTGAAAGTTAAAAGATCAAATTAACAACTGAGACTATGAGACATTCACAGATGCAAATAGTAAACAAATTATTTTATATCATTGACTCACTAATCTATTTTCACAATCAATTAATCATTCACTCGTTGAAAGGTAAAACCGTCTTGTTATTAAGACTCAGTGACCAAAGAGTTGTGATCATTTAAGAATCTTAAATTAAGATGATCCAAATTCAAAACAATCTACAGATTGGAAGCGCCTTTTCAACAGAAGTCACAACAAGATCAACTTCTAAAAGGATATTAGAGATTCTCTCTCATGGCTTCAGCCGCCTCTCGAATTTCAGCTTGATTGTCAATCGCTGATTCATTTACAATTCATTTCTCTTTGAAACGTTTTCTTGAGTCTTACCAATTCATTTTCGAATCTCTTTCAACGTAAAGGCGAAGGTGAACATTTGGCCCATGTTCGAAATTCTGATTCGATTTCTGGAATTTTGGCAAATCAACTAAATATAATTTTCTAGTTCATTTTCTCACGAATTGTATTACAAAGTAAAAGGGACGAGAAGGGAGGAAAAGGATTGAATTACATTTTGTATATTTGGTACATTTTGTTTTTTTTAATTGTTTAACTTAAATGATTAGAAAAACTCTTCCAGTTTATACAAATTTATTGTTTGTATGATGAGTATGAAGTATGTGTTTGATTGAGAGGATGAGAAATGAAGAGATTGAATCTGGAAATTTGATCTTTTTTACTTCCTAATTAGCAGTTGATGATTAGTAGCCTCGTAAACCATTATAAGCTTTGGTTTTTGATGGTTCTTGGAGAAGAGCTTTAATTTGATTTCTAATTTCTTCTGTTAATTCACCTTTGGGAAAATCGACATCAAAGGTGATAAATAAAGTTCCATGGGAAAGGTTATTCTCATAATTGGGCATACCTTCACCGGGTTTTCGCATCCTAGCACCAGGCCAGGTAATCTTATCTCGTTTAACTTGCACTTTATGACCATCAAGATGGGGAATTGTCATCTCAAAGCCAATTAATGCATCGGTCAAGGAGATGGTTACATTGGTATAAAGATCATCACCTCTCCTTTCAAATATTGGATGTGGAGTTGTTCTGATCTTGATTACTAAATCTCCTGGATCACCGTCGATATGAGGTTCACCTTCACCTCTGATCTTTTGCTCTTGACCGTCTTTCATTCCTGCTTCAATCTCAATTTCTAATAGTTTCTCTTCGTTGACTAATTCTGAGTTTGGACATTCATCACAGACTGATTGTTGCATCATTTGAAATCGACCAGGTCCCAATTGCCGAGTTACCATTTCTTGGCGACAATTACACTTTCTTGTTCCACTTGATTGTTTAAAGACAACCTTATTTCTTACAAGTTCTACAAAATTACCCGAATAAAGTTCTTCCAGTGTTACCCAAATGTCCATTAGAACATCACCTCCTTTAGGTGTTTCTCGTTCTTCTCTATTTTCTTGTCCAAAAAATGAGAAACCAAAATCACCGAAAAAACTGTTCAAAGATATAAATAGAAGATTAATAAACCAATGATTAATCAAATAAGATGATCAATAAAAGATGAATAATTTACCTTGAGAATGGGTCACTTCCTCCGAAAGAATCTCTATTAAGACCTTCTTCCCCATGTCTATCATAAGTTTTACGTTTATCGGCATCTGATAGAACCTGAGAATAAAAAATGAACAATTAGTAAATATACCAAAACTAATAAACGTCATGATAAAAATTATCAAGATTTATAAATCTGAGATTCAAACCTCATATGCAGCAGCTAAATCTTGAAATTTTTCTTGAGCTTTCGGATCATCTTTATTTCTATCTGGATGCATTTCTTTGGCCATTCTTCTGTAAGCTTTTTTCACTTGATTAAGATTAGCATCTTTTGGTATCCCTAATATTTTATAGAAATCTCTCCTGTAAAAGAAAAACCCAAAAGAGAAAAGAAAAAAATTAATTCATATTCCACAAGAAGAAAAATGAAAAAGCAAAAAAAGTAGAGGAAGAGGATAAGGATAAGGAAGCCGTTAACAATCAATGACATTAGCAGAAACAGCAAAAAGTCACACTGAAAATTAAACAACAGTAAACAACAGTCAATGAAAAACAAAACAAGCAAATCAATTGACAACAATTAAAAATGAAAATGAAAATGAAAATCCACTTACCCGGCTAATGATTCAAATATCAATACAAATAAGAAAGCAGTAAGAAAAATCCAATCAGGGGAATAAGTTAACCTCATGGCAAAAGATATGAAAAGTACAACAACTACAAAAATCAATCACAGTGATTACACTAATTGTAATTAGTAATAAACAATTTAAATTAAGTAACAATTGAATAAGATACAATTAGATCGCCATGAAAATTGACAACAACATAAACTGACGAGAGTTTTTCTAATGCTTACTAGGCATAAGAGATTTTGTTCTTTCCCACCAGGTGACACTCATTTCGATTCTTTTTGTCTGTTGTTGTTGTTGTTGTCAAAGATTAAAAACCAGAAACAATTGACAACATCAAATGACAACATCAAATGTTGTTTATCAATCACTCTGATATTTTATAATTTAATTATCTGTAAATTGTGTAAATCAAGTGTTTTATATGTAAATAAGTAAAATCGTAATTAAGAAAATATATCAACAAATCCCTTGGAACAAGTAACATTTAATTGTGATCCTTTTCTTACATAATCAAGTATCTTTTTTTTTCTCTTTCTTTTTTCCTTTGTTTGTTTTTTTTTCTTTAAAGAGAATTAGCTTTCTTCTCTTCTTCCTTTTTTTTCTAATCATTTGAATCTGTATTAATTGATTATTTGTTTAGATTCAAAGATTGAGTGATTGAGGCCATTTGGTTCTGTAATCTGAATTTTACAGTTAATCTGATTTTCTCTTTCTTTCTTCTCTTTGTTTCTTTGTTTTGTTTACTTCTCGGGCTTTAGTTGCCCCTCGCCATCTTTATTTATCTTCTCTCTTCCTTTCTCTCCCCCTATCTTTTTTTCTCTTTCTTTCTTTCTTTCTTCCTTTCTTCTCTCTCTCTCTCTCAAGTTGTGTCAAATTTGTGAGAGACTCTTTTTCAACAACCATTATATAATTACCAAGAATTAATTTTCTCCTCTTCTTGGTAGCCATTTTTTATCTTCTGCAATTTTGATATTTTGTTATAGTTTCTCTTTAGAAAACTTCTCAAAAAAAACAAAGATATAAATTTCTAAGGTCCAACAATCAAGATAATGGAATCAAAGATCCATTAGTCTTAAATACGCAATTAAAAGGGATAGTAGCAAATAATCAAAATTGACAAAGCTCTCTGCCAACTCTAATATATTAACAATCTGTATCTATGGTCAATCTAACCTGTTGAATCACTTCCAGTGTTTGGTTGTTATGTAACTTGTGCTTCTTATTACATCACTTGCTTCATCTTTCCTGTTTTCTTCATAATTCTGAATTCAGACTGTTAATCAATTGGATAATGTTCTCCAGTATTTCGTCTTATCTGTTTGGCTCAAATTCTGAAGATGGTTCAGAAAATTTGGAAGAAACTCTGGTTACCGAACCTAATGGCGGTGATTGGGTATTAGTTGATTCCAAGGAACAGGTTACAAGTGTTGGTCAATCAATTCTGATGGATTCTGATTCAAATAAACCTGATGAGGATAAAGAGAATGATTCATCGGATGATGCATCATCAATATCATCACTAAGTGAGTCGAGTTCAACTGAACATGATGATGAAAATGAGATGCGCTCTTATGTCACTGCAAAACCTGCCAAAAAAGTGAAAAAGCCCCGAAAGCCTCGCATCATCATCGACGATCACAATGGTTTCAGCGCTGGCCTAATGGATGGTTCATGGTTCGTTACCCCACCGCCTTGTTTCATTCGCCATAAAAAATCAAAGAAACGTTTAATTGCTTCATCGCCAATGGAAGATATGTTGATTGAACATCCATCCATCAGTGTTTACCAAGCCAATACTTCAACTGATTCGTCAATCAACAAACCAAACATTACGCCATTTGATTATCTTATTGAGGCATTTGATTACTTTCCATCTCTAACTGCGATCTCTAAAAATATCGCTTGGCCAGAGTGGAATGGACAAACTAAAATCAAGATTCCAGCCGCTCGATTGATCAGCAAACCAACAACATCAACCCAACGAAAATCACCCAAAAAACAAAATTGCTCAAACAGACAACAATTAAACTCACAAGATGACCACCACCAAGCCAACTATAGCAGCAATTACTTCAACAAGCTTCCTCAAGTTAATCAACCTCACGCATCACGTGAACTCCGAGCATTGAATAATGACGCAAATCAACATGACAGAAACGGTAAATTTTTTACTCCTCTTGAATTCAACTTGAATTTTAATTGTTTCATTATTTTTCATTTTAATTCAGATTACCTTCAGGAGATTAACAATTTACAATACAATTTAGCACCAATGCAAAAAGCTATCAACCAAGGATCTCAAAAATTTCTTAAAAAGTCTTTCCTCAACCGACAAAACCTGGTCAAGTCTCGAAGTGACCGCCGACGATTTACTCAGCCACCCAAATGTCACCCACTGAAAATGTGCTGATCTGAAAAGATCGTTATTCAATCCAAGTGATTTTCGGACCTTCCAAACATCAACGATCACCAACGATTTCAAAATTTCTCAAACTCATAATCTTAATTCTTTCTCCTTATTTATCCAATAATTATAATTTCCTCTTAATTATCTTAATCATTCTTACTCTCTTTTCTTACTATCTTTTCATCAATCAAAACTTATAATTAAGTTTCATTTCTATTAATCTGAGCAAATACACAATCATTACACATGAACAGTTTATATCTATGATAAATTTATATGTAATCTTAACAAACTTATTTAATTGATCACAATATGGCTCATGATAATAAAGAAAAACCAAATTAATCTCATTTTCTCAAAAAATCAATAATTTACACGCGAAAATAATTTAATTATGAAAAAGAAGAAAAGGAAAACAATCAATTAAATGTAAAAAAATATTGATTTTCTTTCAACACCCATAAAGACAATTTATAAATTCTGGAGAAAAGATTATTACAACAATTAGTGATTTAGCTTTTTCATAATGACAATTAAAATATATTTTTTGCTTCTTTCGTTTTTTTTTGTCTTGCCATTAATTGTTTATTTTTTTTTTTTTGATTGATTTTATAATTAAGAGTTGATTATAACCTTTTTTGATAAATTTTTTTTTCGATTTATAATATAATGCTGATGTTTCGTTGACATCATGTAAAAATTTAACTGCAGTAATTAAATTTAAAACGAAGAAAAATCAAACAATGTTGTTGTTGTGATTGATTAATTGTTTCTTTTTCTCTTAGTTGCAATTAGAATTAAAAAACTATTAAAAGTTTTTTAATGTCCCTTAACTTTACCCGATTTAGCAACTGTTGATTTTTGATTGACCATTTTCTTGGTATTTTGATCAACTTCAGGTAATTCACTAACATCATCGTCGGTACGTTTCGGTTTTTTTGATTGACTTTTGAATGATTTCTTTTTGGCCTGTTGCCTCTCCATTGCTCGTTCTCTCATTCGTTTCAAATGGAATGTGATAAAGTTCCACATCATCCATGCTTGCAGGAAGAATAGAGTTAACAGGCAGTTTATTCTATTCAGATGAAAGAGATAAATGAAGAGAGAGAGAGAGAGAGAGAGAGAGAGAGAGAGAGAAATCAAGTTAAATGTTATAAGAGAAATATGTTCATCAAGGGTAAAATAATTTGATTAATTGGCTTAGAATGATTAGTGACTTACCTAATTAATTGTGTATTGAAATTTCCTTGAGAGATGGATAAGGTACCTTTCTGATTAACAGCCAACCCATACCAGAATGTTAGTACAGACAAAGTGATTGATGCCAATCTTGTGAATACGAACAAGATGTTCCATACTTTGAAACTATTAGAATGAGAGAGAAATAAATTCATCATCAGATTAATATAATTGTGGTCGATTTCATCATCATTCAATTTTCTTTTGGAAACTTACCCGTGTTCAGAGACTGGGGTCTTTTCGGCAAAATAGCATAGTCGGGAAAAGTGGAACAGAGCTTCAACTGTATAATGTAAAATTGAAAGGCACAAAGCAATTCGAGTGAAGCTGTTGAAATTCAAGTGAATGAAAATTAATTAGCGTGTTAATGATGAGTTGTAATTGTTGAAATGGATAAATTCATTGAGTATGATAGCCATGTCATCAATAGAAATAAGATAAGCAAGAAAACGGATATAATCATCATTTTCTAAATCTCGATAATATCGTAATATCAATAGTAAGAAAGTCTAGTTTCTTTTACTCTGTGAATTTGCATGGAGTTTACTCAATGAGGTTGATTAAGATGTTGAACAAGTTACTCACTTCAGTACATAAGCGGCAGTGAAAAAGAAGAGATAAAGACTTGAATAAGTAATCCTTGGACCCATTTCCTCTTTTTTAGTCTTTTGCAAATAAAGCTCAGGGAAGCTGTGTAACCAGTAAGATATTTGGATAATGAAGTAAAATTTGAAAAGATAAGACATATGGTGATATGGGTAATCGATCCATAATTTAGAAATAGACCAAAGGTAGCCTTCTCTCCTGATAATCTCGATGCCCCAAATAACGGAAACCAAGTAGAAAGCTAAAAGTTGACCACTTTCATTGAATTTACTATGTTTGATCTTTGACAAATGAAGCCGACGATTGAGTTTCTAGAAAACCAAAAAAAAGGAGAGAGAGAGAGAGGAATAAAAAAACAATGAGATGACCAAATCGGAAGAAAAGAAATGATTACGTTTGCACTGTTATTTTGGGTTAAAATAACTTACATCAAGAAGATATTCTTGAACAACAGCATGCATAACAATGGAAATTAAGAAATAGAAGAAAATTAGAGCCAAATCTTTAAGACCATAAGAGTACAAAACGGTTTGCTCGTGCATCTCGGTGACATTATGGCTCATCACGATAAAAAGGCTTGCCATAGGAGAAGTTGCCTAATTGAAAAGATCACAAAAAAAGAGAATCAATAAAAACATAATATTGACCAAGAATATGATATAAATTAATAACTCAATAATCAAATTATCGATGAACAATTGTTCTCAACAATTAATTTACCGGTAGAAATTTTCTCTATTCTTACCTGGAAAAGTAGACCAACGATGAAGACCATGGCCACGCAAGAGACAATATCCGGATGATTTTGGATGAAAAATTCATGGCTCAGGATCGGTGGATTTTTGACAGCACCGGTACGTCGTTTAACAGGCATTTTGGTTTAATTAAAATTAATTTACTTTCCTAAACAATTAAAACAACTAAGAGAACAAATTTCTAACAACAATCTGCTTTCATCAGTTTAAGATCATCGGTTGACAACTCGATCAACTGTTAACGTGGAATTCCTTCGATGACAGCGAACCTGTTGGCTGAGAAAAGAACTTCAATTCGATTTAGTGGTAAATTCAAACGTTTTCGATTCTTTTTAATTTAGATTTGATTATTAATTCCAATTAACTAATGATCGACATGATTGAGAAATATTATAAATCATTATATTGGAATTTGGAATGATCTTCATTTCTATGGAGTAAAAGGTTTAGGTTTGCAAACGATTTTTGTAACTGGACAATTTGGTTGATTTGGAAGCAAAAATTACGGTGAAAAATTTAAATCACTGATCATCAATTCATCGTCATTGACGATTCGTCAATTAAATTAATCCCACAACCACAAAGAGTTAAATGGTTAATTTAAAGAGAATCGTCCTTGATCTGGAAACGTCAATAGAGAAAAACGAAAACATTGAAAAAGAGGAGAAAAAATTTTCGCTTTTGTTTTGTTTTCTTTCCTCTTTCAATATTCAAGGTTCAACACAATTTAACTGTTGATTAACAATTAAAACAAACAGTTGAAGATAAACGAAAAAGAAGGCAATTAAGTGAAAATTAATTAGAGTTAATAATCAAAACATTAATTGACCACAAACAACAAAAGAATAACATCACCAGCTGATTGATGGAAAAGGTAATGAGTCATAAATTTTTGTGCATTTTCTTTTTTCTCTCCGATCTCAGGTCAATATGATCTTCTAATTCTTCAAGGAATTCAAAGTCATACCCCAAAGGTAAATGACCATAACTCGATTCTAAGAGGATGTTACATATTTCGTCTTCTCCTTTCGGCCAAGAAAGAAAGAGAAAGGAGAGTCTCAATTGTTATCTTGTTCTCATCAATTTCTCAAGATTTTATCTCTCTCTCTCTCTCTCTCTCTCTCTCTCTCTCTCTCTCTCTCTCTCTCTCTCTCTCTCTCTCTTTTCATCTTCTCTTTGTTTGTAACTGTATACCTCGAATTCGTATCTTGTTGTCCTCGAAATGATCAGGTAAACTCTCTCATTTTCTTTTCTCTCTCAATCATCAGTCTGTCTAAATTCTCTTTCTACTTGTATGATTTTTATGTTCTCCTGCTATTTGACTGCATAGTTTTCTCTCTCTCTCTCTTCTTGCTATTTATCATCATCTTTTACCTTCTCCATCTTCTAGTCTGACGTTTATTTCATCGTTTTAATTCACTCATTAACTCACTTGAATCTCTCAAAGAGAAAAGATAACATTCGCTTACCTGTTTCTTTTTTTCTCTCAATTTTTTCTCTTCTATTTGATCATTTATCTTCTTTCATTCTCTTTTTAGTTCCTTGAATATATAATCTTTATCTATCCCTGTGTTCAACATGTTCCATGTAAAGTGACATTATCACTCTTCTCCTCTCCCGAATCATTATCATCATCATCATCATCTGCATCTATCATAATCAAATATCATCAGTATTTGTCAGTTACCATTTTGTTTGACCAGTTAACATTATCATCAATTAGTTGACGTTTTTAGTTTCTCTCTTAAATTAATTATAATCTAATTCTCCTTGCATTGTTTTTTCTCCTTCTTTTAAACAGACTATTTGTTCAAGTTAATTGTAATTAACGAGGTGACACAATTTTATTATCTAACAAGTAACCATTTAAACTATTTAAATGGTTAAGAGTAGTTGGTGTAAATTGTTGTTGATTAATAATCTAAAGTAAACATTCAACTCACTTTGTGCATGTATTAACAATAACTTGTTGAACCATTTTTTTGATTGTCATCTTTTATCGTCATCATTTGTTGATCACTTTTTCCAATCAATTTATTATTAATTATCACCAATCGCCATGCTTTTACTTTCTTCTTGTGTGTTGAACGCTCTTAAATTACAAGTTACACCCTGAAAATTACTGGTTAACTTTTTTCTCTGGGATAACAAGCAAAACCTAAACACAAAAGTGAATTCAATTAAAAAAAAGTGATCAAAATAGGAACTTGGATTAAATTCAATAAAAGTGATATCATGATTATTAGATTGTAACTAATCGCTTACCTGTTGATTTCTCGCCAACCATCTTGGTTTCCATCTCTCATCTCTTTATCCAATTTTACCCAATCAATATTTATCATATTACTTATCGTTTTTCATTTATACTTGTACAATATCTGTGATATTATCTTTCCATCGTCTTTGTGAAAAACATGAAGTAAAAAACCAAAGTCTTTGTATCTCCTTTGCCTGATGATTACACATTGGAAAAAAATTTCTCATATTAGTCAATAAGAATTGGTTATCATTTTATATTTAACTTTACTCTTTTTTTCCAGATTCTCATACTTACTGATTATCTGATCTTCTTTAATAGTGCCAATCTTAATTGTGATTATCTTACCATTATCAACAAAAGGGAACAACAAGATATCATCACCACCATAAAAACTTCATTTTTAATTACCATTTGCTTTTCGTCTTCTCACCATTAAATCTAAATAACCTCCAGTCTAACATCCAAATAAACACCAGAAATACTTGAATCAATCAATTGAGATAATCATCATCATGGGCAACAAACCAGTACATCAACCAACACTTTTCCTCAATGAGAATACACCCAATGAAACATTTAATCGACAACCACCAGCACCAGTGACTACGAATCATTTTAACCGTCCAGGTAATTAAAGAGATTGAATCATATTGATGAGTTTTGATTCATTTTTCCAATTTTCTTGTTCCGTTAGATAGAAAACATTGAGAATAAAACACAATCATTTCAAGTAGAAATGGGGAAAAATATGAGATGAAAATGATGATGATGATGAAAAAAAAGAGCTGATGATTGTAATAGTTAACGAAGGTCATAAACTTGTGTATGAAAAGAAAAGCAGAAATAATTGATTGCTTCCAATTTCACTGTTTGTACTCACCATTTAATGGAAAGTGAAACAAGTTTTACAATCTTTTCGGGTGTGGATTATATTAAATCTTGTTTGATTTTCCTTCTTTCACCTTCCTAATCACTGATTAAACCAACATTTTATTATTCTAAATCTGATTAACCTGAAGAAAAAAAAACACCGAACAAAATTCAATAGAAAACAATTAACTTTGATCAAGAAGAGAAATGAAAATTTCACTCAATAAGAAAAGCGAGGGAAAAATAGACCAATAGAAATTAAGAGAACAAAAAAATTTTCTATTCTCTTGTTACCAACTTACATTTTCTTCTCATTTTCTTTTGGTAAATTAATCATCTCATCGGTAACATTTTATTTTCTAATTAATTTATTCTCATTTATAATTAACGTCAATTTTTCGTCATTGGATTAACCGTTTTCGTCTCATTATCATCTCGTTTTTCTTGTTGCTTTCTCATCGTTTATGACCACATAGATTTTCATGTTTACTTTGTGACTCTTGACTCCATCTTGATTTTTATTATATCTTATATATTTATCTCTCTCTCAATGTGTTATCTTCATATACTTGAAGATGATGACGAAAGAAAAGTGACAAAAATTGGTAAATTGTTGAAATATGAGAATTGTCAGTGATCTTTTTCTACTCAAGAAAATCCAATTCCTTCATCTTCTCTCATTACCTACATTGTATTTTTATTCAGTTTCCGTTCTCTTTCCTCTTCATTTTTCTCATGATTCACATAGAATCATGAATACAATTGTAGCTTCTCGATAGTTTTATTAATTTACTGTTCCTGTGATGTATTTATACAGAGAACTATTAATTACAATTAATAAAACTAAACAAAGCTACATAGGCTGTAAAGAACTTCTCATTCCCAATTACATTGACTATTGTAATCATAGATGAAATCATTCATACGATCATCACTATTATTACAATTATCAATTAAACAAATGACATTGAAAACCCTCTTAAGAATTTCCCCTCTTCCTATTTTCCATCTTTGTTTTTTTTTACTCTCATCATACAGAATTCAATTTCTACCAATAATTAAGAACTACTATCAAAATCTCTCCAATCTAAAGACAATAGGAAGTGAGGATATCCATGGATTCTCATGAGTGTTTTCAGAATGTGTTGAAATCTCTTAACCTAATATCTACCTGGAAACAGATTATCAGATGTTGGTTTTAATCATAACCATCATCACAATGAAGTGATTTTTTGGTTAACCGATTGACTTACAACTAATCAAAGTTAATTGAATTATTGAGAAAACAATAGACACCAAGTAAGTTCAATTAAAATTAACTCTTTATTGTTATTTTCCCATTCTAATATTATAGACAACACTAAACTACCTTTTAATCAATTGTAGGTAACCAGGTGAAATTTACTAACAATTAACTTATAAAGAAACAATAATAATAGACCATTTATTCATTAGCAAGAGAGAAAAAGATTCAACAAAAAAAAACATGATACAATTTTGTATTCAGAGTAATACAAAACTGGATTTGTTGATGAAGATGAAAAAAATTCACCAAATTATAATCAACGTGCATGTTGATTGTTGTTGGTCGTTTTTTGATTGCTTCTAATTCAGTCAATTGTGGCTAGAAATGATTTTCTGACATTCCCTGGTTTTATATACTGACAGTTAAATTGTCAGTATGAATCATAAACCTTATGAGCCTGAACCATGAATACCTTTTGATGCATGACGATTTCAACTTAATTTTATTTCTTCATGTAAATTGTACAATCAACAATCAACCAGACAATCAACGAGACCCAGGTAAGGGAGTGAGAAAAAGGGAGAGAGAGAGAGAGAGAGCTGCCTTTTTTTGTTGACTCTTTTAATTGTTGAAAATGTAACAGGTTAACTAGTTAACTTTGAATTTCAACCTCAACTAGTAAACATCACACACCTTAATTGTAGTTAATTTGATTGCCATTTGAATGTTAACCTTTTCCATTTTAATTGTGTCTCTTGTAGTCTATCATTTCTACTTTTAATCATTTATTCAGTTCCATCATCTTAATTTTCATCACCCATAGATTTTAATTCATCTTTTCATCTCTCATTCTGTTAATATCATTTAATTGTTTAATTGTTTGCTTATTTAATTATCCATGTGACACTTTTAAGACCCCATCTACTATTCACATTACCAATCATCTGATTTACTTTAAATTACAAAAGGTTTGTTAATATCGTTATCTATTGCAATTGTTTAATCATGACAATTTAAATGATCAAATTACATTCCCCATGTAATTTACTAATTGTGTCTAATTTTAAATTGTTAAAAAATTGCAATCATTTCAATTTCTACAGACTCAAGTAACAATTAACACTTAAATTCAAAAAACCAAATTCATTTTGAAACTAATCTCATCTCTTTTACTAACATTACAATTCAAGTACTTTCAATTAATCTCTAGCAATTAAACAAAACAATCAATTAAACAATCAGAGAGAGAGAGATAGACTAATTAACTTCATTAACTTTTAATCTGTTATCAGAAATACATTAGTTTAAATTGTTTACTTATTCAATCATAAGCCATTAATACATTTAAATTATTAATGATTGAATAAAATCAATTGTTTCCACATGGAAATAAATTTTATTTCCAACAATTAAATTAACTTTTCTAGTTTGCAATTTATTGATAATCCCTAAAGGTAAACAAAAAGAGGAAAAAATGATCACCTGGTGGTAGATTATTCAACTTTTTTTCTGTCAAATGTAATCTTATTGTTATCCCAGTTAGTTAATTGATAACATAATTTTTGTTATCATTTAGTTAACCCAACAGTAGTTAGTTTAGATTAGTTAATTAGTTGAATAGTTGATTGTTTTGTTAATCTTTTAAACTCTGTGATTTTAATTTTGTTTCTCTTCTCGATTTACATTGAATTGTGTTTACCTGATCTTCCATTCTCTTCATATTCTACCTTGTTCATCTTCCTCCTTCAACAATAAGAAAATCAAAGGAAGAGAGAGAGAGAGAAAGAAAGAAACAGAAACCATTCAATATATTCTGTTGATGGATTTCATGTTAAATTCTGTTCTATCCTTGGTATTGTGTTTTCCCTTTGCCTAACAATCATATTTTCATTAGTATATTATTAGTGTAAAACAAATACTTTCAGTATTATTTATAAATATTATGTGATATGTTGATTAACTTAAATATCTTCTACTTGTAAAGTAAGTGAATTATTTTCCATTCGAGTGAAAGTATCAATCCTTTTCCTATTATTTTCCATGTCTGTGTTTTCCTTTAGTCTTCAACTTGTTCAATTCCTTTTCCTTCAAACATAATCTTTTTCTGTTCTTTAATCTCTTTCCTTTGAAATTCTCACCAATCATGTCTTATTCTCATCCCTGATTTTGACATTTATATTTCTATTCTTTCATCTTCACCACCACCATCATTATTTAGTTTTTCTATTGATTAACTTTACACTTGTCATTTTAATTGTACATTTTTCCAAGGGAAAGTGACCTCTACCCTTAGTTGATTCTTTTTCTTGTAAGTCTCAATTTGATATGTTTTCTTTTCTCACACCCACAATATGATTACATATGATCAAGTGTCTCTTATTTTTGTGAAAACTTTATTCTAATTACAATTACAATTACAATTACAACGTGTGGACATTTATTCTCTCATTATTTCCCTGTTCATTACATTTATCATCTATTTCTGAGTGTATGTTTATTATTCAACTAATTTTCCTCTTTCTCTTTTTTTCTTGTATCTCTATTTCTCAGTGATGGACACATTAAGGAAAAGTTTCCGCCGAAGTTTTCGGAAAAAGAAGGACCATCACATCACAGAGAGCAGTAAACCTCATCAATGGCAAGCAGATGAACAAGCAGTTCGTAGTGGCTCATGTTCATTCCCTGTTAAATATTTGGGTTGTGTTGAAGTTTTCGATTCAAGAGGAATGCATATTTGTGAAGAAGCACTGAAACTTTTACGGGTAATAATCACCATTAATCGTGCTAAATATAAACATTACCCTTTTGTACCCTCATAGTCTATGTGATCATTTTTAATTGCCTATGAATCTAATTAACTTGCAATGTTTCCTATCAACTCAATCAAATTTCACTTAATCTTTTTATCCCCTCAACTATTTTTCACAATACTTGACTCTAGTTTTGTTCATGTCGATTTTTTATCCATTTTATTAACTGTTTCTCATTTGTTTTTATCTTTTTTTGTTACATTTAGGCTTCTCGACGTCGACCTATCAAAGGTACACTTTTTGTTACTGGCGACGGCTTAAGGGTTGTGGACGAAGAGACCAAAGTAAGTGGACCAAAAAGTTACAAATACCAAAAAAATTGTTCTTTTTTCTTTTCTAATTCGTCGAATGGTTTAGGTCAAGGCTTTTTTTTCGTTTCGCTTTTTTTACTTCATCCTACAGTTTTTGTCCTTCTCTTACTTTCACTTTCATTCTGAAATTTTCTACTTCTATTCCCTCTCTACTTTTGTTTCTTTATTCTGATTGATTATATATTCCAACTTGAAACACCCTCCACCAACGCTGATTGTTTAACAAATGCTCATACTAATTACGAATGTTTATTTTTGTCCTTCACCATCTCTCTCATTCTCTCCCATTCTACCTTTTATCGCTTTTTTTACTAAAAGGGACTTCTTGTAGATCAAACTATCGAGAAGGTATCATTCTGTGCTCCGGATCGTAATAATGACAAAGGATTTTCTTATGTTTGTCGAGATGGTACAACTCGTCGTTGGATGTGCCATGGTTTCCATGCTCGTAAAGATTCAGGGGATCGATTAAGTCATGCAGTTGGGTGTGCCTTTGCGGTTTGTCTTGAAAGGAAACAAAAACGAGACAAAGAACTGGTTTCTATGAATTTTGATAATAAAACGTCAACATTTACTCGGACTGGATCATTTAGACAAGTTTCACTCACTGAAAGACTTACGGATGTTCAAGCCATTAAACCTTCAGGTAATAAGGAGGAAGAAAAAATGAAACGAGAGACAATTATCAATATAAATTGTAAGAGTATTATGTCCGTGAATATTTATTTGTGTAAGTGATACACTAGTAATTGCCATTATTAAGCTATAATTATGTGTTACTCTGGTGTTATTAATTTTCCAGGTAAATTTTTATTCATGCATTTGAATTGTGAAAGTTTTAGTCTTGCTGGAACTAATTGAACTTCTCAAATTTATATATTAATATCTTTGAGAAAGGAATCATGAATGATTAACTAGTTATTGTTTCATTATTAATTGTTTATGTCTACTATTGGTGAATAATTAAATTGAAACAATCATATTAATAGTTACAATGATTCTTTTAATAACAATATTCATCCCATTTAAAAGGATAATGTTTGGTTGCGTGTTTATTGTTTCTTCACCGTTTTGTTTTAATCTCTGATTAAAAGTACACCTTGATCTTATTATTATGTTGATTGGTATCAAAAAAAAGACATTTGCACCTCATGAATATGAATTAATTTTTAATTGTCTTTCGTTTTCCTTCAATTACAGAACCACCACCATTAAAACCAGTTTATAATCCTTACGCTATTGAAAGGCCACATGCTACTCCTCAACTCTTACAGCGACAAGGATCTTACCGAGGACTCGGTGGATTAAGCCAAACATCACCATTTAAACGGCAATTATCATTGCGACTTAATGATCTTCCATCTAATCTGGAACGGACAAGATCTCATTCATTGGAATCATCCTCATCTGATAATTTCTCAGTCAATCCTCGAGCTAATGGCAATTTAACAGGTAATTTCATCACAACACTCAAATTAAACCTCTTAATTGTATTAATCTGATTTCTTTTTTTTTCTTCTCTCCTTCTCTTTAATAGTTGCACCCATTCCAGAAGCTTCACCAGCATCCGAGAACAAAGCTGATGACATCAGCGCGATGTGTAAAGAGATATCAAGAGGATTAACACTTCTTAGCAATAATGATGATCCTTTACACTCACCAACAAATTTTTTCTAAAATCAATTAAACAAAATTTTCTTTTCGTTTGAAATCCACAATCCATTGAATCGTTTGCAAGACCTGAAAGCATCATTTCTTTGCATTCGTTTGCGCGATAAATTATTAATTTGAACGATTAAGATAAAACTTTTGAATGTACAAGTGAATCGGCCGTGACCTTTTTAATGAATTGAAGAAGAAAAATTATTTATTACAAAAAAAAATATGTTGATTATGTTCAATGTGGAAATAAATTCTAACAACAACGGGAAATCCTAGACATTAACCATTACAGAATCGAATCTATTTTTCTTTTGTTTTATGATAATGAGAGAGTTTGAAAGTTGATGAGAACTAAATTATCGAGGAATAGAGCAAACCAATGAACGGAATTAAGAAGCAAAACTTTTGCTCACAAACGGCCAATAATTAATTCATTTTCTCAGAGTTGAGTGTTAATGTGTTCATCTTGTTGAATGACTTCAACAAGCAAATTACTCAGTCATAATCAATTCGTTGATTCCCCAATCTTCATATGAACCATCAGGTAAATATCGACGGATGATAATAGGAATTTTCCTGGCTTTTAACTCTTTAAGTGCAATGTCCAGAGGGTCAGTTTCTCCATCAAGTTCAACCATAATCGGTGCACACATGGCAATTTGTAAGGCACGAGTGCCAATAACTCTTGCTCTTTCATATTTAGTAAGATAGGGAGTGGTCACTCTATTGATATTCTGTCGCCCAGTTTCAGTGCCCCCAGGAGCATCTAGAACATCAAAATTATCCGCCTCCATGGCCTCATCGGCCGGTGGCTCTTCATCAAAATCATCAAAAATTTCCTCACGATCCTCATAATCGTCCGCCATGTTTACACTCAACACAAGAGAACAGAAAAAAAAGAAGCAAAAATAGCAACAATCACAATCAGCAGAAACTCGACAAGACAATAAAATTTAATAAACTGATCAAACAAATTCCAAATCAATTGAAATAAAACAAAATTAAAGAGTTAAAGTAAACAATTAAAATTCACCAGAGAAAATGATGAAAAAAAGGTAAACAAAACTACGCACCGACTTTTCTTCTCCGAATGTGCTGCCATCTCTTGGATGGAATATCACATTTCTCTTCTTGTGCTTTCCCTTTTCTCGGCTTCAGATGGAGACGAAGAGCTAATAGGAGAGATACTTAATCATCTTCTTTTTTCCAATTGTTATTAATCAATTTTTCCAACATTTAGTATTTAATCAATCTATTTAATGTATATGTGTCTACTAATTGTTTTCTAATTGTGTTGGAACCTGGTGATCATGTTAATAATTAATTCTACTACTCTGACAATCCATAAGGAAAAATAATTGTATCTCTCTTTATTGTATCTGTGTAAACCTTATTCTCTCTCACTCTCTGTCTCTTTATTGTTTCTCAGTTTATTTTTTTTTTCTTCTCAGTCTCTGACCATGAATCTAGTACTTGATCTATTTTATTGAAAGAGAAGTAAAATAGCCAATAAAAGAGAGAGAGAGAAAAAAGACAAGGTTTAAATAGTGAAGCAAAAAAAAGAAAGGGTGAAAGGCCGATGTCAATTTTAACCTTCAACCATCAAGTGATGAAAAAATAATTATTGTCTTTTCTCAAATTCTTTATTGGAATCAAACCTTTTTCTCTCTCTCATCAATCTATCATATTTATATTCCACTTATATTATTTTATATATTCTCTCAAACAAGTATTATTATTCTGTTTCTTTTACCGTCTCCTCTAATATCTCACTCTTCACATTTCCATTTCTCCCTCACTCCTTTCTCTTTTTTTTCACAATCTCTTTTCTCCCTCTCATTCACTCTATCATTTCCTCTGACATCCTTCAACAATTTGAATTCGGATGATCACCATCAATACACATTCTATTGAGAAACTTGAAAATCATTCCTACTACTATTTGAAAAAGTGAAAACAAAATCTCTTAATGGTGTGTCCTCTATTCTTGGTACAAAAGGAAGAAAAAGGATTAAATTCTACCTGTAAATCTATCGTAAAATCAACAATCAACTCTAATTACTGTTTATAGTAAATCACAATTTACATTTCGTTTGTCATCATTCCAGATTTTCATCTAATCAACACAATATTTATACACAGATTCTCATTCTCTCCCTCAACAACAATAACAACAATCTACTGATCATCATCACCGCCAGTTTTTTCCCCATCAACTTGATTTACATTTTGTTTACTGTATAAGAAGAAATCAACTAAAAGGAAGATAAAAAGAGAGACAGAAAGATAATATCCCCTTCGGGACTTTGATTATAAAACAAAAATGGTGCAAAAGTATAAATCACCCATTAGGGTTTACAAATATCCATTCGAACTGGTTATGAAGGTGAGAACAATTGATTATTCATTTTCTCTTCCCTTTTCTATTTTATTAATTATTCTACTTCGTCATCAATCGTTCCTCACAACAATATGTGTGTTTGTGTGTAATTCTCATCATTATTTTCTTCTATCGTCACGATTGTCAACATTACCCTAATCATACAGCAAAAACCTGAAGAAAAAAACACAATCACAATAATGTAACTTCACATCATTCGGTATCATTGAATTACGTGTCATCATACAGGATGAGATTCAATTGTTTAGTGTTTGTTACTCAGTGATTTTTAATTTGGAGAGAACAAAAAAATCGGTATCAATGAGGATAATTGAGCTTCTCAAGTTGAAATTTTCTTTAACAACTACTACGTTTATCTGAGAATCAACGAAAAAAAGATCATGATAAGACAGAAAAAATCGTCACAAGAAGAAAAAAAAAACTCGAATTGAAAAGTGATTCTCTTTTTGAGGATAACTTTCTCTCGATTTGTTCCAATTTAGATTTGAAAACGAATTTCGAATAGTTTTTGATTCATTGAGATATAGTTCATTTTTCTATCGAATGTTATATCTTCCATTATTATGATGATTAATTTTATTCGCAATCAAGATAATCATCATGAATTGGTGGTTCAATCGATGAACTCGAATTCGAATTCAAACCTTGAACATAGAATTTTTAATTTTTCTTCTCTCTCTCTCTCTCAAATTACTTGATTATTATCAAGTAATTGAAGAACTAGAATAAGATGAGAAAAAAGAGAATAGTTTCTCGAAGGTCTTTCATTCTTAATTCCTCATCATCATCATCACTCCGATCATCATCTGGTTTCTTGACTTGATGTCCATGGGCATCATCATAATGTTGTTAATTGTTGAACGAAAAGTTTCAATGGTTCTCATTATCACCCGAAACTTAATCATCATCATCAATTAGTTCACAATACATGTAATTAAATTTACTCTTGATTAGTTTAAACATGTTGAATGTATAATAATTATTATTATGGTAATTATTATAAATTGATAAAGATAATAACTAATTAACTGCTAAACTCAATCAACCATTGATGACCTTTAACTACAAACACACTAATCAGCTGTCAATAGTAATTAACCAATCTTATCAATATGTTTTTGCTTTAACTCTCATTGATTTAGCTTGATTGTTTTCCAAGCTTATTTGTATTATTTGAACATCATTCAAATGATCAACAAATTATTTACTAACCTTGAATTTAATTTACCTGATAAACTCCCCCTACGATACAATTAACCTTTTGTTGTTATTGATGACACATTAGATGATAATAGAATCCTGTCACTCTTAATTGTCTGATAATCGTTGATCTAATTATTTTTACCTGTTTATCTTTCTGTGTTTCTCAAATTTTATCAATCAAAACAATTACATTGTTGATACAATTTGTCAACTTGTAAACTCTCATCTATTATTATCATCTTAACCATCAGAATGATTGGACAATTGAATGTCCAATTATTTGGGAATGAAATTATAATCATATTATTCATTATAACTCAAGATGGAAATTGAGCAAAAAGTTATCACCTTAGTTTCTGGAAACATTTTTCACCTTGAAGTTATTTCACCTAAACCACATCATCATTATCATGATGATGATGATGATCAACACCATGATGATGATGTGTATCTCTCATAACAGATGTTGTTCTGCTTTCAAATCTATGAATTATCATGATGATAATTCATGATAAAAGTGAAATTAACTTATCATCATTTTTGTTAATCTTTTTGGTTTTCCATTCAAATTAATACTATTTGTCTAATGATGATGATGATTTGTACTGTTTTTTTGTTTCACATGGAGAAATGAGACTCGATTTATCTTCCAATTTATCTCTTCCATCATCAATTATCTGTTGATGATAAAAAAAAATCAACAATTTATTTCCCATTATTTGTGTTTCTTTTATTTTCCTTACATAACCAGATTGAATTAATAACATCAAAATTGTAATCACAATCACAAAAGGCTAACCTGTCAAACAATTTACACAATAATGATGATGTTGCTGATTTGAGTTGATGATTGATGATTTAAATAATCTTGTCTTTTTGTTTAATCATCACTACATCATTTTCATCACTCTCATGACATTTAACCTGAAAAAATGTCTCTTTTTTTCACCTTAATCTTTTTCTCTAAATTTTTTTTCTTCATCCTCATCTTCATCATTTTTACTGTTATTCTGGTGCTGTTGTTATTAGTTAGTTCTGTTAATTAGTTTTTCTGGTTTTCATTATAATCAGTGAATTACTATTTTAATTATCATCACCATAATTACTAACAATTATTAAAAGCAATTTATCTCAGGGAGTTAAAGGGTTAAAGTTACTTTTATTTTCCCTTGGTAATGAATAGGGAAAATATCGTTGGGTGAATGCTAAAGAAAAATGAAAATATTTTTCTATTTTTTTTACCTCAACAATTAAAGATTAACAACTGAATTAACTTTCTCTCTCATCATCTCCCATAGATTTACTATTTACTGTTAGTCAACGAAATCTATTTAATTGTCTAACTCTTTGGTTTTTGTATCCTAATTAATTGCTTCCTATTTAACTCTTGTTTCTCAATTAAAAGTTATCCTCTTTAATCAATGATTAATTTTAATCAACTAGTTTGATTAAATTAACATTACCATGACAGAAATAAGTTGATTGTGTTTTCACACCTTAAGATGATTAACTTAAAAGTGACTCAATTTATTAGTTAAGATTTTTCCTTGTTTTTTATTCAACCATTTAAACTTACATGATTTTGACAAGTTAATTAATTGTAGTAAACATTAATTTACTCATTCAATTGACAATAACAATATAATAATAATAATTAAAAGACAATTAGTGTTAATTAATTGTCAGTCAAATGACCCTAGTCTAAAATTGTGATTACTACTTGAACAATTAACAACAGGTAATCAATCAACTTTGAAAACAGTTTTTCAATTGTGTCATTAAAACACAACAATTAATAAAAATCAATGATCAGTAATTGAAAACACTTTCATTCATAACACTGACCATTTATTAACTGATAATCACAGCAATTAAATGATTAACTTAATCACAATTTACTTACCATTAACATCATCACTTCCTGTTGAATTTAATGTTTCCTTTAATCCATGAGAATAAAAAAAAACACTTCCAATTGAATGTTGATTATTTTTCGTCATTTTCAAACTAATAGATTCCAATTGAATCAATTTCATGGTCATCATCATAATCATCTTGATCATCTCCATGAGCAGTTGATTGAAATCGGCTGAAGTTGTCAAACATGTTGTTAGACTGAAAGTATTAATGAAATTCTGATATTCAGATTTATCGTTAACTCAATTTCTTGCAACAAGATTTAACTTCCTTCTTGTATTCCCTCATCATCATCACCATCATGCTGATTACTAGAAATCATATACAATCTAATTACCATCAAGTTAATTATCATAATCTTTTGTTATTATGTTTCCATGGCTCTTATTGAAATTGATTCACCAACAGAATTTATGAAAATATTATTAATAATAATCTCGACTTGGACAATCAACTTTTCTTGATTGTTATTCTCATGGTTAGTAAATTGATTTTACTCTCATATTGATTTAACACTAGGATGTTATTGAGAATAGGTTGTTGTTGTTGATTACTTGTTTTCTTATTGTGAAATCTAATCAAGACTTTCAACAATTAGGATTAAGGTATTAACCAATTTTCCCATTTATAAGGAGAGGATTTAATTAAGTGGATTAATTTTTTTTTTCCTTTTCATTGGTTAATTTTTAATGACTTACATTTGATTTATCCAAGTTGATTAAGTTTCTATTTGTTATTTTAGTTTTCCATTTCTGATAAATTGTTTCCTCTCAAGTTTAAATTGTTACTTTAATTTTCTCGCATTTTCTTTGCTTGTTAATCATTCTAGTTAATAGTGGAACGTGTTAATTATTACTCTTTGATTATTATTCTAAGACCTTTCTTTATTTACCTGTACGTGATTATTTTCATTGATTGTGTTTATTACTTTCTCTTTCTGATTAACTTGATTGTGACAAAATTAATGATATTCAATTGTTAGACATTGAGTAGAAATTTTAACAATTAAACCTTGTAACAATTGTCTATTTTATCACCTGATAATTTACCTGGTTAAATTTATCATTTGTTCCCAGAGGAAATGAAATGTTAATCAATTGTTTTGATTACAATTATCATCATTTAAATGATTAACTTTCACATAAAGTTATCAATTATTCAACCTTTAATTGTCATTTCTGTATGTATTATAATCTTACCCTTTTTTTTTATATTATCTCATGTTAATTTGATTGCTACTTAATTTTAAATCAATTTCTCTATTGGTTAACTTGATTACTATCATCACTGATCAGGGTCATTTGATTATCTCCTTGATTTAATAGTGTTGAAAAGTTAATTCACTTTGATTTTGATAATGATTAAGATGATGAAATAATGATGATGACGATTGTTAATTCCTTACTAAGGTTTCAATTACAAAGTTATTACAATTTAACGTAATTATGAATACAAAACTTAACCAATAATCATGAAGATGATTAATCAATGACGTTTCAATATTCACCTCAAAATGATTAACCATTTAATTACATATAATCAACCCAAACAATCAATATCAATATAAAAATGATTTTCTCTCTCTTTTGTATATTAACTTTAATTGTTATTGATTAGTTGATTTATATATTTTTGCTTTTCGATTGTCATTATAAACCAATAAGCTATAGAAAGTTAATTATTATCATAAATAGATGATTAAATATCCAAAGTAAAGTTAACTAATTAAGTTAATCATTTGCCGGAAATTACTCGTTGACTTTGGTTCCTTTTTGGTAAACATCAAACAATATTTAGCTACTTTAGTCTTCAACAATCAACCATTAACTTAATCATCATGATGATTAACATGAAATTATTACACAGATGAAACCTCTTAATGGTATTTTTATCCTTATAACTATTGATCTAATTAACTAATATTAATAACACAATCAATATACATACACCTTTTATTGACTAGACATGATGATTAAATTGTTGTAATTTATTTGATGGTTGATTGTTTGCTATCTTCAATGGTAAACTGTTAATCTTAATTGTACAACCCTTTTAGTTTGATTATATGTTTGATTCATTTTGATTATATTGTAACCATTTTTTATTATTTTCATCATTATTTCATTGATATTTTGTATTCTTGATTGTTATCAATATTATATACTAATGATTGTTTATAAATCATTAGTAAATCTTATTTTAATCATTATAATTTGAATGAATAAAATAAATTGTCTTTCAACAAATTAAATCAATATTTACCTCGGTACAATTTATTTAACTGAGATCATTATATTCAATTGAACTTGTAATACAACATCAACTAAAAATCAATTGTGATTAACCAGAAAATTAGCTTAAATTGATTAACTTTGTATACAATTTTGTTTAAATTATTACAACAATGAATCTTAATTAATCCACTCAGAGTTTAATACGTAATACACAATTAAGACTTAATCATTATTGTCAATAAAAGAAAATCAATTCAAATTTTGTTGAATTTTAAATGATTCAAGTGATGGCAACAATTTAAGTTCAAACTAATTCTAAGCATTGATTAATTGATGATTAATCAATTGATTGTGATATTTTTCCTTGTTTGATTGTAGTTTTTTTTGTAGTAAAATTAATGATTAGAAAATGCTGTTAATGAGAATGACGAAAAACCTTACGCACTTATTGATTTTCTGATAAATTTCATCACAATTTATTGATTTTTCTAATTGCTGATTGTAAATTATTAATTCTAATTTTCTCTCTCTCTTTTGATTCCATTCACAGGCCTATGAAAAACGATTTCCAACCTGTGACATGATTCCAATATTCGTAGGAAGTGAGATAATCAATGAAGAAGAATCAGATGATGGTGCTATTCAGATAATCGAAAGACGATGTAAACTCAACGTCGAAGCTCCTTATTTATTAAAAAAGGTGGATAATAAATGCGACAATTAACAAATTCTAAGATAAATTAACCAACTATAATTATCTTTCAATGAAAAATCAATTTTTTCCAAACCTTTGATAGTAATTGTTTCAGTGAATCTGATTTAACTTGAACACTTTTCCCCTGATAATTATAATGACAATTACAACCAGACAACACCTCTGATTTGATTGTAATTATATGATTCATTTGAATGTATAATAAGCTTTTGAATGATTAATGATAATAATCTAATTATCATGAGTGTCTAGAAATTGTGTCAATGTAAATCAAATTTAGTTACAATGATCAATGTGACACTTTTATCCTTCATCTATTTTAGATCAATTCTTTTTGTTTCCTTTTCCGATATTATTTTCTTTCTCTCTCTCTCTCTCTAATCATTTTTATCTTATTTTCTTTCATTCATTTAGATGTCAGGAATTGATTATTTCTATTGTATCCAAAGGAATACATTGGACAGAAGGAAAAGAACGCTCGTAATCGAAGCCTGGAATGAAAGCTTTGCTTCTCGAATTCATATTAAAGAATATTGCACTTATTATGTAAGTTATCATGTTCGATAATGTTCATTTTGATCATCATCATCTTCGACAACCAGTTAGTCAATCAATTGAACACAAACAATAACAGAAACTTCATCAATCAATAGCATGTTAATGTTACCCTGTTATCGTATTGACTTATGTACATTCAACTGTTAATATCTTTTGATAAAGTGAAAGTGAATACTTTTAATCATGATAATGATTATCAGGTAGAAGATAAATTATTTAATCAACTATATAATTGATTTATATTCTTATTTGATAATGTTCACCGTTAACTGAGATTAATTTTATCGCAAACTATTGATTATATGATTGATTTACTTTTTCATATTCATTGATAATCTTGACTTACTTTTTTTTACAATTTACTCATTGATTCAGTTATTTTAGTTTCTTTGGTGATTTCATCTGATTTTCATTCAGAATCTTGATTGAAAGTCTTGTCCTTTTTTTGTCAATCATTTTTTTATACTTACAATATAATCAGGATTTTCACTGAATTAACTATTACAAGTAATTAATTTACTGTTATATTATTATTAAGGTAATTTAAGTGAATTTCCCAAAGGTTATTATGTTGACTTATCATGGAAAGTTAATCCCACGCAATTAGATTAAATTGTTTATGGGAAAAGTTGTTTTGTCTCAAATGTTTCACTGAAATGTTAATAGTTAATCAAGTAATTACTAATTTGGTATTAGTTTTAATTGTTTGAAGACATATAATTTTTACTCGTTAACTTTACCTCCTCTTGATTTCCTTTACCAAACATTATGATTCTCATGTTGATTGTTAATCATTTAAATCTAGTATTTATTGTGATGAAAGTTTTTACAAACATTATCAATCTAATACAATCAATAATAATTGTTACCACTCAATGATCAATGGTCAAGAAAATCAATGATAATATTGTTGTATTGAAAAGGATTTGATTTCAGTTTTAATCAATTGAACAAAAATAATACAATCATGTATATTTGTCATGGTAACTTTGCAATCCTATTGTTGATAGTAGTTAATTAGCCTTAGGCAATTCAATATATTTACAGTTAATATCATGCTAGGAGATTGATAATAACAAAGTAATGCTATTAATAACCATTTGAATGTCAAGTCAACATGTCAACTGATAAAATGATTTGTTTTTTAAATTGTCAACTTGTCTAATGTTTTTCTTAATCTCCAAGTTAACTTATGTTTTGTTTAATTGTTTATCTTTAATTAGGTTCACCCTGAAGATCCCGAGTGGACTTGCTTTGAACAATCAGCCAGTTTAGAGGTTAAATCATTTTATGGACTCGAAAGTGCTGTTGAAAAGTTAGCGGCCAAACATTATGCCGCCAATGTTAATAAAGGAAAGGAAATAATTGAATTTCATATTGAAGAACTGAGGAAACAAGATATCACCTATGTACCTCCGTTCGTGGACCAGATCACATCAAATTCATGTAACAATGAGAAAGAGTCAATTCATTATCCAACGGCAAACAATTACTCCGCAATTATATGACTGTTGTGTTTAGCATCATTTTCAATTTCACCGTTATCATAATCAACTAATAACAACCAATTTCATCATCGTTTCATCAACAAGATTATCACTTTCATCTTCATCTTCTCAATCATTTTTGTAATGATCTTTACCTTTCTCTCTGTCAAATTTTGTGGTCTCCCTCTCTCTCTCTCTCTCTCAAAATCAACAAAACTTTCAATTGCTCTCTCTCTCTTTATCTCTCTCAATCAACACTCATTTCTCAATCTATTTCACACTCGTTCAAAACAACAATTAATTGTTTTCCTCTTTGGCCTTCGAATTTTGTCTTTCTTTTTATCTCTTTCAGTCTTTCTTTTCTCTCGTTGTTCTTTCAATTCTGTTTTCTCTCTTTTTCTCTATCAAACCACAGAGATTTCAGAGAATAAAAAAAACCATAGGTCTTAAGAGTTTCCTCTTAAGATTAGGCAATCTCAAGAAAAAATTAGTTCCTTTGTCATTATTTTAACTCTTCGATTACTTTTTTCTCATCCACTTTTCGTTATTCCATTGGAGTGGTGCTAACCTTTTAATTACTTTGTTTTTTAATCTTCTTTTCTCTTCATTTTTCTCTGTTTCCATCCAATTGATTGTTTCTTATTTTCTGTGTACAAATAATTTAATATTATTATTGTAATTGTAATTGTAATACTTTCATTTTCTCCTCTTCTTCTTTTTTTTGTATACATCAATTTCTTTGTTTAAACACTTCCGTCGTTATATAATTACCACCATCATCTTCGATACCAGAGATATTCCTGCTTCATATTGACTATATATTTACGAATCAACCTGCTCTGTCTTATTAATCAATTATCTTCTTTATTATCAATCATCTCCTCCATCCTGTCTAATTTTGAATGTAAATACTCATAATCATCTAGTGGTGAGAAACTGGTGCTGTTTCCAGGATAATCGGCCGTAAATCCAATATTTTCCAGAGCTTGATTAAGATTATTGGAGGCTTCCAGTGACATTTCCTCTTTGATTCGTTTAGCTTGTCGAGAAAGAAGTTGTTTCTTTTTCCGATTCTCGATGAGAAATTTTCTCATTACAATTACACGTCCTTTGAAATTTTGTGCAGGATCATTCATATCGGGTGGTATTCGAGGCATTGGTTTAACCGAAGACCAATCAACCGGTGGTAATGGATCAGAGATCGGATTAAACGCTTGTGAAGGAGATCGACTTTTAACTAGATTAAATAACAACTTGTTGATTATGTTCTTATAATCAAGACTAAAAGTGTCCAACCTCATGTCTTCTGGATGATTAAATGTGAGAAATCGTGATAAAGCCTTTTGATTATCGTAAGGATTTTGAGTAAATTGGAAAGCATATTCTGGATCAAAATGTGTCAATTCTTTTGCTCTTCTTGCTTTTCGCAGGAATTTGAATGGCTCAGAATCGGGTATTGGAGGGATAAACTCTTCATTACTTCCTCCATCACCACCGCCAACCTTTTGTGATGTTATTGGTGAATCATGTTGTCGATTCTCTTCAAGATTAATTTCCTTTTCCTTTTCATTAGGACCAAAATCCATTAACGCAAATCGTTCAGTCAATACAGAATTTTGATCGTAGGCAAGATCATAAATATACTCAATTGTTGGAATTTTTCCCATAATATATTTTTGAGTCAATAAAGATCTAATCATCTCCTTAATTTTGTTCAATTCTGTTACCACTTGTTTCGCTTTTGATTTATCACAATAATAGAAAACATGTAATATTTTACAATCTTTGGTCACTTCACACTGTCAACATAGAAAAAGAATAAGAAAATTATATTATCAGTAAGTCAATTGAAATGACAATTTCTCCATAAAGGAAAAGATAAACTCACCTGCGTGATCATAACATCCATTTGGTTGATAAAATCTCCAATTGGATTGGTTGAAAGAATCTCGGTAATATTTTCCATGAATATTTTATCCAATACTCTTTGTCTCCGTCTGAGAACCGATTTCAGGCCTTCATCGATCTCCGTTAATAAAGACACTGGAACTCCTTCACTTAGACGAACTCCTTTAGGCCTTAATCTTTTCTGTAACCTGACTTGGTATTTTTGTCGCATTTTTTCCATGTAATTTTCTGATAATAGTTTCGTCCGAGTAGCATCATTTCTGGGACGAAATTTATCATTAGCAAAAACAGTTCGGTTTCTTATTATCATTTCCAACAGATTAGGAGCAGTCAACATTGAACATTTAACCGGTGATTTGGTTGACTTAGATAACAGGGGTAAACACATAATGGAAACCATTTTGAGAAACAATCATGAACAACAGGAAATGATAGTAATTTAGAGATTATTAATCATTAAAGAAGCGATTAAATTAAACAAAATTCACTTTAGAAAGTGAAACATGTGAATAAAAATACAGAACAACAGAGTTTAAAAACTTTACTCTTCTAACCACAAGAATATCAATGAAAAATGATGAAAATCAAAGCACAACGATTTAACATCTTTTAGATTTTAAGACGCTAATAAAATCATTCGATAAAATTAATTAACTGTTAATCAATTAGAGAACAATTTAATTAATAAAAAGATGAAAAATGAAAATGAAAAGAAAAGTAAACAAACCAGATAAGTAGATTTTTCTAAAGATAGATGGCTCTGCATTCGGCTAATCATCATTTCGAAAAATTTTTAATTGTTGGATTTTTCAAAGAGTTTTATTAACTAATTAGTCGAAGTAATTTCTGAATTATCAAAGAATCTATGAGGAATAAAACGAACTATTTTCGGTAATTTAAGGTTGAATTCTCATTGAGAGTTTGTTGTAGTTTATTTGTTATTAACAATTAATTTACAATTAATTTTTGTTACTAATTTGATATGTGAATAAATATAATAAATATCGAGGGAAAAATTTACATGATGATTCCGCACAGCAGTTGATTATCTATACAATTGGGGGATTTGGTTTACATTTTATACAATTTGTTGTGTTTTTCTCAGTCAATTGGTTTAAATTGTTGATCAATTCATTTGGTTGAACAACGATTCAGCAGCGACCTTTGCATTCTCGAAGTCATTAAAGCTCATGGTAGCTTGTTGCTCAGCTGATTTTGTTTGGGTGGCAGAGCCGATCACTTGATAACCTGGACCATCAGAACCTTGAGATGGCGGTGGTTGAGGTGCAGCTGATTCAACCATACCGGCGGGTGGGCCACTGAAATCAACAAGTTGTCCGTCCATAGATTGACCATATGAAGGTGGTGCAGGTGGAGGACCCATTGGATTACCCATCATTAAACCATCTCGAGCGAAAAAGTGACCTTGTTGAACCATTGGTGAACCTTGATGATGATTATTATTACCGAAATCGTTTGATGAAAAACCATGAATTGGGCTTGAGTATCCGGTTGATGACCAACCATGGGCATGATGACCATGTCCGTGTCCGTGGCCGTGTCCATGTCCATGTCCATGACCATGGCTATGACCATGTTGATGTCCGTGCCAACCATGGTGGGAATGTGAATGCCATCCAGAGTGTTTGTGGTGCTCAGAGTGTTTGTGTCCCTATTGGTCAAATGTTCATTTACCGTTAGAAATTTTCATCGAGATTCTCATTAATCAAATACTTACATGACCATGATGATGTTCATGTCCATGATGGTGACCATGTTTGTGTCCATGATGATGACCATGATGATGTCCGTGTTTGTGTTTGTGACCTGAGAGTCAAAGGTATTCAAATCAAATTAGTAATCAGATTTACCATTTAACGAGTTGAAACAATTAATAATCCATTAAGTATTGATCTTACCATGTTGATGACCATGATGATGACCATGACTGTGTTGATGTCCATGCTTATGTTTGTGTCCCTATTGATTAATCATAACCAATTAGAATCATCAGAAATTGTAACATTCCCTTAATCAACTTACGTGTTCGTGACCGTGACCGTGATTATGTTGATGTCCATGTTTATGGTCATGTTTGTGTCCGTGTTTGTGCTCGTGTTTATGACCATGGTGATGACCTTTAAGTCAAGGGTTAAATCATCAAATTAATTAATCACAATTTCCCTTTTAATAATCAATCAACAGTAATAACGATTGATCAGTTTGATGAACTTACCATGTTGATGACCATGATGATGATGATGACCATGATCGTGTCCATGCTGAAATTATCAATTCAAACAATTAGAATCAACAATTAAATCTAACACATTTCTCCTTTAATCACTAATCATAATTATCTTAACACTTAAATGAGTAAACTTTGTTTCCCTCTAATCAGATGTAAAAATAATTCATTTTGATTGTTTGCTCAATTTAATTATCCTGTAAATCCCTTAATCAACTAACAGCAATCATGAAATGATAGTAATTGTAAACAATGATTATGATAATTTGATCACAATTGCTTAATTGTTGTTGATTACTTACCTTGTGCCCATGATGATGGTGATGATGAGCCTAAAGTGGAAAAGCAAGAAATAAGTTAAATTATAAATTCAAACAATTTAACGATTTAATTGTTGGACGATTGTTTTTTACCTGTTGTTTTCCATGATGATGATGATGATGATGATGATGTTCTTGGGCTTTTTGATGATGATGACAAGCAGCTGATTTTAATTCATAATCAACAACTCGAAGCTGAGAAATTGGCTTAGGACCAGTGGCCAAGGCGGTTAAGGCTTGATTAGCATCTTGATTGTTATCACAATAGCCAATTGTGAACGTAATTGTTAATATAAGACAGATAAACTTAAACATGATGATTACTAATCCAGTAAATTGTTGATTAAGTTTCACGAATCACTTTAAATCAAAACTGATGATGATTGTTACACTTATTGTTTGTTGATTGTTTACTGATCAAGATCTGATCGTTTTCTGATTTTAATCAAACAATCAATTTCACTTTATATACTCAGAAATGATTCATCTAATTGTCACTCTTGATTGTGAATCAAATTTAACTAGAAAACTCAACCTTTTCTCAGCAATTAATTGTTAACTATCAATTTGAAAGTTTCGGTCAAAGTTGTTTATGTTAACATGTTTCAGAATGGAAAAAAAAAGAAGTTTTTTTGAAGATTTTTTTGTTTCTTTTCTAACTAATTGTTGACAATTTAATTCTTTTTTACAATTGATTGTTGAAATTAAATCATCACCCTTCTCACCATCATGTTGATCATCATCATCATGGCGATGATTAAAATTTTCGCAATTCAAACGATTGACTCTCGAAAGAAAAAGTTTCATTTTCTTGAGAGTTTTTTTTCTGTCTTCCTGTCAATCGGAACGATGGAAAACAGTTGACAGACAATTCTAATTAATTTGATGATCGATTTTTTTCTTAATTGTCCTTTGATTAACTGCTAATCATCATCTAGTTTTCAACCGATTGACCTTTTGATTGCGATTCCATTACCATTATAATTAACTACTTGATCTTGATTGAGAAACTTGGTAAACATAATTGAAGATGATTCTTGATTCCAATTGAAATTGAATTCATTTCATTTCTCTTCATCTTCTTAATTGTTACAAATTTTGTTTCTTCTACTTTTTCTTAATTGTTTCAATATTATTCAAATCAAATTCACTAACAATTAAGTAGCACTCATTTAGTGTTTCTAATTAAAGATATTTAATTTGTTTTTCTCAAGGTTAACAATTAGCCGTAAGGTTAATCAACTTTACTTTCAAGATAATTGATCAGTTTAAAAGCATTTTGATAAATTGTTGTGAATTAATTGATGAGATTATTGATTATTTTGATAAAATTATGATTCTAATCAACTTGTTGATTGTTATTGTTTTAATTTTTTTTTGTCATCATTCTCAATGATTATGATTCAATGGCTCATCAACAATTAAATGTTAACTAATGAAGATGTTACAATCTTAATTGTTGCCAACTATTATTTTACATGTCACCAAGTTAATTGTACAATTAACCTTGATTACAATCAAGAAAATTGTCCTCTAATGGTGACAATTTTGATTAACAACAGCCAAGAATTAGTTAATTGTTACTATTAAAATTAAAACAGGAAGCGCAATCGGTAAATTGTTGATTTATTTATAAAACTAATCAAAGGTTTTAAATTGATCACAATTAACAATTAATAATTGTCAAATTGAACTAATAGCAGAGTCATTTAAAAATAATTTGAAGCAATTAAAGTTTATCAAATTTGATTAGGTTAAAACGTTTAAATAACAATTAGAATTATGAAAAAAAATTAATTTCTGAGATCAAAACTGAAACAATTTAATAAATTGTTGAATTATTTTTTTACCCAAAAATTGACTCGAGACAGTTAATTATCATGATGATTAAAAACAAATCCTCAACAATCAGGTCAGAATAATGAAAAAACAAATCATAATTAGCTGGTTAAATCATCGCAGTTGTTAATTCAGTTGTGGTCTAATTAATCAAATTGAATATTCAAATCTCACAATTAACTTAATAACTATCACATAAATTACTTGATATTGATTATTTATTGATTACAAGCTATAAATCCTTAATTGTATTTGATTTTTTCAAGCAATTGGAAGAGATTTAAAAAAATAGTTTCAATCTAGTTAGTTGATTGTAATAATTATTGAGACATTAATTGTTGTAAAAACTTTAAGGGAATTGGTTAGATGAGTGTTCAAAGTGTTAATTTTTAATTGTGTCTTCATAATAATTGGATTACATTAAGAAATGGATGAAAAACAGAGCAGATAAATTATGTTTTTGTCAACAATTAGAGACAGATAATAATCAAATTGATTTGATTGTACAACAACAATAAACAATAAAAAATAGAGACAATTAAACATCAGTGAAACAAGTTTCCTCTAAGATAAGATCATCTTTGTTAGTTAATCGCGATTTAATTGTATCACTTTTTTTCTGTGCTCGAACAATTGATTTACGTAGGAGAGCGTTAATTGCTGGAGTTAATAGCGGTTTCGGTAAACAGTTTCTCATGATTACTTTGATTCCCTGATAACCAACCCGAGCGGCAGTTCCGTCGAGTGGGACTGGCGAGTCCAAAGTGTTCATTTTGTAAAGATATTTGGTAAACCCAGAGGTGGACAGAAGCGGAATCACCGCTTTAATTGCTTGGACAATTGCGGCGGACATTTGACTCGCTTGATTGGTTGGGTATCGATTAATTGCCGGTTTAAATTCCGTTTCCAAAAGTCGAGCACAAAGTGATCTTGTACCTTGAAGATCAGATTCATTAAGAATGTTAAATCGATCATCAAGCCCCAAAAGGTAGCCCACACAACGCCAAAAGTGAATCAGGCCAATCAGATCTTGAGAGTTGTCGGGAAAACCGACCTGCTTAGGGTGTAAAATGATCATCCCAATGAAACCGAACTGAGTTAAGGCCATATCGTATTGTGATAAATAAATTTGCCGATCATTAGTTGGCGGTGTGTATTGATTGTCACTAGATTGATGATTGTTGTGATTACCGGGTCGCGGTGGATTCATCCTTGAGGCCACATTTGAATGCATCCGACGGACTGTCATCAATGATTTATGGGCTGGATCATTTTGATTCCAAATGTCACCTTCGTACCAAGTGATCACATGGCTCAAGGTACCAAGATAACGTTCAAAGATATCACCAAGAGTCCTTGATTTACCTGTGGCCAATAAAGTGGCCAAAATTGACGGGATATGGACAACCATTGTTAGACCAGATAAATGGCCGAACAGGACGGAAGAGAAATGATTACGTCCAACTGACCGGCCAAGGTCAAAGAGTTCACGATTAAACCATTCAGGTACAATCGTTGGACTTGACCCATTGTCCCCTGGTAAACGGGATCCACGGATTTTCAGATCAGTTAATTGTAAGGTTAATGGATCCTCTTTATTAATTTCATAATCATCATTGTTAATCAGTGGACTTTGGTCAAATAAAGGAGGTGGACAGTTAATTGTTATCGGTGGTGGTGTTGGTTGAGGAGATGGTGATGAAAATGACGGCGGAGGTGGTAATGTAATTGGAAATTGATTAGGCGATGGTAACGGTGAGTTATTAGTTGATTGTGATGAAGGTGTTTCTGTATTAATGGTAATTATCCCTGTTGATGAATTAATTATCTCACCAACATGATCTAAATCATTATTTACAATGACCACAGATCCTTTAATTGTTTCATCATCAATTGATTCCGATGGAGGTGATGGTGATGATGAAGGTGATTGTTGGTCAAATTGTTGTTGATTTTTTTCCTGTTGGTCAATCATGTCCAGTTAACTTGAAACAATAGAAAAACAAAAGGATAAATTAAAGAATCAACGAAGAAAAAGAAAACAATTAACGAAGATGATTAACACTTTTAAAAATTTAGACAATTTAATCAGAATCAAATTAAATTGTAACACAATCGCTCTGCACTGAATTAACTTTTTCTAAGTAAATCTTCAGGAAGATACAAGGTAAATGAATTGACCTGATGGTTCGGACTTCGGGGTCGACTCCGGGTCTAATCCCGTCAAACTGGTTATATAACAGGATAAGTGACCTGACAGAAGATGAGGATGAAGATGAAGATGAAGATGAAGATGAAGATGATATAAAAAATAGCCGAGCCTCTTGATTAGTTTCAATTGGGATTTGGTTTTCATGTAAACAACAAACTGATCATCATAATCGTTAGTTAACTAATATCAGGGTTAACCAGAATTTAGATTGTGATGATGATGATTAAAAAAGGGTAACCATGGTTAATCAATGAGTTTAAATAACCTTGATTAGTTTGATTGGTCAGAATAACATTTCAAGTTCGAGTTTAAAAACGACTTGATTGTTTTGACCTCAATTTATTTTTGATTGTTGATCATCTTCATGTTTAATTATGACTGAAAACATGAGATCAAATATCCATTGATTTAAATGGTGAACAAATCAATCAAATGGAATTAGATTAAATTGTCAATGATTAATAAATTTATAATAAATGATTGTCTTAAATCATCACAATTAAAAGGTTGTAATTCAAGAATCATTTACTTTGATTAATCTGATAATTATGATGGTCATTGTGAGTTAATCATTTAAAGGTTGATTGACCAGTTTGAAAACACTTTCAAAAGTTAATTCAAACAATTAAAAAGTTAATCATCTTCCATTTTAAATGTTAATCAGTTTTGATAAGTCAAACTAATCAATAAATCAACTTTCAACTAATCATTTAGATAAAAATTTAATCAAAAACCTTCAGGGGTTGAAAGCAGCTAAAGTTTTGATAGTTAAATTGATTAACTTAATTAAAAGCGACAATTTTAATCACGTTTTGTTTATGTTAATTGTGATTACATTTCCTTTTCAATTAACAATCAAATTTTCATTTCATCTAAAGGGTAATTGTGAAGATGATTATTTGTTTACTATTATTTGTAAATAGTGATTAAAGTTAATTGTTGTCAGTTTTTCCTTTCTCATCTCTTGAAACAAAATATCCGGTTAATTGTTCAATTAAAAGGTAAACAATTTGATTGTTTTAATATTTGTTATTTAATTTTAATCACACTCTTTACATTGAGCTAGTTGGTGTTTAATCATCTTAATTGAGAATTGATTGTTTAGATAATTATTGTAACTGATGAGGGAACATTTTGTATAATTGGTCATTTGTGTGTGTATGTTGGTAAATTAGTTAATTATGTTGGTTGATTAAAGATGTTTTCTTTGGAAATTTGTTGATTTCTCTGGGGTTTCTTTGTAAATAAATTTGTTGATTATATTCTTGGATATTAATTGTGTCGAGGTGGCAAAAAAAGAAAGGCCTTGTTAATTGTTTCCTACTGATTCCCTCTCTCTTTCATTTTATCATTTTATCATTTCTTATGATTGTTATTGAGGGAATTGAGGAGGAAAATCATGAGTTAATTGATTACACATTCACTTCATAAAAACTTGAAAGAAATCAAGTAGATTTTGTATTCTTGGGTTCAGACTTTTCATTATTTTTTCACTTTCTTTCAAACATAAAAATCAATAATCACCATCATTTGTAGCTATTAATATATGTATAAGTTACAAGTATGTATAAGAAGTGAGAGAGAGAGAGAGAAAGAGAAAGAATGATGATTAAGATGTAATGGAAAAGGAAAGAAAATGAAAAAATTTGGAGCCAAAAAAAAAAGGTTAGTCAATATTAAAGAGCAATTGACCTAGAATCATTTGAATATAGCCTAGAGGTTTCAGGTTGAGGTGTATTGAAATCATCGGTATCAAAATTCAAAACTAATAACTTGGTTTCCTCGGTACCATTTCTTGAGCCCACGGCGCACACTAGCTTCGTATGTGAGGCTCTTATCCTCCATACGACACCTCCTGATCCTCCGCTTGAAAGCGAAACCAGATTACGGATAAATTCACCGGTTGCAAGGTCCCATAATTTAACGGTACCATCGTCACTTGAGGTAATCACAAATTTAGAATTAAATTGTAAACAGGTAACTGCACTTTGATGCTTATTCTCACCAGCCAGGGTGGCTAAACATTCACCAGTGTTTATATCCCAAACTTTAACCGTAGAATCAGCGTTACCCGAAACTAGTACATTTCCCCGAAGCTGCATTCCACTGGTTAAAGATTGATGACCTGTTAAGATATGTCTAGATTGTCCCGTGCTTGCTGACCAAACACGTATAGAAGTATCTAATGACCCGGAGACAATATTTTCACCGTCAAATTGAAGTGAATAAACTCTATTGGTATGACCATCTAAGGTATGGAGACAGGTTTCAGTTTGAGCGTCCCAAACTTTAACAAGATAATCATAGGCACCAGAGACTACAATTGATCCATTAAATTGTACACATCGGACTGCGGCACAATGTCCAACAAGTACATGGTTACAATTTCCTGTTGTAATATCCCAGACTCGTAAGGTTGTATCTCGACTTCCTGAGACAACCTGATTACCATGTAAAGCCATACAACGGACTGTTGATGTGTGACCATAAAGGGTATGCTTACATTTTCCGCTAATTGCATCCCATATTTTAAGTGTCCTATCAGTTGACCCTGAGATGACAATATTATTTGGAGATAATTGAGATGACCAGACACCACCAGTGTGACCAGTTAAAGTACGAAGACATTTACCTGTGGTAGATGACCATACTTTTAATGTATTATCATCACTACCACTTACTATTAAATTTGATTCCGGATTAAATTGTAAACAGGTAATTACATGATCATCATGACCTTTTAGATGTAATATATCTTTAAGCATTCGATGCTTGACCTTTGGCTCTTGTGACTGTTGTAATGATGATTGGGAAGATTGTGGTGCTTGTTGTGGTATTGGTTGTGGATGTGCTTGTGGCTGTTGTTGTTGTTGTTGTTGTAGTTGTAGTTGTTGTTGTTGAGGTTGAGGTTGAGGTTGTTGTTGTAGTTGTTGTTGAGATTGTTGTTGAGGTTGAGGTTGAGGAGGTGGCTGAGCGGATTGTGCTGGTTGTTGATCTGAACTAGGGTCATTTGGGAAACGTCCAAATCTCCAATTAAATTCTATAGTTTTTAACCTTAGATAACCTCTTTTATACTCTGATCGGATGAAAGGTATACAATCATGAGATAAGCTAAGATTACGGGCTGGAGTTGATCCATTGAATCCGGAAGAACTACTAAGAAATTCACCTTCCACCAATAATCCTTCCTCTTGACATTTTTCTCTCCAGAGTAAATTATCTTCACATAAGATTCTCCAAGTACGACAGGTTTGAGCAGCTTTCAATAAATCTTTAGGCTCTAAAAAATGTAATACATAAAGAGCCAGTTCTTTAGGTAGAAGGCTAATAAAATCTCGTTGAAGTTGTGGTTCAATTAATGAATATAGATGCCTTATTTGTCCAGCATCACAGATATCACTTGAAATTAAAGACTCTAAAGCAGTTAGTCGTTCCTTATTTGACCAAGATTCAAATAGATCCAACCATTGGTCAAGTTTAATTGGTTTATTTTCTATATCACAATTAGTATTCTCTCCTAGTTCATCTTTCATCTCTTGTAGGCTACCACCATCATCATCTTGATCAGTAATCATGCTAGTACATGTAGACGAAGTAGTAATTGTTGTAGTGGTGGTAGTTGATGATGATGAATTAGTTGTTGTTGTTATTTCAATAGGATTAAACATTGAATTAGAATTGTGAGAAAATTGAAGAATATCATTTGGATGATCATCATTCTTCCTCTTCTTTTGAGACAACATTTTAAATACTTTCACAATTAGAACTAATCACTGAAACTAAATATATAATTATTCCAAAAAACCAAGAAATTAATAAATTAAAAGAACCAAATTAATTTTGATCAACAAAGAAAATCCAAATTAAAAGAATTACAAAAAAAATGAATAACCATCTGTCTCCCTTTTGAGTGACATCTGTCGGAGCGAAAATGGACTAAAACATCTGCGCATGCGCAGAGAGAAGAGAAGGAAATTGGTTCATGTTTACCACTTTTCTTTCAATTCAATTTTGTTTTGATTGATAAAATTAATTTGTTTCTTTTAATTTATTAATATTTTAAACTTTGGATGGTTAATCTACATATAGTTTCAGTGATTGGTTCTAATTGTGAAAGTGATTAAAATGTCATCTCTAAAAAAGAGGAAGAATGAGGATCAACCGAATGATCTTCTTCAATTTTCAAATAATCCAAATTCAATGTTTGATCCTGATGAAATAACAGCTAATTCATCAACCACCAACAGTGCAAGCACTTCATCTGCTAATATGATTCCTTTCAGTGTGTCAACTGGTGTTATGGACAGTGGTATCTTTGGAAGTGAAGAGCCTGCTAATTATTCTGATTCCATCGGTCTTGAGAGTAGTAGAGATAATCGTGATGACGATGATGATGATGATGATGAACACTATGATTTGGCCAAAATGAAGCAAAGTGATTCTATTAAACATTTTATCAACGAGGTTGTTGATAAAAATCATGATCCATTAGCGGGTACAAAAGTTCCGAAAGTCGCGGATCGAGAAGATGAATATAGAGCAAGGTATCGCAAAATAATGATCTCTCCCCCTCGAATTGATCCTTTTGAAGAAGGTGGTAAAACTCCGGATCCTAATTCAAGATCGTATCAAGTTATTATGCGGGAACAAGTCTCAAAAGTCGATGGTAGTATTCAACAGCCGATACCAAACAAAAGACGTCGATGGGATCAACCAGCGACCATTGAAGAGCCACCGGAAAAGAAGCCAATGAGTTTTTTTGAAGCTTCAACACCGGCGCCTTCGAGTAGGTGGGATCCAACTCCGAGTCATATTACTCCGGGTCATGAAACACCAGGCCATGAAACTCCGTCAGTTGGAACATCGCGGCGAAATCGGTGGGATGAGACACCGAAAAGCGAGACACCAAGTGCATCTTGCAAAAGATCACGTTGGGATGAGACACCCGCTATCACATGTGAAACTCCATCAACACCCATGATGACACCTTCAACTCCTTTCACTCCCAGTGGTGCTACTCCTGTTGGGATGAGAGCGATGGAAATGAAAACTCCATTCATGACACCAGAGCAAATTCAAGTATTCAAATGGGAGCGAGAAATAGACGAGAGAAATCAACCCATCTCAGATGAAGAGCTGGAACTTTTATTCCCACCAGGATATAAAGTTTTACTTCCACCTTCAAGTTATCAACCAATTAGAACACCAGCTCGTAAATTGACCGCTACTCCAACCCCGATGTCATCGGATGGATTTTTCTTCCAGAAAGACGAAGCAAAACAGAGCAAAATTATGGAATTAGAACCAAAAGGACAGAATTTACCTCCATTAAAACCTGAAGATATTCAATATTTTGATAAATTACTAAATGAAGTTAATGAAGATTCATTAAGTCTTGATGAACAAAAGGAACGCAAAATAATGAAATTATTGCTCAAGATTAAAAATGGAACACCTCCTATGAGAAAATCAGCTTTAAGACAAATAACCGATAAAGCTCGTGAATTTGGAGCTGGATCTTTATTCAATCAAATTTTACCTCTTCTCATGTCTCCGACCCTGGAAGATCAAGAAAGACATTTACTGGTCAAAGTTATCGACCGAATCCTTTACAAATTGGACGATTTGGTTCGTCCTTATGTTCATAAAATCCTCGTAGTGATTGAACCTCTTCTGATAGACGAAGATTATTACGCTCGTGTTGAAGGCCGTGAAATAATTTCCAATCTGGCCAAAGCCGCTGGACTGGCGACAATGATCTCAACAATGAGGCCTGATATCGATAATGTTGATGAATATGTACGAAACACAACAGCTCGAGCATTCGCTGTGGTCGCTTCTGCTCTTGGAATTCCATCCTTATTACCTTTCCTCAAAGCCGTTTGTAAGAGTAAAAAATCGTGGCAAGCTCGTCACACGGGAATCAAGATTGTCCAACAAATCGCAATTCTCATGGGATGTGCTATTCTCCCTCATTTGAAAAGTTTAGTCGAAATCATTGAACATGGATTAGTTGATGAACAGCAAAAAGTACGAACCATAACCGCTTTAGCTTTAGCCGCTTTAGCAGAAGCAGCAACACCTTATGGTATCGAATCATTTGATTCCGTTCTGAAACCTCTTTGGAAAGGTATTCGTACTCATCGTGGTAAAGGTTTAGCCGCTTTTCTTAAAGCTATCGGTTATTTGATTCCTCTTATGGATCCTGAATATGCCAATTATTACACAAGGGAAGTCATGTTGATTCTTATTCGAGAATTTCAATCTCCCGATGAAGAGATGAAAAAGATTGTTTTGAAAGTAGTTAAACAATGTTGTGCCACCGATGGTGTTGAACCTCAATACATCAAGACTGAAGTTTTACCCAGTTTCTTTAAGCATTTCTGGAATCACCGAATGGCTCTTGATCGTCGTAATTACAAACAACTAGTTGACACAACAGTGGAAATAGCAAACAAAGTTGACTCTTCAGAAATAATTAAACGAATTGTGGACGATTTAAAAGACGAAAATGAAGCTTATCGTAAAATGGTCATGGAAACAATAGAGAAAATTATGGCCGCTCAAGGAGCAGCTCAAATTGATTCTAAATTGGAGGAACAGTTGATTGATGGTATTCTTTATGCCTTCCAAGAACAGACAACTGAAGATATGATTATGCTCAACGGTTTTGGTACAATTGTCAACGCTCTTGGTAAAAGAGTCAAACCTTATCTTCCTCAAATTTGTGGTACCATTTTGTGGAGGTTGAACAATAAATCAGCTAAAGTTCGTCAACAAGCCGCTGATCTTATTGCCAAAATTGCCGTTGTTATGAAGACTTGTGCTGAAGAAAAGCTCATGAATCATCTAGGTGTCGTTCTTTATGAATATTTGGGTGAAGAATATCCCGAAGTACTTGGTAGTATTCTTGGTGCTCTCAAAGCTATAGTTAATGTTATCGGTATGCATAAAATGACTCCACCAATTAAAGATTTATTACCTCGATTAACACCGATCTTGAAAAATCGGCATGAAAAAGTACAAGAAAATTGTATCGATTTGGTTGGACGAATTGCTGACCGAGGAGCGGAATATGTCTCAGCTCGAGAATGGATGAGAATTTGTTTTGAACTGTTAGAACTTTTGAAAGCTCATAAAAAGGCCATTCGTCGAGCTACCGTTAATACTTTTGGTTATATCGCTAAAGCCATTGGTCCACACGACGTTTTAGCAACTCTTTTGAACAATCTAAGAGTCCAAGAGAGACAAAATCGAGTCTGTACAACAGTGGCTATCGCTATTGTCGCTGAAACTTGTGCACCTTTCACCGTTTTGCCCGCCTTGATGAACGAATATCGAATACCCGAGTTAAATGTTCAAAATGGTGTTCTAAAATCATTATCTTTCCTTTTCGAGTACATCGGTGAGATGGGTAAAGACTATATTTATGCAGTGACCCCTCTCCTGGAAGATGCGCTCATGGATCGTGACCTTGTCCACCGACAAACTGCTTGTTCAGTCGTTCAACACATGGCCCTTGGTGTTTATGGGTTTGGTTGTGAAGATGCACTTACACATTTACTCAATTACGTTTGGCCCAATATTTTTGAAACTTCACCTCATCTTGTTCAAGCTTTCATGGGAGCCGTTGAAGGTATTCGAGTGTCACTTGGACCAATTAAAATGTTACAATATGTACTTCAAGGTCTTTTCCATCCTGCTCGAAAAGTTCGCGATGTTTATTGGAAAGTTTATAATACCCTTTACATTGGAGCTCAAGATGCTCTTGTTGCCGCTTATCCAAAAATTCCCAACGACGAGAAAAACGTTTACGGTCGACATGAATTAGATTATATATTGTAATCTATTAAACAACAATAACAGAATCAAATTCCATCTCTAAATCTAATCATGAAAACAATCACGAAGAAAAAAAAAATTACATTTGTATCATTGGCTATTCTTAAGAGAAAAAAAAATCTATAAATAGACTAATAAAAATTAAACATCAACATCATCCTTTCAATAACAAAATTAAAGTCAATTCATTTGAATAATAAATTCAATTAATTATAAAATAGTGTTTAATGTACATGAGAATAATTTTCTTCTCCAATGAGAATCACAATTATCCAATTTACTTGATTTACGTTGTTTTCCAATTGATGGTAACTTGTTAGCTATAAGATACCAAGATGTTGATTCAAATGGCATAGATAATGTTTTCTTAATCATCCGATGAGAATATAAATTACCTGAGAATGAAAAAAAGGTAATTAGATTCGTGTTGAGATCGAGCGATTTTATATTTGAAAATAATTAAAAGATAAATAGATTACCTTTGGTTTTAACTTGTTCTAATAAGAGATTTTCACTTTCTTCACTAAAAGAATCCATGAAATTTTGGAATCTTGGCCTTTTCCGTTTTCTTTTAGCTTCTTCTACTTGAGCTGCCAAACTGTCCAGTTCATCGATTGACCTTCGTTGTCGGCGAATTTTCTTTATGGTTAATTTAACACCAAGTGAAGGGTCACTAATGGTACTTTCCACCAATAGGTCAGTTCCATCATGTCTCTTGAAATCTTTTTCACTCTCATTTGATTTTCCATCAATCGAATCACTGTTACTTCTTAGATCATCATCATCTGAGACTATTTTACCCCCATGATCACCAGTTAATCCATATTTTCCAAGAGAATTAGTCTCATAAAAAGCATCCAGAAGCTCTTCCCCTGAAATAATTGGTACTTTTACTTTAACCGGTGCCCTTTTAATATAAACCTTTTCTGGTTCCGGGAAATCGATTGGTAATTGAATCGCCAGAGAATCACCAAAATGATTAAGTAATTCTTTAACTATATGTTGAGATTGAAAGTTATTCTCGGTAAGAGCCATGTCTCGAAATTTTCGCACCAAAAATAGGGACAAATTAATCCAAGCGCCGATAACTTGTTGACAGCCCAATATATCATGAGAATTGGATGAAAGCAAACGATCAGAATTTTGATTACTATACAATTGATTTAAATAAGTTCCAATGGTGGGATATAAATGATTAATAATACAATCAAAACCAAGTCGATTAAAGGTAACGATGGCTCCATAATGAGATGAATAGGGTTGAGATGGATCACGAATACAAGTAATTAAAGCTCTGATTATTTGATTGTAAAATTTGTTATGGACAAATGATGTTGACCATTCTTTGAACATATCAATTAAAATGGAAGCAGCAAAAGATTTTAAGTTCCAAAGATCGGAATTGATTGAATAATTTGTATCATCTCCAGTTGTTGTAGTAGAGTTACCGTTGAATGAAGGGAATGATGTGGTTGTTGTTGTTGTTGTTGATGATGATGATGAGGTGAGTAATGTTGATGAAGATGTTGATGTTGATGGCGGTGGTTGAGATTGTTGTTGTTGTTGTTGTTGTTGTTGTGATGGATAAAGATTATCAGATGAACCTCTCAGAATACAATGTAAAACTGATTTAACCAATGGAGTAACATAAATATCACTTGTTACTTGTAAGTAGTTATTTTTTGATAAAGCTCTGATTGAGAGTAATAATTGTCGGGCTATTTTACCATCACTGGTCTTGGCAACATTATTAGCGATAAATTTAACCAGGTAAGATAATATATGTTGAACATTTGAGTGGCTTGTAAGTCCAGTTAAAGTTTTATGAAAGAGAAAAATATTCCGACTAATGATTCCTTTGGAGATACAATTGAATATTTTCATTAATTGTAAATACTCTGGGCTTGGTTTCTCATCAGGTCCAGGTTGATTAAACTCTTTCATTAATCTACTTCCACCGGTTGGATTAAGCCAATCGATACGATATTGTGGACTTTCAGCAATAAGGTTAACCTTGTAGGATTTACTAATGATTGATTCTAGAATAATAATCATAATAATAATAATAATAGAAGAGAGAAAAAAAGAATAAAATTAAAATTTTCTCCATTAGGATTGTCAATTGTTCTCGCAAACTAACCTGACATCTTGACCAGGTCAATTGTTTTATCTTCGGTAACAAATACTTCAGCCTCTGGAATATAAATCTCTTTAGTTGATTGAGATCCATTGAAACCATAGATTGACTGAGAATCAGCTACTTTTAAAGCTTTATTTATATCATCACAGGTTAATTTAAATCTCTTGGAGTGTCGAGTATATTGGAATGAAGAAGCAATCAATTCCCTTAAACGGTAACTCGTATCCTCTGATAGTTGAGCAAATACTTGATCATCAATAGGGTTAATTGAATTGACGGAAGAGGCAAATAATTTAATAGAATCAACACCAAAACTGGTATAATTACGAGATTTATCCGGTAAAATATTATCTTCAGATGCACCAACATCCATGGTACCCAAACAATGGAGATAAAAAGAGAAGATGAAAAAAAGAAAGAAAAAGAAAGAGGGAGGATAAGAGAAACACCAGAATAGAATATAAGAAAAAATTAAATAGATAAAACAATTAAACCACAAATCAATTAATGATTAGATAGAAGTGATTAACTTCTAAATAATAACAACAATAAACACTGAAGGTTTTTGATCCACAAAAATGGAACCGGTTTGAGTGTTGGTTCAATTTTTCTCTTTCTTTTCTTTCTTTTCCAATGGTAAACAAAAAGCTTTTCCTTACAATCCATGTGCTTGTGTAGTTGTCATGGTCATGTTGTTGGAAGCGGGAAAAGAACATTAGTTTGAAGTGACAACAATCAAATTAGAAATTTAAAATCTAATTGATTGGGGGCGAGAATTAATTTCAACTATAAATGGTTAACAATTTGATTGTTGATGTTTTCTTGTTACAATGTTACTCTATTGGGATGAGTGATGATGTTTGGTGATCGTTGTTGTTGTTGTTTTTGTTGTTGGTCAATTTGTTAACTATCAGCTGATGGTTTCTTTTTTCGCAATCAATTGATTAATGGTCTTGATGATGATGATTAATGTTGTATAATCAAGATGACAATTACTCGTTGTGAAAATGGTGAAAGGATAACTAGTAAGTAGAGGCAGAGAGATTGGGTTAAGTGTGGGTCTAAAAGTGATTTTGGAAAAGGGAAAGGATTAGTTGATGGAGAAAATTACAAGATAATCAAGTTAATGATTGTTAAATTGTGATGGTTAGAGAACACAGATCAATGTAAATATAGTAACTAAATCATAAGAATATTGGAATATATCAAGATTGGAATAGAGAACAAGTTTGGAAAAATAGAGAATAGAAAAAAAAATGATAACAATTTATAATGTTAATGACAAAGGGAAGGGTTAACTTGTCATAACCATGGTTCCAATGGAGGGAAAATACTCAGAGAACAATGAAGATGATGAAAAAAAGATGATGGAGATGGTGGAGATGATGATGATGACGATTTGGTAGTAAAAGTATCAGAAAAAAGAGGAAACAAGGAAATGAATATCAATTTTTTTCTCCTTCTTTTGTTGTTGTTTTTTCCCCAATTCTCTTGCTTGAAAATCAACCTTCAATCGTGTCCATCTAAGGGAATTGAATCATTAAATAAATCACCATGATGATCACAATTTAGAATCATTAATTCACTTGACACACTGATCAAACACAACAATCAAATGAAAAGGGTTGTTAACAAATAACGATAATAATCACAAATCACAATAAGATAATGATGATGACGAGAGACAGATAAACATGAATGACAAAAGATCCGTTGGAGGCCTAAGACTTTTTTTTCTAATCAATGGGAAGAAATTTTTTCTTTTTCTATTTAAAATGCAGACCAATTGTAAAAGAATATCATTTCTATCATGTTCATCATAATCCACCAATTTAATGATTAGTTAAATTGAGAATAGGAGGAGGAGGGAAAGTTAACACCGCCGGTGAGAAGAAAAAAAGTAAACGATTGAAAGGGTTGGTATTCATATTCGAAGGGTGAAAATTGAATGAAGAAAAAAGTCTGCAATCAATGGTTTTCTCTCACTCTCTCTCTCTCTCTCAATACAATTTCTAATGATTAACAGTTAATCATTTCGCCGAAAATTGATTCCATCAACAATCAACTGAACACCAAAGTTTTCGATCGAAACTTGTAACTTTTCAGTTTGCTGGGTTTTCTTTTTTTTTTCATCGAGAAAACAATCAACTTGTAATTTCAATTGATCGCAAGTTAATTGTAAACAAAAAACTAAAGTTAAATTCATATTTATACTTGAATAGCACCAAGAGTATGAATATGATCATAGATTAGTGTTGATTAACTTTGATTGTTGTTCAATTATCTGTCTAACATTGGGATGTTTTGTTTTTGCTCACATTTCATTTGTTACAATAATCTAATCATTGATAGTAATCGGTTAATCAGTTGTATTATTAAAATGATCAAAGGTAATTAGATTAAAGAGTGCAGTAAAGTAAGTAAATCATATTAAATAGTAAAATTAGAGAAGTTAATTGTTAGTTTAATGTCTAAAAAATCATTGAGATGATTAAACGTCACTAGAGGGCCTCAGGTTGATTAGTTGATTACAATTAGAAAGAGAACACTTACAATTAACTCTTAATCCGATTCTTAGTAATCCTCCTCCTCCACCCAAGTTTCCACCTTCCACCATCATCAACAATTAACTCTTCCCTGTACCTAAGCGAGAGACAGAGACTGAGAGAGAGAGAGAGAGAGAGAGAGAGAGAGAGTGGGAGTGGAAGGGATGAAGAAGATGATGGAAGAGAAAGAGAGAGATGAGGATGAGAGTAAAGGAGGGTGGAAGTGTGATGGAGGAGGAGGACGAGGAAGGAGGAGGCGGAAAAAAGGAGGTGGAAGAGACTGAAAATCTGTAAACCAAAACACATTGAACTCCACCCGCTGATTATGAACGTTACATGTTTAATTACTTTCGCCTCTCCACTCTGTCTATTTTGCTCTCTTTCGCTCTCTGTCTATTCTTCCTCATCATCTAAAACTACACCAGCCCCCTTGTAAGAATTAACCTCTCTCTTTCTGTCTATTTCTCTTTCTTTCATCTTCCATCATCCTCGATTCCACTCCTCACTCCTCCTCGAATCGCTTCCTCCCCTTCCGCTATTTTTGGACTTTCAGCTTCAGTCTTTTTAACATGTAATCAAATGCGCATCAAACACACATCGTTAACCATCACAAGAAGAAGAAGAAGAAGAAGATAAGGAAGATAAAGAAAGAGATGATGATGAGTCTGTGAGAGTTCTGCGTGTGTGTGTTTCTGTGTATTTGTGAGTCTCGATTCTTTTTCTTACTTTTTTCCTTCTTTTTTCATCATCATCTTCATCTTCGGTGCAAACAAACAATTCGGATACACCGTAGTCTCCATCATCTTCATCTTCATCACCAACAATCAATAATAAACAACAATTAGAACAACAAAAGTGTTAATCAATGTGTCCCTTAGTTAATTGTTAACCCTCACAATGGATTTTCAACAATCAACCTAAATTATTAATCCAATAAATTTAAATCTCTTAATATATTACAAAAAAATAAGTTTATCTTTTTCCTTGTGAATTGATCATCAAATTGTTGCGATTTGTGTTTTTACAGCAACTTAATTACTTAATTGTTAACCCGTAAATCTATCTAATGTTGTTAATCCAATTTGGATAATTTATAAATAATATGTTAAATAGGACCCATGATTCTCAAACACATTGGGTAAGTAAATGTTAAATTGTAAACAATTAAGACCAACAATCAACGTTGAGGAAAACCTGAAATGAAACCACAGCAATCACAATCAACGAAGATACAAAAATCAACCAACAATTAACTAAACAACTTACTAAAGTTAGAGATAATGATTATGATTTATAACTCAAGTTTGATAATCAAACAATTGTCAAGTTAATTGTTACAATTTTGTTTGAAATAATGAATCAAAATCAATTTAATTGTCCATTTGAATTTTGATTTTCTCGGTGACATGTTTATTGTTTATCATAATAAACAATTTGTGAATATTATATCATATTGTGTATGATTTTAATCAACAATCAATTCAATACAATTATCATCATCATCATTATCGTCATCATTGTCATCATCATCATCATAATAATCATCATTTCTCTTTCTTTTTCTCTTACTTTTCCAAAGGGGATTTCCTAATGAAATATTGAACAAAAATTTAATCTAATCTAATTAATACTTAACCTTACATTGATTGTGATAACCTTGATGATAGTAAATAGGATTTCCCAGTAAATCTGAGCAATTTGATTAGATAATCAACAATCAGATTAATTATCTCAATTTCATTAAAAATGGATTGACTTAATTATCAATTACTAAACTAAACATAAGTATATTAAATAATAAAATGAAAACAGAATTAAAAAATTGATCATCATCATCATTATCACCATCATTAGCAATTAACAATCTCAAATGACATTAATAACAATATAATGATAATCTCAATCACCATCAACAATTAAAGGTCTTGATCATATTTTTAGTGATTAAATTACAATTAATAGAAGGAAGAAAAAGAAGAAGAAGAAGAAAATCAAAATGTAATGGAAAACAATTTAATTTAATTTCATCTCTCTCTTTCTCTAAATCATCAACAATTAACGTTTCTGAGTAAATTGGATAAAGGAGAGAGGAGGAAATCAATGAAAAACAAATGATAATTAAATCATCAAGATAATAAAAGTTAACAGCAAGTAAATTGTATATGATTAAAAAGTGTTGGCCTGTTAATAAATTACCTTGCGGACACAATCAATCTAATTGTTGACAATTAGTTGATTCTCCTTTAGGGAAATTGTTTTATCAGGTTGATTGTTGAATATTTATGATTTTATACTTATCGTAAGTGTCAAATGCTAAGAAACTTTTAATTACAATCAAATCAATTAATCATATCACCCAAGTGAGGGAGCAGATGAGGTAAGAAAATTTTAAATTGTCAACAATTAGTTTGCTAAATTGTGATAAGTCAATATCCTTGATCAAATAGTTAATAGAAGCAATTAGTTGATGATAATTGTTTGTTGATTTTAACCAGAGAATCAAAAAGTTAGTCCAATTTCTTGAAGGTTGATTAATGGTGTTTATGTTTACCGGTCAAACGAATTAAAAAAAAAACGATTTTCTCTTTTTTTTTCGTCGAATTTTTTTCTTCTTCCTCATCAACTTCACCCGAATTTCCAACTCAGGATGAATTTCATCCGTTCATCGAAGCTCTATTGCCCCATGTCAAGGCTTTCAGTTACACTTGGTTCAATCTCCAGGCCGCTAAACGGAAATACTACAAAAAGCACGAGAAAAGGATGACCCTGGACGAGGAACGCAAATGTAAGGAAGATCTTCAGGTAAGTGGTCATTTTTTTTCCTCCTCTTTGTCTCCTTTTCTTGCTTGACCACAAGACTGGACATTAGAATATATGTTTATTTATCTATAGAAGAAAAAAATTCTATACAAAAGTTTTTCGATTACCATTAATCCGAACAATCAAATTTAATATCTTATCTGAATGTTAAAGTTTTCGTTGTGTGTTTTAATCATCACTGTAATTTAATTGTGTAAACAAAAGTAACAATTAATTTCATTGTTTCCATCAGTTGATTGATATCATCTAATGTAAACAATTAGAAAAGTTTAATTTTTTTGTTAATCATCATCAAAATCCAGCTGATTGTGAGAATGTAAAAACAAGTTAAATTGATTGTATATCGACAATTGGTCAATTGATTAATTGTGTTTATGATTAGTTAAAAGTGTGACTGGGTTAATGGTGATAATGGTTATTTGGTAATCAGTTAATTGTTTACGTTTTCTGTTAATTACTATAAATTTGTTTTTCGTTGAAATTTCATGTTTATCTTTTCACCTTTAAACATTATATCATCATCATCATCATCCTTGTGTCTGTGTAATTTAATGATTACAGTAAATGATAATTACAGTGATTAAGATTATTATGATGACGATTAACAGTTAATTGTGATTGTAAGAGGATGTTGTAAAAAAAAATTGTATTAAATTAATAAGTTCGGGTTCAATTGTTTTCCTCTATCTCTTTTTAATTGTTTTAATTGTATGATTGTTTTGCTTGATTGTTAATATTATTTGTCTGGTTTAACAAGAGGAATCAATTCAAGTTGATTAGTTTGATTATGTGATTAGTTGATTAACTCAAGTAGTGAACCATCAAATACACTTGATATCTTTATCTAATACTTTTCAAATATACAAAACTTTTGATACATTTAATTAATTACAATTAAAAATGTTTATCAGCGAAACATTTATAATAATATTATCATTATTATTTTAAACTGACTCACTTACGATGATGATGATGATAACCATACAAAGGAAGATTGAAAATAAACATAAGATGATGAAGATGGAGATGGAGATGAAGGAGAAGATGAAGAAGATGAAGATGATGATGATGATGATGATTAAGATGAATAACAATCAACTAGAAGAAGAGGAAGAAAAAGATTAGATTAAAATGTTCATCTTCACGGTTATATTCAAATGAACAACAAGTAACTCTGTTAATTTCATGAGAACATGAAGAGAGATAAATGAAGATGGAAAATGATGAGAATGATAAAATAGACAGAGAGAAGAAAAAGAAAATTTTTGTTCGAAACGAAATCTTTTTTTTCTTCTCCTCTGATCTTCTCAACGAAACGAATGAAACAATTTCACTCCAACGTAAGGATTTTCAACGAAACGTTTCAAGAGAATCATCATCATCATTTTCACTCCAAAACTTCATCATCTTCATCATCCTAACCTATAAATTCAGAGATATAAACACTTTCAAATAAAATGTAATATTTATCAGGGGAAAAAAACATTCGTCATGGTCAGAATTTTCTCCATGTTGAACTTTTCCATCTTGTTGACGTTGATCATTTTTTCATCATCATATGCATTCCATGATTGTCGAAAAATCTTCTCCTTCGTCGTCATCATCATCTCGAAAACCTTTCGACTCTCTCTCATCAATCAAAGTTAATGAAGTATCAGTTCGTTAAAATTTTCTTCCATGTTGAAAACTCCCAAAGATTAAGATTTTTGCCTTTCCTTAGATATTTATAATAAGGAAGTTAAATCATGATGAAGTTAATCATCATGATTATATGATTATAATAAATATATGTATCATGGTGATGGAGTAATTAATTATCAAGAGAAATGTAAAGAAAAAAAATTAAACCACATTTGTTAAAGATGATGATGATTAAGTCGATGATGAAGTTTTCCAGGTTCGATGTGATGTTTGATCATTTCTCTTTGTTTGTTGTTGTTGTTTATGATTTTTATAGACCTTCAGGCGATTCATTATTCAAATGACAGAAGAAGATGATGTTGGTGATGATAAAAAAGATGAAATGACGAAGATGATGGCGAAAGAAAAGCAGAAGATGATTTAGGCTTCCATCCAATTCTACCTTCGTAGTCGGTTGCCTTTACGAACATTCTCATTCTCATCATCATCTTTCCATCCTCATCTTTAAGCATCTTTATCTTCTTTATCATCTGGGTGAGAAGGTGAAAGAGAAACACAGCTAGTGAGCATATCGAGATGATGATGATGATGATACGAATCACATCTTTTTCTCTTCATTTTCCTTCTTCTTCGCTTGGTTGATTTTTCCTCTGCATCTCTTGAAATCCTGAATCTTCTTGTTTTTTATTTTCTACTAAGATGATGATGATGATGATGATGATGAAAGGATTTATCAATGAAGTTGATCTGATTCCATTGCGTTTGCTTAATTCTCCTTCTTTCTCTTTCTCTGGTAGCCACGGATAAGAAAACGTTCAGAGATTTAACATTATCCTCTCTCTCTCTCACTTATACTCTCGTAATCATTATCATCCTCAATCTTCATCTTCATCTTCGTTCTCTCTCTTTTATCCCCTTTTTCACATCTCATACGACCTCAGGTCCAGAAATAGCTCTTTCTCCTTTTTTTATGTATTCCATCTCGACGTCTTCTCCATCCTCATCATCTTCCTCTTTTTTTTAAATCTATTATTTTCTCTCTGCTCGTTTGGTGTTATCGTTTCTCTCTGAGTTCAGGAAGGATAAACAAAAGAAAAGGAACAATAATCATCCCAATTGTTGACTTGACGGTTTATCATCCAGCTAATCCGTTGCTAAATTCATTGTATTTAAATGATTTTCGATAATAAATCAAATCCATCGCCCTTATTTTTGATCACAAGTAATTAGATTGTCTTCACGATTAATTGTAATTATTATCAGTGTTCCTCATTTTTTTTGTTGAACAATTTTTCCATTCGTAATTAGGTTATACATCTCATATGATTCGTTGATTGTTGACAATTTTCTGAATAAAAATAGAGGGAAATTAAAATCTGTAAATGAAAAGGAAAAGTAAAATTAATAATAAAATTATTAATATATGATTAGAATTATGAATCAACAGATGATTAAAGTAAATCTTGGAGCAATACCAAGAAAATCTCACCATTTATTAATGACAATCAAGGTCTGAAATGATTAAAAGTTGTTGGTGATAATAAAGTAAAATCCAATCAAAGTGTTAACTCCGTTACTATTAATTGAGAAATAAACATTAAAGCGTATTAATTAAATAGATATTTTCACAATTTCGCTTTTTATGATAATAATTAAGATGATGATAAATATCATTTAGCAAAAAGTAAAAAAGGTGATTCTAATTATTGCTACTTACTTTTTCCTTAGGAAGTTCACTATTAACCATTTTAAAAGATTAAGAGGAAAAGTTGACAAGTAGAATCTTAATCATCAACGGTAATCAATAGTTAGCATTTAATGATAAATGCAGTTTCCTTTTTGACATTTGTGTGCGTAGATTATTGAAGATGATGATGATAAATATGAAGGATAAGATGAAGATAATAATGGTAATTATCATTATTAACTATGTTTAACTTCACTCAATCAATTCACAGATTTGTAACCCAAAATTTACCAACATAAAATATACTATTAAGATGATAATTATCACCAATAATATACTAATATTCAAACGATGGGCAATCAGGGAGTGAAAAGAAAAAATCTTAAATAGTATATAACAGTAGCACTATTATCTTCATAATAATCGTAAGAAGATGAAGATGATGATGAAGATGATGAAGATAAAGATTCTTACTACTGTTAGGAATGTCTTAAGGAAAAGTAGATGACATTTTTATGATCAGTTATCCTTTTTTTTAAAAAGTTACGCAGAATATTTATCTACATCAAACTGTTTTCTTCTTCATCTTCTTCTTCTTCTTCTTCTTCATCTTCATCTCTTCTGTAAATAAATTCACTTTCTTCACAGTCTATTTTAGAAACAGCATTTCATCGTATACTTCATCTTTCGCCATCGCCATCATCATCAACAATTTAAAATCTTATCCCAACCATCAGCATGTTCAGTGTAAAAGCTTATCAAGCATATGGTTAAATCCAATGTTTGCCTGTGTGATTGGGTGAATATGGATGTTGCTTGATTATACACTTTATGGTCCAATTGATTGTTACCAACGATTGTTCACCATGTTGATCGAAATTTCATCACCACCAATTGTTTTACAATCAAAGAAACACTTGGATCCTAATTAGATTGAACAAAAAAAGAAGAGAAAAAAAAATAAATGAAAAGAAAACAATGAGAAATTGTATAACCTATCAAAGACTTTGAGAGGGAATAATCAAGTTAATCATCTTAATGAGATGTTTCACAAAAAGAAATTGAAATAAATCACTTAACATAAACATACCCAAGCTCATGGTTAATCGTAATTGCGAATAAGAAATAAATTATTACAGAAAAAAATTAAAAATTAGAATTAAAAAAAATTCTATAAATTAGTTAATCACTTTCTCCTTTTAGTTGTAGAAACAATGGCGAGCGACTTTAACTCTTTCTCTCAATAGATGTCAGTCTATTTGATTTTCTCTTTCCGGTCAACCCTTTGATTAGAATTTTTTGTTTTTCTTTATTAATCTTCTTGGTGATTAACTAATTATCTTTCTAGTTTTCTTTCGTGTTTGTATTGTATTTTAATTTCTTTTTTTGCTTTCTTTCTTTTTACAGAGTGAAAAGAATGAAGTTAAACAAAAATGGGCCTCGAGGCTTTTAGGTAAATTACGTAAAGATATTACCCAAGAATGTAGGGAAGATTTTGTCCTTGGGATTACCGGCAAGAAAAGGATTAACTGTGTTCTTAGTAATCCTGACCAAAAGGGTAAAATGAGGAGGATTGATTGTCTTCGTCAAGCTGATAAGGTAAGTTAATTGTTTGATACCTGGTGATTGATTTATAACAATTTTATTGAAAGAAAGAAATAGAAATTGACAAGAGAAAAGACTATTGTTTCAATGTATGTTTCTTTTGTTAAATAATCTTTCTTTTGCTTCAAGTGATTCTTGGCTTTGGATTGTGTTGACTTTGATTCTATTTTCGATTAATTATTATTATTATTTAATACATTATTTTTTATTCATTTGTTGTTATTGATTTTATCTTTTTCTCTTGTTAGGTTTGGCGATTAGATTTAGTTATGGTTATCCTCTTTAAAGCAATTCCATTGGAATCTACTGATGGTGAAAGACTAGAAAAATCTTCAGACTGTTCTCATCCTAATCTATGTGTTAATCCATATCACATTAATGTTTCCGTTCGTGAACTTGATCTTTATTTAGCTAATTACATATTCTCTCATGGTAAGTATCAATTTATCAATGGTTAATAGTAATAATATATTACACATAAACGAACAAAACTAAAAGTCTCAATGATAATCTTAATCTAAAATCGAATCAAATCAAATTCCAATTTTAAATCAATAGGTTTACATTTAAATCCAATCTGATTAGAGTCTATGTTCATCCAAAACCCAATTAATATTTCCATTCAGTCAGTGTGATCATGAACATTAAGATTGTTGCGAAAAGTAAATCAGTTTACCTTTTTCTCAGGTAAATTAATTTGTTTTTGTTATTGTCAAAGTGTCAAGTTAATTCATCTTTCTCTCTCTCTCTCACTTACCCTTGATCATTATGTATTCTGTCTGAGAATCACTAGTCAATGAAACATTGCAATTGGCACCAGTTAACTGAAATAATTTGTGGCTCATTTACAATATTAAGCCAACTATATCACTAATTTTCCTGGCTTTAAGCCTTTTATCATAATACTTACACCCTCAGGCCATTTGGCTCTCACATACTCTTAATTATTACAATTATTATCTAATTATTATTAATACTATTTATCACCATCAAAATAATCATTCTTTCAACACTTAACAACAAATAACTCTACCCATCTAATCAAACCTTCAATGTCCTTTTTTTTTCTTTTGCTAATCAATTTCAATCAAACTTAATCATGATAATTAACTCAATTAACACTTCTAATTTACTTTATTAATTTACTTTCAGTGTGTACACCTTGAATGCTGAATACCAAATTCCCACCACCAACCACACACACACACACACACAACCATCACCATCAAGACCATTTACCAATCACACATAAAACTTTATCAATAGGAAAGAAACATCAAAATTAATTAACTAAATCTGATTACATTTTTCTCTCTCACTCTCTATCTTAATCCTTAATCCCTCATTCTCTGCGCATGTAGAACTGAAAAATGCGCAAACCTGAATCACGCAGTTTCTACCTGTTGATTGTTCACCTGTGATTGGTTAATGTTAATGTTGTCACCCCACAATCAGAAAACAGGATTGCCAAAAAAAACCCACCGAGTGGGTTGATCCCTCTAACTTATAACCTATCAGAAACTTTTACTAATTCATTTATTATATCCTATTATCCTATTATTATTAATATATTATCAAAACTAACAATTAATAACTTTGACTCAGATCAATCCCAACCAATTACCTTATTAATTAAATACAACAATCAAAGTACTCATTATCATCCTTATTGTTATTATAATGATCACACTTGATTATCAATTAAATTCACTACCAATTAACCAACTTTCCCAATTGATTAGATGAACTGTTTTCATGTTGTTTTGTTTGTATCAATTTTAATCATAATCATAATCATTGAATTTGATTTGATTTGAATTGTATTTTTACCCTTATTGAGACCTTGTTAATTGCTAATTACCCAACTAATTGTAATTGTATTTTTTTTTCTCTCCCTCTTATCGTCACAATTTAATCTCTCAGAATCTCTAAGAGGTAATATGGAATCAACTTGTGATACTAATGGTGAACAAGATGAAAATGAAACAATTAACATAAATAACACAATTCACTTTAATAGTAATACAATATTAGCCACTGGAGTTTTCACCTCAGCTGAATTATATCGCCTATCCAAAGGTAAGTTAATTTTTCTATTTCGTTAATTGTTTCAAATTAAAATGGATTCACAACTTATACGATGATGAAGTTATAATCATGAAACAATTATTATTACAAACACAAAACTGCAAAATACCAACAGACAACAATTACCTTAATAATAATAATAACAATTTAGATTGATTGATGATTAATTATTCTCATCATTAAATTGTTAGTAAACTAAAATTAAATTGTAACCTTGAAAATGAGTTGATTATATTTTTTTCCTCTTCAACCTTTTGATGGCTTTTTACTTGTAGTATTTACTACAAACCTTAACTTTGATTAACTCTCATGATTGTCAACTATTTTTTTTTCGTTATACTTGAAACAGTTGAGTTAGTTAATTAGTGGGAAATTGTTCCCAATCTCTCAACTCTATTAGTTAATTAATTTAGTTCAAAAAAGTTATCAACATCTCGATCGATCATGATTCCTGGTTAACTGATTAGATTAATCATTTCAACTCTTTTTCTCTCTCTCTTCTCTATCTTTGCATTAACTGCAATCGTTACAACTGAATTAACTTTTAATTGTGTCCTTTTTGGCTTGTGATTAGGTTTTAATTTAGTTGATTAAGTTAATTCATTTACGATGTGACAATACAAAAAAAAACATCACATACACAAAGTCAATTGATTAGCAAATGAGAAAAATTTATTGATGTGAAACATTGTTACTCAATCTGATTTGTAGTTTCATCAATTTGATTACAATTTAAATCTGATTAACTTGATCATCTTATATAGATAACTAATGGATCGTGATTTGAAATAGATTAATAAGTTTTGATTGTAACAATTTAACATTTATTTGTAAAAAAAAAGGTTCAATCTGAATAGGCAAACTTGAAAAACTCCTTTTTTTGTTTTAATTGTTGGTTTGTCTCCAACAATTAAGAGATAATTAAATCAAGTCTAGTCACCAGTTAATTGATCATAAGTTAATGGTTTATGTTTAGGTCATCATTGGGTCAATGAAGATGTACAGTTAATTCATTCATCATTTAGATGATTTAATAAACTAATCAAATTGGGTAAGCTTAGATTTAATAATATTAGACATTTAAAATTAGGAAATTGATTGTAACATGTTAACTGTTTAAAAGCAAACAACTTGGAAAGTTAATTACTGCTATTGGGAGATGATTGTGATTAATGGTTAATTAATAATGTTGAGTTTGATTTATAACCATTTAGATTAATTTGAATTATTGATTCAAATCAAGTTTGTCTTTTAAAAGTGAAAGGTATAAGAATTGATGGTTACTGATAATTATCTTGACTCTCAGTTAACATGATTACATTCAATTGCCAAATTGAACCAATCATCACAATCTTAATTGTTGACTGTTGTGTTAATTGTGGTTTTATGAACGGGAGCCATGATTGTGCTGATTCCCTGTAGCATCCATTGTGACCCCAATAGGGTCTGGTGGAAACGGAAATCTGATGACCGCTCATCCAACCTCTTCCTCCTCGGCTTCATCTTCGGGAACAGTAACCAGTCCACCTCAAGGAGTCCCAATACACCTGATTAAAACTGAACCATCATGCACATATCAACAAGGGTAAATATCAATTTCATTTTTACAATTAACTTGATGATTTAAACAAAAAAATCCAACAATTACAACCCAAACATATGAAACTTTTGTTTATAAACACATAAAAGTTTCAGAAAAATATGTAATAAGAAAACAACAACAAAAATCAACCAACTATTTGTTTCCATCATAAATATTGAGATTTGATTATAAAATTGATTGTAAGGTTAACTATTTTGATTGATTACGATGCCATTTTAACTGTTGAATGTCTGAATCTTTTGAAATAAGTTCAATCAATCAAAAAGTGTTCAGTTACTTGAGATGATGAGGATGATAAAATAGAAGAGTGAAACAAAGAAACTAGAAAGTTGATGATGAAGATGAAGAAGATGAAAAATGTGAGTCGAAGATTGAAATTTTATCTGGTGACATGAAAATTCTGTGTACGATAAAGTTCTGAATCTTTTTCTTTCTCCATCTTTCTCTTTCTTCACGTCAGATGACTTTTACTCTTTTATCTCATCATCATCATCATCATCTTCGCCTCTTGTCTTTTTTATTTATTTATTTATTTTTTCTTCATCAGCAAAGTTCCTTGAGAATTATTTTTAGACAGAACGAAATGAGGATAAAGGAATCTCCTTCTTAACTCTCTTCTCCTTCTCCTTTTCTCTTTCATTTTCTTCTCCATCTCATCTAACCTCATCTTCAACTTCATTATCTTAGATTTTTCTTCATCTTCTTCATCTTCTTATTCTCCTTTTTTGAACTATTGTTCCATAGCAATAGCAACCATAAGAAACTTGAGTATTTTGGTTCCGGTTACAGGCTATTGAAATACGAACCAGACTCATCATCATCATCATCATCTTCATCTTCATCAGTATACCGTCAAAAACATCATTCACCATCAGCATAATCAGCAAATTGTGCAATTTAATCAACTTGTATCATTATCATCTTTGTCCAATCCAATAGTTTATTAATTCAATGTACAATCAACAGTAATTAGCAAATTCCCAATCTTTTATATTGACTGATGCACATAAACAAGGTTAATTTTATTTTACAATTAATTTTAATTGCAATTTAATATTATCGATTGGCTTTTCTCAATTCTAATGTTATTTTTGAAGTAATTTTCGTCCTCAATAGTTTTAGAAAACAATTTAAATCACTTTAAATTTTCTTCTTCTTATTATGATAAAAGACTATGATGATTCTTAAGAGAGATGATCCCATAGGAGGACGATGATGATGAAGATGATTGAGAGTAGTAGACAGTAAATTGTGAATGAAGAAGACAGAGATTTAATTGTTGTAACCGGAAATAGTTGATCTTTTATGATCAGTCTTCCTTGACTGTTAAAGTTACATCTTCATCTTGTTGAGTTTTCTAATTTTTTTTCTCTCTCGCATCTTCATCCACCTCCACCTCCCACTCCCTCCTCCTCCCCAATCACTAACCGTGGACCGGAAGACATCAAATCTTTTGTAGTAAAAAAAAGTGGGAGGCAACAGTTAATGAAGATGAGTATCTTTTTGTAGTTGCTTTTGTTTTCCTCTTTTCATGTAACTACTTTTTTATCCTTAAAATACACACACTTGACAGTTTTTTATATCATAAGATGATCCTGAAGATGAGGAAGATAAAAGATGATGATTTCATACAATTTATGGAGAAAAAAAAGATGTAAACTTGATTGAAAGTTTCCTCTTTCTCTCTCACGCTTCGAGTTTTCTTGATGAACTTTTCCTTTTTCTCTTCGTTGTTGTTGTTGTTGTGGTTTACGAAATGAAAGCGAAAGATAAACTTTGATCTTTAATCTTTAATTAATCTTTAGTTTCTCATGATCTTTTCCGGTGACCATTAACTTGATATATTCGTTGACCTAAATGTCAAGGTCAAGGTCAGTATTTTACGTGCAAAAATATCAGATTGATTTGATTAGTAGGAACAGGAAGTTGAAATAAAGTGAGAGAAAGAAAAAGGAAAGTGATGAGGATGAAAGGGAAATGATTAAATTAATTACTCAATAATATTATGAGCATTTTATTTATGGTTAATATTTTGTAATTTGTATTTATAATAATCAATTAATTGGATAATAATAATAATCATCTGGTAATTTATATTCTAAATTTTTAGGCCAATGAACTTTATGAGTTTCTTCAGGCCTTAAGATGAGAGGATGAAGTAAATGTTGATGATGACCTGGTGAATTTAAAAATTATCACAATTTAGATCTTGAAAGCTTAATTGTAATTAACTTTTACTCTGGTTTTCATGATTTAGCAAACTGATATGTATAGTTGTTTAAATCTAAACATAGATTTTTACATTAGTTAAATTGTCGAGAGTTTTGATTTAAATTTTTGTTTCTCCCTTAATTTAGTTTATTATAACATTGATTTTAACATTTGATTAGTTGATTTTGAATTTTGTTGTTGTTTTCCAATGTTGTTTATAAACATGAACGTAAATTAAACAAACATTTAATTGATACAAAATAATTAAAACTTAATATGTGTTAGTGATAATTATAATTATATCAATAGTTACTCTCCAATACCTGAGATGCAAGTTCAATGTAGTCCAATAGGACTTAATGTGGTCAACTCATTGTCCAGTCAAGGTCTTCCATTAAGTCAATCATTGGGTATTTGTAGGTAAGTGATTTAAATTTGAAAATTAATAAGCATAAGAATTAATTTATCTTTTACTTTATTTAAAAATAGTGAACCACAAAATGTGAAACTTTGTACAGCAACAAATGAACATACGAATAAACAATATCATCATCTAGCCGGACAATCAATTGGTCATCATCATGGTAGTTTAATTATGGATCGATCAGGACCAAGTAGTCCAAATAGTTTAGGATCTGTTGTTACCGCAGTAGCAAGTGGCATGTTGCAATCAACTTCATCACCTCCATCATCATCATCATCTTCTGGTGGTGGTGGTGGTCCACCTACTAAACGTGCAAGACGTTTACCCTCCGGGAATAATAATAATCAATCAGTTGAACCAGAATCTGGAGAAAGTTTAACTTCCTATTATGGTGATGGTTCTGGTTGGCAGGGAATCGATATTAGCGGAGAAACAAATTCTCAGGGACTTAATTCACCTCATATTATGTCAATTAAAGTAAAAACAGAATCAAATGGAACCACTGGTAATTGTGGTCCCTCTCCCTCAGATAATTCACCGTTATCTGTAGGCTCTCCATCATCTCTTCACCATCAACAACAACAACAACAACACCATCATCATCAGCAACATCATCAACAACAGCAACAACATAGTCATCATATTCATCATGGTCACATTCATCATCCTCATCATCAAACACACAATCCCCACCAGCAACATCATCAACAGCAGCAACAACAGCAACAGCAACAGCAGCAGCAGCAACAACAACAACAACATCACCATCAACTCCAACAGCAACAACATCAACCTCATAATCCTCATCATACTCATCATTCACATCAGGCAAATAGGCCAAGGGAAGGTAAGATTTTATTTTATCTCAATTGAAATGAGTCACTAATTATTGAATAACTTTTGATAGGCCAACCTCCCATGTCCAATCTTCCTGGTCATCAACATTCAGGTTCCAGTTTATCATCAAATCTATCAGTTAGTCCATTTGGTCCAACTTATTATGGTTTACCTGGTAAATATCAAGAGAATGGCGATGCTCTTTCTGACTTTGTTAATCTTGTTTGCCAAGAATCATCTCAACATCATCATCAACATCATCATCATCACCACCACCATTCTCATCACCATGGCTCATCTGATGGCGGTGGTAATGAGGAGGGAAATGTAAACATAAATAATAGCGGCAGTGGCAATAATAACGATAATAATGGAGGAGGTCGATCTGATCCCGAAGAGGATGAACCTGGTGACCTAAGGTCAAGCCCTTCTAAATACTATAATCAAATGACTTCCATGCTTCCTCCACCACCTCCAGCGCCTATGGCACGTCCAGTTCCTATTCTCGGTAAGAATCAATTTAATATCCAATTTTAACTCAATCAACTTTAGTTAAATTAACTAAAAATTTATTAATATATTTATTTCCATGTGTATCTAAATGTACAAGTAAAATGGAGTGATGATTGTGAACCAATTTTAATAAACTTAATAAGTAACTAATTAACTTAATTTAAACACTTCCCATGCATCAGCCAATTAGTATTAACAATTAACTAACCACAATAGTTATGTATAGTGAATAAGAGTTAACCAGCTGAGAGATGAAAATTTAGATACCTTTGAATGTTTAATTTTAACCAATTGAAATGTTTTCTAATTCTCAATTAACACTAACTCTCTGCCCGATAATCCAGCCTCACCTAATCCACCGCCTATGATAAGATCAACATCTCAATTGATGACTCCCTGTTCACCCGAATTAGGTGGATCATCTCCCTCGTCACCATGTCATCCAGGAGCACCAGGAACCCCAGGATCTGATGCAAGCGGGCCCATTGTGATCAACAATCGATCTGTTTTAATACATCGATCTGATTCAAGCAATAATAACAATAGTAATAGTCAAAGTGGTGGAAGTGATTCAAGGGATCCAACACCCACTCCGCCTCCTATTTCTGTATCATCTCATCATAATATCAATTCATCTTCATCGTCATCTTTATCTCCTTCTGCTCATGTATCGGTTTCATCTTCCTCAATTAATTCATCTTCCACATCTCCAACCTTCTCAGGAGGTGGATCGGCAATTGAAACAATTAATTCTAATCGATCTGTGATGAGTCCGTTTACAACGTTAACAAGAGCCGATCACTCGTTTCATGTTCATACTCCTGTTACTCAGGTAATAATCATCAATATATCTAACCAATCAATCAATTAATTAATTATAGATAATCAGAGATAATGACAATCAGAGGAACAATTAACAGCTTTAGACTTTTTTGTGAGATATTTTTTTAAGTCTATGGAGAGATTAAAAATCCCGTGAGAACAATTAATTCATCATTTCAAGTATGATTAAGACCTAAGATTGAGAGGAGAGAGACAAAGACGATTTTTTAATGATGAAGATGATCTCTCTCTCTCTCTCTCTCTCTCTCTCTCTCTCTCTCTCAGACTGAGTTGTTTCCGTCCAATGCCTTGAGAAAAAAAGAAAAAAGAAAAGTGATTCTTCTTAATCATCATCATTATCTCCATCCTCATCTCTCTTAAAATAGTTTTTTTACTGGTTACACTTTTTTACTTTTCAAAAATCCCTTACGAAAGAGCCATTGACCCTTAATTTAAATGTTTACAGTTAGTAATTAAATTTATTAACTGTACGGATCAAAAGTAAATCTCCTTTAATCAGGAAAGATTATCCCGGTAATTTGTATTAATTAAGAAGTAGAATATTAATCTCGTCAGTCTAGTGTTACAATTAAATTTACGATTTAGATTTTGAATGTTTCTCTTTGGCCTTTTCTATTTGAATATTTTCTCAACCTTAATTGTAATTTTATTTGTTAATTTAATTGTTTTTTTTCTCTCTTTTTTCTAATTAGCTTTTTAATTACACAGGAATGGGAGGAATGAGTGGAATCATTAGTCCAACAAATATAAGTATGTTTACAGGTAACAATGTGGTCCATCCTAATGGTAGCTTGTCCAATATACAATCACCTGTAAATGGACATTCACTTTCTGTTGTCCGGTCAAGTGGACATAATCTGATAGGAGGAGGAGGAGGAATTGGAGGTTTAAATGTTGAAGGAGGTGGAGTTAATTCAAATATTATTGGTCATCGATCACCAACAATTGCCCGATGGTCATCATCTTCCTCATCAACAACCTCATCATCAACAACACCAACCATTTCAACTGTTGGACTTGGGACACAAGGAGGAGGAAACAATAACAACGGGAGTGTCTATGTTTCAATTGATGAAACTTTTGATTACAATGTAATGGCCGGTCTAATGGGATCATCATCAATGGTTGGTCATCCGGATATGGATCCACCCCCAGGGATAATCGGGGTTGAAGGTACACCAAGTAACAGATATTTTCCCACCTCATCCATGTGCTCTCAGTGAAATTACATATTAACAGTCCCACACACAATCAACATCAACACACTCACTCAGATAAACACACAAACACTCACCATCAACTCCCTTTGTAATCAAAGCATGAATGATAACAATCAAAAAACTAACAATTGAAAACACAAAAAACATCGTAAACAATTGAAATGAAAAAAAATCAAAGTAACAATCAATTTAAATGATCATTGTAATCACTTTGTATTAATACAATTCCCATTTAATCACTGACCAAAAACAATCAAATGACCACTCAGCATGACAAACATATAACTTTCTCTCTCAAAATTATTTGTGCAATTCAATTAATTGACTAATTAATTCTAGTTCATGAATATTGTTTTTTTTTGTGGATGCAATTATCAACTCTCATCTTAATTATCATCATCATCATCATCATCATAGAGAATTATAAATCCTTTTTAATTTCCTGTTTCCTTTTTTTACAAACCATAAACTGACCACAATCAATTTAAATTCTGATTTAATAACAATAATTTACTTATTTAGATTTAGATGAATTTACTGTTAAATTGTTTCTCTTTTGTTTCTATTTTTCTTAATTCAAACAATTAATTAATTCATTTGTGTTGTTCAGATCGTTTCTTCTCGGTGATTCATCCTGTAAATGAAAATGAATCTGTTGGAGTTGATGGTAATCATTCAAACAATCAATCAACAATTAACTCGGTTGATGATGTGGATAATCAATCAACTGACCAACACCAAGATGATCAACAACATGCCAATAATTTGGACAATCAAGATTTAACTGGAGGATCTAACAGAGTTAATGGTTCACCTTCACATGGATCAACCTCTTAATTACAATTAATTTTTAATTCTAAATTAATCAACTAATCAAACAAAGAGTTCCTCTTTTCTTTTCTTTCTATCTCTCTCTCTCTCCTCTTTCTTACCTTTTAATTGAGAAAAGTTAATTCTTGAACAATCAACAATTTGCTCAACAACCAACAATCAACTGATTGTCACCATTGATTTAATTTAATCATTTAAACTCATCTCATTATAATCTCATCAAAATTTCATCCCCTCTTCTTAATAGTCATTAGATTGACCATCGTCTCTATTAGTTGTGTGTAGAGAAAAGCTTTTAATTGTTAATAATAATCTATAATTACTACTACATTTAATGATGAATGTAATTGTTACAATTAACTAATCATCGATTTCGAGAAAAAAAAACATTTTTTCGTTCTCATCGTTACTCTCGTTTCTCCTCTTGAATTTTTTTCCATATTTTTCCTCAAATTGTCTTAGCGAGACTCTAATTGTTTCCTATTGTCTTAATTACTCTGAACAAAAGTAATTAATTGATTAAAAAAATAATCGAAATTCAGTTGAGTCGAAAAAAAGTTCGGTCTTTTTCGGCTACGGTTCGATCTTGGTTATTATTGATTCGCTTTTCTTTTGAGTGATTATGTTAATTGTGATTTCGATCAGATTCTTGTTTCGATTAAGAAGATTATTGAAAGAAAACGGGATTTTGGACATTATTTTAATCGAAATCGATTTTCAATCTGATCGATTGATTGGATATTCTAATTTTTTAGATTTTCTTCTAAGGTAAACAATCAGATTCTTAATTGTAGTCAGATGATTCTCTCGCTCTCTTCATATTTCGTAACAATGAAATTCGAATCTTTTATGATGAAGATGATCAGTAATAGTTTTCTCGAAATGGAAAAGAATCTCTGGCCATCAATGTCTAGACTCGATTTTCTCGAACTCAAGTTTGTTTATCTTAACGATCCAATGGATTATTCCCTTATTACTTTTCTCCATTTTCTTTTTCCAGGTCATCCAAAGGTCTTTTCAAGGATAAGCGTGTGTCTTTATTACTTCATCATAATCTTAACTTTAATCTCTCTCTCCCATTTACAATCATCATTGAACATCTTGTTCACTCAGAAAAGTTCGCGTGGCTCTTTTACACCACTGACCTTGAAGTTTTACCTTCATCGTCCTCTCTCATCTTCTTGCTCATCATCTTCTCTCCATCCTTGCATTCAAAAAGATGCAGGATGAAGCAAAAGAATCTCAAAGATTCGCAAAGAGAAGATGAAAAATACAGATGATGAGATTTCCCTTGTCAAGTCCAGTCTTTTATCAAAACAAGAAAAAGACATTACGAAAATCTCTCTCTCTCTCTCTCTCTCTCTCTCTCTCTCTCTCTCTCTCTCTCCGCATCATCTTTTTTACATCTTTCATCTTAAATCATCTTTAGGGTTATGTAATCCATTTCCGGATAACATAACAATTAATTTAAACAATTGACAACCAATGGACCAATTTAAATGGTGAACGTATGTTAACAATCAAAGTGATCCAAATTGATGGTAATTTTGATAATGACACAATTAACAAATTGTGATGATAAAAGTGCCAAAATTATCACCTCTCATTTTCATTTTTCTTCAATCAATTTATCCAACTGGCAGAATATTAAGATTAGCGAGTTTATCTTTTAATTTTAATTCCTAATCAATGAAAAACCGGGAGAACAAAATTATCAATAATATCAAATAATCAGCGAAAAAAAATAATACAAAAGAGAAACAATTAAATCAAATGATGATGATGAATATAAGAAGACACAATTGATGATGATGCTTTTGATACACACCAATGGAAATACAACAAGAAGGGAAATATTTGTTTACACATCAATTTAATTCCATGTCAATCTAATTGTGTGTTGATGATTAAGCGAAAATATTAATTAACAAGAAATCATATAAAGTAGGTAAGAAAAAAGTTCGTAAACAAGATTGATAATCAGAAAAAAGCTTTGAACCTTTCGAGGTTCGAATCGAGATTTTATTTGATTCGAAATCAGCTGTTGATTAAATTAGATTTTCTCGTTTAATTAACTTAATTTTCTTCTCTTTCTCGAACAAAAGAAAAAGAATCACAATCAGACAAAAGATCCAAATAGTAACTTAATTGTCTGTTAATTTCTCTGTAACGATTTGACAACAATTTAAATTGTCTTCTCATTTTCTGTATTTAATTCACTCCAATTTTATCTGTTGTTTATTTTTCCCTCTCTTCCTTTTAAATTTCAATTGTTTTCCTGTGTAATTGCTGTCAGAGAATCAACTCAAAATAATCAACAATTTAATTTAAATTAAAATCAATTGTTTGTTTACCTTTTTCCTTTCTCTCTCTCTCTCTCTCACCTTTTCTTAATCATTCAATTGGATCAATGATTGTTACATAATATCAGTGTTCTTGTGATGCTCCAGTGATAATTTAAACCTCACATGATGGTGATAATCATCATCTAACCAGTGGTTAAACTAATTGTAACAATTTAATATACTTGTTAAACTGGAAATTGTTTTTTTCTCATAATTAGTAAACCAACAATTATCCACCACCATCAATATGACAAAAGGCAATTAAGGTTGATAAAGATTCATCTGATTACTATTAGTAAATCTTTACGATTGTTTAAAAGTTAATCATATTGATTTAGAATGTGAATTCAATTCAACAATCAAATCATTAACACCTCTAATTGCTTGATAGTATAAATGTTTATGTTTCCACAATTTAATCTCGTGATTCAAGTGGTAAAATAATTACTAATTGTCATCGATTCACTAGCAGTAGTAGTAGTATACACTTCAATTGGGAAATATTAATTGTTTCAAGATTTACATTAAAACTGAATTGACAGTTAAAGGGTTGGTGGATTTTGTTTATTAAAGGTAGACAAAAAAATTTAATTTCTGTTAATTGTTGTTTTTGGTGATGCCCATTAATTAGATTGCATTGAAAATCATTTGCTTCGTTGTAGTTGGTAGTCTTTTGTTGTTGTTGTTGTTAACATAACATTTTGCTTTATACACAAAGATCGTTGATTATAATTAAGATTTGTTTTCTCACCTTGAGAAAAACAAACCTTCATTTTTACAATTAAAGTTGTTAATTTGGTTTAGATATATAAAATCAGCTTTCAGCTCTTTTTCTTGATCTGATTTTGGTTGATTCGATTAAGCTAATCAAATCAATTTGTTTTATTCTTATGGCTAAACTTTAAATTAAAGTTAATATACTTTGGGTGATGAATAAACAGAGATGTATGAATCTTTACAGCCTGCTGCCAGATTAACCTGAAAAAGAAAGAGAGAGAGAGAAATTAATTAGTTAATTGTGATCTGAAAATAATTAACGAACCATTTTAAACTTACTCTTAATGGATGATAAGCTAAACAACTGATTGGACTTATTCGTTGGCTCATAAATCCGTCATGATATCTAATTATACTTCCAGGTAAACCATCGAGAGTGTAAATGTGAATTGATTGAGATGATGTACCGCTAAAGAAATTGGAAAAACAAATTGTTCGTTAATTGTTTGACTATTTGAATATAATTTGGATAAATTTACCAGGCAAAAACATCAGCTTCGGGATGAATAGCCATCGATGTTAATCCCTGAGATACGGCGATTGTTTTAATGGCAGAGGGACTCCGTTTGTCCCAAAATTTAACGATTCCCTCCGTGCTGGCAGAAAGTACGTTAACATGTTTCTGATTGTCAGGGTAAAGGTGGGCATTGACAACCCATTTAGCGTGTTCACGAAAGGTGAGTATCCTAGTATCGTTTGGTGAACATCGTTCGTCAAAAAGACGGATAGTTCCGTCTTGACAACCGGCGCAAATAATTGATCCATCTGAGCTTAAAGAGGTCACACTACAATCAGCGCCGGTGGGAAGGTCTCGTAGTCGAGCCTCTTTTTCCGAATCCCAGATTCGTATCATTTTAGAATCACCCGCTCCGATGAGATGACGTGACTCTTGATTCCAATGGATTCTTATGCCTGACCCTCCCTTTGATCCTGGTGATCGGGTCAGTTCATCTAATATTTGAAAGGCAGTGACCAGTTGTGGTGGTGAATTGTCCTGTTGTAGACTATGTAGTTTCCATGCTTTAACATTTCCATCATCACATGCAAGTAAAAGGATTGTTATATCGTGAGAATTAACTAATTGGGATGAGCTAATTCTACTTTTAAATGAATTGGCATTGGAAAAGGTTCCCAAAAGAGCGGAAGATGTATTATAACCACTATTGTAGCCATAGTTATTGTTACTTGAAGTGTCCCAAGTCCAAACAGAAAAAGATTCACGCTCAGCGACAATGAGATGTGGTTCATAGGGATGAAATTGTATCAATGAAGGAACTGATGAGTTTTTCTGTAAAAATATTTGTTCTTCCGTTCGACTTGGATCGGTGGTTGATAATTCATCGACTGCATTTCGTCTTACATGATAATTACGCGTTAATCTCCATTCCTTTTCCTCGTTACTGGCACTTTCGGGATCACTACTTTCCAAATATTTAACACAATTTTCATTAAAAAATTTAATACACCAACCGATAAAATCAGTTTTAACCAAAGGTGATCTATAAGTTATGGCACTGGTGTTATTTAAATCATCCGAGGTTATTGTATTATCTTCGGATATTCTGATATTCGGTTCACGACCAAAGATTTTCCTCTTCCTTGAATATGGAGTTAGAAATGAGGTAACATGAGCATGTGAAGGATAACCGATGCCAGCAATGGAATGACGACCATGAGGTGGATGATGTGAATGATTAACTAAATTACTACTGCTTCCAGTATGTGAGGTTAAATTGTTGGTTGACGATGAACCGGTCACCGTTGTTGCTATAGAAGATGTTGAAGGAATTGGACCATTTCCTCCGCTATTGATTAAACCGCTGGCACTTTGAGAACCTTCACTACCCTGTCTTTCCCTAGTAGATGAATTGTTTGTATGTTGATTGTTGTGGTTATGTGATGATGATGATGATAAACCTTGTTGATGTTGAGTTGAGTTTGTTGTTGTTTGAGGAGGTGATTCACTCATAACAAAGGTTGGGTGAGTTGCTGGAGATGAAGGTTCGGAAGATGAAGGATCAGATCGAGACTCTTTAAACGAATCATTGGACAAAGCACTTGGTGGTTGGACTTTTGATTTAATCTCATCGATAATAACCTGAGCCATATTAGAAACATCCGGATGAGGATCATTACCAAGGCTCATTATTGCTTTCCAAATGGTTGAGTAAACGTTTCCAATTCCACTGGTACCAAGAGTACTTGTACCAAAGGCTGTCAATGAGTTTGTTGAGCTTATCCTTTTGATAGCGGTTATGTTATTATTGTTATTGTAAACTGCTGCTGGGGGTGTCAATGAGTCTCCAGTCACTACTATCATAGTTGATGGACCAGATAAGAAAAGAAAACAAGGAAGGAGGAAAAGAGAAGATATCAATTAGAGGAACATCAGAAATAAAATGATTAGGTGAATATTGGCAATTAAAGTATCGTTTGTGTATATTTGTTGCAAACAGGACAAAAAGCTTACCATTGGGAAGCGTAGGTGTATATGGGGAAAACAGCTTCATGAGTCTCTCTCGAGATGCAACCTTACGAAGGCCGGAAATGTTAGAAGGAGGCGTAGTAGCGGCATTGAGCAAACCATCTTGAAGCGGAAGAGAAGAGGAAGAAAAAGTTATCAATATGAGTCAGGATGGAGAGGAATGGATAACAATAAGCAGACAATGAGAAATATAATGATTAGTTGATTAGTAGGAGGAGAGACAAAGTTCGAGGAAACTTTCATGCATTAGATTAAGAAAATCATGAAATTTCACCTCCTTGATTTAGAGCGTTTGGTTGTAAAAGTTCTTTCGATTTATCATCTTCTATCATTTGATAGGCCACAGCAACGAATTGATTTTCAAATAGTAAAATTAGACATTGGAGAGCACAAACCAACTCTTTTCGTACCAATGGACTACCATCATTTGAGACGGTATTGATTAGAGTAATACCAATACTGTGGTCAATTGTGTTCGCATGGTCTGTTCGCTCTCCAGCTCCCGTGATGAATGTACCAAGAGCGAAAACAGTCGCAGCTCGAACTTCAGGTATATCATCGTTTAATAGAGGGAAAAGTTTCTCGTGAGCCGAGTCACGAACTCCACACCAACGAGCGGCATCATAATTATTCCAAGTAAGACCAAGACAAATTGTTATCCATTGACGAAGTTGAGCATTTGAATCGGTCAATTGTTCTAGACAAACGGCTATTAGACTTCCTTGGTAAGCAGCTTCTTGACCTGGATGATAACTTCGGACAATACAGCCTAAAACAAAAGCGGCCATGGTTCGGTACTGAGCAGGAAGGTTGGTGTCGGAAAGTACATTGAGAAAGTATTTGTGACCATTGTCACGAATGAGTTCCTCTTGACAGCTCTGCTTTAAAATGAATTGATGTAAATTATTTTTGGATAAAAAAGATTTTCATCACAATGATGAACAAAAAAAGTGATACAAATTAAAAAAATATTTACCCCGTCAACGGCTAAAATTTTAGCCCAAATGAAAACAAGAAGCGGTCTAAGCTCTCGCGCTGAGCTTTGTAAAAGTTTCAAAACATAAGGGAAAATACCAACAGAAAGAGCCTAAAGATTTAAATTATCAAAAAGTAAACAGAAAGAAAAAAAAGTTTAATTAATTGCGTTATATTGATTACGATTAGAAAATGGAAATTACCATGTTCACAGCCCAAGGACCAAGATCAAGAAATCTACCAAGAAGTTCGAGTGCTTTAAGACGATGAACTTGACTTAAAAGTACTTGTAAAACTATGGGTAATTGTTCGGGATGATTAAAGTCGGGATTATGATTGGCATCGATGGTTTTCCCAAAGGTTAACCATACTTGAAATGCGGTTAATTGGTCCGAGAAAAATGAACTATGGCGATATTGAGCAGTAGGATCTTGTTTGATTAAGGGAAGTTGATGTAAACAATTGTCCACCGCAAGATCCCAAGCTTGCCACATGGGATGATGATAAGTTGAAGGAAGTTTGGGACTAGAGACGGGAGTACAATTATATGATCTCATTATACGATCAGCGAGAAGAAAATTCCTAAATAAACTAGCGACAAGTAGATCTTGACGGAAAAGTCGTTGAAAAGTTTCTCTAGGTAAAACATTCCAAGCAATGGTATCAGTAATGGCAGTGAATATCCAATTAAGTTCACCTAACATGGTACGACGATCACTTAATGAACCGGGAATCGAATCAACCAGATCAAGGTTAATTGTTGGTATTAATTTTGAATTTTGCATAATAAACCATCTAAGAGCAATTCTTAGTGGAGTGGTAAGACACGAGGTGAAGAGGTCAGCGGGAAGATCAGGATTCATGGGAAGTATCTGGTCAGCAGCACAAGCGGCCAGTTGAATGCAATTCTTGTAATTTGGTGATGATGCAAGGAGCATATTAACATTACCCAGGTTTCCCTGGTTTCGAGCTGTGGTTAAAGTAATCTGGTATTCTCGCTCATGTTGGATAGCAAATTGATTGAAAGATTGAACTATAAGGCCGGCACAGGAACAATCGTAAACATAAATAGAAGGAGATCCCATCCATTGTTGGAGATCATAAAGGGAAAGAGGTATATATTGAGTGTAGGTTTTATTGAAAACCCAAATTTCACCGTTAATTGTTGGCTTTGGAACACCGTGTCCATTGTAATGAAGTAAAACTCTGTCATCCTTGGCACCTCGACGTAATGAGGTACAAAACTTTTTTACATCATCAACAGTTGGATCTAAGCTTTGTTTATATCGTGCTCTTGGTTGCCATCTTTCATATTGTTTCTGTAACTCACTTCCTATTGCTTCCAGGGCTTTTTGAGGTGGCATAGAAAATGGATCAACCCAACACTCCAATTTAGCACAGGGTTGAGTTTTAAGAATATCTGGAGGATCGACACCAACATTAAGGCACAGAACAAGAGCAACGCTCACAGTTTTCATCTAAATATGTGTGTGTGTATGTGTGAGCGTAACAGAGAAAGAGATAGAGAGAGTCAAAGAGAAGAAAATATTAATAACTGGAGTAAGATAAAGAAGATGAATGGAAATAAGGTTTATGAGGCAATAGAGGGTCTGATGAATGAAATAGAAAAGAATTTGTATCAAATGATTAGCAGAAAGAGAAAAAAGGAAAGAAAGAGAAAGAGAAAGAGAGAGAGAGAGAGAGAGAGAGAGAGTAAAGGAAAATCAAAGCAAAACAAATAGTAATAAAGTACAACTAGACTTGGGTGGTAAAACTGATGAGCAAAAAAGTTCTCATTATAAAGGTTACATATAACATCTGACAGAATGAGATAATACCTTTAACTCTACTAGACATATACGTAAAGATAGAGAAAAACAACAAGAGAGATGAAATGAAAGAGAAAAGAAAGAGACTTCAATAGTAAATGAGAGAGAACATAAAAAATGATGGAAACATATATTTCAACACAAGGATGAAAAAACGAAAGGTAGAAAATAGTGGAAAACAAGAAAACTGGTAAACATCAACAAGAGAGATAAGGTTAAGTTTGAAAGTAAAGTGACACGGGAAAGATTAATTGATAAATTAAGAAGCAAATTATTGAATAATTATCGTCAATAGAATTAATTATCTTACCCTTTCTTTCATTCTCCATGAAACAGAATTTGGTGGCATACCTTCAAGCTTAGGTTCCAACCTAAGAGCAGAAAAGGCAACGGGAAGATTCCAATCGGGAAGAGATCGAATGTCTTCCACACAATCAGGTTCATAGTTCATCACCTTGTCCCGCATTAATTGACCGAAAATTTATTAAATATCATTCAAATTAAAAACACATAATTAAACTAAAAACACAAAATCTCCTTTTTAGTTAATTAATTTTCACTTTCAGCAAAAGAACAACAAACAAAATCTGAACGTTTTTTTTTCTCCTTCTATTGTTCGTTCTTCTAAATTCTACAAGATGGCGCTCGAGTAGAATTTTTGATTTTTCGATGAATTTTTTTTTGTTCTGGTTGTTTGTCGAAATTAACTAATTAATATTAGAATTGAGACCAACTTGAATGTGAAAATTGTCGTATATAAGTGTTGGAAGAACAACTTGACATCAAGTAAGTAACAGTAGAATAACAATTTGTATCCGAAAATTAAAAATATAAGTCGAATGACTCTTGTGATATGTAACATTGAACGTTTAGTTGATAGTTTAAAAAATTGTTCCATTATGAAAAACTTATTTAAAATAAGAGGAAAATTATTAATAATTGATTCCTGAAGAAATATTTACCGTGATTGCATCGATCAATTATAGTGAAGGGAAATCATCAGTGGATTACTCAACAAAGTCACAAGACTCAATAACCTCGAAGGAAGCGTTAAATGTTATTGATGCTCCAACTTTCGACGAATTTCGAGGAAAATGTGAGACCAATTGATAATACTGAGAACAAGCCACAAGAAAAATGAACAACAGTAATAGAATGGACCGATCATGACTATAAATTGAATGAAGAAGCTGAAGTGGCGAAACAAATCATAAATACGAGTCCAGGAAAATATTAATAGTAGCAACGGAAATTTAGTTCTGTGGACTTATACAACGAAAATATAAAAATTCGATTGGACAATATTCGAAAAAATTCGAACATAAGTTCCGTTGTTGATTAAAATTAGATATAATAAAGAATTGAAGTGAAGATTTCAACGAAAAGGGAAAATTTTACTAAACGATTTTCGGTAAGACTCAAGATATGTCCGTCAGCTCGATATTTTGACTTTGAGCTGACTTTTTTTCGATTTAAAGTTCAAGCTACAAATGAAAATGGACTTAATTGTTCAGTTAATTGTGTTTGTTTAAATTAGGTTAGGTTAAATCTTCGCTAATAATTGAAAATATTACATGTCATATTATATGACATATCTTGAGTCTTACCCGATTTTCTATTTTTTGGAGGTTTTTGAAAGTTGTTTCGATTTCTTCCCAATGTAAAGTTAATAAGTTTTCATATGGAAAATTTTCAAATCAACATCAAGTCGAACCTAACGGTCATTAATCTCAAGCAAAAGAAATTTAACTCTCACGAAGAATAAACTAAAATCGAAATTGTAATTAAGAAATGAGAATCAAAATTCTAAAACTAATTAAAAAACGATTCTGATTTTTCAAAATGGAAACTACATAATTTCTTAAACATCCTACTAAGTCATAAATTGCACCTCACGATTGATAAAGAAAATCAATCGCCAATACCTTTTGTTTATTTCGCAATTAAGTTAATATCGTTTTTTCAAATGCGAACTAATTATTTACTTGACTTAAAAACGATGAAAATTTTACATTTTTAAATCTCGCGCTTTACCTTCACTTCGCTTGATTATTAATCGTTCATTAAATTTCACCATTTACGACTAATTAATCCAATAATCTACCATTGATAGTCTCAATTTTTCAATAAAAGGCTATGAAAAAGTTATAAATCCGTTTAAATTGTGATCATTTCTCCATTTATTTTGAAATTGAAGATTAATTCTAACCACTGCCATCTAGTGAGTTTTGTCTCAAGAGAAATGAGAGATTAGCTGATTGAGTCGATTGAGAAACTTGTTCGACTCACTAAGCCGAGTAAACATTTAAATGAAATGAATCATTAATGTTTTGGTTTTCAAGTTTTCATCTGTTTTTTGAAATCTAGTGAAATTTAATGAATTTTTTGATTTGATTGGTTTTATTCCAAGTCCATTGAGTCTTATTCTTGTCTTTTGTTCACAGTGATCCACAAAATGGCCTCTCTTTATGAAGATGTTAGGCTTTACCGTAATTCCCGTGAGAGAGAAATCTATGATAATCTCGCTGATTTATACGCTGTTGTAAATACCCTACAGTGTTTGGAGAAGGCGATTATCAAGGATGCAGTTACAGCTAAGGAATATGATGCTTGCTGTGAGAAACTATTGGTCCAATATCAGGCGGCCTTTAAACAAGTTCAAGATGAATTCCAAACAATTGAAGCTTTCATGAAGAAATATCGATTCGATTGTCCTCTTGCTTTGGCTCGTATTAAAGAGGGTAAACCGATCGCATTGAAAGACGATAAAAACAAGTGTATAGCTGATATAACCTCTCTTTACATTACCATTCAAGATAAATTACGATTAAATTATAAATCAACCGATGAACTGCAACCTGATCTATTGGCTTTATTGGAAACTATGAATCGTCTGTCAATCTTACCCCCTGATTTTGGTGGTAAAACAAAGATCCAAGAATGGCTTAAGGTTTTCTCATCAATGTCAGCATCTGATGAACTTAATGATTCCCAAGTTCGACAATTAATATTTGATCTTGAAACTGGATTCACTGGTTTTAACAAATTGTTATACGAACCTTGATTTACCTCGATCATCTCAAAGGTCTATTAATTTTATCTCACAATCAGATGGAAATCAAGGAAAGAAACGAGACAAAAGGAACTGAAATCATTTTTTTGAAAGAGAGAGAAAGAAATTCATTTGTTATGTTCAATGATGATTAATTTTATGGTGATAATAATAGATAATAAAACATCAATGTTTTTAAAACCATAACTTTTACAGTTAATGAATTGAACGTGGTGACAATTAAAAGCGCTCAAGTGATTGAGTTGTGCCCTTTTTTTTGAAAAATTTGTAGTCAATTGTAAGGGTAAATCATTAATCTTCATGACTCTCAATTTTTGCAAGAGTTGCTTTCAATCGGAGATTATACTTGTTTGAGTCACCATCCGGAAGATAACGTTTATTAGCATAATCCCCATAAAAGGCCACTTTACAGGCCACAATTGACGCGTGATCCAATTTACCGGGTAACATGTATAGTTTATTTCCAACTTGCCGTCGACGAACTCGTTGTTCAGTATGATCAAAGTTGGTATCGAGATCATCATAAAGATCAGGATCTTCAAGTATTCGTCTTTTAGCTGTGGTCAGTTTGGTTGCCCATTCAATTAACAATTCGCACAATTGTTTAGCCGTAGTGCATGTTTGTTTAATCGGTTGACTAAAACCATTACGAATTATATCTTCCATTCGTAGTAGGCTTAATTCGTGCCTTTGAACAGCGGTCACAATTGGTAATGAATTGGTCGACTTGTCATTCATTGAATGGCTTCGTTTTACTTTATTATTGTTACTCGAACCATTGTTATTATCCTTAATGTTACTTTTATCCTTACTTGATGTGGTAATTAAATTGTTTGATGTCTTTTTTGACGTTGAGGTATTATTATTATGAGAATCCTTAGAGTGACCATTAGAAACATGATAACGATGATGACCACCATTCTTAGTGGAAGACTTATTATTACTTTCTAATGAAGATAATTTAAGATCTTCCGTTATTCGTGAGATCAATCCTTCACTTTTACGACGAGAGGTTCGATGATTAGTTGAATTTGTTGTTGTTGACGATGATTTAGATGATGATTTAACACTGTTACTTCTGGAGCAGAATAATTTTGAGTTAATCTTATTCTTGGTGGCAACTTTTTCAGGCGTTTTGTTATCACTCGAGCCATTGGCCTGAAAATACAATTAAAGAGAAAGAAAAAGATTAGACAATAATTAAGGAAATGTGATTAAATAAAACTGTTTTTTTTCGGCCAATAAGAAATGTATTTTTTCATGTGTAATCATTATTATTATCATTGTTATATTGTTAATAATGATGATAATTATGTTGATAATGATGATGAGACACAAGGCGTATATGTGCTTATATAATAAAAGGCGAGGTCCCTCTTCAATTTACATGAATAAAGTTATTACCTTATTGTTATGTTTCTCTGAGTTCTTTATATTATTAGAATCACTATTATTACGGCTTTTATTATTATTATTGGAAGTTGTTGTTGTCGTTGTCGTTGCTGTGGTGGTGGTGGAATCGGTTTTCTTTGGTAGAGCAAATTTACCCACAACTGGGTCAAAATTATCTGAAATCCCATCACTGGCAAGGAAGACAATGTCACCCTGATCAACGATGGTCATGGCAACGGTTAGATTATTCAATTCCGGGTTTGTACCTTCAACAGGGCCCAGAGCTCCCAAAGCTGATCTCATATCTCTCATTGAATAAATATCATGAGAACCTGTGAGTACATGTAAATATAAGAGTAAAGAATAAAGTTAAATATTAATGATTGATTGATTCTCGTTTAATTAAGCAATTTGTTTTCCTTTTTCTCTTTTTTTCATGTAATGTGCTTGGATTGTTGATTTATCGACTTATTAAATATTTTATCTTCTAAAGAAGGGAAAATAAAATTAATCAACTCAATGAAAAATTCAATTGAAAATTGTGCTAATTGAGGTCAGGGTAAATAGTGGAAGTTGTTGTAACAATTAATATTAAATGAGTATTAATTGAATTATTAGTCAGTAAAATGGGCATCGCCTTTAGGTAATAATTTGATTGGGTTAAAAGTATCAAGCATGAACTTGAGAGACTGAAGAAAGTCATGATTATCATGATTATCATGATGAAGATGAAGATGATGACGATAAAGGAGTTGATGAGTTTCAAGAATTAGGGGACAACAAATTAAAGAAAAATAATAAGAAAAAATGAAGAAGCAGGACAAATGATGTTAACTGTTTTCTTTCTTGGTTAATCAACAATAAAGAGAGAGAATGAGAGGAAATATCAAATTATTAGAATATAATTAATTCAATCTTATGATATGAAGATGATTAAAACTCCCATCCGAGAATAGATTGTACAATTAGCTGATTGTGATCAGGTTAATTTGATTATTAAATAACAAAAACAAGAGTAAACTTTCAAACTCTCACAACAAACATGAGTCAAGTAACCACCATCAAACTGTAATCAAATGATAATCAGTTGATTGTTGCTATTATTGATGATGATTAGTTAGTAGTTAGTTGAATAATTAAGTATGACTATTTATATTAGCACAATCAAGAGAGAGAGAGAGAGAGAAAGTAACAAAAAACTTCACTGACATAAGGGAGATGAAGTAAAAAGCCCTGATCAAATGTTGATCGATATATTAAACGGTAAAGTACATTATAATTTAGGAATTGTGATCAAGTTAAAATAGTAAAATATAATCAGTAAATATAATAACAATCAAAAAATAATCATAATGGTAACAATAGTAAGAGTAAGGGAAAAAAAATGGAAAGAAAAATGAAAAGTAAACAATTGGCTATTCAACTGATACTCAGAGTGCATGAGTTTATATTAAAAAGTTTGAAATAATTTAAATTAAAATGAAAAATATTCAACAAGTAATTTACCGATGTAATAGGAGTGAGAGAGAGATGATGATGATGAGGGGCAACAACATCATTATCATCTCTATTACGAATAACAATATCAATTCATCTTCATCTTTGGCATCGTCACTTAAAACATCAACTAACAAGTAACATTACAAAGCCAACATTTTGAAATTGAATGGCTTTGAAAAAAAGATGATGATGATGATGAGAGGATAAAGATGAAGATGAAGCTAAGTGTCAGTGAATTTTTCTTAATCTTCTTTATCGTTCACTGTTATTTATCTTCCCTCTGGCCTCTTATCCTTCTCATCATCACTATCACTAATCTCTCTCTCTCTCCCTCGACATTTCTCGTGATTCTATGAGCATTTTTTTAGCTACTAAAATAAGTGAAAAGTAAAAGGACAAAAATCGTGACAATGATTGAACAGCGAGCAATTTAAAAGTGCACATTAAATTGTGATAATAATGATAAGTTTTGATAAAAAATGGGAGATACTAAGATGATGAGGATGATGATGATGATGAAAGACTTGAAAGTCCTTGGGACCACCTAAGGATGACCAAGGTTGATTTCTTTAAGATATTGAGGTGGTTTTTTTGCAAGATATTTAAATCCAACAACAGATTGAATAGTTGATTGTTAAAGGTTAACCACATTATAATTATCGCCATTATTACGTATAGTTAGTGAATTTAAATCATCAACATATTCAAAAAGTTTAATTGTTGGGTTTACTAAGAATTGATTATTAGCATTGATAAAGAAATTAAAAAAAAAACATCAATCAAACGTTTGTTAGAAAGTTGATAATTATGTGTTAATATTTGAGAAATCAAATTAAGTAATTCAATAGTTGATAATTTTACAATTTATATACTGGTTTAGTTTAATTGTTAATTGCTGAGTTGATTTAACTCTATCTTGATTGTTTAGTTGGCTCACATGTAAAATGTGATATACATGAGACATGAAAATAAATTTATATCATTGATGATAAATTTTTTGCACATCAATAATTGATAATTAAAATGGTAAATGTTAAATTAATTAATGTTATTGATTGACCTCAATCTGATTAGATATTGTTAGTGTTTAGGTTATCCATTATTTGATTAAATTGTTACTATATTGTATTACAAGTGTGAGTAATACAATTAAATGACCATTTTCAACATTTCATGTTAATCTGGACATTTAGGTCAAATCTAATTGTCAGATTTTGCTTGAAATGTATGAGATTAAACCAAAGTGACAGTTATTATAATGGATAAGAGGAAAGATAATCAAAATTGAGCAAGAGATGGTCAATAAAATGAATGGTCAATTAATAATTGACAAGTTCCAATGGCTAAATCATTAATATTGTTTATCGTTGTTTCATTTTTTGGTCATTTTGATTATGAGGATCTGGAGGAAATTATAATTCATTTGAATTTGTAAATTTAATCAATTCTGATAATCTACCTTTTTGTTTAAGTTTTCAACAATCAACATCACCAGGTAACTGTAATTATTATAATTCAATTATAATAACTAACAAGCTGCAAGATGATGGTGATGATGGTGAAAAAAGTAAAATAAATATACAGGCTTAACTTTTTTCCTCATCAAAACAAAGGTAAACTAATGGTTTATACATTAAATTAAGTTAATTAGTGATGAAGATAATGATTATTATCATGTAAACAAAAGGTAAATTTTTAAAAGGAGTAAACCAAAAAAATTCAAGTGCGTCTGATGTACACTGTATGTTATTAATCAAGGAATATTATTAAATGCGGAAATTAATGAGATTATTAATTGTGAGATTAGATGTTGGTTTAAATCAATCATCTTTGGAGTGTATCAAGTTTGACAGAATAGAATCAGACATGAGAAGAAGGAGAGAGAAGACGAGATTGAGACTAATCAAATCATATGGGAGTAAGATGACGAAAAAAAAAGAAGACAAGAAGAAAAAAGTTACTTATCATATTGAAATGCTAACAAAGTTCATTGAGATCAATCAGTGTGATGATTATTATGTAGACAGTTTTGGTTTTGTCGGATTTGTTAGAAGGTGAGACAAGTAAATAAGTTATTTAAGTGTAGACGATAAATTTTAGGATGAGGATGATGAAGAAAAGGCAATACGAGTATAATAATGACCGTGGGTTAGTTTTAGGTGGAAAGATAGAGAAGGGAAGGTGACCGAAAGAGAGAAAAAAACAACAAGTAAGTGCGAGTGAGAAGGAAGATGAAGAAAAACAACCGAGGAGAATAAACCAGTAAAGAGAAGGAAATTTTGGTAATAAAGAGACGTTACGGTTTCTGTTATTCAAACACACTAACATTTTGTCTATCAATTTAGTTGATGTATTAGAAGAAAATAAAAAGAACAAGAAATTCACGAATTAATAAGAGAAAAAGAGAGAATAAAGAAAAGCTTAACCTTCATCTTGAACCATTTTCTTTGTTTCTGTTTTCACTATTTTCGCTTTTCCCGGATAATTTAGTTTGTTATTGCTCTTTTTCTGGGCTTCATTTGATTCTCTTTCTTTCTCTTAGAAAATCACTCATTTTTTGTTAGTGTTTACACTGACCTTGGGTAATCTCTCGGACACCATGTTTCTTTGAGTACACATAGGCGAAACTATCACCAACATTACACGAACAGACAGCAAATTTATCTGAATTTTTAAGCTGAGCAATAACGGCAACGGTTAAGGTGGTTAATTTTCCGTTCTCTTGGAGTATCATACTATGGGCAGCTGAGAAAGATCGTAAAAGACAAATGAAAAGGTCCATTGTATTGTTCACCTTGACACCACCCTCAAGGTATAAAGCTTTATTTAGATAATCAATGGAACCATGGATTGCACTTCGAGATGCTATGCAAGCTCCTTCACCCCAATTAACACCATCAGCCAGGGCAAGTATGGCAGAATTTTCTCTAACACAGATACCAAATGAATCGGCAATCGGTTCTCCAGCTCTTTGATTGGTAGTAGGATGTTGTTCGTAAAGTGAGACTGACATTCCGAAAGCGTTTTCTGTTGGACAACTCCAATTACAAACACCAGCAACTTCTTCGAGTAAAGGTAAACTGGTGATGGAAGGTGTTGTTGTTGTTGTTGTTGTCGTTGTTGATGATGATATTGAATTGGGAAGGGAAGATGAGTTAAAGGCTGAAGATGAAGTTTCCAAGGTTCTTGGGGTCAACGATGTTTTCGATAGAATTGATGAAATTGATGAAATTCCATTGGTAGAAGGTAATTTATTGTTCCTTTTCTTTACAGGTTCGCGCTTTTTCATGTAACCATCAAATTTAGATGAATAATATGAGTCATTATGCTTGGTGGTGGTAATGGCGGGCTCTAAAAGAGACAATATATGATAGAGTAGAAGAAGAATAAATATAAAATGGAAACAAAAAGATTATTATTAAGATCAAAGAGAGAATAGAAAAGATGAATGAGAGAGTTGAGATTGTGTTGTCTGATTTTTGAGAGAAAAAAAAGTTCAATGTCAAACACAATCATCATCAAAAAAAAACAGGTTATCATTATTATTAATTATTAGGAGCATTGATTAACAATTATTTGATTGGTTTTTTTTAGGTGAAAATAAGTGTTACCTGGTGAGTTATTGTTGGTTGATGAGGATAGATAGCCATCTTCATTTTCGTCTTCATCGTCAATGAAAGCGACATCGATGGCAAGATCAGGAGGAACTTGAAAAGCTTTCGATCTTGCATCGGCACCAACAGAAACTAATCCAAGTCCAGGTCCAGTGTAGGCTGAAACTAATCGACTTGATAATGGATCAATATTTTTTACAGGTAAATCATAACAGGTTTTACCACAAATAACGTCCGGTTGAGGTTCATTATCAGTGAATGATTTTTTCAACATTTTACACATCATCATCATGATTGGTTCGAATTGGGAGATGTTGATGGAGTTAAACACACGAGGATCACGAGAAAATTGTAAAAATGAAAACAAAGAAAAGCAACAAAATGTATTTGCACAATTTCAATGCAGCAAGATTGTTGTCATCAGAGTTTTTGACACCAGAAGAAACAAAACAAAAAGAACAGAGAACAAAAAAAAATCTAGACAATCAACGATGAGAAAGTTATGCAAGGAAAAGAGATGAACAGGAAAAGATACAAGTTAAGATGAAGAAACAAAGAGAAAGAGATAAATCAAGGCACCATTCACTTCAAGCAACAATGGAAGTAACGAAACATTGAGAATACAGAGTCACCACCACGAGTAGAATTAACAGAGAATCAGAAATCAACAATTAGAGAAAAGGTTTGGCAAACGAGATTATGTTGAATGGAAGGAGAAACCATGCCAATGGTTGAGTTGAGAAAAAACAGTTAAAACAGAAAAACCAAAGTGGAAGATTCTAAAAAGAAGGTGAAGTTAAAAATGAATTATGTTGATAAGGTTGTTGTTGTTGTTGTTTTTGTTGATTAGATGAGTAAGAGAAGAGGCGAGATAATAATGAAGAAAAAGATGAGTAACCATGTAAACTCAAAAGAAAAGAGTTTTCAAATTACATGAAGAGAGAAAAAAGTCACTTAATGAAAGGAAAAAAACATGTTAGTTCTTCAATTGAAATCAATTAATTGACTCTTAAAGTGTGAAGAAGCAGAAAGGAGCAGAAAAAAATCAGAATCAGTTGATTAAAACCCAAAAAAAACACCAAAAACAGCGAAAAGAGAAAAAAGTAAAAAAAAAGAGAGAGAATGAAAAACCAAAACAAACTGAGAATCAATCTGAATATGAATCAAGGATCACAAGTGAATTTCAATTTGTTGAATGTGTTCCAACTCTTTGAGAAGAGAAACATTAAACCAACAACAAGAAAGAGAAGAAAAAACAGATAAAAAAAATGAGACAAAAAAGGAAAACATCATGTTGATTTACCTGAGAAAAGAAAAAAAAATTCTATTTGATGATGATGATCGATTTGTGGTTCCACCTGTTGGGGAGAAGAAAAAAATTCGCTTGTTGATAGTTTTTCTTTTTTTCTCTCGAGATGGCGACGGTTAAGTTACTTTCTTTTTCTTTTTTTTCTCTTTCATTTTTGTTCTCTCTTGGATTTTATTTTCTCTTTTCATTTTCCTTTTCACTCTACAATCAAAAAGTCTAAATTTCTTTGCATTTATACTTTTCTTCTTTTCTCTTGTGTTATATTTATATTTTCGTCTTCGTTTCTTTTTCTTTTTCTTTTTTTTTTTTCTTTACTATTCATCTCATCACTTCATCATCATCCTCTCATCATCGTCACCATGATTAAGGAAAGTAAACATCCAATTGCCCGAGCTCTTTTTGTGGATAAAAGTGATCTTGCTGAAAGGGAAAAAGAAGACCTTGAATTTGTTGATAAACTGTTATCCAGAGAGAGTAAATTATTTGCTTCTCGGTATGAGATACTTTCTGTTATAACTTCTAATTCCCATGAGAATGATGAAAATGTTAATGTAAATAATTTAAATAATAACAAGAGTCGATTAACAAAAAGCCACCGTCATCATAATCATAATCATCATCATCATCATCGACATAACAACAATCATCTTAATGTAAATAAAAGTCACAAGTCTAAACATCAAAATCTTCACCATCCATACCAACATCATCATCATCATCATCATCATCATCCAGTTGTGAACAACATTGGTAATGATTCAACTCACCTTGTTAATGATGCACCGGGTAAGTTGACATTTTCACAATTTTTAAATTCTCCTCCCATTTTAAACTATTTGTTGAGGTGGTCACATAATAATAACATTCTAGTTCTCGTCATAATCAACTAATTGGTTAAAAGTTTATCTCTACTTACACTCTCAATACCCATTCTTTAGGGTGGAGGCTTTTACATTAGAAAATCGTCAAGTTTTATTTTCTTCTCTATTTTTTTTACTTCAAATGTTGACAGTTGATGTGAAAATTTTAGGCAGCGTTTTTTTGTGATATATTATTTATATTCAGTTTAAAATCTTATGACAGTTTTTTTTTCATTTTCTTTCAATGTATTGTGTATAAAAAAGATGGACGATGAAAAAGATTTAAGATCGATAAGGTTTTCTCCAACCTGAAGTTCCAGCTTCAGCTGACCAGTTATTATTGTTGTTATATTTTCCATCATCTTTTTTCCTCTCATTAAATTCACTTGTTTGTCCTGTTGATAGAATTGAATCTTTATTTTCACCATCATTTTCATCTCCATCAAAACCGCCATTTCTATTATGATCTTTATCACCATTATTATGATGCAACTTTTGATTATGATGAGAATGATAATTATGATCAATACTTGTCTCTGTTGGTTTAATTTCGCCACTATTTTGATGGTAATAATTTTTTTTCTCCATGTATTTGAGTGGACGTTTATCTGAATAAACGGGTCGCCGTCTATCTCGCCTTCTATTAATCCAAGGAATATCTTTTTCACTCGATGTTTTATGTGTCTCAGTTTCAGATTCTTCTTTACCAATATTGTTCCATTTTTTCTCTTTCCAAAGTTCTTCAACTTTCTGCTCAAATAATCTATGTTTAGATCTCTCATAGCCTTTATCAAAGGTTTTCCTATCAGTTTGTTTTAAACTTGTTTCTTGAGATGTTGTCTCAGGATCTTCTGGATTACTGACTTTTATTTCATCTGATGAGGGATAAACTGAAATATGTGATGTTAAAGATGACATTGATGGTGAAGAGGAGGGAGATGAAGTTGAAGATGATGAGGGTACCGAAGATGAGGCTGCTGATAAAGATAATGACATTGAAGATGAAGATGAAGATGATGATGATGGTCTAGGCCTTGATTTACTTTGAGATTGTCGAGATCGGGGGATTTTCGATCCATCTAAAGGTAACCTGTATTCCATTCCCTTTGGATCAGAAGCTGCTGATTTACTGTCTTCATCTATTGCATTGTAATCGGTAACAGTTGTACTACCACCACCATTATTACCCCGATGAGATTGTGAGTATGATGAGAATGGCATAAACGGATGATCAGATGAGATGTCAAAATTATCTGCAAGGTCATCGGTATCTGATGATGACAGCGGATCCTGGACTGGACCAGTAAATCGATAATTTTCTGTTTCCTCTGAATTTTCATAATCTAATGGGTCAACATGGTGTCGATAATGATGATGATGAGTTTGACGTTTTTTGGCAGTTGCATGTGATCGCGCTGATTCTCGTTCGATAGCTAAAACATGGGAAGTTGGTCTAACTGGAGGTCGTTTTCTCGGTGCTGGTTCTGATTTCACTTCACCTGATGCCGCTGTGGAAGCAGAAAGGGTGAAACTAGCTTTTGTTTCGGGGCTTTTAGTGGGTTCGTATGTGGTTCGTGGAGACATTTGTTGAGCCTTATTACTATTATTATTATTATTGTTGTTGTTGTTACTGTTTGAATGTGTTACCTGAGATGATCGCACTTCATAAGTTGATGGATCTGGAATGAAGATTGGAAAAAGTCTATTCTTTGGTACTTTAGCTAGATCAGGATCGTTAGGTCGATAAAATATTATCGGTGGATTTCGTGAATTGAAATCACTTTTCTTATCGTCATTTTGATCATTTTTGGTTGATTGTTCTTGTTGAATATTTGTCGATGAAGGTCTTTGTATCTGATGAACATGGTGATGAGTTGCCTGAGGCTGTTGATTATGCTGTTGTTGGACAGTTGTCATCAATGAGACCGGTACAGGTACTCTTATTATTGTCGGTTGGTTTGTTGAATTGACCTTGTTTGTAGGCACCGGAATCAAGGCAGGATTACAGGGCATCAGTGGATGAATTATCGGCTTATTTTCTGAACCACTGAAAACTGGTCTTACATCATTCATGGCAACATGATGAGTAATCATCTGACGAGTGTGACCTCCGTCTGATTGTATTGATCCCTGTAAATTATTTTGACCTACTGTTATCATCTGATTGGTAACTGATGGTTGCTGTTGTTGTTGTTGTTGTTGCTGTTGCTGCTGCTGGTGCTGTTGTTGGGATTGAGCAAGAGCAGGGGATTGTTGTTGTTGCTTAGGCATTGATCCTGTTGATGTTAAAGGTGAAGGTGATAAATGATTCTGGTGACTTTGAACTTCATAATATTGTACTGGCTCATAAGAGGGTTTTATCTTCCATAATCTTAACTCATCTTCAGCTGCATCAGCGGTAAATGCAACTGGTTCCAAAAGTCCAGAATCTTTAAGATAAGAGACAGTATTTCCGTTTCCTGAAACAGTTAGAGTATCTGGATAAGTCCCATCAGAAAAAGGTTGATCAACTGTGTGACCAGGATTATATCCATTGAGACCATGAATATCAACCAATTGATAATTTTGTTGAGAGGTTGGTGGGTTTTTATGTCGATGTGAGGATGATGAAGATGAAGATGATCCTCTTGGTGAATGAAGTGTATGATGAGGCCCCTCCATGATAAGACCCGCCGATGTTGCTGAAGTAAAATGAGGTATTGACTTGAGGAAACTTGTTAACTCAACAGGTTTCACCTCAATTGTTGTTTCCTTTGGCCAACGGAACAATTTAGTTCGTAATGAGCCATCAATTACCTCACCGAACTTGGGTAAAAGTCGAATAGGTGTTTTTGGTACAAAAATACCGTGAGTTTTAAGCACATTACCAAAAATTGATCGCCTAGAGCCTGGACTAGTTGATACAAATAAGAATCCACCGGGTGGGGTCAAGAGAAAAAGAAAACACAATTTCCATAACATTTGAACCAATCGATTAACCATAATGGTCAATATAAAAATCGAATCACGAAAAAACTTTGAAAAAAAAGGAAATAAAAAACAATAACTTCTATCGATAACTTTGATTTTTAGATATCGAAACAAATAAACTTTAAATTAATATCAATCATTAACATGGAAACTGTTAATTTTTATAATTCATCCAAAATTTAAACTTGATGAAAAGTTTTCCAAATCATTTGGTGTTGTTACACTTAATCACAATTAAAATCTAATTGTATCCGAAACAATCAAGCCAAACTTTGTGATACAACTGATTCAAGATTATGAGATTTGATAACGACAAATGGACATATTCAGTTTGTCAACTCCCTCTGAATCAGTTATATCAAATGTGAGAGAGTGAGAAATGATCAACTCATTGATTACAATTAATTGAGAAAAAAAAACAAATCTGTAAAAGTGTAACAATTAACTGATATCAAGGCCTAAATGATGATACTTATAAAAGCCAATCTATTGTTTTTCTCAATCTACAATTGTATTAATATACTCTAAGTATATATTAAACATTTGATAGTCTTTTAAATAGGCCAACAATTAATAAACAATTAAGTAACAATACAATATATGAAAAAAATTGAACAATAATCAGGTTAAAAAACTCAAAGTTTATATTTCATATTGAAAGTATTCATTGAGTAGACACATTGATTATCCGATGAAGCGTATGAGAAAAAAAAAGTTTCAAGTGCTCATCATGATGATGATGATGATCATGAATTGACGAGTGGGACAAAGAGGGAGGTGTGAGGGAGGTATTCTCTCCTTGTCAAGTGTGTATGTAAGTCACTGTGAAGATAAAAGTTTTCCCTCTATTTTTCCATTAAAAAGAAAAGAAAGAGAAAGATAGAGACAATATGAATTCTTTTGTTGATTATTTGAAAGCAATTCTATTATTAGCTTAATTGTAGCAATCAATGTTTTCTCTCATTAACCATATAAATACTCGCAATCAATTTGATTGTTCATCAAAAATATGACCTATTGAGATGAGAAAGAGAGAGAGAGAGAGAAAGAGATGATAGTTGCCCTTTCTCTTTTTCTCCATCACTAAATCATCAACAATTAAAACCATACAATTAATCGATAATCAATTATCAATTTTTCCTTCTTAATTTCAGTCATTTGAAAATTCTACTTTGATTGAAATGAAAAAAAGAAAAATAAATAATTTAACCTCTTTACTTTCGAATTTTTTTTCGATCATGTTGATACATATTCTGATTGTTGTTTACGTTTAAAAATATTCAATCGATTTTGATTTTTCCAATCATTTCAAAGAAAGAAGAGAGAGAGAGAGAGATGTTACCATTATAAGATATATAAGATGACCTGACCTGGTCTTTGGTCTTCGGCTCATAACGAGCCCGTAGACACCATACACACGATCTTACAACTCGCTCTCTCTTTCTCTCTCAGCCCCCACCCCACGTTCTCTTTCTTTTTTTGCTCCTTTCTCTCTGTCTCTCTCTCTCTCTCAGTGTGACACAGAGAAAGAGACCAAAGAAAGAGGATAAAGAAGGGAAAAAGAAAGAGCGGGAGATCGAAGCTTGGGAAACCGGAAAACGAATCAACTATGGAAAACTAGAGTACGTGACTCGTATGGTTTTTTATAAACATCCCTTAGGTCACGGAAGGTATAATATTGCCCATAGACGAATAACACCTTTGGGCTAATTAGACGTTAGGTTGATGATTGTTTTTGGTTTTCACTCTTGGAAGACAAAAGGAAATCATCATTTTTGTGATTTAATTTTCGACTCCAATTGCCAACTGTTCACCTCGATGGACCTTATGGTCGAACTTTACTCGAATAACTAAACTCATCAATTCTCCCTCTCGTTCATCCTCAATTAGAAATCTTTTGTTTCTTTCTCTCTCTCTCCATAATTTACCGTTAATCATCATTCGCATCAACTGTCATATCAGATGTTTACCCTCAATGAAGAAAGAGAGAGGAAAAGACTCCCTCGAGTTGATTAATTAGAAATTATTATTCTTCTTTCTATCTCTAAAATGTGTGACCACCTCTTCTAACCAAAATTGCTGATCTAATTTTCTCTTTCAACAAAATTTATATTCATGCAAATCGAACTAATTTTTTCTTCTTCTTTGCATATTCCATCTTCTCCTTTAACAGGTACAGTGACTGCGAGTTACTTAGCATTTATTTTGTGGCAAATCCTCTTACGGAGTAAACGTTCATGGCCAACAGAAAACGAACACTGAACACAATCTATACATATTATATATTAAATCTATTTGATCTATTCACAATTGTTTCTTGCAAATCATCATCAAATCATCACAATCATCAAACATCATCAACATCATGTCCATATTATATACATTGATAGTAATATTATTTGGTCTGTCTCTCTCTCTCTCTCTCTCTCCCAATGTATATAAATATATATTATGTTGTGTATGGTAATCAACATTTTCCCTTGTAATAAATAAAAAGCAAAATAATCATCTTTAAATGGCAAACGAGAAAACAAAATCATCTCCACTCCTCATTATCATCCTCATCATTTTCTCTCTCTCTCTTTATCATCTTCATCTCCAATTCGTGCTGTGGGGATCATTTTTTTTACAAAGAAAAATGTTCCAATGAACATTAGTCTAAGTGTTGAGAGGTTAAGGTGCTAAAATGAGGTGGGGAGTAAACACTCATTATTATATTTCATCTTTCCAAATGATGATGATGATCAAGCTTTTTTTATCTTCCATTTTCATCATCATCATCATCTTAGTAAAACCCTCCAGGGTATTTATCAAATTATCTTCAATGTTTAGCAAATTTAAACTTTCTCATTAACTTGGAAAATTTTCAACTTCATTTCTTATTCTGGTTTCTTTTTACAATCTAATATAGTTAAATATTTATTGTAACAATTAACTAATCACTAGACTTTGTGACTAATTAGCCTTTTCAACAATCAGTTTAAGTAATAGATTTCAAGATATAAGGTAAACAATCAAGTGAAAGTTTCAATTGTTATAACAATTGAAATTTACGTTGAGTAAATATCAGAGTTGATCAAGTGTTTACAAATTGAATTAACTAAATTGTTACAGTTAATTGTTAAATTTTCTTTCTATTACTATAAAAATATCTCAATTGTTGATTCTGTTACTAACCACAATTAAGTTAATTGTTGATTCAAGAAAAACACGGGAAGTTAATCATCATCATCGATTTTTTTTCCTATGTGAACAATTATCTTTTCCTCTGTCATAATTAAATCAATGATTAATGATGATTAACTTTAAGAAATTGTTTCAAGTCTCTCACACAGTAATCATCTTAATCATGTTTAAATTGTTTAATGTCACTTTTAATTGTAAATCAACGAGATAATTTATCTTTAACGGTTGAAAATGTAAATTGTTTCAAGTATATTCTCAATTACCATTAATCATTGCAATTAAATTTGAATTTATGGTTAAGTTGATTGTTGATTTTTATCGGATTGACAATCGATAAGTTTACAGTTGTATCAGTAATTAATCTAATAGTCAATTAATATGAGTAACTCAATGATTATCTCTTGTCGTGTTAATCTCAATTAAATATATCGATTCAATATCAATGAGTAAATATTATAAGACGATGATTAAAACCAATTAATTAGTTGATTAACAATCAGCCTTGTGTCAAAATAAATTGCTGTCAAGTTGATTAAAGTGTTTGCTTGATTGATAAGCCTTTTAATGATAATTAATATTGATCACAATAAGTCTGACAACCAACCAAAGCCTAAGTAATTTAATTTAATTGATTAAATGACTAATTGTTTACCTAATTACCGTTATTTACGTTAGCAGACCGACCTAAATAGTTATTAATAATTAACAACAACAAAATATGATCCAAATAATTAATATAAGAAACAAGAAATATATGAGATTGGTAACAATTGGGGACAATCAAGTTAATCAGATAATCAAAGTAAATTAAATTGATTTATAATCAGTAACCTAAATTTCAATCTGTCAATGTTGACATTCATTAACTATCACAGTGTTTCCGATAGAGAGAGAGAGAGAGAGAGAGAGAGAGAGAGAGACGATAATTTTATCTTCCCTTAGTATCTTTTTCATCCACATCCTCATCCTCATCTTCCTCCATCATCCTCTCATCACCATCACCCACTAATCATAGAGTATTGATTTGGTTTGAAAAGGAAGAGAGAAAAAAGTTTCTTCCAAAAGCAGTTAATTAAAAATCGATTCAATTTACATTGGTTATCATCTTCATCTTCATCATCAATTGATGATAAACTGGACCCAAGGTTTTTGGGGCCAATCCTTTTTGGAAACATCAACCATCACCTTTAGGATGGTGACCAGTAACAATCAAGAAATTAAATCAACTCATTATCAGGTCACTTAATCAAAAAGCAACTTTTGGTTAGGACTTTTCATCAACTATCAGGCCAATCAAAGGTTAGCCCTTATAATATGATGATGACCATCAGGGTGGACAGTCAACTCTTTCAACACTTACCTACTCACTCCTTTGACCACTTTATGCCAATATAGTTACTTTATTATCATTTTTATCATCATCATTATCAAATTATCAACAACAACAAGATATTATCAACTGATCAACAATAAAATTTCAAATGATTGACCTTTAATATAAAATTGGATTAGAAAGTAAACAAAATTGGAAACAGGATAACTGACCAATAAGCAGATGATGAAAGATGATGAGATGAAGATAATGAAGATGATTAAAAGCTGATGAGTTATTTTCAATGATGATGATTATCCGATTACCTTTACTTTTTTTCCTTGATGAAACTTAACAACAATCAACATCATCTGGATGCTGTGTTATGATGATGATAATCATCAACAAAATGCCATGAACAATATAGTTGATTTAAAGGTAACTCATCATCATCATTATCATCTTTCTCTCTCTCTCATCTTCTTGCTCTCTCATCCAAAAACAAACTTTATTGGCTTCGTGTCTCTTTGTTTACTTCCAACGCCCTTCAACATATGATCTTGTTGCTGATGATTATGATGATTATGATGATCATCAGGATGATGATGAGTAAAACTTACCTTTAACCTCCTCCTCCCACTGCCCTCCAACACCATAAGACACACACTGTTGAAGATGAGAGATGAGAGATGATGATTACCTTGATAATTAATCCAATGGATTTGCTCTGATGATCCCAAACAATGAGCAATCTTAAGTTTCTCATAGACTCTTGATTGTTTTACTTTAATTCACTTGATTAGTGAAGCTGATAATTCACCACAAAAGGTTAAATTGTCCATGAATTGTTTCATTAACCATCAGGTAATCAAAGTCCAAATAAAAATTAACCGAAACAATTAAAGTGAACAAAAAACTTTTGCCAAAAAGTTAATCACATGTAATTACAAACATCAATTCTTATCAAGAAAGTTGATCAAGAAAAGGAAAAATAAAAAGTTCTAACAATTCAAGTTCGAGGAGAAAATTTTGTTACAAAAGTTTTTCTAAATTGCTGTTAAAACGAGAACGAAACAAAATTAACCAACTCAATCATCTTCAACTATGGAAAAAGCAAGAGAGAAATTAAATTTACAATTCAATTGGTTACAATTGTAATTATAACAATTAAGGAGAGAGAGAGAAAAAAACAGAAAAAGAAACTTTTTTTTCCAATAATTGTTTTCGTTGCTGTTGGTAGACAATTAATGCAATTACTCATTACTAACCTAATTATGATTAACTTTTACCCTTTTAACTATTTATTATCATGATTAACTTGCTTCTAAAGGATGATATTAATCATTATCGATACCGGTGGAAGGTAATTGAAATATTCCTTGAGTGCAAAGAGATACGAATGCTAAAAAAAGAGGTTTGTTCAGGTAAAACGATGGAAGCTGAAAAAGCCCAAAGAGTAAATAAGATCTTCAAGAGGTAACATTACTTTTGGTGGGAAAATTAAGGAAACAGACGCTTGAGACTTAACTTTGACCCTGGAGGAAGGTGGGAGAGGAGAGAGAGAGAGAGAGAGATGCAAAAAAGAGAGAAAAGAAAAAAGGTAAGATGATGATAAAGGTTAGGCTACTGTAAGCGAACTCTCTCTCTCTCTCTTTTATCTTCTTCTTCTTATCTTCCTCCTCTTTTCATCTTAGTTACTTTCTCAGGCAAGTGTGTACCTTGTATCCTACAAGGTTTCACTTACACACCTTTACCTTTACAACTTTTGGCGCCAATTTTTTACCTTGACACGTAAAAACTTTTCACTATTGCGTTTTTTTTATACCTTTTTCTTGCATCATTTTTATGTAAGGTTAGGCCTAAGTTGGTGTGTGTTTGTGTACTGGTCTGCAACAATTAACTGTTAATTGTTACACATTTTTTCAATATTAACGAGTTTCAGTTTTAATTGTTATGATGTGTTTGCTTTTTTATTTCATCTTGTTTTTTTTTCTTTTCTTTAATTTGTTATCATTTGTTATCAAACTTTTTAATGAGGTTAATTGTTGATAGATTGTAAATCAAATGGAAACGTAATTAGTTAAATTTATATATTAATAAATATAAGATTAAGATGTGAATAAAAAGATAAACATCATTTTGATTATCACTTTTTTAAAAAAAAATCTTTATTTGTATTGATCAGTATAAAGTGAAATGAAATTATTATTTAGTAACGATTTAATTGCTTGGAAAGTAATCTTAGTCTCTTAATTGTTACATTAAATTGTTGTCATCAGTTTTCACCCTCAGGGGATAAATGGTGATGAGTTAAGAATGTGGCTGCTGTTTGTTGACCTCAGGTCACAAAGTGAACGTACTGGAATACACTTTGTAGCTGTTTCTCTCTCTCTCTCTCTCTTTGCGTTTTTGGCGCCAATCGAAAGGTTAAAAGAAAACGGAATTGACAATCTGTTGAACGATAGAAAAGGATGAAAATAATAATAACTAAATTGTCTCCACTTGAGTGATTAATTAACTAAAGAAGAAGAAAAAATCTCGCAGAAGAGAAACAAAATCAGTATTTAAATCGTCGGACATTAGATGTTATCGTAAGGTGGACGCGCGAGTTCATGGTTCGTTAAATGTACAAAACACACGTTCTAATGATCGTAAAGTTAATAAATTGAGTTTCAAGTGGTGGTAACATCTCATGTGGAAAGGATTGATTTAATAACTATTTCCGATTTGACTCACACTCCAAAGATAATCAATTTGTAGTTAATTGTGATTACAGCCACGTGAGTAAATCCATTAGACGATTTTGCCGCCTAAATATAAGATGATTATGAAAGAGGAAGATGATTAGGATGATAATGAAGAGTAATAATTAATAATAGATTTTAGTAAATGATCAAATTGTTCAATTCTCATTCAAGTGATTAAAATAACAACAAAAAAATTGTTTCTGTTTCTTGAAAAATGATTATATCATTAAGAAGCGGAAGAAAATTAGTCAATTTGATTATTTGATTGTGACAATAATAGATATTGACAATTAATTGGGGAGAGAGATACACACACACAATTAATATCGTATATAAATTGTTGAAACAATCAACTGATCAAATGAATATAATGTGAATCCATAAAATCACATTAATGATTCGTGCCAATGTACTGATTATGATGATGATTAACTTGATGAAATTGTAAATGATTAAGAAAATAGTTATCGTGATGGTTGGTACAGGATCTTTTCACATCTAAACAATTAATATTAATCGTTGATTACGATAAAACACAGAATGATGATTAATGTTTGTCTTCCCTTGATTGTTGTATAAATGATTGTCACAATTAAAATGTAAAACCATTTGATCACCATTTGTTAATCCGTTTGGATTGTGTATTACAATTTGTTAATTTGATGAGAAAATCAAAATCAAAAACGTGAAAATTGATCAATTTTTTTTAGTTAAAAAACTGATTTGATTTGTTGCTCGTGTTGTTGATTAGTTGATGTAATTCAAATTGTGTGTTAATCATGACGGATTTTAAACAATTAAGATTAACACCTAATTCATTTCTCGTTGAAGCAACTATTTTGTTAATTTTGTGTCGTCTAATTGTGTCATATCCAATTGCTATTGATCCACTTCCAGGTATTTAAAAATATGATAATATAACAATTAGTAAATTGTAAGATATTAATTGTTTCTTAATTGTTTCCATTTCATTTTTCTTTTTGTTCTCATTGTGTAACTTGATCTGTTGACAGATAAACCATTTTCTGGATCAACAGGTTATTTATTTAATCATGAAAATCTTAATTTAAATAATATCAAATCAACTAATTATCGTCGTCAAAGTTTAGAGGATCTGTTGAGTGGCGGTGGCGGTGGTGGTGGTGGCTCATCTAATGCAGATTCTGATGATGATGAGGAGGATGATTCACCTTCCCCACCAGGAGGGATTTCCGCTTCCGATGATAGTGCTTTACTCAACAGTGCTTTACTTGCTGGTATTCAAGGTGCAGGCGGTGGTGGTCCAATCTTGGCAGGAGATGGTGGCGGCGGTGGTAATGGTGTTAGTGGAGGTGGTGAAAGTGGCGGTGAGAGTGCAGGAAGTGGTGGTGGAGGTGGAGGAGGTAATAGTAACAGTGGTAAAGGCGATGGAAACTCGAGTTCATCAAGTAGTTCAAGTAGTGAAAGTGAAAAATCAGAAGAATCTGATTCGTCCTCGGGGCGGCCCAAAGGTCCAGTGGCTCGAGCGGTGGCCAATGTAAGAAAATTTCGTGAAAGGACAAACGATTTTGTCGCTGATGTGAGAAAACGTTTCGTCGATTGGCTTGATGGTTACGCTGGTTCTTCCGATAGTTCATCAAATAATAACAACGATTCCAATAATAATGGTGACTCATCTAATAGTGATTCTTATAATGATGAAGATGAATCAACAAACAATTAAGAAAATACACAAAAACAATTGAAATCAACAAACACTTTTCGAAAACAAATACATAACCAAGATGCCAAAAATTTTCATCTCTAACGGATCTGTTTTGATAATCATCTCCAATTCAATCATAATCATCATAACTTTTTTTGCTTCATCATCAACAATCATCAAACAATCAACAACAATCAACAACAATCATCCACCTTTCACCAACTATTCATCTCTATCCATAACCTTTCAAGTTAATTTAATCAATTAATTGCTCTTACAATTTTATGAGAAGATAATATTTTACAATCACAACAATTTAACCTTGATTGTTACCGGTGTATAATGATTAACTAATTTTTTTTGTTCATTCCTCTGTTAAATCAACTATTTTTCAATACATATGATTACTACATTATCCTTATACTCAATTAATATTGATAATCTGCTTACAATTAACTTAATTAATCAAAGGAAATGGATATACAAATTGTAAAATGATATAACAATTTGAGATAATCATTGATGATAATCAAGTTAATTATTTTACTGTTATATCAAATGACAAAATGATTTATAACTCATATGATAATTTTTTTTTGGAGGGAAAAATCAATGTTTAAGAGTTAATTGTCTTCTTGGGTTATTTGATTGCTAGCCAATAATAACAATCAAGAAAATTATTAATCACAATGGTTAATCATATTATCTTGCCAACAAGATGAATTAATCATTTGTAATATGAATACAATAAGTAGATATATAGACAATCAAAAATCATTTTCGTGATTTAAACTTGATTAACTATTGTTGTTGTTGTTGTTGTTAAGAAACAAATTTGTAACTATTGAAAAGTAATTAGATTCAGTTGTCATATTAACAATTAACCATAAATTTTAAATGATTAATTTGATACTCAAAGGATAACAAACTACTGTGGGTGAATTTACAAATGATATCAACAGAAAAGAAAGTAAAATAACAACAATAACAATAAGTAATCAAGTCTAATGAATACAAATTGAAGTCAATTGTTTATGAATCTAAACCATCAGAAAATGTAGTTAACGTTTTTTTCATACCTTTTACATGTACACAAATTTTACCTGAAAGGCATAAAAAGACAGAGACAAAGATGATCTTCTAAGATATTGATCATCTCTTGATGATCTTAATCATGTTAACAAACGGTAGTTAGTTTTAACTTCATCTCACATTACATTTGCTATTCAGGAAGGAGTAAGAGAAAAGTTAATCTTTAACCTTCTCTCTCTCTCTCTCTCACTCACAATCTTTATCCTCTGGTCTTTAGGTGTGATCAATTTGGCTTCTCAGCAGGTAGTAAGAGTAGTAATAGTCTCTATGTAATATTAACATGATCCAACAACGAAAGGTGAAGCTTCTGTGTATAATATTAACATGGATCTGGAATGTAACTATCCCTCTTATGTATTTGCTTCTTGCTTGACCATTGGGCAAAAGGGCCTCTGGAAAAAAAGAAAGAGATAAAAAAAGCTTTTTCTTTTATCGTCAAAGGTACTAATCGATAAATAACCAATTGAACCATGAAGAGAGAGAGAGAGAGAGAAAAGTTACCTGTATAAAAGAGAGAGAGAGAGATGATAACAGAAAACAAGGTAAACGAAAATATAAGAGACACACTTCGTAAGTTTACCTTTTTTTCTTGTTACTTTTTTGTTCACCAGTTAATATAATCAACGATTAACATTCAATGGTCATTATTAGTTGTGTTCATTGGAAAAAGAAAGTTACAACATGGAAACAAAGTTAATTCAATTGCAACAAATCATTATCATGACATTTTCTTGATTCCAGGTAAATCTAAAAGGTAAGAGAGAAAAAGAGAAAGAGAAAACTTTTTTTTTTCTCATTTTCAATGTTCTAAATGGAGAGAAAAGAAAAATTTACACAATTTAATTGTCAAAGTTAAATTAATGATCAGTTTAGTTAGTGTGTTATATGGATAATCACACGCAATAATTAATCACAGTCGGTTGATTATAAACAATTAGAATGGAAATTATGAGAAAACGGTTTATAGTTAATTTTACCTTTACATCTCTATGGTTAACTAATTTTCTCAATTTAGATTAACAATATGTATTAGTACCTTTTGATAGTTGAATAGTAATAATTATCAAAATTAACGTACAATTAAGGGGGAGAAAGAAAAAGTCGTTGACTAAATTAAATCGGTTTAGTAAGTATTTTAAAACAAAAACGCTAAATGACAGTTAATTAAATTTGAAGGTTAAATATTTATAATGCAAATGATGATTAAAGTTTGTTGTTTCTCAACGGTTTTTGTCTGTTTGTTAAACTAAACTGACTTTTTCTCAATTACTTGATGATGTCGGGCTAATGGTTAATTGTTAATCAGCCGTAAATTGTAAAGTGAATGGTAAACAACAATGAAAAACCAAAGCTAATTGTGTTAATTAGGAACAAGACTATTTTCATGAAAACTTTATGATGACACTTTAAAGATAGACGAAAATCTTACCTCTCTCACTCTCTCATGTTTACCACCTTTTTCCCATGTTTTACCTGTTAAAATAAAGATAACAAGGTGATGGAGCATTTTTTGGTTCCCACAGTAAAGATTCATTAACATACCTGCAAGAAAAGTTTCTTTCTTGTCATCCCAATATCTTTATCCTCATCCTCCATCCTCCCACTTCGTCTCAGTGTCTCTAACAATCTTATATGACAAGAGTAACAACAGTGACATTCAAAAGACAAAGACAATGATCGTCAGCATGATAACGCCAATGATGATAATGACCTTAGGCTAGAATAATCTACGTTAATGACCTAAATATAAAACGATTCATCATTAACATTTGATACACAGGATGTTACATGGATCCAATGGTCTTCCTTTGGTTTTTTTTTTCGTCATTTTCTCATCTCATCGTAGTTAATCATCTTCCTTTTAATCTTTCTTTCCATCTTCTCTTCGTTGGTTATATTTCCGTTCATTTTTATATCATTATCATTTTCTTTTCCTTGTTCTCCATTTCGTTTTAGTCGGATGTTGTAGTTGTGGAAATTTCGTCTCGCTCTAATAGTACGTGAACACATATACAATCTGGTATGATGACGATTCGTTTACTTATGTACCTTTGTTGTTGTTGTTGTTGTTTCTTCATCTTCTTCTTCCTTTGATTGTCTTTGTATTGGAAAACAACGGAAATGGATTTAGAAGGAAAAAAAAAGAAAAACAAGAAATTAGTATTATTAAATATCTACACCGACAATCGAGATTCAATCTTTGATATATATCTTGTATTTTTCTCTGTCTTTTGTTTCGCATCGATTAATTTTTGGTCAATTGTTTAGCGTTTCTATCTAATACGCTTACTTACTTTCTAAGGGATATTATTGTCGTTATCATTAATATCACCATAATAGTTAGCTAATGACACTCAATTAACCATTTAGTTGAATAGTATTTCTTGTACGTCGTATCTGTCAATTCATTTTTACAACAACGATATCGTTTCCTGCCCAATGTCACTCATATGAATCATATCTTTCCCGGTGATATTTTCCAGTGACAATTAATACACATATAAGTATATAGCTTCTCGTGTAAATCAAGTTAATTACTCTCGTGTGCTAAATCACATTGAACGAGACAGGAAAGTTAGAAGATCCTGTGTAACCAAAAGGGGATGACAAATAACAGGTACAACTTTGATAACTTGGTTAATAGATTATAATGAGTCCAACCATGAGTAAGATAATCAATGAGTATAATTTCCAACTGTCCTGAAAACGATAATAATAAAAAGGTAAGAATGTTAATTGTTGGTTGTCTTTCGATGAAATTAGAATGACGATAATAATAAGTTCTTTACAATTAGTATGATGGATTCTGTCTCTCCCTTTCTGTTTACGCTTTGTTTTGAGCCAGAAAAAAAGGAAAGGTGTACATTGGAATGAGAGATAAATGTCTTAAGCTGTTTTCTTAACTTTCCTTTGAATGTTGACATTTGACATGATTTTGGCGGGAAAAAGTGAACCTGTGGGTCACTCACTTCACTTACTCACTTTCTTATTGTACATAGAGAGTTAGAGAGAGTATAGTGGACACAAACATCTGCCGAACTAATGTTCGAGAGAGAGAGAGAGAGAGAGAGAGAGAGAGAGAGAGAGAGAGAGTCTGTTTCGTCTTCACGTCTTCTTGGTTCTCTCTTTTGCTCTCTCATAATTTGAAGCCATAATTAACTTTCCGTCTTAAAGGCTTTTCTCTATCAGTCTTAAAGATGAAGAAAGGTTTGCTTTTTCTTTCTTTTCTCCTTTAACCTCAACCCATTTATAGCCTTTTCCCAATGACCAGGTAAGGGGAGAGCCTTTTTCTAAACAAGCGTCCAACTTCCGTCTGCCCATATCAACATAAGAAGATGATACAAAGAGATGATCTTAAACAGAGCCATGTGGCAACCTTAGCGATCAATTTAAGCACTGGACACAAGTAGACGAACAAATCTAAAAGAGAAAAACCTTTACACACATTATTCATCATTTTCTAACATGAAACCTTTTTAGAAAATTTCTCTTCTTCTGTCAGGCCTAAGATAGAAAAAGCCAGAGAGAGAAAGAGGAAGAAGAGAAAACGTTTTAACTACGTCACCTTTTCTGAGGAAACAGTTTCGTCCAAAATCAAATTACGGAAATATAATCAGTCAATTTACCAAAAACAGCCAGAGGAACAGAGAAGGAAAAGACAATAAGAAATCATTAAGACAAAGACACAATAGAAAACAACAAAATCTAATTTCTTTCACAAAACCATCATCAATATGTTATCAAAGAGAAAGTCAATTAAAAATCTAATTAGAAACTCACCTTTGACCCGAATGATTAATTCAACTATTTTTTTCCATCTTAAGGATCGAGAAAAATGAAAAATGAGTCCAATAAATTGAATCGTAAGAAAATGAATCTAATCCTTTTAATTAATAGACCGATGATCTAATTGTCACATTTAAATTTTGATTCTCTAATTGTTGTTGCATCATTTTAATAGAATTCAAATGTGCTGCCATCTAGTGTGTAGAACTTGACTTGACATAAATTAGAAGAAAAAAAAATTATGAACATGAAACGCCATCTATTGGATTAGAATTTAAATTTTGTTGGGATAAAAAATCGATAATTTTTTTTCTTTTAGTTCTGGAAATTCGTCCGATAGAGTTTCACTTTTTTTCTTTTTATCCAGAAGATAGAAGGTTGAATGAGATCATTACCATGAGTGATATTGGAAAAGTTCATTGTCACCAGACAGGATAAAGTATTTACATTACCACACCCAAAGAATAAAAGTTAATTCATTGACCAAATCGAGAATATGAAATGATAAAACTCTCGAAAAGTTCATTAACCTTTGATTTCTATCGAATTCTAATTAGTTGATGTAAAAAGAAAGATTAATTTACTAATTAGTGATATGAAAAATTACTAATCCATGGAGAGATAATAACAAAAAAAAAGAAAAGGTTAATACAAAAAAATCGAACTCGAATTAGTCTTGATAAAAAGTCGAAATAACTTTTCGTTTCAATGATCAAGAATTTAATTAACTAATTAAGTCAATTTTTCTTTTTAGATTTTTACAACAAAATGAGTTGATTGTGAAGGAAGATGAAACAGGTAAATCTAAATGAGAGAAAGTTTTGAATGATTATGATGTTTATTTGATTGTTGAAGAGAGAGAAAGAAAGAAAAATATTCGATCACAGAATAGAACATCAAATTAAGGTTCAATTTCGCCCAAGAAAAGTTCTTTATCACTGGAACCAGATAAAACTAGAAAAAAGGAAGAAAAAAGAAAGACAATTAATCGAAACGATAAAAGGAAAACAATTCTCATTCAATCAGTTAATTACCTATTGGTTCATTGGGATGGAAAACAACCTCATTAACAGAACCATGATGCCCCGGAAGTTTATATAAGATACGTCGATAATGAGTGTCCCATATATATACATGTCGATCGGACGATCCAGCGGAAACTTTGGTTCCATCAGGAGACCAACTGCATCTTAATAGATTTTTTTCGAAATTATGTTGATGACCTTGTAATGTTTTGGTACATCTCTCTTGCGAAGCGAAAGGTCTAATGTCCCAAATACACACTGAATAGAGAAAGAAAATCAATTACAAAATGGTTGATCAATTTGAAGAAAATGATAGAAAAAAACTTACATGTATTATCCATAGCATTTGATAAGACAAATGAACCATCGGGACTCAATGAAAGACCAGTTATACTGTCGAAATGTCCAATCATTGAGAATAAAATTTCTCCTTTCCTCATATCGTAAACTTTAACCATATTATCGATTCCACCGTAAATCACTTGATCTGAATTTTCATTAAAAGTAACGGCTAATATTTGGTAAGGATCTTTAAAAGTTTGGCTACACTTTCGATCTCGAAGATCCCATATTCTAATTGTATTATCGTCTCCTCCGCTAACAAGTAATTGTGGACCTCGTCGGGAAGTGTGGCAAGAATTTACAATATTTGAGTGACCTTTCAATTTTTTTACTCTTCCCATGGTCTTTGAGTCCCACATGATTATTGTTTTATCGGTACTTGCGGTGAAGATGTTGCTACCATCAACTGAATATTGAACATCAAGAATCGCACCTTTGTGAGCTTGAAGAGCGGCGATATTTTCACACTCTCCTTGAGTACTCCACAAGTCTATTAGTTGGAAATTTTTACAAAACAAAGAATTAGATTAATGATATTGGAACAATTTAGTGGTAAATATCAATCAACATACACAATTGTCTATCATGTCCAGCAGAAGCGATAGTTTTCCCATCGGGATGGAATTTACAAGAATAAATCTCCCCTTGATGTCCACTTAGTTGCATAATCGGAGCAAATAAACTTGACGTTCTAGGTGGACCCTAATAGATGAAGAAATAAATGAAAACAAACAATCAATTAATTTGAAGAATTTAAAAACAATAAAGAAAATAATTAACTTTTATACTAACCGTATGTTCAACGAGAGCTCTTCCTTTAACTGGATCTACAGCTTGAACTAATTCACTTCGACTCTTTTTAACTGGTACAACAGCTCCAGCCAAAGTAAACTCATCTCCTGGTCGTTTGTACATCTTCAAAAATTAATTCTAAACAATTAACAAGAATTTATGATTAGAAAAATAGAAACCAAACTCAAAGCAGAAAATGCAACCAGAAAGAAATGGAAACCAACACAATCAAATTGAAAGAAATACTAAAATCACACATTGACAGATAAATATACTCACAATTTGAACAAACCAGAAAAGTTCTCAAAGTATTTTGATTGCTGAAACAATTAAAATCAAATTCCAAAGTAAAAAATTAACTGTAATTAGTTTTAAATTAATAAGAAAAAAACAAATTCATTCAACAGAAAAATCCAAATGTAAACAAATGTTTTTATCGAAGTGAAATTTTCGACCGATAGATGACAGGGTGATCGCATGAAAGAAAAAAAAATTTGTCAATTGTTACAATTAACTAATTTTCCACCAAGAAAGTTGTTCTCTGTTACAATTACGGAATTAAAAAAACAATTATTAGATACTAGAGATTAATTTTTCGGATAAGGAACCAAAATAATTAATCTTATCGATAGTTATCAAATTGGCATCAGTATTGTTTATGAAGGGATCAACTGATAAGTAACAATTAGTGATACAATTGTAATTACGAGTTTAATTACTAACCATTTTCAGTGAATCTTAGTTAACAAAATTTTTCTTTCCAGTGCAATTGTAATAAAAATCGTTGCTAACATGGAGATTTCTGTAAAAGGTAAAAAAGTTCTGGTAACTGGAGGATCTAGAGGAATCGGTCGAGCGGTAATCGAGACTTTGGTCAAAGCGGGAGCATCTAAAGTCTATGCTGTTGATATATTAAAGGATGAATTGGATAAATTAGCAAGCGAAGTTAATAATGTTCATCCAATTCCTCTCGATTTGAATGATTGGTCAGCTACCGAAGAGACTTTGAGTAAACTCGAACCCGTTGATTGTTTGGTTAACAATGCTGGGATTTGTTGGTTAACGGAACCAGGGAAAGTTAAGGAATCGGATGTTGATAAAATGTTTACATTAAATGTGAAATCGGTGATTAATGTGACTCAAATTATTTCAAATACAATGATTAACAATCAAATTAAGGGATCAATAGTTAATACATCAAGTCTTACGTCCATGAAATCATATCCTGGATTTTTCATCTACAGTTCAACCAAAGCCTCCGTTGATCATGTAACACATAATTTTGCTGCCGAATTAGGGCCAAAAGGTGTTCGTGTTAATGCAATTAACCCTTGGATTGTTAATACGCCTATGGCGACCTCCGTTTCCGTTGATCCCGCTAGGACGGCCTTGTTAAAAGCGTCTCATCCATTGGGTCGATTTATCGAACCTGAAGAAATCGCAAAAATTGTTCTTTTTCTGTTAAGTGATTGGTCGGGAACCATTAATGGGATCACTTTACCAATCGATTATGGATCAATCTTGTAAAATAATTTAGAAAAATTCAACCACAATTAACTTACTAAACGTAACTTTATTGTCAACGGCAAGAACTGTTGTACTTTAATATACAGTCGTGAAAAATGAGTTTCGAATGGTTTTTAATCATTCGCGCAGGTAGTGACTAAAATTAACAGATTAAACAATCAAGATAAGAAAAATCAATGAGTAAATCATCTAAGTCTTATCACTGATGATAAAGATTATCAATTGATTTTAGTAGCTAAGTTGCGCGAATGATTAAAAACCATTCGAAACTCATTTTTCACGACTGTATTTGGGTGTAATCATTGTTCTGGTGTAATTGTTTTTAGAAATTGATCATTATAGAGATTGATTAAATAGACAGATCTTTTTTTCCTTCACAATTAGCTAACCATAGTAACAATCAACATTTGATGATCCAATTAGAATGATCCAGACAACTGTTTGATTTTGAATCAGTTTGATAATCTGCTAATCATTTAATTGTTAAAAACATCAGTTATCTTTTCGTTTTCAAACTGATTGTAGACTTAATTGCTAATCACTATTGACAATTCAACAATAAATCAACCAAATAATTCATCAAATCTTTTTAAAGGGGTATGTATCACCCAAAACCGACTTTCGTAAAAATTGAAATAAGGTCATAATTATGATAGAGCACAGCAAAAAACAATGTTTTGTTTAATCAAAACTTCTCTAAAATGTCCCGTTCGGTCACAATTGCTGTCGAGACTTAAACTGTTTTTCGATGATATTCCGAGAACGGTGATAGATACAGACATGAAACTTCGTACAAATATAGTTTATATATCTGCCTATCGATTTACAACAGGAAAAGTTATTTCACGCGTCGGCTCCTCAAATATGATCTAAAGGTCATTTAGCTTCGAAATGAAAACATCCCGTGAGGTCATTGCTAAGAACATATTTAACTAACAAAAAATGATTGTCTAAGTATCTACTATAAGCCTACGTGTTTTCGAACGATTTGCAACAGTGATTTACGAGAAATCGCTAGTGGCCTCGTAAACTTCGATAAGCTATAACTTTTGAGATACTTATCATGAAAGCTTCAAATATTCACGTGAATACTTGTTATGGAAAGGACATTTGATTGTGGCAAGTTTTAGTTCAGTTAGATTCTTAACAATGTCCTCACGGTATGTTTTCATTTCGAAGGTAAATGACCTAAAGTTCATATTTGAGAAAACGACGCGTGAAATGAATTTTCCTGTTGTTAATCGAAATAATAGTATATGAACTATATCTGTACAAAATTTCATATCTGTATCTATCACCGTTCTCGCGATATTATTGAGGTACAATTGAAGTTTCGACGGCAATTGTGGCCGAGCGCAACATTTTAGAGAAGTTTTGATTAGACAAAACATTGTTTTTTGATGTGTTCTATCATAATTTTGACCTTATTTTAAGTTTTACGAAAGTCGATTTTGGGTGATACATACCCCTTTTTTCTCCCTTTTGAATTTTTCATTAACCATTCAGCATAAGTTCATCTTCCATCTCAAGTTTTGCGATAATCTTGATGATTTTGGGACTTTTTTGACCTGAATTTCGATCACCGTGGATAGAACGACACCTCTTCGAGTTCAATTCTGTGATTATAAATTCTCCAAGTCAATTCACTAGAAAAATCTTCAAGTGGGCCACCCTAATATTTACGAATTTCAACTTTTTTTCTGGTAATTTATCCATGATTTTGAACGAAATCAATATTGGAAAAGTTCATTGTCACCAGACGGAAGAAAGTATTATCATACCAAGAGAATAAAAGATTAATCCATTGACCAAATCAAGAATATGAAATAATAAAACTGTCGAAAAGTTCATTAGCATTTGATTTCTATCGCATTCTAATTAGTTGATGTAAAAAAAAAGATTAAATCACTAATTAGTAATATGAAAAATTACTAATCCATAGAGAGACAATTATCAAAAGGTAAACAAAAGAAAAGGTTAATACAAAAATTGAACTCGAACTAATCTCGATGAGAGAGTCGAAATTTGTTTGATAAGTTGATTGAACGCAAATGCTGGACACGAGATGTCACCATTGAACAGAAAATAGGGAGAATATATTTTTTTATGGAAAATTGTTCTTCTTTAATTCTGTTCTTCCTCTCGATAATTCTGGATTCTGTTCAGAAAGATTCAGTTGAGAGATTCTGAGAACTGAGTGAGGTGAGATGAAATAAATTGCCACAGAGAAAGATAGACAAACAATATCAACACTCAGACACAACAATAAACAATTTAACCTTAAACAAGAAACAACAACAACAACAATAACAATGAGAAACTAAATCAACCAAGTTAATCAATTGCCTTTTTTTAATCAACGATTCAATATAACAATAACCTTTTCATTGCAATAATAAACATGTTTCTAGTTTGTAAATCAACAACAATCACCTTTAATCACCACAATCAATCAATAAAATCACCACTATCAACATCATCATCATCGACATCATCTGATCAACACTATCAATGGATTAACAATCCAAAAAGTAATACTAATCCAATCCAGTGTTTCCTTGATTATTAGTGAATTAAAGTAACAAAATAAAATAATAAAACAGTGAACATCAAATATATAAAATAATAGTTACGATTAATTGTAAATCAAGTTAAAAATGTAACAATCAACTAAATCACCAGTAATTAAAATAAAATCTGAGGAAAGTTAAATTATCCTAAATGTTTGAAAACCTAAAGGTTTTTTCATCAATCAACTTTGATGTGATAGCTTTTAATCATCACCCAATTGTAATCAACTGATTAAAGTGACTGATTGTATAACCAATTTGAATTGTTAATTGTTCTGTTTTAATTATGGCTGAAAAGAGTAAAATATTTTGCTGTACAAAGTACACGTTAATGGCTTGTAATGCCTTCGGCATAATGTTGGGTATTTTTGTCGTTCTCTTTGGTATGAGTTACCCGGAGGAAAAGTTTCCCGGTGGGTATCGAGGTAAAACAACCGCCGCCATTTCAATTGTGATGATTTTTTTCACCCTCATCGGTTATTGTGGTGCTCATCACCAGAAAGCCTATTTCTTAATCATCTATTCAATCATAATTATCCTATTTGTGGTCAGTAATGTGGCAACTTTTTTCGTCCTCCCGGAACATTCAATTTTTAACCTCGAGGGTAAAACTTTTTGGATAATGACAATGGTACTTGGATGTGTCCTTGCATTTGCATGTCTATTTGCTTACCAAGTACGAACCCGTTCAGGTCAATCGTCTTCAACAACCACAATGATGACCACAACAACCGGTACCGGTGGAGGGTTAGGACAAATTGCCCTGCCCAATGGTGCTATCATAGTGAAGACCAATGGACCACCAAATAGTGCAAATTCAACGTCGGCAACTTCATTCATATCAGTGCCAAGGTTTACACCGATTCAACCTTCATACTAAATCATCAATCTCACCAATTCATCATAAAAACCGTTCAAATAATAATTGGAATCAAAATTTAGCTATAAATTAACTAACGGTAGCAATTTAAATCTCATCTTAGTGATTAAAAGTACAAATCATAAGAATTTAAATAATGTCGATATCAGAATCAGAAAGAGAATCAGAATCGGACATTGAAATTACCGTTATCTGTTTCTCTGATGAATGATTAATCAAATTGTTATAACCATAATATATAAATTGTTTAACTTTGAAATTATCAATGAAAATTTGTTGGACAATTTATTGATTTGGTTTGTAGTAAAAGTCATTACCATGTAATTAAAAGTTTCAATGATCATTTTGATCAACTAGAATCACATGAGCTCAGATCAGAACAATAATACAAACAAAACCTACAAGAGGACTGACAATGAGCCTAACCACAAACTGAGCACATACAGACAACTACACATCATCATCATCATCATCATCATCATCACCACCACCATGATCATTATAATCATCCTCAAGTCATCATCTTCATCATAACCATCATCATTTATCTGAGTGTTACGTGACTTTCATCTGATTGTGAGTTAACATCAAGAATGAATATTAAAAAAAAATAACAAAAATTTTCATGATATTAATTCACAAAGATGATAATATGTAAATATGAAAGTTAATTCATCTAATGATAATGATAGTGATCATCATCATCATCATTTACTTTAAGGATCAAGTAATTATAATGAGTATCATCATCAATATAAAGTCATCATCATGATACACATTCAGACCCATCATCATCTTGTAAACATCTTCATCTTCATCTTCATCTTCATCTTCATCCTCATCATCACCACCCTGAAAGCCTGTTTGGTAAATAATAATACTAATAATGATATTAATCAATGAAGATAATCAAGAGACGATGCTAATAATAATCCAGATACAACAAAATAAGAATCTAAATCCGAAGAGATTAACAAAAAGTTTTCTCATCGAAATTTTTTTCTCTCCCCCTCTTAGAACAATTCTAATTAATCAATATCAGAATAATCGAAAAATAAATCAACAATAATAATAAGATAATTCCAACTGATTAATACACAGGAAATTTATTAATTTGATCAATAACCAAATTGGCGACCAACTAATTAACTAATTCGTTAATCAGTTTCAATCAGATTCTGTATTTTTGTTTCATAATATGTTGATTATTATTGAGAAAAAATTTTTTCTTTCCAATTCTTTTTTTCCAATAATTTTTTGTAATAATTATTTAAATTGTAGGAGCAAAAAAAAAAGAAAGAGAAATTATCAATTTTAATTAATTATCATTTCGTTGGATTTGTTAAATTTGATTATTAATCAATTCTGATCCTGTTAATTGTGTCCAATGAATAATTAATTAATTGTAAATAAAAACAGAAACAATTGTAATTATAAAAGATGAAAAAAAAACTTTTGCTTTTCTGTTTCATTGAATAAAATTTATTGCCTTTTATTTATTAATTGTTATTAATAAATTGTTGTTGATTAAATTGATTACAATGGAAGGGATAATGTAATTAACTAAATAGAGAATTGAAAAAAAAAGTAAAAACAATTTAATATAATAATCAAATTTAATTTGATTGAAAATTGCTTCAAGCAATTTAGACTGAGGATAACAAATTAAATGAAAATTATAATTCAACAACAATTAACTTGATTGCCGAGACAATGTAACGAATCAATTAATTGGAGTAAATTTTGTATTTCTATTAAAGGTAAAAGTTAATTGTTTCATCATTAAATATACGAAAGGAGAACCTTAATAACAATCAAATCATTAAAAGTAATCAAGTTAATCAAATGTTAAATGAACTGTAAATTTGATTAGATTGTGGAAAAAAGTTCCAATTTTTTTCCCTGTTTTCCTCATGAACATGATTGATGGAAAATGATTTAAATTATTGAAATTTACATTATCTTTTGTTACCAGAGGTTTTTTTTTCATTCAGTAACAAGGGTGGGAAAAGGGTGGCGGTGGGAACCGTAGGTGGTGGTGGGTTAAATCACAGGGAGTGAAGGAGTAGCAAGAATAATATCTTGGAGGATATAATAAGAGTTTGGATAATTTGTTGTTCGAAGGTAAAAGTAA